TTAATCCTGATATGTTTGCATGTTCTGAGGTCTAGTTTACTTGTGTATAAGGTAAAAAAAAATGCGGATGCAGCAGCAAACTGCTCACAAACAGTGATCTATGAAAGTGATTTTGAGCCCATGCAGTGATTTCCACTACAGAGTCAGGTCTGTTTAGCTGCCTGGAGGCTGTGCAGTTACTGCTCTTTTAATAAAGATTTAGACTTTTGAGGAAAAATTCAGGCCTGGAACTCAAAAAGTGAATCCACCAACACTATTCACGGGTCTGACCTTCAAAATCAAACAAGGTCATGCAAGCGCAAAGTCAAAAGCTGTTCTTGCCACATTAAAAACACCTTCTTTCCGGGTCTTTCTAAGTGTTCACAAGAATACAAATATGAGCTCATCCATCCACCGACTGTCACTGCTGCAGAATAAAACCTCAGAATAAAAAACTGGGGATGAAAATAAAACTGAGTACAGAGAGGAAGAGGAGGAACCACACCTGTTGGTGGGATTCTTTGAAAAGCAACAGTGTTGTGGATCAAGACTAATATTTAAATCATCATCCTGAGCCAATTACTTCATAGCTGGACAGACTCACATATGGAGCACCAGCTGCTTTAATAAATCATCATCATATTTCTGCCTCTGAATATGAATCTGAAGCCCAGAGCTGATGAACAGAAGCTCTGCTCAGCATCGAATCGGGACTTACAGGACACGGGTCAGTGGATCTGCAGGTTTGAGAGCTCAGACTGAATTATAAATCTTAAAAACACACACACTGAAAATACACCGAAGAGACTAGCTTTACCTCCTTTACCTCAGCCTTACCTCCTCTTTCTCAGCTTGTCCTCAGCTTTATGGAGGGTTTTAATAAGAGTGGCTTCATTTGCTGCTCGACCTCAGAGAAATAAACAGTGAGGTGAATTAAAAAGCTCTATAACTCACTGACTTCATGATCATAAGCTCCATGAATTCATCTCGGTATATAAAAGTGATTGGCTGTTGCACTGAGCCATCAGCTCTGATTTATATGGAGAGCTTTACTTTCAGAGACCCTTCATAAATCCTATCTGCAGCGTGGACTTTATCACCGAGGCTTTACGGTGGAGGTGGTGCAGGAAGTGTCATAATCAGATATTGGAAAACTGGACTGAAAAGCTGATGAGAGGTAAACCAAGTAAACCAAAGTGATTTTGAACAACGCGACTGCCGCAGGATCTTTTAACTGAATGATCAAACATGTCTGAAGGTTTCAAAAGAGGCTGTAAAAGTACAACTTATCAAATAATTTAATCTTTCTTGAAGATTTGGGTAGCGCTAAAGGCAAGCTCAGAGAATGGGCGTTCAGGATATCATAATATCACAATATTCATGGAAAACTCAAACTGAAGAAGGTGAGATGAAGGTGGAGCAGCACATGACTTTAAAAACTTTACTAACAAACACAGTGAACTCATGAAGAGACTCAAACACAGGGATGCTAACGCTACAGCTAGCTCACCAGCAGCTGCTTCTTCTTTTTCAGCTATCCTCTGTTTGTAAATAACCTCTATATAAACCCACAGAGCCACTGTCTGCTTATTTTTAACACATCATCAATATTTCATTTCTTTCAAAGACCGTTATCATCAACAGCAATACAGTGAAAGAGCTCAGGTTTGATTTTAACTGCAGAAAAAGGATCAGGAAGAGAAGAAGAGTCCAAACCTTCAGGTAGTTTCATACATTATTCACAAATCTCATTATTTTGCGCTTACCTTGTGAGGTGTGGAGGTCAGGCTTCTGCAGGCTCTCACTTCCGGCATCAAGTGTCCGGCTCAGACCAGGTTGCAGGTGGAGGGTTGTGGTTCAAATGTGGGACCATTACAGATGGTACCGCAGGTGTCCTTCGGATAGCTCAGCGGGGACAGAAACCTCCATGAATCAGAAGTGTGCAGTTCACCGGATCTTAACAGCAACAATAGGACCTCATGATCTCTGTGATTTTGAGGTTTCAGATGCAGCAGGAGGTGTTAGGAAATTCATCTCAAGTACACATGGCTTGTGGTGTCCAAGCATCCAAAGCATCAAAGAATGAGGCCTTAAGGCAAGACCTGAGGCAGCGTCTAAGTCCAAAGTCTGATTTTAAGGGTGCTGTGCTCAGGAGGGCAAACAGCTTAGCTAGAGGTGTCCAAAAACAACACTGACACACAAACTTACTGTGTGTTTGAGAGGTGCCCGGCTATTTTCAACCGGGTATGTATAAACGGGGCCTGAGTTTGGACAAAAAGACAAACTGGCACAGAGGGAAGGCTGAGCTTAAGTACTGACAGGGAGTGGGGCTAACAGGCCACAGGTGAGTCTCATCAGGTAATCAAGGGAACAGGAAGTCAATTTACCTGTGAGAGAGGCAAAGGTAAGTTTCAAAATAAAACAGGAAACACAAACAACCGTGTCAGTGAGTTTTTGTCATGTAATCCTTGTCAGCATGTCGAAACCTTTCAGGGACTGAAAAACAGCTCCTCTTCATCCATCCTCCTAAAACCTCAACTGTTCATTTTTATCATGATTCAATCCTCTTCACTCTGATATGGAGCATCACAGGGTTTAATGTGCGTGCTGTGAAAGTGTACCAGAGCATTCAGGGTGGTTTATGTGAGGTCTTAATGTTCATGTGCAGGAATGATGAGGCCCTGCTCTTTGCACTGAGTCCTGATGAGCATGTAATGAGACTGTAATGAAAGATGAAGAGATGATCTCTGCTATCAGTCATGCATACTTATCTGTAGGGCCCTTTCCTGTCTCTCTCTAAAGCCTCCTGCTGTGAATCCTCATCATGTTTGTCACATCCCAGTGAGGTGCAGGAGTGAAGAAGCTCTTACAAATTCATAATCTTTAAACTCAAATTGGTAGGAAAAAACAGTAAATATGAGCCAGATAATGGGCCCAAGATTTGGAGAAGTACACGATAAAGAAGACACGAGTGCATTAAATGAGGAAACATCACACCAACATCTGACTCAGCCTGTGAGCAACCAGCAATTTTTAATAGGATTTAACAAACATGAATTTGGAGTTTGAAAAAATGCAAATAAATCATCGGCTCATAATGGTAGAATCATAATGGTCAAAGAATATTGCATGAAAAGTAAGTCACAAGTGGAGCTGGGGGCAAAAGAGATGATATGAAATTGAAACTCATTTCTTTCCCTTTTTGAAGAACAGTTTCTACGTTATCAGCATTTTAGTTTAGAGACACAGAGACACAGAACCAGTAAGAAAGAGAGCAGACACAGAGGAGGGTAAAATACAATGTCTACATTCGTGTTTATTCTGTGCATGGTGTTCAGTTATTACATGTCTTCCTGTGGTGGAAAAGTGAGGGTTCACGTTAAAGAAAGAACTTTGCTTGTTTCCAACAAGAAAAGGGACGACAGCACAGTGAAAGAACTACAACATGTTGGAAAGGACTGTACAGAATATCATGTTCTATAAAAGCATCATGTTTGAAAATAGACAGTTATGAACTACATCAGCCGTACTAAACAAGAGTCTGAAGGTAATGGGCAGTGTGTACTGAGAGGGAGGAGAATGAACCTCGGTAAAGGTTTCAAACTGATAAGGGTTAAAGAAAAACCTCATAAACTACACTTTCACTGACATTGTCATTCATGCTTTTTCATGTAATAACTAAATGTATATGACTCTGCTGAAGAGTATGTTTAAGTTTCAATACTAAAATCCAGATTTATTTCAGGTTCAGATCAAAGTCATTAAAAAAACTTCCAAAGGTTAAAGAGCATGTTTAAAATGCCTCCAAATGGAGCATGGTGTCCCACAAGGCTCTAGTATGGGTCCTCTTATAGTCAATATTCATCACTGTATACTGTTCCTTCATTTTAACATATTTTGTGTTTATGATACCATCTGGATTATGATGCTAACAGATTTCAAAATGTGTTTTATTTATAAAGTTCCTCAAAGTTACTTTAACTGTCTTCAATGGTGTCCCACAAGGCTTTATTCTTGGTTCCCTTATATTTCTACATAGATAATACTTTATCCTTCAAGTTAAGCGATTTTATCCTTTTGAGGATCACAATATTATTCTAGTGTAAAAGAATTAAACAGATTAATTATCTATTTATGTCCATTTAAACTGTTTTGTCCTCTGCTAAAAATGGGAAGCCCAAAGATGGAGTGAGAAAAGGCTCAGGTGTTTGATGGCCCAGAGCAAAATGCTGCTAATCTAGAGGATTATGCACATAGAGATTATGATAATTTCATTAAAAATGAGTGTAGGATACAGTGGCTAAAAAAAAAGCCCTAACCATGTCAACTAGGAGAAACATGCTGCGAATCTGTAAACAATGCTAATTTATACAAGCAAGCGAAAGATGAAAACCAACAAAAGCAGAAATTATCTGCTAGTGATGATTGAATGATAAACAAAAAAAGAAAAAGCTGTTTTAACGGAAAACCTTCTACAAATCGAGAAACACAGAAAACCCGTACAAAAGGGGAAAAAACTGAATCTAGACATGATACAGAGACGCTTAATGCCTGTAGGAGGCGCTCAGTGGAACAGATTAATATGAAAATGTAGGAAATGAGGCAGTGGAATCAGATTTAGCAGAAGATCTTTGACAGCCAGACTACACTGACTGAATTAAACCAACAAAGATAATACAGAGACACTTTTTTTCTGAAGGATATCAAGCTTTTCTTTAGCTTTAGCTAGCTACAACACTCAGCCGTGCAGTTAGCCGATTCTTTGATGTCACGCTCTGGATACAGTACCCATAAATCTTATTTTACCCCGTTTAATTCAAACTTAACTCACTGTCATTGTCCTGAACCTCTTTAAAACTTAGTAAGTTCAAAGAGACTCTAAATAAAGGAAAAAGTTCACATTATCAAACGCTAAGCCACTGAGCGCCCCCTGCAGGCTTGGACTACTTCTGTTCATGTCTTGATTTGCATGATTTTGTGTTTTTCCGTATTTCATTGATTATGTATTTGCAGTGATTGCTTCACATTGGTAGCAGCTCACAGTCCTCATATGCTGCCTTCTGGATGGCGCTCTTCATACATGCAGTCCAGCTGGTGTCTGGGGTTAATAGCTGCCACTTCCAGCTGCTGCTCTCTCTGTAGGGTGAGCTGTTAAGATGACCTGACAGAGATTCCTGAGTTGCAGCAGTCATCGTGTTTAGTTTGTTAAGTTTGTGCAGTTACATTTTTCTATTCTGTGTTTGTTTTGGACTTTTGCACGTGCAGCGTTTCTGAACTTTAACATGTCTGAATGAGACTGTTCAGACCTGAGGCTACGCTGTCCTGAAGTACAGTTTAAAACTGGATCTGGAAAAACTGGTGACTCCTCTGCAGGCCTTCTGAGCGCTCAAGACCTCTGATGATTCATTAAAGCATTAACCACACTAACATATAATTATAAATGATTCATGGACAAAATAAGACTCAAAATGTCGCAATTATCCCTTAAGCTGCAGAAATCTGAAGTTCACTTCCTGTCTGTGCTGATAACTGGTGTAAAGAGTGAGTGTAATTAACCACTGTAATCAGATAACCTTCGTGTGTCATAATAATTAGGGTTTTATTCTTAATCAGATAATAATCAAATTAGAAGCATGAATGGAGAAGCTCTGAAGAAGACTGTGGAGTTTAATGAGGCAAAGATCACCCAGCGCTCCTCTCCTCATTTCATAAATAACAGCTGAGCACAAGTGAACTTGTAATCCTGCACGTTCCCTCTCTCTACACCAGTACACACTTCCCATTGTGCAGAACAGCAGAAATGTGAAACATATGCAGAAATACTGTCGATGTCATGCTCAGTGCCCTCAGTACAAAATCCTGATGTTACAGAGAACTGATCTAACGCACAAAAGAAGACAAAGAGGAGGAATAAATAAAGAAAAGATGGTTTAAGTAAACTGTTGTCTCCCTGGTCCTCAGAAAAAAACTTAACATGTGGCACAAGCACAACGACAAAAACGAGAACAACAAAAACAACCAAAAGATGGACGAACTGCACAACAGAACCAGAACTCTGAGGAGGGTGAGAGGCTCCATAAAATCAATCTTTTTATACAGAAATTGAAAAAATATTTTTTCACATTGAGAGGGAAAATAAAATATTTACTGTACAAGAGATGACACCAAACTCACGCTAGAATTTGAGAGGGATCCTCGAGTCCCGATGCCACGAAAAATCACCCACAATCCCTTTGTCAATGCAGTTTGAAACACTCTGATAAAAAGTTATCGATCACCAATTCTGATGGTAAGAAAAGCTGTAGAAAAATAAAGTACCAGGAATCTCAAGATTAAAAGACCAAATGCCCTTGAAAATTTCTTTAAAATCTCCAGACAAATTGGAGAGGAATAAATCCACAATGCTGTACTTTATTTTCTGTTTCTCCTTTATAAAAGATTTCTCTGTTTTCAGTCCAGCGGTTGATCTTTTGGCAGTAACTGGAACAAGAGGGGATTGTGGGGAATACTGGTAGGGTCCATCTCCTCCTCCTGAGGGGTAAAGTTCAGAGTTCAACGTTGAGGCTGGTTCCCCCTGATGTGGTCTGGTGGGGTCAGGTAGAGGCGGTGCAGTCAGGCGTGATGGCCGGGAGGGGAAGAGGTGCTGCTGGGAAATGGAGTGATGGAGATACAAGAAGTAGGGAGAGATGAAGTGGAGAGGTCTGAGGAGAGGAGGGATAGAAGAGAGAAAAAGAGAGAAAAAGGACATTTTTAATCATGTGAATAGAAAAAAAGGACAGCTTCAGGTCTGAACAAATACGATAAAAAATAATGGAGGTCAGATCCATCATTTCTGATGCATTCAGTGGAGTCAGGAAATCTAAAATCTGATTGTCTTCAGTGACTCAGCATCGTTCAGTTGAGCTTCTCACTGTAAATGTTTGATCTGGAACTGATTGTTAGTCGACCTTCATGCAGGTATGTGTTTAAACAGAGACAGAAATCTTCCTTAGATCACCAACCACAGGAGCTGGAAGTCATTTTTGAGGACTGTCTTCCTCCTGCTTTTGCTCTCCATACAGGCTGTTTTTCCTGGTAACACTAAAGCCTGCTGACACCTGATTTGGTCAATACTTCTCAGACTACAAACAGAAACTAAACCACTTCTAAGAGTAACACCTCAACCCTTATAAATAGATTCTTTGTTTTTATGTCGAAACTGTAAACAGAGATTTCTGCAGTTTTTCTCCTTGACTTCAGCCTGAAGAGGACAAACAAAATCTAATAAATATGACGGAGATAAAAATAGATCCCTCTCTGCTTCTTCAAAGCCTTTCAGTAAATCTGAATGAGCCTGCTTCTGTTTATAGAGTCAACGCAGTAAAACATGTTCAAGGCCCAGAGTCTCAGTTTTCAGACTTCAGCTGTTTGAAAAAGGACTTTAAACTCTGACAAACAGTAAAGATGGAGTGGTTATAGCGTCTCAGCTTCACTCTGATGTAAACACACTGAAGATGATTGAACATGCCAGTTTAACAGTGAGGTGTATGGGACTGTTGAAGCCCTCAGTTCTGCCTCACAGGCTCAGTAAACCTGAGGTCACTTCATTATACGCTCCTCTGAGAGTAAAAAGGAATAATGTTGTGGACACAGCTGGATGTAGAGTGTAATTCAATCTCCAAATGTAAATTTATTCCTTCAACTTTTATCATTATCTAGAAGTTTCCAAACAAAGCCAGGTTTCCTGCTGATTAAATGTTGGAGGACGGACTTTCAGTGAGTGTACATGCCTCATTAAACCCCCTCTGTGCTAATTGTGTTTCGGTACAAAGCAGTTTTAATGAATACCAGAAGTCTGAGCTGAATTTAACCCTGACTTATGAACCTCTAACACTAACAAGTAACATCAGTGAGTCTGCAAACATGCTAAAGAAAACTATTTTAACTTAAAGTCCGATTTCAGGGACAGTTTGAACTTTGGGTGAACTTGTGTTTGAGATGTTAGTTCTTAATTAAATGATTAAATCAAATCAAAGCTGAGTTTAGTGATACAGAAACAACTGTCCCATCACTGTTGTTTCACTTTTGTTCATCAGCAGGTCAGACTCTAATAACAGACTTGGGCTGTTCTTGGCTCGATGCATAGACTTGAAAATATGAGTCAGCACCCCTCCTGGGTTCCAATGTAAACACGTGACAAAGATAAAAATCTTAAATTCACAAAAGGATATGATCATTTTTATGGGTAAAAGCAGTGATACGGATTACGTTCATGCTCCAGAGAAGACATTCCCTCATCTTAGTTTAAATTGTGAGGTTTTTATTTTATTTTGCTGTTTTACAGCCTCACACCTAAGTTACTCAGGTTCCCATTTTGATCACAAATGTGCTTTTATTTTGAAAGGACACCCAGGGTACTTCCTCTTGATTTTAAAATGACTGGGTTAAAAATTGACAGAAAGAAGCTCTGTGCTGTTGAAAAACGAAGCTAGTGCAGGCGCGCAAAAGGCTGCAGTTCCCCTCATGCCCACTAGAGACTGTCTCCCAAAGTGAGTCAGTCCCCATAGAGCCCCATGTTAAAATGTCCAACTTTACAGCAGGATTAAACCAGTTTACAGCCTAGTACAAAACCACCTTTGGTCCCTATAGTTTACTCTGTCTCTAGCAAAAACAGTCAGAGGGTCCAAACTTTCAGAACTCATCTGTTTTGATTGCACAGAGGCTGGGAATTATGCACAATTTGGCATAATTATCAGTTTGACTGAGAGGTGAAGGCTTTGTATTTGCTTATTGGAGTCAGAGTGACCCGATACTTTTTATTACTAAAGGGCATTTTTAAGTTGTTGTGTTGATTAGCTTCAGCTGCTTTTTTTAAGTCCTGAAATGTCTTTTACAGGAGGACTTGTTTGTATTTTTGTAGCTGTTCTTTCCTGTAGTTTAATGCTCTGATTCAGAAAACTGTTATTTTGCACATGCAAGCAAAACTCTTGACCATCAGGCTAAAAGTATTCTGGTCATCTCAGAGTCCACAGTTCATTTGATTACAGACCGCTCCTCTCTTACTTTAGCAGCTTCGTGTCACCTGAATTCATGACATCCGTGCCTGTTAGACATCGCTAAGGGCTTTAACGCCCAGTCAAACATGCAAGCTGGGAGGTGGGGCCGCTGTGTTTACATACCACCCTGTCAGACGACTAAACAGCCCCAGACTCCAGCCCGGACCCTCCAACATCACATAAACACGGGCACAATGAGAACCACATGGGCCGATCTAATGAAGGGAGCTGGAGCAGCAGAGCAGAGGGGTTCACACATACACACACACACACACAAACACACACACACACACACTTATCTGTATCTATAAGTGTGTGTGTGATGCTGCAGAGATTATCAGCATCTTCACATCACCCTCTGTAGCTCCTCTTGCTCTCGTTATTAAAGGTTCATTCTGACAAAAATCCTCAAACTGATGTCTCACCATCAGGTTTTTCTCTGAATCTAAACAGTCCGAGAGAAATGGACAAAGAAACGTGTTTACAGCCACAACCTGAATGACTTCAGCCTCTGAGTTATGAGTGAACATCTGACTTTCATCAGAACCTTTGGTGAGGTCAAACAGATCCCTCAGAGTCAGTGAAATGACTCGTTTTCCTCCGAATATCACTTTGAGTTTGTTTGTTATGAGGTGAATTTATTCTCTCCGCAGACTCAGATGTTTGGAGAGCAGTAAACACGTCTTTCTTTCTTCCTTTCTTGGTTTTATTTCTGTGAGTTTGACTTTCCTGCAGCTCTCTGACAAAAACATGATACAAGTGGTTGAACCTTTTCATCAGGTGGAGCACTTCAGATGTGATTCAAGAGTTTAAAGTGAGTTGATGAACCTCTTGAAGAAGTCTGTGAGTCAGACTTTGGCACAGTTAGACTCTTTTAAAGTGGGGTCTAGCTGCAGAACAAAACAGCGTCTCTGTCTGCTGGAGCTGTAAACTCTTATTTAAATGCGCAGTTGTGCATTTATCAGGGGAAAACTCTCAGTGCAAATGTGACTGCATCATTTTAAGAACTAGGTGAACCACTAACAGCAGAGCTCACAGCCAGTTAGAGTCGAACCTTGACTCTTTTCTATGGCTATTACTACTACAGCGGAGAGCCGGAGGGAGCTGCACTGCAGTATTTATGAGGGACACCACGCTCAAACCCACAGGGATCAGGACAACATTTCCAACACCCAGATGACCCAAAAAATAAATGTACATACAGCCTGTTCATTTGACCCTAAACTTATATATTATTCATGAACAGGAGTCGAACCAGTCTGACTGTGGCTATCGAAACGTTCTTGTATGTTGACAGGTCACACCCTTACATTCGTCTCTTGCACTGATAAAACAGTTTTCTTGGCAAAAATACATAAATCAGGTAAACTCTGTAAATTAGGCATGAGGATTATAAAATCATTTTACAAACTCCTGATCACATCTCTCTCCCAGCTCACCTGCTGTCTGAGTAAATCAAGCACCTGTTTTTAATGTAAATCAGATCATTTCCTGGTAAAATCAACCCCCGAAACTCTTACTGAAAGCCTCCTCAGATACCCATAAAATTAGTATAACAGAGACACAGTTCATTAGGCTCTTAACAAATGACATCGGGTTATGGGGGATATCTCCTCCCCTCTCTCTGAGAGTCTGTGCACAAAGCCCTCGCTGTTTAAAATGTAAATTAAAAAAACATTTTTAATGTAAATGAGAACATTTTCTGACAGCTTTACCCGCAGCTGTATCAAACAACCTGTTCAGTGAAGAGTGATAATTCATTTCCTTACACTGGTTATAATTTACGGGTTTTATATAAAAAAAAAGGCAATCCTGATGACTTTTATGAAGCCAAGACATTGTACCTGGGTCCTTTATTTGAGGTAAACTTCATGGAGAAATGACAGCCGCAGCTGTGTGATGTGAGATGCATGTCTTTAACTGAATGAGCTGCTTTTATGCTGCGTCCCAGTTGTCGGAAGTCAGAATTTCCGTGCTCCGAGTCAGAAATTCATCTGGAACGCCCCCCTGAAGTGAGATTTCCGACTCAGAAAATCGGACAAACCTCACCAACCCCGACTGGAAAGACAACGTCATAATCCAAGATGGCAGCGCAGTGCATCAACAGTGAAAAGTAACAGCGAAAGCTCTCATAATGTATTATTTATTAGCACTTCTGTTTTGTTTTGGTGAAATTAAATAAGTGGTTTATGTTGTACTGCCCAACATCTAACTGTGAACACGGTGCTATGGTGTTTGTAAGAGTAAAACACTGTGTTATTCGTTGTTTACAAGTGGTATAGCTAACAACAACTAACAACCGCTGACAACAGCCAACAACAGCCGCCAACCGCTAACAACAACTAACAATTGTAAACAACAGCTAACAACGGCTAATGGTAGGCGTCCATTTGGTTTTACAACTTGTTTACTGGAACGCCGTCTACTTGGGTGTAACATCATTTCCAGTTCCAACATCCGACTTCCGAGGTAACTGGAACGCAGCTTTATTCACTCCAGAACACATGAAGAAACTTGACATTACATCAGAAAAACGTCCTTTTCCAAAAAGCACATCACCTGCATGTTGACAGATCTGAGCTCAGTGCAGCAGAGAGAGAAGAAGTTGACAGCTTCTAGACCAAACAGACCAACACAAGAGCAAACTGCACAGAGCTTCATTTATCTAAGTACGTCTTTATCTTGGTAATAATTAATGCAGTATTCTTTATGAATGAGACTTGGAGGCAGAGCTGAAGGAGCAAATGATGAGCAGAGGAGCTTTTAATGACTGCAACCCAATCAATGTGAGTGACCCACTGAGGGTGGTGATAATGCAACAGTGTGGATACACACTGGAGCAGAAATCGCAAAGAACAATCGATTTAATGAAGTTAAAATCTTGATTTGTGCCCAAAAAGAGTTGCTGAGCCAGGAGGATTTGTTTTTCTTCTTGTCATTCTGTACACACACTCTGAGAACTTTCTTCTTTAACATCATTTACTTGCACTGTGATAGAAGAAAGATGTATAATGCTAATAAATTCTGAACTTTTACAACAGAACGTATTTCTGCTGCTTCATCCAGCTCTGAAAACGTTGTGTGTACACTGATACACAGGCTGTAACAGGAGCAGAGGGTGTCTGGGGAAAAAGATGTTGACAGAGATTCAGGGGTCAGCAGCTCAGAGAGAAGACGTGAATGTGTTTCTTGTTAATGCATCTCAAACAAACCACCACATCCAGCAGATAAAAGCACACCTGTGTGAACCTGTCAGCTCTGCTATTTGATGCACTGAGCAGAAAGCCTCCCCCTGCAGACTGAACCCTGTCAGCACAAACTTTAACTCCTGCAGTGTTGGTGCGATAAATACATAAATACATCCCGTGTGTGCGTAGAAGGCGTGGAGGATCTGCAGAATAGGATTAGTCAATCTGGCCCTGCAGAGTTTTGTTGCTTTCTCTGAGTAAAGAGCTGAATGCTGCTGCAGATAAACTCTGGATTTTACTGGAAACAGTCAAACCAGAGGGCAGACGCACCGCTTCAGCAGGTCAAAGACGTCCCAGAGAGACTGATTTACAGCACAGACTGCAGGCTGTAAATCAGGCTGACTCTCTGTTGGGCTGGTTTCATTTAGACTTATCAGAGGTCATTGACCTGCTGAGCTCTGTGTTTGATGACAGGAGGAGAAAAGGACGAGGACGGGATTTAAAACAGAGCAGGAGATGAATTATACTCACAGATACAGACACAGAGAGCAGGGGGTCACGATGAGAGAGGACTGAGCTGTTTAAAATGATAAACACTCATAGATGCGCTCTGACGTCTGTTTTCAGTGTGTGGAGTCATGCACGCTTGATTCTTATTGAACTTGCAATAAAATAAGTCAAAGGACGACATTAGCTGCTTGGTAGTTGTGAAGCTACAATATCTTTAAACATCAGAAAATAAAGATGTATCTACCTGGAAACACCTGAACACTGAATCTGCTCACACTGATGAAATCACTGTTCTTGCCGTGGTTTCCCTGACAATGCAATCTCCTCTCAGCCTCAACTCTTGGCCTTTTCATAACACGCTCATACTCTCCTCTCTTTATCTGCATGAACACAGTGATTTATGATTTATGCTTGTATGCAGAGATGGAGGTCGACTCTCACCTTCGAAGAGGGTCGTCTCACTCGGGGGTGATCTCCGTTTCCTGGTGCACCACCACTTTGGTCACAGACATGTCGGGGTGCTGCTCCTTGGCCTCTTTAATCGCTCGAGCCAAAGCCTGGAGACAACAGCAGCGCGGGCCCATTTAGAGGAGCGTGATTAATGAGTTTAATTAAATGACTCTCATACTGAGCAGATTCACTTGATGAGAGAAAACAATGAGGCTCCAAGGAGCAAATTATTCAGATAACTCCATCTGCACCAATCAGGTGCATCCGTGACCAACGCACATATACACATAAAAACTGCTCTGCGATCACTTGATCGGGTTTCAGGGTTCCTCACCTTGTCGTGATCGATCTCAGTGTCTCCAGTGATGACGATTCTCTTCTCGATGCGAGTCTCAGAGATTCCTCCTTTCACCGTCTGAAACAAACACAACACAAACATAAGCAGCTGAAATCATCCGGCACCAGCTCTCTGACAGAAGACCAGGTCAACTTTATCAGGGAGACACTTCCTCACAGGGGAGCTACAACAGGTCCAAGTAGGGTGTGTGCACGACATGTTTGAGTTGCTCAAGAAAAGTCATGCTTTATTTATGAGTTTCAAATCACACATGCAATATAATGAAACTGGCTGCACTGTAACCTTGTATAACAGAGAGAAACGTTGTTTTAAGTGGAATCAGATTTGATTAATTAAATGAGAGGTGTTCCACAAGGCTCCATCTTAGGACCACTTCTCTTCTCAGTTTTATCTTCCTCTAACTTTTCCTGATTGCAACACCTAATTATGCACAGATGACACCATAATAAACACATCTGAACCCTCCAATCCACAAATAATGAGGCCCTACAACCTGGTTATTATTATTCAATTATAACTATAAAACTGTCTTCAGAGTGCAACAGAAGCTCAACTCCAAATCCTGATCCTTAGTTTGAAACTCGGATAATGGTAGATATCTGAAAGTCTGTAAATGAGTCTGGGTTTGTGGTTTGACCCAGAACTACATTTAAAACACACTGATCCTTTTGTCCTGGTTCATTGTTTTACTTTCAGTAGACTGAAACTGGTGACACAGCTTATACGACCAATCACTGTCTTATCTTACAGGCTGCAGAGCGCAGACACTACAGAGAAGCGTTCAGACAGACGAGCAGAGCTGCTGATAGTGAAACCATGATGGACAATGCAGAGAAACCATCACCCAGAGAAATTTCAATCCCAGCTAACACCGAGGACAGAGTCAGCGCTGACTGATGACTAAGGCTGCCGCAGACAGATAAACTAGCTGACTAAGGTTCAAGTAAGGACTTTGGTTGGTCCTTTCGGCTCTGTTCGCCGCCTCGGATGTAATGCCGTGAAAATCGGAGGAACAGAGAGGCATTATTATTTATTATCTTGTTCCTCACATGAAAGTGGACAACAGAATTTGCACATGCATGATTTGGAAAATGTGGATTCTCAGTTTCGCAAAAGCTACAATTTCAGGTTTCAGGTTTCTCTTCATGTCCGGAGACACAGATGGATATTTCATCTGGAGTCTGTGATTTTAATCTATTTTAAACACTGAACATCTCAAAACCCAGAGGTCAAGTTTTTTATGAGATAAAGTGTTCCCGTCTCCTTCTTGAGGGTTTTTAAAGAGTCTGTGAGTTCAACATCACCTCTTTCTCGCAGTGATTGACAGCAGAGATAAATCACAGCGTGGGAGTAATTTACTGTATTGATCTGTATCGACTTGTGGTGCTGTGGTGCAGTAAACAGACCTTGGTGATCTGGGTGGTGGTGGTGGTGCTGACGGTCTCTGAGGTGATGGTCTGGGCACTCAGCAGCACTCCTGAGTCCCTCTCTGCCAGGGTGTCCACCGGCTGTGGGAGAGAAACCTTTTAAGTGTTAGACAAGAACCTCTGACTGATTGATACCTGCAGAATCAAACAGTTCAAGAATATTTTTGTACATTTCTGTGTATTTGAAGACCCAGTTCAAAAACATCTGAAACAAAGCCTGTTTGTCTTTAAGTGTCTGAGTCTCTAGAGGGCGTGGCCTCAATCAGACACCTGCTAGAATCACAAACCTGTAACTAATCTCTTCATCTGCATCAGTACAAAAACCCCGGGCCCTGTGATGTGGAAAACAGATGGAATCACAGAGTTGAGAGTAAAAATATGACCATCAATCTGCAACGGTTGATGGTCAAGATGTCAAGTCAGCAAACAATCCTGTCTGTGTTTCATGCCAGACGGGAGTATCTAGCAGGATAAACTAGATAACTCATGCAGACACAGTTCCCAGAATTCCCCTCACCTGTGCTGACTCATATGTGATGGTCTTGGTCTCGGTGTGGACTAAGGGGACCTCCTTGTAGATGACGCTCTCTCTCAGCGAGTTGGTGACGTCAGAGATGGTGATTGTCTGGGTCTTCAGCACAGGAGACTGCAGGGATCAGACAAACAGTCAGACACAGACCCTCAAACATCAGTCAGCAACTTGAACTTTATCATACCTGTCCAACCACAAACCAAAGTAAAACCCAGGGCTGCACATGAACCAGAACTTTCTCCATCAAACAGTCTATTTCTATTCAGTATAATATCCACCTGCACAGCGATCCTCTGTTGGATTAACTCTACTGCTGTTTCCAGATACTTGAGGCCGACCTTTGGTCAGATCTGCAGTTCTGTTCATGATTTCAGGGCGTGAGGGGATTTGCAATTTTAAGCAAGAATGAATCTCTTTATGAACTTCAGTTAACAGCTCATTAACAGTTTAACACTCCTCTATGATGGGAAACATCAAATGTCCACACAGTCAGTCAGAGTCAAATGTGCACCTGCTGAGTGGACCAACAATCATCACCAGAGCGCTGTGTCCTGACACGACAGATCATTTCACTGTGGAGAAAACGTCATACTGAGTTAATTACTTTAGTCCTCATGAGGACACAGCAGAATAATGAAGGTTTAGTCAATAGATTCCTGCTGTAGGTGTTTTTACTGAGCCCACCAGCGCACTTTCATTCTTGTTAATTTTACATGAAGCAATCAGAAGGACGAGGTTTGCGGTGCAGCTTCAGATGCATGAAGTGAACAGCTTGTTTTGGTCTGACAAACTGACAGAGACTGTAGCAGATGATTCAACAATCCCCACAGATGCAGAAATACTGCACTTCCAAATACACATACAAGAGATCAAACAACCAAGAGCCCAAAGAGCTGCAAATACACACACAAAAACACACTTAAACAACAACTGCAGCAGGTGAACACTGTGAAAGTGCTCCAGGCTTGTTGGGGTGCTAAGAAAGAGTGCTTATGGTAAAGTGAGGAAGTCCAGACTCTGAATCTGTCAATAATTAAACGGCTTAATGATAAACACCATTTGAGTGAAGAGCCTCTGAGGACCACGATCTGGTGTGGATTAAACAAACAGCTTTATAAACACGTCACCTGAAGTGTTAAACTGTGCCACTTCTACCTCTAAATTACAGGTTAAATGTGTGGTCTTCTCCTCTGTCCTGTCAATAATGAAACTATGTCACTGAGCACCCCCTACAGGCCTGGAGCCCTGCTGCTATGAAGACTGGATTTGCAGCATTTACCTGAAGCGACTCTTTTCTAGTTTTGTGTGTTTGTAACTTTGCATTGTGAGTCTGTTTGCAGCATGTTTTCTGTTAGCAGAGTATTTTGGGCTTTTGCATTTAGTTTTTCTTCTTTGTAGGTTTTTCCTTTTGGTGTATTTGTTTGGGACTTTTGCATGTTTTTAAAGTTGCATCATTTCAGCATTTGCAGCAGAGATTGTTTATGCTGCTGCAGATTGTCTGCCCCTCTCTTCCATCTGAACTCGCTGATATAAACAGGCATCAAATGACTGTGTTCATAGGTTAGTTTCATTATAAGAACATTGGGATGTTAGGGGGAAAGGATTTAAGTAACTATGAATGATAAAGAAAAGGTTCTCCTCAGAAGAACTGGTTTAATAAGACATGTCTGTACTTGCAGAGGGAGAGTCTCTCTGGTTATGGTCCAGAACCATACTGAATATATGTACTGAATGGCCCAGGGACATCCATAGTCTATATTTCGTAGTTTATCATATCTGGACAGAAACATCTCCAGATTTTGGGTAATTTGTGTAATATTCCTTTAGTTGAAGGCTGTTTTAATACCCCCATGGGTTTACAGGCGCAGGTGCATGAATCTGGATGGCAGCAGGTCTCTGCATCTCAGTCAGCTTCAGAGTAAAACTGGCCCAGCCGGATCTTTTGGACTGATCCCTCAATGCTTTAACAGTCTTCAACATCTCATGGTGATCAGAAAGACCTTTTACTCCTTCACACTTCCTCTGGATGTTAGATCTTCATCTGTTTTGACAGAAAAGACTGTTTCCAAAACCATCTACAAACAAGTTAGAGTTTCTCTGAGTTCATATCCGTCTGCAAGTGTTGTAAAGGAACTTCGCATCTTCAGCCACCCTCTTAACAAATCAGGCACAGCTGACCTAGCAAAGCACCAACAACACACACACAGAGATTTAGGAGACTTCTTTAAAAGGTGCAGTCTGCTAAAACATTGGCTGCCTTCCCGGCTTCTCTCATCTACTTACAGTTGAAGGAGATAATCCCCGCTCAGAGATACAACCTCAGAGCTGCTGCAGAACCGGGTCGAACAAGACTTCAAGTGTTAGAACAAATCCTTTCAGAGGTGAACCTGATCGCTATCAAAGACCGTGATAACAGGTCCCAGCATCAAGCAATTACTACACTGTCTATTAGGGGTCAATACCTGCAGTTTACACCTGCATATATGTATATAATACAAGACTTTCCAGACCCAGATCTAAGATCCTCCTCATCAAGGTGTTTCCTAAAGCAACTGAAATAACACACTGTCAGACAGCCTTGGCGTGTTTGGGATTTAAAGTGTCTGCAAAAGCTACATTGTAGGATATTCAATATAATGTTGATTAAAACAGGCATTTCTGGCAGCATTATTCATACCTCAAACCTCCTGCAACATCCTGACTCACCGGAGTTAAAAAAACCAGACTGCTGCAGCTCAGACAACAGAAGAGAACAACAGCAGCTGACAACGGCCTGCAACAGTCAGCCAAAAGAAAACCAACACAGCCACACGTCTCTGACAGTTTCCTCTGAGGTATGCTGGTTAAAGTTTGGCCCAGATCTGAACCTCTGTTATCCAACAATAACAAGCTGATCCACTCTCTCCTGTCTGAGCATCCAGTGTAAATGTTTTCTAAGGCTTAGTGGATGAACAAGGTGTTCAAACGAGTCCTGCACAGACCTTTTATAGGTTTCACGAGGGGAGTGTTTCTGACATTCTTGCAGTCCACAATCACCTTGAACATGAAATTCAGTAAAGGTAAAGATGTGCTGCAGGAAGATGTCAGGGTATCTGTCTTTATACACTGAGGCTCAGTAAAGGGCGTGTCAGAGCAGAACAACAACAAACAAACTCCTCCACTCATTCTTCGTCGAGCTCAGTTGGTTTTAGATTCAGCCACAGTTGCTGCACAAAGACAATTTTATTTTCTCTAATGGTGCAAAATCCAAGGATGGAAAAATACCTTCTTTTAGATCAACTGCAGAGGTGCAGTAATGCATTTGTAACTAGAAAAGCAATCGGAGAGCGCAGACCTCCGCCAAGCAGCTCATGTCCCCCCTTATATTGTGATTCACACCAAAACTTTTACTGTTACGTGTCTTTTATTAACTTTTATTTGTGTTTAAACTGGTATGTTCACTGTTCATTATGTTCCTAAAACAAGAAATGCCCTAACCAGGATTCAAACCCAGGACCTTCTTGCTGTGAGGCGACAGTGCTAACCACTACACCACTGTGCCGCCCATCTACACCACTGTGCCGCCCATTGGTTATCTTCCAGCATTGAAAATTCCAACGACACCCTTATTTTTGTGTGTTCTGGATCACAGTATCCAGAATTTTGTCTGGATCAGGATCAACCTTTGACACCTCATAAAACTCATTGAGATCCTTTTGTGTAATTTTTTACTAAAGACTCTGGCCATTTTTAAAGAGTTAAATGCAAAAATTCCAAAATTTACCCTATCTCACAATGATAAAGAATCCTTAAAAAAATTCCTGGATCCAGAAAGCGATCCGGATCGCCACCAAAATTGAATGGGATCGTCCTGGGGCTGAGACGCACCTCTGGTGAAAATTTCAGGTCAATCTGTCTTTTACTTTCTCCGTAAAGTTGTTCACAGACAAACCAACAAACAAACCAATGCTACCGAAAACATAACCTCCTTGGCGGAGGTAATGAAACCAGGTGAGGATTCAAAATCATAGTCCACCAACTGATACTGGTGAGATCTGCTCTTATAAAACCTTTCAGATGAACCAGTTTCACAGGGGAGAAAATAAAGAAATGTGCACACCACATGGACTCAAACTTCATCATCAAAGTCATGCAAAGCAAGAAGGAACTTCCACCATCAACCTTCAGCCTGTTAAGAACATGCACACTCCAAAAGGACGTCAGATTTGATGCATTTAATATTGTTATCTTAACTGTATCACACCTTTCTGCGGCTTTGAATTAATACTCTAAAAGTCTCATCATACCCAGATATAAATCCAGCAGCTGGATACGACAGAGTCCATCAATCAGCATGAAAGACAACAGAAATGTTGCCGTAGTATCACAGTGAGAAGTTTGGGTGTACAGATTCAGAGTTACACAACAATCATCAGCAGCACATAGAGATTGAGCATGCACAGTCTTTGCTTACATATGCAGTTCAACAGCAGTGTTTGAAAAGGGTTAGAGACACATCAGAGTGTTTCAGGTCAGTCAAGGAGTAAACATTATACTCTCCCAGAGTTCATTAATACCCAGCTGTACTTAAATTAGTGGTCAGTATTTCCTGTCATCAGTGTGAAGGCTCTGAGTAAACTCCAAGTGTCCATGATCGAAGGTGATTTAAGGAGGATGGAGATGAAATCAGTGCCGACACAGTCCACTGAGACGTCTCTGTGCATCATCACAGGCCAAACTGAGAGTCTCCACATCCTGCACCTCCAGCATTAACAATCAAACCTCCACAGATCTTCACCAAGGGTTTGTACTCGAAGTTTCAAGTACAAGAGTGGAAGAATCACAGACAAACACAAACTCCTCTGTTCCCCTGTGTGTAAATCTAAAAAGAACCAAGTCCAAGTTCAGTGAAAAGTTCTCCTTTTTTGCTGCTTCAACAAGATAGATATCCTGGGTTTATACTTTTAGTCTACAGCTTGGATAATTTTCCTTTTTAACAGGCTTTGAGTGTTTACAGAAAAACATCATATAGTTTCAGACCACATCTTTATACAGACTGTTTTTCCAAAGCTTGCTGACTCCTGATTGGTCAATGGCTAGAACCCGCTCCCTACTAAATCCATTTCAACACTGGAGAGCACCTGCTGTCATCTGTGGACTATCAGCCTTTTTAAGTCCCATTTTGATATCTGGACAACACCAGCTTCATTTCTAAAGTCTTACTTGGTTTCAGTGTTAGTTATCTAGATGTCTCTTAGTAACACTACAAACCCCAAACCACTGGCGTTAACCCCCTGAGGCTTCCCTGAATGAAATCCAAAAGGCCAGTGTTCATTTCTGTTTGAGCATTAAGTGGATCTTCCTGCAGACTTCTCTCTTCAGGAACTGTGCTCACTCAAGGTTAATGAAAATTGTCCGTCTGGAGACAGCTAATATCAGAGATGATTCCCTCTAAGACTCTTTGTTCCTCTAAGGTCAGCTTACATCTGCATACCAAAGATCTCAGGCTGCCTCTGTTGGGATCTCTCTCCTCTATTACAGGATTTGGGATAATTCCATTCAAAAGAACTGAAGCGCTCGATGCTTCGCTGTCTTCGCTGCTGCAGGGACTCCGTGATGAGTCACAAAGCTTTGGGCTGCATTTTAAAGAGCTCAGCCTGCATTTAAGAGGAAAGTTGCATAATGTAGCTACACAGAAAACAAATACCTTCAACTGTCATTCAACAAAGCAGCAGTGAAGTCCTGTAAACAAGTACACCGTGCCTTAAGGAGTACAGCAGCTTTCATTTAAGGCGTCTGAACATGGTGTCTGGACCTCAGAGTTATTTCTTATTCAGCTTATTTCTAACCCTCTGAACATTCACCTGAAAATAGATTTAACGTCCAGCTGAAGCAAATATCTCCAGTTCAGACAGTTACAGCTGAGTTAATGGGGCTGATGTGATGCTCATTTATGGGTTTAGACTCACTGAACCTGCTGTCCTGTCTTTCTAACCTCCACAGACTGACAGATCTCAGACACTGTTAAACTCTAACTACGGTCTTTATCCTCTTCAGAGCTACAGACATTGACAGCTTTATCTCATCCTCATGCTGTTGTCCAGGAATGTCTTATTAGCCCAGTTATCGGCCGGTGCTTTGACTGTAAATAAAGTCAAAAATCTTCATTAATGCTGGCTGAAAACTCATAAAGTTGCTGCGATGCTTCCTGAGTAGGTTCTTGTCTCCTCTGATAGATTAACGGTGTGAACTCGACCTGATTGTCTGCTGATACTTGGTCCAACATTAACACCGGGCTAATGCATGTCAGTTTACACAGCAAATGGGGATCCTGAACTAGCTTTGGTCTGCTGACTGACTATACAGACATGTGCTGAAGCTCAATAACAGATATGTCCCAATAAGTTAGATTGAACATGCAATTTACTGCATTCTTGTAGTACAAGTACTGTCAGCAGTGCAAAGAATTAGCCAAGAAAATACTAAAGATGTGGTGCAGAAACTAAATCCAAGAGAAACAGACTTTTTTTTCTGCAGAATACAAACTTTACCGTTCGCACTTTGGCTGATTAGTGCTTGAGAGATGCTTTAACCTTTGACTCTATCATAAAGAAAAATGAATTCCCAGGTGAAAGCAGTCTTTTCAGATCGCTCTGATTCTGCTGCTACAGTCCGACTTGGTCTGATATGACTGTGTGTTAGCTAACATTAGCAAACTGTACTGGTACTCCACTGTTATCATGTCCTCTAAATAACTCAAAATCTGATGAAAATATGGACTTTAAACAGGAACATGAACCTTGAGTCCAGTTTGTTTTGTCAAGCATAACTCAGAGAGTGCAGTCATGTAACAGAAACCGGCTGATCAAAGGTAAACACTGTTTCTTAGCTGATCAGTGACTGACAGGACGATGGAGTGAGAGATTTCAGAGAGATGCTGGGCTGTATTTTTGTAAATAAAAGATTTATACTTGACAATAGCAGAGTTGGGATTCAACCGTCTCCAGGCCAATATCAGATTCATATTTGTGGGATATGAAGGAGGAACAACCTTCTACAGCTGATCCTTTAATACGTTTCCCCAAACCAACAGCAGAAAGAAGTACAACCTCAAATGTAGAATCCTTGTATGAACTGCAGATCCAACAAATCATTCTGTATTTGCAAGCTTTTATAAAACCTCTAATAAAACCTCAAGACCTGGACTTGAGTTTCAGTAGAATCCAGAATGAAGACTCTCCCTTTATCGGTAAGCAGTCATTAGCTGGTTAGTGTTCATGATCAATGTAGGCTTTTTCATCATTCAGCTCATTCTCTCACACACACCTGCCTCCTCCTGCTCCTCTCCCTGCTCTCCTCTCTCCTCTTACTCCTTCCTTAGTCTTGGCTCAGTTTTCCTTATAAAATCAAAATCAGGTCTCTAAAAGGTCATCTTGGGAAGGGGATTGGACTCTGAACCAGTCTGGTGTTCAAGCATGCCCCTCTTTTTTCTGCACACTTCATCATCTTTCAATCACTGATCAATCCTACAGTAGAATACTGTGGTGATTTGTTAGCTTCGTTGTGTTTTCAGCATTTGCAAACCTGGGACATAAGAAATAGTTCATGATGACAGCACTGAAGATTCCCACCCTGAGCATGATTATGAATATGGTGGATTATCACTGTTGAAGCCTGGGAGACGCAGTCAGAGTTACCAAGCTGAGGCAGAGCTTAGCGAGGAGCTGGTTTTTGGCTGCTGTTCAAAGAGTTTCAAAGGCTCACTTAAAATCTTGTTCAGAGTTCGCTCCTTTAGGCTGGATTGCAGCCCAGCGACTGGAGGAATCACAGCTCCAAGAGGAAGGAGCAAAAAAGTGCTGGAAGACAAAGATATCTGTGGATAACTGTGGATAACCTTCCATGGTTAAACGTCCAGGTTAGTCCCCGTGTCTTTGTCCTCTAAATGAAGGCCAACCACAGCATGGTGAGAGCCATCAGGAGCAGCCCCGACAGGAAGAAAGACATCCTGGACGCCTTGATCCGAGCCGGGTTCAGCTCACACGGGTTAACCAAACTCACCCCCTCTTCTGGAACATTTATAGCCACCTTAAAAGTGTGGCCGTGAGCCTCGTCTTCCTCCTCCTCCTCCTCCTCACCCTCATCAACCCATTCCACATCACTGTCCTCCTCCTCTTCCTCCTCCTCCTCGTCTTCCTCCAGCAGGCAGTCCTGTCTGAAGAGCCGTGCTCCCCCGAGTGCTGGGGACAAACTACAAGCTCTTACCTTGCGTCCAAACAGAGCCTGCCTCCCTCGCTGTGCTCAGCAGCAGCGGACCAAGAGAGACAGATAACAATGAACACACAGGTGGGATCAATGACAGGAGAGGGAGGGGGGACACAGGGGTGAGGACATGGAGGACGGGGGAGATGCAGCGGGGTATTAAGCATGAGTGGGTTTGCTAGAAGATTCTGTGGTGTGCAGGTAACTGTCCAGATACTTCCTCTTTAAACCTCTGTGGGCTTTCTCAAGGTAATCCAGGTTCAGATTCTGGACTTAAATGAAACAGACTAGTCCAGTTTTTACACCCGTGAGGTTACAGCATTCACAGCAGCTGACTGTGAGCTCAAAGTTGCGACCCACCTATAGTTATGCTCTGCGCACCAGTTAGACTTCAGCCCTGTTTAAGTTATAGAGATGTTCTCATAAAATCACCAGAATTAGTTTCAAAGTTGACATTAAAGTCCCGCCGCTTCTTTGCTGTGATTGGTCAGTGATGGAGAAGCCATATTAACAGGTGCACAGAGATTAAAAACCAGCTGATAAGAGCTGAAACCCTGAATCTGCATTAGTTTGTACAGGAAAAGACACTGCACATGCTAAAAAAGACAGACAAACACCATCAGTGGACACAGGCCCACAGAAAGGTAGTGCTTGAATTAACTATTTACTTTAGAGGAAGTCTGCTATTCCTGCTAGCTAGCAGCTGATTGCAGCATGGTAGAGATATTACTTCAATCTACAAGCTGCTAACTAAGTTAAGTCTTATTTTCCTGCTAACTTATGAATGATCAGGCGGGTTTGAAAGTGACCCAGGGATTCAACTGGATCCAGAACAGTTCCAGTCCACTCCAGACCAGCAGGTGGATCAAATACACAAGCATACAGCGCCCACCAGATCTGATCCACCTACGCCATTGGAAGGGAAGTGCTTGCGAGATTACCGATATTTCTCGCAAGATCTCACATGTTTCCCTACGAAACGCTGAATGAGACTTTCCAATCCCTGTATATAAATGGCGGTGTATATAAACACCCACATCCCACAACCCTGGCTTCTCCTATTATCAAGTGAAGAACAGTTTAAAATATTGTCTTTATTTAGTTTTGAAAATTAACTGGATACTTTACTCTGTAGCCGCATACAACTTCCGCTGCTGCTGCTCGTGCTGCACTGCACTGAATTGATGCCATGCTGCGGCGTCCGGCAAAGTTAGATGCCTTGCGCATCTGACCCGGCCGCAGCAGAGCCAGACGGCAGACAGATTGTGTGGAATAACACACAATGATTCTCATGCTTGCGTATTTGATCCACCTGCTGTTCCATAGCAGAGCGCAGCCGTTCTGGATCCTGTGGGTTTTAGCCGTGACTGAGAAGATGGTCAGCTCTGTAGTAGTAGTGGCAACCCTGATGGAGGATGTGCTTTCTGCTGAACCAACAGTACACTCAGAAGCGTCTCCTCTAGCTCAGGTATATTTATGGTCAGTTGACTTAAAGCAGACAGACTGATGGTGGTAACAGCTGCCGGTGAAAGCTGCACTGCAGGTTGATGGTTTTTTACTGTTATTTAATCATGATAGGTTTAGGAACTGCAGAACTATTTACTGGTTTATTTTTGGCTACAAAGCAAAGGATATAAAATGTACATAAAATATTCATATAAAGGTTCTTATTGGAGTAAAACTTTTTCTGAGTTAATCTAAGTAAGTGTTTTGTAAAAGCATGGCAGGTTGGGACAGTGAGATGGTCGGAGAAAGTAAGAAAAGACTAAAGGGGGGCTCTGAGGTTTAATGAATCTTTGCTTCATTTCGGGGATGGGAAAGGCATTTTCTGGCAGCTAAAATGCTAGCTAGTGCAAACTATTTGGCAGTGCAAAGTCATCTAAGTGCCAACAGGAAGGAAGAAACAGCAGAAGACCTGGCAGAAGAAAACTATGTAATCTGCACTGCTTTATAATTGTAGTATTATAGTATTGGCATTTCAGATGACAGACACTTTGTGGGAGCTTGCCATGAAACAGTTTTCAGGATAATCCTGCACTAAAGAAGAAGAGGAGGATGTTTTTATTGCACTCTATAGGCAGAAAAGGAGACGCTTGGGGACCTGCAGGAAGGTGATGCAATGCAGACTATTTTTATTTGATTTCGTACGATGTGTCATCATCATTTCCAACACTCAGCAATAATATGAAATTGTTAAAATTGTGCCTCAGGCTCTCAGCAAAAAAGTGACACTGACAGGATTACTGAGTATCAAAAAGAGTCCGGTCTGATGATGGTGCAGGACCTCATGTCTGAGAGAGAAACTGAGTCTTTAAGTTTAGGGTGTAGGACAGACGAGAGCCAGAGGGACACACAGGGAGGAAGGACGGCAGAGATCCTCCCTGACCTTCGGCGTCATTGTCAGGACTGGAGGGTGGAGGGTGAGGGGGAGAGTGGGGAGGATGTGAGGGTGAGGATGGATCTGCTTGGGAAACAATCCCAGATTTCAGAGGGGAATGGAAAGGAGACGAGGACTGAGGGGGCAGAGATACAAGACAGAGAAAAACACATAAAGACATCCACGGGGGACAGATACAGAGGGGAGGATCAGAGGGTGAGACAAATGAAGAAGGGGGAGGAGGGAGGGGTCAGTCCTCTAGCTACCAATCATTGTCTTTAGCTTGTTTTCCTTTTCAGTCTATCAAACCTGCAGGCACAAGAGTCATGCATCATCAGGATTAACGGAGCCATGCGGTTGATTGGCAGGTCAAGCAAAATGTCAAAGCTGCAGCAGCCATCTGAAGAGTGAGGACAGGGTGAGGGGGCAGGGGCTTTAGGAGGGGGGGTCCAGGGCGGGGAGCCGACGGAGGTGCCAGTATGCTTCAAAATAAGCGGTTATAAGATTACTTCATAGCAATGAAACCCCTCCCCCTACATCCTCAACCCCGCCCACTTCTGAAGGTAGCTGGACAGGTGTACAGAGATACAAAGAGTATCCTCTAGTGTGACAGCAGAAATGAACATGTTTACAGCCTGGTGGGAAATAACACTAATAAAGTTTGGTTCTTATGACTTAATTCTCTGAGTTTATAGAAAACTGGCATGTTAGAGTGAGGATAAGGGTTTGATAGAATAGGGGTGTGGCCTCTTTGAGTGACAGGTAGGAGCTGCTACATGCCTTCAGTTGATTCAGCCCCTGGTCTTGACCCCTCCACTTGTTTTGTGGTGTTTAAGCCTTTCAGACAACCTCTCTTCCTGCACGCTTTATTAGACTGACCATGACTGAAGACAAAAACAGGAAACTACGGCCTCCGACACATCTTCCCTCTGCACGTGTCTCATTCACATGTCTCAACGCCTTTGTCTTTACACTTGGTAAGACAACAGGTGGATGAATGAGCTGGTTTGAAGCATACTGAGCCCTTTAGGGAGCAGCCAAGCACAGTTCAGTGAGAGCTGCTGGTTACAAAAGGTGTTCACAGCCTCCCGGTGCCATTCCTGTTCGATTACTCTGCTCATAGAGACGGTCAGGGCGGAGTTCAACCTGCTGCAGCCCGAGTCAGAAAGCTCAAAATACCTTTACCTCAGAAACGCCACCAACTAGTTTGTATGCAGGTATAACAGTGGACTTCTTCTCCTGCACACACACACACACACACACACACACACACACACACACACACACACACACACATTTCTCCTCGCATCAGCAAACACTGAAAAACATCCTGAGGCGTCTAGCCTCTCTGTGACTGCAGGTACAGTCATGCTGAAGCAGTGAAATGAGGATGAGAAAGCCAACAGCACCACCCAGTGGCAAATCGGGGTACAGCTCCAAATCATGAAAAACACATCTGAGGGCTTTATCTCCTCCCATGCATGTGTCATTATTCCAACTTTACAATGACTTACAGATATGATTAAGACTTAGTATAGAAGTATGACCCTGCAGATAAGACCTGATAACAACTCAAACAACTGAAATTTAAAGATCATTATTTAGGCAGGAACTGATGGTCTCTTCTATTTCATTTAAATCTAGACTCTCTGTTTCATAACATAGCTATTGGGTATGATCTAGTTTGACTGAACCTAAAGGATAAGTGTGGTAATTTAACACCAGGCCCTGCTTTTCTTGTTTTTAAAAGGTTCAGGTGGTATATTTATGACTTTTGTGCATTCTGTGTTTCACAAATACTACGTAGAACCCAAATTCCCTTAAAGTTGTGACCCTGTGTAAAATGTTGATAGAAGCCGATTTTTATGGTTTTACCATTTAAATGAATAAGTGCAGTGACATGAAAGACAATTTTAAACCTGTCTCTGTACATTTGAAAGTGAACTTGTCTCCTTTTTTCTGTTTTTGGTGTCATGATGCTCAAATGTTTTCAATGGGAAACAAGTCAGGACTGCAGGCAGGCCAATTTATCATCAGGACTCTTCTACTACAGAGCCATGCTGTTGTAATCCCTGCAGAATGTGCTTTGTCATTGTCTTGCTCAAATATGTAGGTCTTCCCTGGAGACTTTCTAGAAACATGTTGCTACAACCAACTTTAATTTAAACAACATTTTTCTTAAAATATTAAAATTCAACATTTGGAAATCATCAAATTCTGTTTCTATGAACATTTTTCACAGACTGAAATTTTTGAAATTAGGGTTGTTTAAGTTTGACTCCATCCTGAGTTAGAAATTTTGGTTGAATTAGAACATTTGAGGTTCTGTGTGAAACCTCCACACAGGGACTCAAACATTAACCTGTGTAAATATGACTTAAACTGACTTGATATGACTTGACCCACTAAGTTTGAGTTACAGATCATTTTGGCTGTTTTCAGGTTTGAAACGCCGGCTATTTTTACATCACACCCCCTAGTGGTTAATTCTGTACATAAATATATGTATTCTTTTATTATACACATAAAGAATGTGCTTAAATAATAAAATTTTAGTAACAGTTGGATGATATCTCGATGGTGTTTGTTTCTTTGCTGGTTGTTTACATGTGCTTGTTTTAAGGCAGCTGATAGTGTTTGTTCTGTAATGAGTCACAGCTTCTATTTTTAACCAAGAGATCATTTGAATGAAAAGTGAAAACAAAAGCTTTGAAGGACTGCCCAAAGAATAAAAACTTCCTGTGAACAGTGAGACCTTTAAAGCGAGGATGAGTCATTAACATGGAAAATTTTACTTTTAATGATTTCCTTGCTTAAATTGAGTGAATCCGGGATCAATCATCAGGTTTTTATTATTTTAGAAATTCAGAACAACTAGCAAAAAAAAAAAAAAAAGGGAAAACCCATGGGCAGAGATCACAATACTTAGGATCAAATCTAATCCCTAAGCTGTAAATGAGTTTATGAATCTGAGGGTATGAACTGATTCATTCTGCAAACAAACTGATGAGCCGCAGTTTCAATGAAAATATGAAGCTCTTCAAACTTAGATGCAGTTCACTGTTTCAGAGGCAGACAAACTGAACACAGTTATTAAAATCTGTCTGTGAGACTGTCTGTAGAAATGTGATTATTAGACTGTGAACCTGCTCAGGTGATGTGGTGACCCTGTGGGGCCGGTTGGAGTCTGGGTTTAGGACTTTCAGACATATAGAGTCTTCTGAATCATGAGTGATTCTGAGAGTCAGGTGAACAAAATAACATCACTTCTACCTGTGAGTCTTCAGCTCAGAGAGGGGCAGGGATGTGATTAGCTTAGCTTAGCTTGGCACAAGGCTGGAAGCAGGGGTAAAGCTGCTAGCGTAGCTACATAGCAAAAGAAGATCTACCTGCGGCCTCTCTGAATGAGGTGTCTCTGTGGATGAGATCACACTCCTAACATTTAACCATCAACATGTCCGACTCACCGCTGGCTGCAGCTGCCCGTTGATGCTCGCCGTGCGGAAAGGTGAGTTGGTGGAGAGACGTTTGTCCCACTCGCTGGGCCGAGGTTCGGGTACCGACTCCATGAAGCTCCTCTTCAGCTCGCTGATGCTTGTGTGGTGACGCATGATCCCGGTCTGGGTCTTATCCAGGTCCTTCAACAGGAAGATCAAAGTCAGAGTGGGTTCATACAGAGCAAAGTGCGGCAACAACAAAACCAGAGATGAAAACAATGGAGAGTGAAGAGGAAAGAATAATCAGGTCAAATGGAAATGTGACAATTTCAGGGTCAAAGGAATGGGAGGGTGATGAAAACTGATGTTTAATGAAGTCCAGAGATCAGTTTGGCAACTACTTCACATTTCACATTAGTCTGTAGAAGAAAATGCTTTTAAGATACATCATCACTTTTACCCTTTTCAGTTTCAGTATAGATTCAATTGACAAAAATCTGATTTCTAAAAATGACTTTGAGTTAAAATATTGCAGATAAGCGGACGATGAGTGCTGCAGTGACTCCTGTTACATGGATGCTGGTGGGCTATTCTGAGTGACAGATAAGATGTGCAGTAGGGAAAAATGATGGACTTCGAATGTCCGCCAGTCTACCTGAGACAACTTTGACTCCTTGTCTTGTTTACAGTGACAGAATATATATTTGTCTTCATCATCTTCATCATGGAAAAGTTTCAAACATTAAACTTAAAGCAGCTCAGTTTTCAGCAGTCTTCCAGTTAAACAAACACAGCAGATAAAGGCGTAAGTGTTAATAACTGCACTCTGTAAGCATTGCTTTTTTTCTGCTTAACTAGCTGCTCTTGCTAGCTCGCTTTAGAGCAGGAGCTTTAATAAAATCCTGCGTCTCATTTGGTCTGAACAAACTTCTCAAAAACTGGAATGAGCATCTTGTCTTCATCCAGCTCATTATCTTTATGTGGAATGATGTGATCTCTGTCAGGATTAGAGCTCAAAGCACAGCTCTGAGCAGCAGAGGGAGGAGATGCTGACAGCTCATCCCCACAGTCAGACACAACACAAGAGCAAACTGCACAGAGCTGCAGGATTTAACAGAAGGGGGCGTTTGTCTTAGTAAAGTAGACCTGAATACAAAGTCCACTGCACAAGAATATGATGTGAAACTCTAGTTGAATTACCCTGTAGAGTTTCTGATTTAACGGAAATACAAGTGATCTCAATGAACTCAGCTTTTAAAGGAATATTTGACACAAGTAACACAACTCACAACGTCACACAGGAATCAGCAGACAGTCCAACAGTAAGTACGACATATCAGGGGAGTACGATAAGAATGTGTGAGAGAAACACGACCGAGAAAGAAACAACCATAGACAGCTCTGAAAAAGAGAGGCTAAAACATTTGAAGCTCCCCCAGCTGACTAGGTCATAAACCCAGCCTCCTCCATGTAAACAGATGGGACATGACTTAAACTCTAAAATACAAGTTCGGGTCAAATAAATGTTTTTCAGTCACGGTTCCTGTTGTTAAAGTTTATTCCGATCATGATGATTTATGTCACAGGGTTTATTTCTTTGGACAAGTTTGGTTTAAATAAGTTATCTAATGCTATTAAAGAGTAGGAGCACCATGATTGACAGCTCTGTTGACCAATGAGGCTCCTGCAGTGCTGAATGCACCAGATTTACAGTTTTTCAGAGATTTGGGTTTGGTTAAAATGTTTGCAAAGTGTTCCCCTTCACATGTGGGACACTTAGGCTTTGTTTTTCTGCAGCAGGAGGAGGAAGACACACATGTCACCCATCTTTAAATACAGGAAATCATCTTCAGACTTCAGTTTTCGTTCTTCTCTTCAGTGAATTTTATAGTATAAACTCTATTTTAGTACAGATCCTCTCATTTCCAACTTCAGCACCACAGTCTGACCTTAAATAAAAGTAAATCATGTAAAGAAACAATTACAAGTATGAGAGTAAATCTCAGTCACGTTTGCACTTTCGCAACTACAATCAGTAGCTTTCCCGGTCGTGTTTGATGAAGTGACAATATGACAGGACAAAGACGATGTCAGAGTAAAGTGAAGCTACTTGCATGAGAGTCAGTGAGGAAAATAGTGCATGCCAAGCCTTTAGGATTCAGCTGGAAACGAGGCGAAAAATGAAGAGAAACTGAGACGTCAAAGCCAAATAAACTAAAACGTTCATGCAGAAAAAAAAAGAGGATGAAGAAGAAGAACAGCCAGAACCGAAGAGTGGAGACGAGCAGATACAAACCTCCAACATTAAATTGCTATGTCTGATATAAATGGTTTCCCCCTCAAGTTTCTTTGCTCTTTTCTGCAGAAAAAAGGGAACACCTGGTTGGAAATGATTCAGTCAAACATTTGAACAGCAGTTTGCTATGGAGTCCACAAACAGCGCAGAGTCAGGCCATGACATGAACCAGAAAAGAAGAGGAAGCTGCAGGTCCCAGAGTGCCCAGCTCAGCAGGGGACAGCTGCACACACACACGCACACATATACCTGTGCTGTGTGTGTGTGAGTGTGAGAGTAGCCAGGCAGACACACACTCGGAGCTGTGAGCTGAGTTTCATGCTGTTCATGCAAAAGCTGTGGCAGAGACAAGTGCAGGAGGAGGAGGAGGAGTGTGTGCCGTCACTTCAGGAGTTTGCACCTTTCTTTCCAAAGATTTTACATTTCTACTTTCCTGAAGTTCAAACAGTTTACAGCTGAAGATAAACTCGCTGGATTTTATTCAAGTCACTGCAGACAGAATAAAGCTTTCACACTTCTGCTTCATCACAAAAACAAAACAGGCATTAATCCTTGTCATGGATTCAGAAATATGAATTATTGTCTCTCTGCGAAGTGATCGCCACACAAAACATACTTCTGAGTTTATCGACTTTTTATGATATCTAAAATCTAAAGTCAGCTAAAATTTGTGTTTATGATTATCTAAGGCAAATGAAAAATAATAAATTACAAGTAAACTTTAGTTTAGAAGAAGTTTAGAAGAAAAAACTTTAAAAGTGGGAACAGAGTTGAAAAGTTCTGTGTAAAACTTGTTTTGTAAAACTTCTAAGTTTCTACTTTAAGAATAAAGTTTACATTTGGACTCTTAAGGGTTAACATTCACGCTGTTATATTTGCACACTGTCCACAGTTATTGTTCAGCTTCTGTTTTCACCTGTCAGAGTTTGAGCTACAGGTTTTAATCTCTGGCTGTGCATCCAAAGTCTAAACAGATTATTTCTGAACACTTGATGAGCAAACAGGCAGTTTAAAATAATCCAAATAAACCCAGAAATCATTTGCAAAATCCTGAAGGGAGTAACTCAGTCGAGCAGTGAAGTTTCTCTTGAACAGAAATAAAGTGATGAGAGTTTGTGAAACAGTGAAAAATGTCCTCTCTCTCTCTCTCTCTCTGTATAGATTATGTGGAGGATGATTTCTCCTTCTTCAGACTGAGCTGAGAGTAATCATTCAAGCTTTTACAGACGAAGCTTTTACAGAAATCATAAAATGATCCAGAGATAAAAGTTCTCCGCGTGTCAGAGATGGAAAAGGTCAGACAACAGAAAACAAACTAGAGTGTCTTCATGTGATGCAGGAACGATGTGATCGACTCAGAGCATGCTAACCTTCCTCACTCGCATCACCTCCATCTTTGATTTGTCCTGAGGAGAGTGCTGCCCCCACAGGCAGAGAAGAGATACAGTTACTGCAAGTTAAGGGTCGAATCTCACACACCAAAATACTATGAATACACATGCATCAGTGCTGCCCCCAACAGGCAGAGGACAGATGTGGTTACTGCACAATTAAGGTTTAAACTGAGATTTTCAAAAGTAGTAAAATATACAAACAAATGTGACTTTGAGGACAAAATTTAACCTGAAATTTTAACTTGATCATCTTATTCATATCACAGAATAAAACATCTTGAATATTCATTTTAATTTTTGTGCAATCATCGTGTCCTCTGCCATAAACTTTCAGATTTGAGTCTGTTTATAATGAGGGTCAGATGAGCAGGATATAAATGCTGATTCTTCTTTAAAACAAACTTTGTATGTTCAGCATTAAATCTTTCTAACATTTCTCCCTTTCACAAAAACTTGTCAGAAACTCCAGAAACTTTTATTCAGTCTATATAAAGTTCATCTCTATCAAACTCTCTATATAAGCTCTGATTTTACTGCCAATGTCAGTGATATTATCCTTTGAAAAATATTGTTAAATCTCCTTACATGATGAACTGCATCATTTCTTTCAATGAGTGTGTTTACATGGACTTGAGTCTCCCACTTATGATCAGGTTTATAAGTGTCCTGTCTTTGTATTTGTGCAGGTAAACCTCATGTCCAGATATCAGAGGTTTTGAGAAAACCTGGTTTTGCTACCTGAAGAACAGAAACCTGATACTGTGACATCCTGGTTTCTTAGACAGATATTTAGTTTTAAAGCAAGATAAGTTAATTTCCGTGTTTTAATAGCTACACATGAGAAGAATCTGCAGCTTTGCTTACTTAGAAATAAATCTACAACGTTAATTTCTGATTCTGAAGGTTCAAACTTCGAACCCAAACACACAGAGAAAACCTGCTTCCTCACATCCTCTTGGTATCCTGAACTTGATCAAAACTGGTCATAACTGAGACACTTAAATCCACATAAACACTCTCTATATGGACTTCTATGTTTCCTCACAATCATGCTGCTTTGACTGGTTTCTGTGACTGGTTTCAGCTGGTCATGCAGCTCAAACAAACCTGGCTCTTTTTATCTCTCTCCCCGTTGGCCGCGGTCACAGAAGGCGAGTGCCTTCGCTCTCTCCTCGCCACCGTCTGACAGCACACACAAACTCAGACATCACCATATGAACCAGCAACAACCGGAGCTACAAACTCTCATCGAACAGATCTGTTACCATAGCAACCTGAAAAAACACCCTGAAAGCTCATTTTTCTGGTTTCTTTGGTTAGTTTTTAAAGTATGACAATATTTCAACATTTTTAACCAACACATGAGCTCATTGACCAAAACGTCAGAGTATTTCTTCAGGGTTGCACAGACTCAGATAAAGCTGATGAGCTTTAAAGCTGTCTTTCTAAATGACTGATTTCCCTCTGAACTCATATTTTTGGTCACAAGTTTCCTATTAAGTGTAAGAATTTAAGTTACAGCAGTTTTCTGTGAGCTAAATCATCAACTTTGTTTTACTAAAGATGAATTCCGAATAACGTCCCATGCACTGATGTAACCCTTTGAGTCTTGTACCTTGATTTCCGGAGTGTTCTCTGGTTTGGGACTCCGGGTCTTGCTGTGCTCCGTCTGCTGACTTTCCGCCTTCTTGCCAGACTTCCTCTCTGCGCAGCGGTGCCCTTTGGGGGTGGAGCCGTCTCTGTGGTCGTGGCGACGCAGGACAGAGAGCAGCGGGGACGGGGTCGCCTCCCCGGGTGACACCGGTGACATCACAGGAGCGCTGACCGGACGAGTGGACTTATTGTCAGGAGTGGACGCCATGGCTGAGGAGGCGGAGAGGAGGACAATAGAGTCATTTATAAAAACCTACAGAGGGACACTGAGAGGTCCTGTTGTTTCTGCAGCTTCATTAAATACTGAAGAACTTCTGAAGTTAGTCTGAACTTCTTCAAAGTTATTATAATGGTTTTATTTGGAAAATCCTCATCTACTCTCATTTTCTCCAAACTATCTGCCTCATTCTCCCCATGAAATAAAAAAAATTGTCCCTGAACTCAAAACTGGCATTCCCAGATCAGCTGGACTCTGATCCTGGATACTGGAGCTACTCAGAGTTGCCTTTTTACAGTCTTTCCTACACAGAAGCTGAAGTTCCTCTTAAATTAAAGATGACAAGGTTTTTATAAAGTGGATGAAAACCATCCAAAAGCTGGTCCATACTGGCTGATATAAACCCTGATTTCAGCAGAGGCTCACACTACAATCATTTACAATCTAAATAACTTCATCATAACATAAAACTGAGTTTGCACTGACAAGAGAAGAACAGAAGAAAAACTGTATATATTATCAGGACTTGATAACTTCTCCTCCCCGACAGGCTGTAATAAACTCTTCCTCTGAGACTAACTGAGTCTGACATCCCTCCAGGTTCACAGAGACCAGGTGTGGTCAGGTACCTCCATCCAGGCTGCGGGAGTTCCTCTTGCTGGATGAGCGCTGAAACAGAGGAGCCGGTCTGTCGATCAGAGAGCTGGCCTGTCTGGTCTGAGCCTGAGTCCTGCCGCTGTAACGAAACTTTGAGCCCAGAGCCAGGAACTTCCTGGGCGTGGTGGCCATCTCTGTGGAGGTCAGTCTGCAGAAGAAGAGGAGAAGCTCGGATTTTAGTCTGACTGTAGAGCCCAGAGTGAGTAAAACTTGGCTGTTTCTAAACAGAGTAGACCACTTTACCTGAAGAAGGTGTGATGCTCCACACACACTTTCCACAGCTTCTTAGCCGCCTTGTAGTTTGGCAGTTTGAAGCCGATCGCGCTCTCGTACTGCTCCACCTGTTGGAGCAGGAAACACAGACTTTTGTTAGTTTAAACTCTGTGGCATCAGCTTCACCTGTGCAGCAGTAAGAAAAACACAGATCTTCCTCCCTGGACAGAATCAGAATCAGGCACATGTGTGTTAAACTGTTTAGAGTAAAGCATCTGCACCTCTGACGGTCGAATCTTGATGAAGAAGCTGCTGCGTTTGTAGGACACCTTCAGGACTTTGGGCCAGGGGAAACGGTTAATCCTCAGCTTGTCTTTGTAAACCATCAGACCGCTGGAGCAGACGCCCAGCATGATGTCCACGCCGTCCAGATCCTGAGACACAGACGAGGCAGTTTACTCCATATTCAGTTACATATACAGAATCTGCAGGGCTGATTTTTACAGCACATCACAGCAGGCTCATAAACCTTTTTTTTTTTAACCTTTGTGGCACTTAAAGCTGTTTTAACACTTTTGATAAAAATGAGTTTCAACCTTTGTCATTTCTATGTTGCTACAATTTTTTGCACTGAACTATTGAGAAAAAATAAACCTTTTCTGAGTCGTTTCATTTACTGTTGAGTTTCTGTTGTTGTAATCCTACTTTCAGCCACAAGAGGGCTTTAATGGACCAGAACTCTTTCTCCTAAAAAGGGTTCAAAGCCTTTATTTCCTTCACACCGCCTTATTTAAGTCTGCTAAACTGTTAATTGGGGTATAAATTAAATAAACATGCTGACAGTCTCAGCCTGAACAGATGTACACATATTTTTAGTTCATGGTCTGAGCAGCAGCTGAGGATGCACCATTACAGCTGAGACACCTCTTAGCATGTGCAAAGCTGCGAAGGCCTGTCTGCTGCCATTTGCAGGTTTGATTTCTTTTCTTTTTTTTCATCCGATCTGATCTTAAGACATATAGACAGATTCAGATTTTAGGACAGGCAAAAAATAGCTCATTTTCTTTTCTTTTTGGTTTGATCTGACTTACTTCTCAGGACCAAACATAAATCTTTGACTACAAGTTTGATAGTTTCCATATTAACAGAAATTTAATTTTCAAATTATCATATAAAGGATGAATGCATCCTGTTCTATCAGCTATTATCACTCAATATATAATGTTTAACTCTGATGTTCCTGTGTCTTACGCTGACTTGTACTGTCCACCTCCATCCACAGGGGAGCAGTGCAGGCATGTGCAGGTCTCTCCCTCTATATGAGATTAAATCCAGCTCTGATGCAAACAGATTGACCTGATTTCTGCTGTAAAACCTGACAGTCACATGTCCTCCTGTTGTTCAGGCTCATCTGCACTCGCAGAGACTTTTATTCTGTTTGACGTCACTGCTGCGTGTTTTCTGCCCAATAACATTTCTACCCACATTTATAGCCATATATATATATATATATATATATATATGTGTGTGTGTGTGTGTGTGTGTGTGTGTGTGTTTGATATATATATTTATTAATAAATTTATTTATTTATCAATGATGACCTCTGACCCCTTCACTTACCTTGGCCTGGTGCAGGTCAACGCCGTACATGGAGAGCTTCTTGGCGTTCTCCAGGAACATCATGTCAGCCTGAGCTGGAGTCATAGCCCTGAAAATGTTAACAACAACAACAACAACAAAATGTTACACACAGACTCTAAGAGAAGGTTTTTTTCTTCTGGTGAGGTCTGTCTCATTCTTCAGTCCTGGTTTTACTTAGTCCTCCTGTGGGTCTAGCTCTGACCTGTAGGTCTGGTGCAGCTCCATCATCTTGTCCTCCAACTCCTTGGTCTGACCCTGAGCCATCTTCATCTCTTTAGCGTACTCGCTGCCATGAACCTCCGGGTCGTGTTCCCCGAGTTCTGACTGCAAGGCGTAGGAGCCCAGCAAGGCCAGAGTGACAAAGGAGCAGGGGAGGCGGCCTTGTAGGATGTCCTTCCTCAGCTGGAGACACAGGTAGTACCTGCAGCACACAAACGAAGATGATGAGTGTAAATCAGGAGTTATTGCAGAATCAGTCACGTCTGAGTCATGAAAGTCACAGAAAGATTATGAAAAGGTTTAGATGGAAAGATAAGGTTCATGTAAACCTGTTTTCTTCAGACTCATACATTTCTCATACATTTCCTCTTTCTGTCAGACTAAAGCCGTCATATTTTGTGTGTTACACTCACACTTATCCAGATCTTGTACCTCAAAACTTAAAAACCTATGTTTCCCTTTTGTGCATAAACGTATCCTCATCTTGTTGGTCACCCAAACATCTTTATCTCATCTTATGACTCTGCCTGCCCTCTTTCGTATCATGTGGCTGTAATTATACAACAGATTGCGGTCTGAGATAATTCTACAACTAAATTCAAACTCCTGCTGAAGAAAATCTAGGACACAAAAAGGCTCAGAAGTCATTATACGTGTCCTTTAACGGTTTGTTTGTCTGTATTTGGGTCCTCTCCTCATTTATCCCTCTGCAGCAGCAGCCACACTTGGTGAAGTCAAAGCTTAATTTCTTGTTCTGTGATTCAGTGCAAACGTTTTTTAATCAGATGAATACCATAAAGCAGTGGTTCTCAAGTCCAGTCCTCCATGTTTTGGATGTTCCCCTGCTCCAACACACCTGATTCAAATGATTAGCTCGTTATCAAGCTCTGTAATGGCTTAATAACGAGCTTATCATTTGAATCAGGTGTGTTGGAGCAGGGAAACATCCAAAACATGCAGGACAGTGGGCCTCGAGGACTGGACTTGGGAACCACTGCCATAAATGACACTTTACAAACTTTCTTTGCCCGCTGAGTCTGACTTTATCCCTAATTCTTTACAAATCTTTCAACACTATTCGGTCATGTTGTCAATTTTAGTGAACTTCTTAAAGCAGCAGAGACTTTAAATGAAACTAACAGTAACTCATCTCGTACCTTGTGATGTCCTCTGAGAGCTGGGCTGGGTCTGGAGGGTAAAACTTCACATTGAAGGTGAAATTATAGTTGGCACCTGCAGGAAAAGGAAGAAACAGGATTTGAATAAACGTCTGTAAACACTTGACAAAAGAGAGAAGGAGGATAATTCAGGTAAAGACCTGCTCACCTTGTACCTGCCTGCGGATCTCTTTGGTCAGGTCCATCCAAGTCTGAGAGGAAAATAATACAGTTGAACTAAATACAGACTTTTGAACTTTTAAAAATACCTGAAATGTCTCGACGTGAATAATTGGATTAAAATAAGGTGGTCGGCATACTCAGCCATTCTCATACAGCAACAACTTTTTCAGTGTGCGTTTAATTTTCTGTTTGTGACATTTTAACATCCAAATGCAGGTGTTAATTAGCTTCAAGCAAACTCCAGTACAAAACATCAAATGTTAACAAGTACGTTTAATTTTGTACTTTATCCCTTAGAAAATAAAACAAGATATAATCATTAAAAGTTTGAAAATATCCCTTTAAGGCTCACATAAAAACTTGGGTAGTTTGTGATTAGTGTTGAGGTAACTTCTCTTGGACAGGCCTGATTAAAACACACAGAGCTGAGTTTTCCTGCTGTCCCTGAATGCCTCGCAATAATCAGACCTGGCTCACCTTCATGGTTGGGGTCTCCCAGATAGCTAGGCCGTAGTAGTCCTTCTCCAGCAGGTTCAGGTGGTCACACACCCTCATGAACAGCTCCTGACCTTTGGCATGTTTCTATAACACACACAGACACACACACAGGGAGCATTTAACCTTTGACCTGTCGATGTAACAGACTGGTGGACGGTGTTTTATTAATGTTTTGAACGGAAGAGCAGATGGTGAGAAGAGCTCAGAGTCTCAGAGGAAGATCCCGCCGGACGCTCCAACAGCTGTTAGGTTTACACTCAAACACACTCTCACAAAAACACACACACACTCAGCTCACAAGCCTTAATGAGACCATACCGCTGTCTAAACAGCTCTGATAAACCTGCTCCATCAGCAGGTGGTACAAGAGCACTCTGAGCGCCCTGATCTCCTGGTCCAGTTTGGAACCACCTGAATCCAGGTCTAATACTCCTAAAAATTCCAAATGCAGGTGACTTTGCAGCAAAATTGCAGCTACAGACGGTGTGTAAAAATCGCTGAATTAAAATGTCAATACTCACGTCGAGCTCGCACTCAAACATGGCATCATCCAGCAGCGTCACTTTGATCTGCATCGTCTTCGGTCGGCGTGGAGCTCGGGGAGCTTTGGCCTCCTCCTCTGTCACCTTCTCCTCCTTGTCCCCCGCCTCGCTTCCTTCAGGACCCGTCTCCTTCTTCTCCTCCTCCTCCCCCTTCTCTTTGTCCTCCTTCTCCAGGGTGGCTTCTTCTCCTTTCTCCTCTTCTATGTCTTTGTCTTTCCCCTCCTTCTCCTCCACCTCCTCCTCCTCCCCCCCTGCCTCCTTCTTCTCTACCTGAACAGCCTGAAACAGAAACAGACACTTTGGTTGAAAAACAGTCAGAAATCCAGTTTTCCTACCTCAGGTGCCACATGTTCACTTTTTATTTTTATTTTAATATAATAAAGCTCTTGCTATTCGTAGTTTTAATGATGTATAATAATATTAATTAAATAAAAATAATAAACTCCTAAAAAACAAATAAATTCAAATCCAATTTTCTGCTAAAACAGTTTTCTCTCCCTCCCTCATTACTTCTGTTCTCGTCTGCATCCCTCAGATATTTTCCCGGAACAGGTAAAAATAGAACTTTTTCATTTCTCCCCAGTTTTAATGAAATTTGTAGGCAGGCAAAAACAAATTAGAAGTGATTCTTAAATTATCAGGCTGTCGTTGAGTGCTCATCCTGTAATCAGGTCAGATGATGAAATTGAATTGAAAGCCTCCCTCCTGCTGGAGACCATCACTAAATTCCTCTCCTCTCTCGCTCCGTGTTTTATGTCTGAAAAATTCTTTAAATATCCTGTTGGTCACGGATCCACAGTCTGACCTGGGCCTCAGCGCTGCTCACTGAGTGCTGGTCCGGGGCCACCTCTCCCTCCGTCCTCAGCTCAGGTTCGGGGTCGGCGATAGGGGCTTTGGCTTCCTCCTCCCCCTCCTTGTCCTCCCTCTCTCCCCCCTCACTGTCGCACTGCGAGCGCCTCTTCAGGAAGGAGGAGAAGAGGCGGGAGAGGCCGCGGCCGGCAGAGTTGCGGTTTCGGGGCCGGAGCTGCTCGCCCTCCTCCGGCGGCGAGGGCGGCCGGGCGTCCTGCTGCTGGCCGGCTTCCTCCTGCTGCCTCGGCTTCTTCTGGTGACTCTCCGCCTCGTCTGTTGTCATGGCAACAGCTGTGGAGATGAAAGACAACAGCAGGTTATAAAAACAGAAAGATAAAGAAAAAAGATCAGAGTGTGAGATCAGGAGGAGAGGTGACAAAGAGTTTAAGGTTTTAAATTTTAATTTTCCTGTCGCCTCAAAGATTCATTTTCAGATTTCTACAAGTTCAAAATGACTGTCACATACTGAAGAGAACCAACAGCAGTCAGCTTACATTAGAGTTGACACAACACCTGAGATTATTTCAGTTTTTCTGACTTGAAACCCCAGCTCAAAAAAGTTCAGAGGCTGTGGGAAATGTTGATTCAAACTGATTTTGAATGTTTTTATAAGTCAGGACTGCAGGCAGGCCAGTCTAGCAGCAGGACTCTTCTACTACAGAGCCATGATGTTGTAATCCCTGCAGAATTAGGTTTGTCATTGTCTTCCCTGAAAACTGTTAAGAAACACGACACTGACATCAAATTAAAATGAGAATATTCATGAAACAACCACATTTTTTTGAACGGATGTTGTTCCCTCAAGAGCCTTTTGATAGAGACTCACATATAAAGAGAAGAAAGAAAACAGTTTAACTTTGTGGTTCAGTTCATGGTGATAAAAAATCTGTTATAACTTAAACCAGATCAGAAGTCTGCTAAATCCTCCAGCTGTCCCCAGAGAGCTTTTGAGTTTAACATTAACACAGACATACTTTTTTTTTTTTTATCTTAAGTGTCAAGGTCCATTTTTAAGCCGTCAGTCAGTTTGACAAATGAGGCACATTTGAAATCAGGAAACAAAAGCAAACCTGAATAATAATGAGCAGAGCGTTAGGACAGTGACAGCTGACTGTCGACCAAGTTTCCACAAAGTTAGAGAGGAAGTAACAACGGGACTTTGATGAGTGATGACTGATGGTCGACTGAAGAAGAGCTGACATGTGACAATCAACGACTATTTTAAGAGACTCTGTCCCAAACACTCAGTTTAACTGTTTGCTCCGCTGTGACACTTTCCAGCACTTTGACATCTGACAGGCTGTTTGTTGTTGCACCAATTTCAGACACATAACACTATTAAAGTTGTTGCATTTACATACTGTCCCCTCAAATCACTTCAAGAGGTAAAGAAAGTCCTCAGTCTAAACTTCTCTGAATGTATTCATCTAATCACCAAAACTAGACCATTTGGTTAAAGAGGATATTAGAACAGTATGAAGGTAAACCACCAGACTCCACTGACAAAAAGACGAATTTAACCCCAGAGGAGACTGCTCTCTCTCTCTGTCAGAATCATTACTGGTATTTTGCTTTAGGATTTTAATCAGCCTGTTCCAATCCAGCTTTAGATTTTTGCTGCAACAAATACTAAAATCAAATCAAAAATACTGGGATAAAGTAGACCAGCAACCCCCGTGTTTCTTACCCCCTAATTGCAAACCTACGGTAAAATTCCTGATTTATCCCAGGAGTTTGGTGCAGAGTGATGTAACACAGCTGTTTGTAGTTCAAAAATCCTCTTTAACAAAAAGCTCTCCTCTACAGGAATCCTTTCTCTAATGCTTTCAGACACTAAGAATAACAACCTGAGCCTGTGAGGGACAAAAAACTCCATCAGCTTTTAGTTTGTAAAGGATTATGATGCTGCCATTAAAACCTGTGAGTTGGATCCATCACAGACATTAGACACGCGTTTGTCATTTAGACCTTAAAATAAAAAATGAAAACTAACAAATCAATAATAATAAACAGGAACCCTTTCAAATATCCAGAATTTGAGTGCACGCATGATAGGAGACCAGCGTGGATCCTCATCCCTCAGAGGTTTCACACATGGAGGACAGTTATGTAGACAGAACGGGATCATGCATGTAAAAATAACTTCCTTCTCTCCTCCTCCATCACACGGCTGTATGATAATAAGATCAGATCCATGTTTCATCTCTGCAGAGCTGCACAGTCTCTCGGCCCACAGCCTCTCTCTCTCTCTAACACTGAACTCCTGCTGGGATCCTTCCCCTCTGATTAGACAGGCAGCATCTCTGCATCGGACTCCATTTCCCATCATGCCTCACACCAGCTGCCTTTATAGCTGCAGGCTGAGTTATCCATAAAGATGCTCACATTTACAAGCCTGCAAATACACAATACACACACACACACTGTATCTCCGAGGAGGTGGGCGGCTGCATGAGCTGCAACCGAAAACAGCAAAACAACAGTCAGACTGTTGTTACCATGGCAACAGCAACCAGAAAAAAAAGAGGAGGAAAAAAATGAGGAGGAAAACAAAGATAGAAGTGATGACAAAGACAGTTAAGATGATAGAAAAAAGGGAAAGTGAGTCAGAGATGGAAAAGAAAATGAGAAAGAGGAAGGTACAGCGTTTAAAGAGGTGAAGGAAGGGAAACAAAGATGAGGAAAAGAGACAAAAGGTGAGAAAACGGCAACAAAGTGGAAGAAAGCAAAGACGAAAATGACAAAGAAGATCAAGACTAAGAAAAACAACCAATGAAAAGGAAGAAGAAATCAGAGACAATGACTGAAGACGATTGAATTAAATGACAAACGTTTTTTCCAGCTTACTCTTCAGTTTGAGTTTAGACATTCAAACTCTGACCTGACAGCTTTTCTCTGAAGTCAGTCACACCTGGAGGACAAAGTCAGTCTGTATCTAAACAACCTGAAGTCTGTGTGGAGCTCCCTCTGACAGGTGTGTCATAAAAAGGTTGTTTTCCTCTCTGTGGGCCATCATTTCGAACCCTGCTGTCCTGCTGTCTGCGCTGAATGAACCAATTAAACCCTGAATGTGTTCAATCAGAGGGTCGTTTATGAAACACAGACGCCTCAGGGACTCAGAGTCTCCGGAGTAAACTACAGAAAACAATCATCATCATCATCTGAAATCACTCAAGAGACTTTGGGAAGACTGTCTGAGATGTTATGATGGAGCTCCAGTCCTCAGTATTCCAGTCACTAAAGAAGAGTCTCGTCCAAGTCCAGACCAGATCACAGTTTCTCCTCCGATGATTCTTTCACCTTTCAAAGGTGTGACTCATACGGTAAAATCTTTCTTTGTTCCTGACGTCTATTTGGTCAACATGGCAGAACTTCATCTGGAGAAGACGACAGGTAAACATGCTGCAGGTAAACACACCTGTTCAATAACTGACGGACAGATTATTAGAGCCTCCTAGAGAGAAAATAACACGGTCCTCCTCTCCAAGATCTGAGTCTGAATTCAAGTCCAAGTCATCATTACTCGAGTCAAAGTCAGAGAGAATCAGGAGTTGAGCTGAATTAAGGTGTTTGACTCTGTTTTAAACACAAAAACATTATAAAAAGGTGGAAATTATGAATATAAAGTTTTATCTGTAAATGTGTTTAATGCATTCTGGATGGAACAAATAACATGTAAGTGATCTCTTTACCTCCTCACAGTCTGTTTGGATGTTCCTGAAAAGTTGAGGATGATAAAAAAAAAAGTTATTTTTTTTAAATTGTTGTTGTTGTTTTTATTAATTAAGAGCATTAATGAGCTGTAATATATATAGGTTTATCTATCCTGCAGTGTAATACAATGATGTAAAAGAATCAGACTTCCCTGTAAACAGGATTGCAGAGCAGATGTACCTGCACCAAGTTTTTACAAACTCTCCACCTAAGAGGATCTTTTTGAAAAGCTCTGTCATCAGCCATACACAGACTGGGCCTGAGACATGCATCATACAGGTCATCAGTTGAAAATGATAATGGAGGGTTAACAGACTGTAGATGATGTGTCTGAGTGTCGAGGTGCTTCCTTTGAGATGTTTGGTGACGCAAGGGGAAAAAAAAACAGAGATGACCTCTTTCTAAAAGGTGTTATTCGTGATTCAGTCAACTCTAAGCTAAAGCTGAAGGTTTTGCTTTGAGTCACGTGTTATTTCCATTCCTGTGAAACTTCTAATTTAGACAGAAACACATAAAACGCAGAGATGTGAGAGGGGTGAGAGGAGAAACAGAGAGGGGCTCATACTCATTGAGGTTGACTTATATAAAGTTATAGATGTTGCTTCTTTACAGTATCAGGAAGATGTTTTCTCCACAAAACTGTCCAAACAGAATAAAACTCTGTTTCTGTTTGAACTGTTTGATATTTTCAGGGTTTCATCAGCTCAGAGCTCCTGGGGAAAAACACTTGACTCTCTCCCTGCGGCGAGAGCACAGATATACAAACGCTGACGGAGCACAGAACAGAGGGTGTGAGATCACAGCTGCAGGTGCACCGAGGAGGGCGTGACGCAGACTACAGACACACACACACACACACACACACACACACACACACAGAAAAGACTACTGTACGTTCTGTTGAGTGTTTGTTCAGTCAGCGTGAGGTCTGAGATGGCAGGTGTCGGAGAAAAAGCACACGAGTCTGCAACTTTTTCAGAACAGATAAACAGACACACCTCCTCCTCTTCTTCCTCCTCCTCCTCATTAAATTAAGTTTAGTCATCTATGTGCTGAAGGACCAAACAAAGCTTTCTGCCACATTCAGTTAATGCCACCAGAGTCAAGATTAAAGATGCAGAAACACTGTTACAGAATCACTGTCAGCACGTTAAGCTCCATAAACTTTGTACTGAGACATTTCCTCACACTCCACAGTGACGGTTTAGAGCTTTGCCTGCAGAAAAAGCAGGTGTGAGCAGGTGAGAGTCTTCATTAACAAGTTCTAAGGTGTTACAGAAGTACCACCAAAGAACTTGTTTTGTGTGTTTCAGGTTTCTGCTTCTTGCACATTATCACACCTTTCCTCACTGAGCACACAGGCTGCACACAGAGAGATGAAAACTTAGAGCTGAACAACAAGACCTGCACACTTGGAGCTGCAAACATAGAGCTGCACACAAAGAGCTACACGATGAGAGCTGCAAACTTAGAGCTGTAGAATAAGACCTGCACACTTGGAGCTGCAAAGTTAGAGCTGCAAACCTGGAGATGTAGAGATAGAGAGAATCCCTTAAAGTTGCACAAAGGGAACTGGAATCTTAGAGCTGTAGAATGAGAGCCCCATACTTGGAGCTGCACTCTCGGAGCTACAAACTCTGGGCTGCAAACTTAGAGCTCCACAGTTGGAGCTACAAAACTGGATCTGCACACAGAGAGCTGCAAACTTTGAGCTGCAAACAGAGAGCTGGAAAAACCTTGGAGCTACAAACTGAGAGCTGCAAACATAGAGCTCTCTGAAGCTGCACAATAAGAGCTGCAAACTTAGAGCTGCACATTAGGAGCTGCAAAAAAAGAGCTGCTCACTCAAAGCTCAGAGTTTTCCATACATGTAATTGATCGTGGTGCACTGCCACGGCAAAATAAAGTTGCCACACCTTAAAAATGAGTTGGGTTTTTTTACGTGGTGCGAAGTTGGACTTTGTATATGTGGCATTTCCATAGCAGCATAACAGCAGCCTCAGTGTCAGTGTTGGGGTCGGGTTTAAGTGAAACACCTCTTTACTTCAACAGTGAAACCGTTGATCTAAACACTCTAAAGCTGAAACCATGCTATTTAGATTTCCTCTGATGATGGAAATTGTGGAAAACCCTGTCAAAATTTAAGTCAAAGCAAAGTCTTCCAATTCCTCATTGATCTTATTAGCAGCTAAAGAGGAAAAAAAACATGAAATCCTCACATTTAGGGCCTGTGTCCACTAACAGCAGTTCTTGCACCTGCAGCACCTTCTTCTATAAACCAGTGCAGTTTAGATTTTTCAGTGTTCAGCAGCCTGAGCACATAAACTCTCTCTGAGTGATAACAGTTTAACTTTGGCTGTTTTTACTTGATGAGGAGACGCCGTGCAGCAGCAGCAGCAGGGCCTGTTTTATCAGTCCTCTCTTTGGACAGACTCTACTGGACAACTATCTGATAACTGCAGAACGATAAGAGGAGACAAAATACTGAAAAGCAAAAAAATCGCTACTGGTGGCCAATCCTTGTGAAACACACATTTCTGAGCCCTGATGCTGAGTGGTGAACAGCAGGCGCCCTTCTTAAATCAACCCTGACCACATCTGATGGGGGTCCTTACACAGACATATCACTACAAACTCAACAGACATGTTAATAGAAGCACCACAGACACTTTCTTTCTCCATCTCTGAGACTGACCACAAATTTTCTTCACAGAGTTTAGTTTTAATTTCAAAGTGAAACACTTAAAAATAAAAACTCACTCAGGCTTGTATCTGTGTGTGAGTGTGTGTGTGTGTGTATCTGTGTGTGTGAGTCAGTGCTGAAAGTGAGCTTAAGGTCTGAAAGCGGCTTTAAAATTAATCGTTCCCTGTGTGGGATTAAAGCTGCTGCTGGACAGGAAGTTGGATGTCTCTCCAACCGCTGGACGCCTAAACAACCAGCCCCGCCCCCACCCGTCAGACCCCTCCCACACACACACACAAACAGCGCCTCACACTCTGCTGGCACGAGCTCTGGAAAGATCCCAGCAGAGAGAGCGAGCCGGGCTGACCCAGATGAAAGCGAGGCTGCAGATATTTAAAGAAAACGAAGGAAAAGCGGCAAAAACAGAGAGAGAGAGAGAGAAAGAAAGGAAGAAAGAGGGAAAGAGAGAGAGATAGAAAGCTGAGCGGGAGAGTCACAAAGATAACCAACGTTCAAATTATTAGAAACATAATCCATGACTGAGAAAATCCCTGAAGCATTTGTTTCTCTGTCCCTCCTCCTTCCACAGCAGGTAGCGGCGTAACAGCGACAGGTAAACCTACAGGTGTGTCAGTGAGCACGCATAACTAGCCAAATGGTGCTCGAGTGAGAAAGCAGAGCGAACAGCATTTACTTGGTGGAAATATCCCAATCAGTTTGATGTCAGTGTAAGTTCTCATGGTTATCTAATTCTTTGTCAACTGGACTTGTTTGAGGTTTCTTGAAGACTGAGGCGGAACTCCTTCAAGAACCTTAAGCAAGTCCAGTCGCCCTTTCATTAGTTAGTTTTTGGGGAAAGAGATGAGGACACCTCAGTGGAGATCCTGGAGGACTTAAACTTGTCACTTATCAGACTTTAGATTTGAGGAATCATGTTTACGCTGACTCAGCTCCTCCATACTGAGGCTGTCACACAGAAACAGCTTTGAGTTCATCTTACGGAGGAAAACAGGGAACACTAACGCCTCTGAGTGCCGAGCTCCCCCCTGCTGGACATCTGTAAGAACTACGAACACCCGCACCTGCTAATATTAGAGGCTTTCTCATATTTACAGAAGGTCCACCTGTGTGATTAAGAAAAGCCTTTGGATTTTAATTATATTTGGACTTTTTAAAGTTCTGAGCAGGTTTGTGGGTTCACACGTTGACTGGAGTCTTCTCAGAGTGTTTTCATGCACGGTGAATTTGAGTTACAGTCAGAAGCATGTTTGCCTCCTCTACAGTAGACGGCAACATGTCTCCTTTCAGCTTGTTACTGTCAGGTCATCTTTTGGTTGACCTCTTGTATACCAAATCAATCAACAAAACACATTAGAAAGAGGTTAACTGGACGTTTAATGATGGAAACTCCATCACTGTCGCAGCTCTGTGCTGTTTGTTTCTACAAAAGTTTCGTCTTTTTTCTTCATCTGTCCAGGTTTTGTTTTCAACTCAATAACATGTTCATGCTATTTGACTTTCTGTGTGTGAACACTGAGCATGCTCAGAACACTGAGTCCTGATTGAGCTAAATACAGGACAAAGAAGATCTGCCTCTACTGTTGCCATCATCATCATTATTATTATTATTATTATTATATATTATAGTATTATTTAGGTCTGTTAGTCAGTGAAAAGTTGGATTTGGAGCGATTTCAGTCAGATTGATATGTTTACATGTGTTTTTAAAGTTCAGTTTCAGCACGGTTTTGAAGACCATGTAAACAAACTTAGTGTTTCCTTGAAAAAGCTGTTTAACAGATTCTTTCTCTGTCACATTATCAAGGGCTGGAGAGGTTATGGCTGAAGTGCACAATGATTTCATTAAATCTAAGTAATCTGGTAGCATATAGCAAAAGTTCCTTTTTTAAGGTGTTACCCGGAGTTGTTTTTAAGCAGAGGAGCATACTTTGACGGAACACCTGCATCATCTGAACCTTCATAAACTGGTTTGAACATGTCAGAGTTTCCAGATTTTTAACAATTGTCTTTTATAACAGTTGAGTTCGTTCAAAGCCTCCTCATTAAATATGGTTTTTACTGTTTGTTTAATCAGGAACTGAAACTCTGATTGTCAGAGGGTACAATAAAAGGTCAAACTGAGAACGACCGCAGGTGGAGTGTATTTAGTTGTGTCTGTAGCAGCGTGTCTCAGCTAAATTTCATTAACTTCTTTTTATTTGAATGATAAATAATTTATACACAGTTACGTCATTTACAGAATTTTTTAGGGTGTGGCAAGTGGAGCTAACCCAGAGCCCCACATGTATTAGATCCAGCCCTGTATGCATGCTGTTACCACACCAACTGTTCAGCTAGGATGTTTTAATTATCATTTACACTTTACATTTACAGCTAATCTTACAGTGCTGCAGACAGAGTGTAAAAACAGTATATAAAGTCCAAACTTTCAGACCACAGGAGAGCATCTGAAGCTTCAATCCTGAAGAGTTTGAAACTCAGAGCTCATCGTGAACACTAACCTAACCCCACTTCTGCATCTACATGAACACAAACAGACTGAATGTTAAACTTAGAAATGAGAGATTTGTCTTTTTAGGTTTGCTCAGAAACTGATATACCTAGGACCTGGTGTTGGGTGCTGAAAGGCCCCCCAGGAGTCTGAGACCTGCTGACCGCCTGACACGCCTCCTCCCCTGGATACAGTCCCAAACACCAGCCGGAGACAGTGATGACAGCCCGGTGCAGCTCTTATTAAACCTGTTTTTCTAAATCTGTTTTTCAGTATTTGGAGGATGTGGACCCTGACAAGTCTAATGAGCTCTTATTCATCGGTTTACTTTATTTAAGCCTCAAATATTTTATTCCATTAAAAGAAAAATATGATTATTAATTATGAAACCTTCATGGAATTCCAGCTTGTATTTCATAATATTAACATGTTAAAGGAGGTGGAGGTTATTTATAGACACCTCACAGAGCAGGAATAATCAGCCTTTTCATAATATTACTACTTTTTGTGGACCTGCACTTTTTAAGGCCAAATTGACTTGTTCTTGAAAACGCAGTTTTTCACAGACTGACCCTGGATCTGTTCCCGCTGATGGTTCCGTCAACAGTCTCCATGATGAATCTATAGGCTTGTAGAGACATAACAGAAGAGCCGGAGCAGCAGCTGCTGCTGCCCCTATCTCTGAATCTGAGGGGCTGCAGAGGGTGAGGATGAAGATGGTTCCTATGATAATGAAAACTAATAAGGAGGGGAAAAATCTCTTTATTAAATTAAATGTGATGGTTTCAGCGCGTTTATGCTGACTATGAAATATCAGGAGCGTCGCTGTGTACATGAATCTGAGCAGACCATCTGATCCCGTTTATTCCACCTCAGCTCCGCTTTATTCTTACATTTTCCACCCTGAATTTTAACATTTTTATTGGCTCTTTATTCCTACTTCACCGTCTGATTTCTTCCCCGGGGTTTTCAAATAAAAGCATCGCGTTAATCGGTGGGAACAATAAAGGGGCGGTAGGTGTACCTGTCTGCAAATGGCGCTGAATGTGAAATAATGTCAACAAATCCTCCGAGCGGTTCGGACGGAGAGATCCACTCACCGCTGAGTCCAGATCCTCCAGCAGAAACTCTGATCCTGAAGAAAAGCTCACAGGTTACTCCCAGCGATCATCAGACTAACAAAGTAACACCACCACCAGCAGCGGCAGAAGCCTTCAGGAGCCTTTAACAATGTGTTTAGGTACCAGGAGCAAACGCTAGTGCACGGAGCGGTGTGCCCTCAGTGCTGTCTGACAGGCAGACAGAGGAGGAGGAGGCAGGGAGAGCTCTCTGTCCTCAGCTACACTCTGCTGCTGCTGCTCAGGGAACAGTTCAATAACAGCTACTGGGAGGAGTTGGAGGGGAAAGGATGGTGGCCCTGAGGGTCAACTGCACAAATATAACAGAGAATACAAAAAAAAAAAAAAGTTTTTTGAAAGGTGAAAAAAAAAAAATCCCAATGAACTCTAAAACACATGGAAAATGTAAAACAAAAAACAATTCAATAAAACAATATAAAAAACTCAAATACTTAATGCTACACCACAAACTTTTTACAAAACGCAAAAAAAAAAAACATTGAATGTAATATAAAAACTGTGAAAATGTTACGAAATGTAAAACTATTTTCTTTTTTCCATGATATATCTTTATACCCTCTAATGAAGTTTTTGTATTAATTTTACTTTTTTGGCATTCAGTGAATTGTCTTTTTTTTTTTCTGGTTTGCAAATTTGACCCTTGGGGCCACCGCAGGAAAGCAACAAAATAACTTGATATTCATCCAAGATTGTTTTCCTACATTTAATTACAAATTTCTAGGTTAAAATTATCAGTTTTAAATAAAAGTAATATTAAGTGTGATTATCTTAATTAAAGATGTTGTTTAAGTTACATGACATCTGTGCACCACTGACTGTTCAGTTTTTAGACATTTAGAAAAATCTCTGTGCAGACAGAGGGAGTCAGTCTGCAAACTCACATGAAACACTCTGACAATGTTCATACACTGTGTAAATCTGTATACCCAAGAACAACTATGGAAATTTCTGGAGCTGCAGTTGTTTTGGACTATTTTGTCTTACACTTTTGTTCTTATGTTCTTTGGGTTTGTCTGCTTTAGATTGAAATCATTACATGATTTGTGCTCTAACTGTTTTTGTGCAGATGTTTTCTCTCTGAGTTTCCCATTTTTCAGATCTGCTGCATGTTTATGTTCATTCTGGACTTTGGCTGTGAGTTCTGAATCAGTGTGATAATTGAATTTTCAGCAAATTTAACGATTCAAACAACTACACTATTGGAAAGTACGTAAAAAAAATCTTGTATTTTAAATAATTCATGCATTAAAAGGGAGGTTACCTTTAATACAAGTCTGGAACTCACTGGCATGTACAAAATATGGGATTATTGATTACAACTGGACTTCTGAAATAAATGTAAACATGTTAGTCTGACTTAAAATCATGCCAAATTAGTTTATAACACAGCTGGGGATCAGTTTTCTCCTCTACACCTGCATCAAACTCAAACTGACCTTACGTCCTGAGTGTGTTCCCCACACACATGTTGGACTTTGACCCTGAAGTTAAACAGAATAAATGTGTAGAAAGAAGTAAAGAAAAAAAACTTTGACAGAGGAAGAAAGTATGACAAAAGATGAGAGTGTATGAATAATACAGAACTATCATCAGAGTGAATGATCCTTAAACCCCCTGAAGAGGTCTCACATGCTACATATTTCTCACTCAGACTTAGTTATTTTCTGTGTTTTAAAAGACTTGTCTAAAATCACTTTATCTCTCACACCCAGGAAGTCTTTTCAGGGTTCAAAAGTGCAGCAGCTCAAAACCTGCAGCAACCACACGCAGCCTGTAAGACAGCACACAGGGCTCACCAACCCTTTTACTCCCTCTGTTTTGTACAGGAGGGAGGAGCTCTGTATGTAATAAGGAGAGTGTATTGGTGGAGGCAGCCAATAGGAGCAGGGAGGCTGCAGCCTGGACCAATCAGAGCTCAGAGAGCTACTGGTAGAAGCAGAGCACCTCCATCAGTAACCAAGCATCCTCTCCATCCAGATCAATACATCTGTTATTATTACACAGGCTGATCAGGAGCAGAGCAGAGCGGTTAGAGTGGAGTCATCTCTGTTTATTCAGAGACCATATTCCAGCTTTTATTCACAGGCAGCTGTGAGGAGGATTATAATCCACATGTGTTCAGTTATATAACACTGTATAGGCCTCATTCTAAGAGCATGTCGAACACGCTCTGAGATTATTCAGGAGCTCCAACAATCAACAACTATAAAACATGTTTACAGCTGCAGGAGCTGCAGGTCTGTGCTTATAGACACACAGTGACACCAAACACACTGCAGAGGAGGAGCTTTATCTAAAGGAATAGTTCAGCGTTTCATACATAAAAACTTCAATTCTGGGTGGACTGATTTTGTTTCATATATGGAGTGTAGCCCTAAACTAAAGATGTTATTAGCTGAGCACAAGAAATATAAAAAACACCCAGGGCCATCCAAGTTTTAAAAATACAGCAAGGAGCAGATCATCCAAATTCACACAGCAACCATTCTCCTCCCAGTGAGAAGTCCAATAAATCATTAGCTGACAATTTCTCATAATTATTTATTATTCTGATAACAGTTTTATCCAATGAAAACAACTGATTAAAGCAGCTTTCTTTACTTTTTAACAAGTCCACAAACTTCCACTCTGTAGGAGGCGCTATAGGATCCATTAGTAAAAGTAAGACGACTAGCTGATGACAGTAAAAATGGCCCCACTAAACTCCTCCGACCCTGGACAAGTCACCAGTTCATCACCAGATTCAAACCCAAGACCTTCTAGCTGTGAGGCGACAGTGCTAACCACTACACCACTGTGCCAGCCCCCCTCTGATTTAGTTTTAGCAATAACACTCACAAACTCTAATGCCAGATTTCACCTCTAGAATATATGACAGCTTAAGAGGATGGGCTAAGTATGCGCTCTATGAAGGAAAATGGGAAGGGTGCGCTTCATTTACTTTACAGGACAAAATGAGCACAGCGGGGCAGGCAGCACAATAATCATGTCATTTAAATATTCATGTTTTTATGATCATGGGGAGTCATAACTGTAATTGAAAGTTGATTAATGGTCCAGCACCAGTGTACGCTCAAATTCAATGCTATTGGGACAGGGTAAAAAAGCAGTATGGGAGGTGAAGTCTTTAATTTCCAGCTATCTTCAGTTAACTTTGTCATGACCCGGCTGAAAAAAACAGGAAAAGGACCCAACAGCAACCCCTGACTAGGCACTCGGGTCGTCACCTTTTTGATAAAATTCACAGTGAGAGCAGGTTCAAGCTTGCACTCACTCTTGGTTATGCTGATTTAAGCATAAGACTTTCCATAGACCTGCATCAAGTATTAGCAGATGTCTGTTCTCTAAGGAGTCTGGTTCTGTTAGAGGTTTCTGCCTGTTAGAGGATGTTTTTCCTCGCTCAGAGAACAAAGATATCTTTAAGGGCAAAGGGAAAAGTCCCATTTTTGTAACAGACTGTACAGGTGCCCCTGACGAGTTGTAAAAATAAATATATCATGAGATGATTAGGAGTATCTCAAAAACAGAAATATTCAGATGAGCATTAAGGAGGCTGGGAGCATCACAGGCGGAGATATGTCGACGGTCTCCATGGTAACAGCAGCGTTATTGTAATCAGCATATCTAAGCCTTTTTTGGCTGTTATTGTCTGTTCAGTTCATCACCCTCTATTTCAGTCTGTACCGCCTCATCTCCTCACACACACTCCTTCCCCCATCACACATACACACACTCACAAAAGACCCTTCCCCCCTCCTCCCCCATCACGCCCCCTCCCCCAGCAAGAGGAGCAGGTGCTGGGCCAGACCGTCTGCTGAGGAGGTGAGGAGCAGAGGCTCCCCAGAGAGAGGAGGACCACGATCCAACACCAGCACCCCCGTCATGTCACACAGATCACCAGATACCAACTAACCCCTCAAACAGACACACAAACAAATACAAGAACACAAACACAGCCCTCCAGTATGAATGGAGTCTGGTTCAGAAATGACAGCAGCACAATGACCTCTGCTGTTTCCAAATCAAGTTCAAACTCCTCAAACTCAGCCCAAGGCTCTGCTGCTGATCCAAACATGTTGAATTATGAAATGATGATGTAAGAATAACTGCTGTTTGGCTGTGAAAGTGTGTGTCAGCTGTTTGTAGTGAGTCAGACTCCGTATCTTTATCCAGATACATCTGTTAGAGGGTGTCACATTCAGGAAAACACATAAGTGAGTGACTGTGTGAGTATAGACAGACCTTACTACGACAACAAACAAATAGCAGACTCTTTATGAACCCCGTTTAAGTCCTGTTTAAATCCTGCAGGATTCTGTCTGGAAAAGTTAGCAGCAGAAATATTCAGCTACTTCGCTTTGGGCTGATTCAGATGTTTAACAGTTGTAGTATTTTTGTGTTCATGCTGCAGTGCCGTAAAGTGAGCCACACCAAACTTAAAAACAAAGCACAGGAACCCAGCAACAAAAGAGCCCAATAGTAATCCAACCAGAACACCAAGAACCAACAAAGAAGAACCCGAACAACATCAAACACCAAAAAAAAAAAAAAAAAACATCAAGAGGAAACCTATGGTTAGGAGAAATTAAGCTAATGCGGGAGAACTAAAAACTGCAGTTCCCTGAGTGTCCATTAGAGGCAGTCTGCAGAGGCACCAGAAACCATGTACACACCCATTCAAAAAAAGCCAATCTTTCATGGGTGACACCATTGAGGCTATTTCTAGATATTGTAGGAAAATCTATGGAAATCATGAGAACATTTTGAAGCCATAGGAGCCCATATGATCCCAGCAACACAAGGACTAAACTCTTCCAGACCAAGATGATGAGCCGATTAAGCAATAAGAAGAGGGGGAGCAAATCAAAAAAAGACAATGAATAAATGTTTGACGGATTAAATGAGTTAAACTTCATCCACAAAGACGGAACAGTGTGTAGAAATAAAAGTCATGAAATCGGGTGATTAAAATAAACATCAGCAATAAAAATTAATTTGATGCATTTATTGAATTTCCCTTTGGGGATCAATAACAATGGAGCAAACCTGCCCCCACTCAAAGGAATATGAGCTCACAGCTGTTATGGTCAGCTAAACTAAAAATATAAAAACAGTTAATATTGATAAAAGCTAAAGATCCTGATTCCATTCACTGTTTAGTGTAAATTACCCCCAGGTCTGGAAAGCTCATATGAATCAGATCTGCAGAGACATTCAAAGAAGAATGAAGACATATTGAAAAGATGAAATCACCCTTAGGAGGAGGGTCAGAAGGAGGTTCTAGAGGAGGATCTGAAGGAGGAGGATCACCCCCTCCAAACCCTCCTCCTTCAGGTCAGATTCATTTCCTATGTGACTGATCTCTGTTCCCGCCTCTCTGCTGGGCTGCAGGTGGATTTCTCACCCTGAGTGGAACATAAATCACTTTCCCTCCCTCTCCTCTGTTGACATCTGTGCTCTGTGGCCTCCAGCTGAGCCGAAGCTTTAATTACCTCCCTTCACTTCCACTCAATTAGCTCAGGGCAGCTCAACAATAGCCCCACAGTCCTGACACAGCAGCTAACCATACTAACAGAGCTAACAGAGCTAACAGGCCTACTGGTGTCTCTGCACAGCATTTAAAGCTTTAAGGGTCGCTGCTGTTATAAATGATTCAGTGACATTTAGATGAGTCAGACACTTAGACTCATCAGGGTGTTTTATTTATTACACAGAGATATCAGAGTAAGTGAAATTACAGCTGAGTGGATCACCTAAATGTTACATTAATCCATCTCACTGCACAGGTCAGTAATTCTTCAGTCTGTCTCTGAAGCAAAACACTGTGTCGTTACATCATCGAGGCCCTAAGAGAGCGGCTCCGTCTGCTGCTCCACCACATCACAGAGAGTGATGGTGAGTCTTGTTTTTGGATAAAAGCTTCCACCTGTTTCTGAGCTTTGACACAAGTCCTCAACACGAGTCATCACTGCATCCTTACACACATGAGGCTGATTTGTAAAATATCCATGATTTGTCAGGTCTGTACACAGGAATAGAAAACTCTTATTAAAATAGTCATTTTTTTAAATGGGGTTTGGTTTATAGGCTCTGCACATTCAGAGAGTCAGAGGAGCCTCGACTATTACTGGAGGTGATAAAGTGAATCACACAAATTGCTTCATCCTGGTGTGTTTACACTTTCTCCAGTGTGTGTGTGTGTGTGTGTGTGTGTGTGTGTGTGTGTGTGTGTGTGTGTGTGTGTGTGTGTGTGTGTGTGTGTCTGATATTTGATGGTGATGATGATGATAATCCAGCCTGAGTCAGAGACCACCTGTTCATCAGTTTCTGCTGCTCTGCTCTCTGCTGCCCCCTGCTGGACACACACAGACTCACAGACTGAGAGGCTATCAAAGCAAAGTGAGGTGAAGTTTGGAACTGCAGCTCCACGTTTCTGCGTTTTTTAATTGATTTTAATTGAAGGGCATGACACACAAACTGAAAACAAATTTAACATGAAAAATACGAGGATGAACAAAACTTTTAAAAATTTACAATAAATAACAAAGCTGAAATATCCGTCTTTGTTTTATAGTGTTTTGTTTTACATATATAGTAATTCCCTTTGTAAAGCGCAAAGACCAATAATTCACTCCAAAATGGGTCATAGAAAAAAATGAAAAAAGACATTATTACTACAGTTCCACTAAACCATACGGTGCAGTTATCTTTACAGCTTAGCTTGCGCACAGGCTCTTACTGCAGTTTCTCTTTTAAGGGAGCTGAGCTGACTGACATACAGCATGGCTAAAACACTTACCAGAGACATGTATCTCATACAACTTCACTACAAAAAGTTTATTGCAAACATGTTAGAGCAGAGTGTAAGACACTTAATGCCACTGAGACCACATCAATAATAACAAATATAAAATATAAAGTAACTCACCATCATAACGAAGAGGCAGGAGTTCGAGGGCGGCCATGGTCCCACGTCCAGAAGTTTAAAATCAGGAACACAGAAAAAAAAAAGTGAGACTGTCAGTGATACATTTAGATATTTACACTGAGATACTTTCACCTTTAACTCACATTTGACTGTTGGATGGTAGAAGGTGAAAAGCTGAGTAGTCAGCTCTTATGGACTGGTGTCATGATCAGCTGAAAGTAGCACTATTTATAGTGCGTGCTTATTGCTATGAATTATGGAGTATTCCTTTATTTGAAGCCTGTAAGAGACCAAGCAACCAGGCAAAGGACAAAGGTGTGGAAAATGATCTTGATCCTTTCATTTCACTCCAAAAACAGAAATCAATAACAAAATTTCCAACTTAATGTGGTAGAAAATCAACGAAACCTGGGCCCACACTAAAAGATGTCAACTCAGCAAAAAAGAACTAACATTTCAACCCAATAAACACAATCGAACAGACCTACTTAGTGATACGCCTCAGAGGTTTAAATAGACAAAGGTCCAGTCCAACATTAACACAAGGGGGAAACTAAAGTGACTACAAACTGAACATCAAACAAACTCAAAAAAACCCAGTCAAATTATCCAAACCAACTTTTTTTACAAAAAAACTTAAATACTCTGTTCTAACTGAAAGAATAAAGAGAAAAGTTTTATCAAGAATCAAAAGTCCAAGCTCCTCTTTGCTCCCCCCTTGATGGTCTGTCCCACTTCCTGTGGGTAGGGCTTAAGAGGCCATCTTGGAACTGTAGACAGCCTTTTGTCAGGTGAGCTCGAGCAAAGAAAAACAAAAAGGTAAGTACTTCTTTAAAATGATACAAACTTAAATTAAATCATGATGTAGAAAATTGAAATGTGGCAGTTTAAATTGTGTGCACCCAAATTAGAAAACAACTGCCATAAATGCAACAAAAGTGAATTTATTTCAACAAAAAGTCTGTAATGTGATTTTTCTAAACTTAAACAAATTTACTGCGTTAAAAACCTAAAGACAAAGAAATACTAGCACCATGTGGTGGTTGAGGCCGCCACAAATCCCTATTTTAATATTGTCATTATTATGATATTATCTGAAAGTGTCTTACAGCCACAAGGATAGATCAGAGAAACTATCAGCAGGAGTGACTGTAGTGAATATTTTACATTGACGGTGGGAAAGTCTGAATTTGTGCGTTTACTGTTCATCTTACCTGAAGATTCTCAGCTGTAAATGCCAGTCTGGATTATGTGTTTTAAAATGTCATATTTCATGAATATTATACTTTTAATTCTTAGCTAAAGAATTCTTTAGTTCTTTAGCTCGTGTGAACACACTCACACTAACTCAAAGTTGATTTGTCAGGTTGATTGTCAGCTTTGTGGGAACGATTGACATCTTCTTAGTCAGGGTCAATAGGGAGAAGATACTTGAGGTACGCTGGACTCACTTAAGTCCTACTCTGTTCTCTGTTGTTGGGGATTTCTAAATCATCTTTCAAACTCTCCGTGTAAGCCTCACTTAGCACCCTGGTTGTGCGCCGCTAAACTAGCAAAGCATCTTCAATTGTCCTGGCTCTTTTTGCTCCATGTGGTCTAAACCATCGATTGCTGAAACAAAGCTCCGTGTCTCTGTAGTGTGAGAAGCATAAACAAGTATGACATGAATCTCTATGCGTCTAACAAAAAAAAAGGAGAAATGCTGCATTTACTCTGAGTTTGTTAAGTATGCAGAAAAGCTTGAGTTTGTTGAATCCTGGTGATATGGAGGATTTAAATATTTAATGGAGGACTCCTCAGTGTGTCAGCTCCGTTTAAAGCTGCAGGATTCTGCAGACGAGGAGCCAGAGAGTTTTTCTGTCATGGAGCTGAAACCCAAACGAACACAATCCTCAGCAGTCTGCACTGTCAGAGTATTTTTAGTCATTTTCTTTTTTTTTTTATCACTTATTAATAACCTCCTGTCCTGCTACTGTGTGCCCTCACTCACTCAGACTATATTTAGCTGCTCGTTTTAAAATGTTTCACTAGCATCTTTTATTTATTTCTCCATAAACAGGACAGCTCACTCTGTGTGTTACTGTTTTTAGACTACAGCTGTAGTTTTATCTTCATATCAGTCAGCGTCTCGGCATTTAAGCCACAGCTGCGAATATCTGCAGGATGCAAAATGGAACAACTTACTTTTTGAAATCCTCCTGAGATGTTGAATAAGAAGATCTGGCTCTCCAGAGTTTGGACTTAAGCTGCAGATAAAAACTTTCAGATTTGAAACATCTCAGGAGTCATTCCACTAAACACGATGGTAAATCTGTGAGGACGGCTTTTTACTCTGATATTTAAATACGATTAGATATTAAGGTTATAATGTTTGTTAGCGTAGAAAGATCAGGATGGAAGCACCAGTTTGATAAAAGACGTGATTTTATGACTATGACCTCTCACAGTCAAAGAAACATTTATGTTTATCTGTAAAGACTGAAAAAAGCTCGTAGCTCACTAGTTATGACGCAGAGTTGCTCTTCCAGCCTGTACAGGTGGATACTTGGTGTTGGAGGACAGAGAGACTCTGCAGATGTTAAAGATCTTCCCTTTATTCTGCTGCGCTCAAACAGGTCTCTCAGTTTGAAGGCTGAACTTTGAGGGAATCAGATGATTTGATGTGAGTTTGTAGGAAGTTCAAAGCTGCAGATCACTGAGATGAGGGTCTTAGAAAGAATATAAGAATAGAAATCTGGCAGGTTTCCTCTGACTGAGGCTGATAGTAGCTTCTGTTAGACCTCATCAAGTTTCAAACTCTCTGTTACCAGAGCATGATCATGGGGCTTTAAAATGTTAAAATAAAATAAATATATGACGGCATGAAGGATGAGAAAAAAAAGGTCAGAATCTGTAACAAAGTAGGAAACATAAGAAAGGATGTAAACATAAAGAATGGGTCAGTGTGAAGAAATATCAGGTTTGACATACAGAGATTCAACAGAGTTTCATCTGCACTCCTCATTTCTTGCATCTCTCTGTTCATCTTTGCTGGGAGGGACTAAGAAAAGATGCAAGTGAAAGATGCAGAGATGCAATTTTGGGAACTGAGACACAGTTAATGTGTCTTTTCTGCCTGTAACAGAGGAGAACAGGACAAACACGGTGTCTGATTTTGACACTGAAGATGCATCAGCAGGTTTGATTCCATTCTCTTTGTCTTTGGTTTCATACTCTATCGACTAAACCACCAGTTTCCAGAGTCTAAAGTAACATCGTGAAGTTTGATCAAGAACATAAATACTTTTAAACTTTTAAGTGAAGAGGATCAGATCCACTGGGAACTGTTTTTTTCTACCATAGGCTGACTCTTTAATGGACTTTCTGCTGCAGCTCAGCTGGTTATACATGACGCTCTGTGACTGTAATGAACTGTCTTGTTGTTTCAGTCTGATCGTCCTCCGTCTCCCTGCTCTGTCTGCTCACAGACGTTTTACAGTAAAGAGGACACAGAAAAGAAGAGTTAAAACGCTCCATCAAATATTCATGTACAGTCAGAAAATACCAGCATCTGTACTGAACCACAGGGAGGACGATCTTTGTGATGCATGAAGCTCTGATTCAGTTTGTTTGGTTTTTTGCTTCAGAATAAGTGTGTTACCTCAGTTTCCCATTAGTGGCCTTTTACATTAAAAACTGTTTCTTCATTTGAGTGGTCAGATCTGACTCACTGCATGTCTGTCTGCATATTGTTGGATGTTGATAATAGATCATCATAGACCAGCTGTCTGAGACTATTATGAAAAAGCTGCTTTCTAAGAGCTTTCAGACAACACTTGATGATGCAGGTGGATGAACGTGCAAACAGGCTGAAAATGCAATAGGACAAGGCTGCAGATAACGACTATTTTCATTGTTATTGTAATGATTAATCAACTGATCCAATCAAACTGTACAATATATTATAATATATTTTTGAATGCCTCTTTTTTGGCTTTCAGCTTATGATTCAAAAAACCTGAATGGGAGAGTCTTGAAAACTGAAGTTCTGTGGATTTCAGTGGATTAAAAGAGCTCAGCTGTAGATCGTTTTTATCTGCAGTTACCTGAAACATCTGGAACATGTATCATCATAAACTAGTGGCACTAACTCCTGATCGAGTCTCTAACAGCGTGCAGAGATGTAGCGTGTGTATTATCATGGAGTGATCTGACTTTAAAATTTCTTATAAGACAGTTATGAAAAAAAAAAGTTCATTATCTTCAACTCACTGGCAGTGATGCTTGATGAAATATTTGCAAACATATATTCACTCACAATCGTTGAGCATTGCAAAGCATGTTAAGATATCAGGCAAAGCAGAACTGGCAGCAGCACCACTTTAAAACAAGTTTTCTCCTCATTAGGTCAGTGCAGATCAAGAGGGTGGATCCAGAGTAGGGCTGGGCGACATGGCCTCAAACCGTTCACATCAATCACGATAAATGGACGATAACTACTCCACAAGCTGCTCACCCCCTCCCACATTAACTTCATCTACTTCAGCCGACGCTCCAACTGCTACAACTTTTGAACCGTCCTCCATCTCCTCACCTGTCTTTCCCTCTTTGTCACAGACTGGATGGGGTGGAGTCACGCCTCATAGCCTACCTAGTCAGATCACAGCCTACCTTCACACATCCAAACCAACTTTTATTTAGTTTTTTGACACCGAATATCCCGATATGGGCACAATGACGTCGGTTATTGTCGTAATTTCGGTATCGGTAAATTTTCAGTTTATCGCCCAGCCCTAATCCACAGTGGCCTGGGCCCCACTTGGAGTGTGATTGGCCATCCCAGCTCACATCCTAAAATCCTAAATCGATCATTTAGACTTTTTTTTTTTTTTTGGTCTCTTAATGAGAGACAATTCAAGCACTTGTGAATCTATAGTAATATGAGTGAAACTGTGATGTATCAAGATTAAATTTTCAGATTGACTGAATAATCCCAAACATAGACTCAGAGCAGCAGGATAAAGTATGAGCGTTTGTCCTGAGCTGAAATGCTGCACACACTCAGTGCTCTCTGCAGCAGTAATAATGAATAATCATAAACTCTTTTACAGAGAAAGGCCTCTCTGTGTTGGAGGCTGAAGAGCGTGCTCAGTCTGGCCTGTAGGTCTGATTGTAGCGGGTCTATCCTTTAAAGTGGGACAGAGTTAATCCAGATTACTGGAAAGTGTTTACTTTGAGGGAGTGATTTCCCTGGACTTCTGTCTCAGTCTGGACCACCATCAGAAACAATAGATCATATTTTTACTCTGACAGACTCAGGGCTCAGCTGGTGAGGTCTGCAGTGCTTACGTTTGCACAAACTGAAGCCTGGCTGTGTCTCTATGCAGACATTAGTCAGAGAGGACTGTCAGGATGTGTGATGGAATATGAGCACAGAGAGGAGTTCAGTCAGAGCTGATGCAGGAACACCCAAACACTCTGCTGAGGGTCTGTCACCTGCTGCAGAAACACCCCACAGACACACACATAGCCCCGCAACATGACTTCACTTTCAGGATCTGATCTGGTGTAAACACAGACAAACCGTCCCACCATCCTGCAGCTGTATAAGTTTACCTCAGTAATCTGTGCTGCATTATTCACAGAAGCAGAGCAGCTCAGTGTTTCTGCAGCAGCGTGTAGCAGATTAATGAAATATGCATCACAGCATGAGTTTGCTTTAACTGTACTGCGTCTTTCAGAGGGCAGAGAGCCACTGACAGGGACCTCAAACAGGCCAAACACCTTAAAGACTAGAGAAAAGCTCTGGAACATTCCTGCTGCCTCCCTGTAGCCCTCCATCAAACAGTGTCTAATCCTGCTAAACTCCAGCAGCAGTTTATTTACAGTAGTAGAAGAAAGAGCAGCACGGTACAGCACCTGAGAGCTCCTGGTCTCCGCTGACAGATGTTCGGGCTCTTCCATCCGTCTGCACCTCAGCTCACAGCAGCATCACCGGCTGCAGCTCCGCGCACCGACACGCAGCGCAGCGCAGCGGAGCCGCGGAGAAGGAGTGTCCGCCCGGGGCTGTCTGCTGCGTCAGGCTGCCTCAGAAACAGAGACTGCGCCTGAAATCCCCCAATACTGAGAGGACGGTAATTCCTATACCGGCGACACACAGTCTGCTGTGCAGGCAGAACACAGTGTCATAATAACTCTGAGGAGTGTGGGTGTTTGGCTGAAAGTGAGAGAGAGACAGAAAGAGAGAAAGAGAGAGAGAGAGAGCTCCCATTTGAACAGAAGAGAGAAATAATGAGCCTGGAGACTCCTGCAGAGTTTGATCACACAGCAGAAAACTGTTATTTCAAACGGAGAGTAAAATTACATTTAAAAACAGCTTCAGTCTGCAGATGAGAATCTGGTGTCCTCATTTGCTCTTTGCATGTTTGAATTATGTGATTGCTTGAATGTTATTGGTTGGAGGTGTGACTAAATGAGTCCTTTTGCATACATTACTAAAGCATATCCAGGCTGCTTAGGGGGCAAAATCATAAATATATAAAAAGAGCACAGGAACTTAGAAATCAGCATTTTGGCTGACAGTATGGGGTTTATTTCAGGTAGAGTGGGGCAGAGCTAACAAGAAGGAGGTCTAAGGAGTCCCCTCAGGAAATGTTGGACACCTAACTCTTAAATGCTGCACTCAGGTTAATATTTATGCAAGAATTAGTGCACATACTTAAAAAAAAAGATCTTACCACATGAAGACTTGATGTTTGCAACCAGATGTGCTCTCCCTGCCTCAAGCTCAGGATTCCACCTATTTACATGGAGAGGCAGGGAGCTCTCAGAACAGCCATATCACCTAATATGTACGTGAAAATAATGACTCTCTTTAATGAAAGTCTTTAGTTCACATTTTAAAATAGTCATTTTTAAAGAAAGTGTCAGGATCAAGCTCAAATTAGTGTTTGGTGTTAATTCGACAAAAACAGAATGCCCAATTATTAACAACAATAATACAGTGTGTAGATTGATTTTTCAATAAGTAATAGAACAATGAAAATTTTGATTTCTGTTCATCAGTTTAAATATAATACAGGACCCTGCTGCTTTGAAACTGAGGACCCTGATCCAACCCTCCTCTTTAAAAACTGTTCCTGCTCCTTTAATTCTCAGGCTGGTGGAAACGTTGGTTATAAAATCTGCCTCACTGCAGCAGAGGGTGATGTTCACGTCTCCTCACACACACAGCTGTAATGAGGAGTGAATGCAGAGTGGTTTAAATCTTTGGCTAAATTACTCTCACGGCACAGTTTTATGTGTGCATTAAGACTATAAAACTCTATGTTGGAGGCTGGATTATGTAACAGTGCAGCAGAATTGGAAATGACACTTTTAAACCAACATTTGTAATTACTCTAATAAACTAATGTGATCCAGCTCTTTGTTTAGAAAAACTGAGCAGAAGTCTGAACGTTTAATCCCTTCACACAAACTGAGCTTTTTGCTCTTCCTCCTCCTCCTCCTAGTGTGTGTTTGTGTGTGTGTGTGTGTGTGTGTGTGTGTGTGTGTGTGTGTGTGTGTGTGTGTGTGTGTGTGTGTGTGTGTGTGTGTGTGTGTGTGTGTGCCTGCAGCCTGCATCTCACACACACACTTTATTCTTATGTAACAGTGGAGCTGTGCTGCTGTGCTGCTTCATGATGAACTCTGAGTAGCGGCTGTTTTTAGAGCATGCTCACTGACAGCCAGTCGACTCTCAGCTTTCTATTTTCAGCTGCAGGAACAACACACACTCAGAGTTTCTATAAAAATAAACTTTATTTACTGCAGAGACAGAAAAAAAAGTGCAACAGAGGATGTATCTCAGTCAGGTGGTTACAGTGAACACATTATTATTATAGAGTAACAAACACGGTGGTACATAAATTACAGTACAAAACTGTACAGAGTCTTACAGTATTTACATCTATTCTTTTTCAGTATCAAGAAAAGTTACAGCACTTCTCTTGTTTCAGAAATCTTCTTTTCTGCACTGATCTAAAGACCAACCTGTCAAAACTCGGTAAAGAGTCTTTAAACGGTGAAAACACTGAAGCAGCAGTCACATGTCCACCTCTTTTCAGAAGCTACGTCTAAATCGTTTATGTGTGTTTGTAAATCAGCTGTCCTGTTATGTTTTATATTCTCAGGATGCTAAATCAATCAGTTTTCACCACCAAGTCAAAAGTAATACAAGAATGATCCTAATAATGTTAGCCAGGAGTAAGCCTTTGTCTTATTTTGAAAGGGAAGAATCCATATTATAATCCGTCAGCTGATAGGAGAGCTTTCCTCTTCCTCTTGGTCCACCTTAAATGGACTCAGATTATGTTTGTTTTTTAGTTTGCATGGTACTAACTTTGCATCCTGTTGCTCCTGGTAAAATCTATTTGAGCCTTTTTAGCCCAATTGTCCTTGTAAGCCACCGTACTTTTCCACTAACAGCCAATGTTTCCCATGCATAAAGTACCTTCATATTTTACATGTAAAGCAGAGCCCTCAGGGTCCTCCTTCTCCTCTTTTCAGGATAGTGATGTTGGGGACAACAATGTCAATATCTGAAGATTACAAACTCATCATTAACAGAAAAAAGTACAATAATTTTAGGAACGTTAAAGGCTGATTTCTTTAACTTCTGTCATAACTACAAAATATCAGACATGGTAAAACTGAAATGCTTTTTAGTCCACCTCTCTATGACGGACTAAATCAAGATTATTTTCTCTTGGTATAAATATTTGAGGACCTTCAATTTCAGTCTCGTCGGTTCACTATCAGGCTAAGGTCAATAAAAACTGGCTTGTGTGTGCAAAAATAAATCTTGTGAAAAAACTTCAAATATTTGACAGATTTTTTTTACACTCACCAATCAACTCCAAACTCTGAGTGACAGATTTCGGGATAATAAAACAGCATTTTAACATCAAATGAAATAAGCTAAGGTAAATACTGTTGCTCTCCTTCATCTATAAATGTGACTAAATAAGCTGTGAGCTGAGGGTGTGAGCCAGTAAATCCTATTCTGTGGATCAGACTGAATGTGTTCGTTTTAAAAAGTCCATCTTCCAGGTCAATCTACTATCTGAGCCCATGATTTTCAGACAGACTTCTACAGGAGTTGAAATCACTCACCCATCAGGGTTGATTTAGTTCTATCCAGAGTTGAGCGTAAGTGCAATCATCTTTTAATTTTTTGTGAACCTGTGAGAACTTCACATGTCGTTGTCATAGTCTCCGATCATCCTCCGAGAGCTGGACGCCAGGAAAATGTCATTGTCTTGCGGACAGTCATGATGGCAGGAGCAGGTCTTGATGAACATCATCTTCTTGATGAAGACGTCTCCCTCTGGACACTGGAACTCTACTTGTGCTGTGATGGTGCGGTGCGGCGTGCAGCAGCGGTTGTCAGTGCAGACACCGCAGAACTTTGGCCGGTAGAGTCTGACGCTGGAACAGCCAGACAATTCAAAGCGCATAAACCGCTGGGCCTTTGGTGTACGGACACACTTCCTCCCCCTCTGCAGAGACAAGAATCAGAGAGAGAAGCGTCAGAATCATCACAGTCATGGTCTCTAATCTACATGTATATAGAAAAGCAGAAATGGAGTTCCCCAAGGAACTGTACTAGGTCCTCTCACTGTAGTTGAACAATGACAAACTTTGTGAATGAACTGCTATGTAACTTCAGGTGAACCCTCTGACCTTGATGTCCCTGTCCTGCTGGCTGTTGCAGGGTCGGATCATGCAGATCCTGGTCTGTCTCTCCAGCTGGCAGCGCTGGTTGTCGTTGGTGATGCGGGAGGAGACGCCCATGCCGCAGGAGGCCGAGCACTCGCTCCACTCTGTGGTCTGAACGATGCAGTTATCTCTGGGACTCTCTTCAATTGGTCCATAAGGGGACCCCTGTCTGAAGACTGAGTCTGGGTCTGAGGGGGGCAGAGGGTGAATCTGAGACACTCCTAAGAGGGGAGAAAGGAGGGTAGAGGTTAAACTACATCAACAGAAAGAGCTGGGAATCCTAAATGTCGGTTCAGACACTGACCGGCCATCACAGACTCGTATAGTTGGTCCTGGGGCGTCTCCTGACACACCCACTCTTCACAGCACTTTCCGGGGATGCTGATACGTCGGGGGTATGGGCAGTCAGGGGTAGGCAGTCGAACATCGCTGGCACACATGGGCACACAGCCGATCTCTCCGTTCATACACACACAGTGATGTTTACAGCTGGGCTGGAAAGACTCCCCACTGCGGTAAATCACTCCCCCGAGGTCACATGTCTGACCCTCCTGAGCTGCAGATGGACCACAAATACGCCACTGTTACTCTATGGACAGAAGACTTCTCTATTACAGTAAAGTACCACAGGACCAGACCAAGATGTCCAGATAACCAGGGATGCTAAATAGTGATAAAAACAGATTTTTATGCTTAGCAACTAAAAAATGTTCCAGTTTTTTGTGGATGTCACTAAGAGACTGCAGTTTCAGATTAATGTTTCTGAGTGTCAAATGTAAAAGAATAAGTGGATTTCATCATCTACAGTACATAATATCATTCATAGATTCAGAGAGTCTGGAGAAATTTGTACAAAAGGGACAAGGACCAAAACCAAGACTGTGTCATCCTAATTTTCAGGCCCTCAGGCAGCACTGCATTAAAACAGACAGGACTCTGGAGTGGAAATCAGTGCATGGGCTTAAACTCACTTAAAAAACTATTGTCTGTAAACACAGTTCATCACTGAATCCACAAATGAGGTTAAAATTGAACCATAAAATGAGGAAACCAGGTAGAACCAGGATCCAGAGACTGAGACTAATCATAATCTGACATTCTTTTTGTAAATCATGGACGCTGCGTCCTCTGAAACATCTGTTGCCATCCTGACAATGACGTTTTTTAGGAGAAAAAAAAGGGTTACAATATAGTCCAAACTCTAGAAACTGGTCTCCTGGGTCCACTATTGTTCACAGAGTTGAGAGTGACTTACCCATGCAGACTCCGGTCTCGGTGTCACTCAGCAGGCTGTAGTCACAGTACAGCTCTTTATGGTGGTCACAGGGCTCCAGCAGAGAGCACGGCTCCCCCACTTGTCTGGCACACACCTTACAGCATCCGCAGCCATCCAACACCAGGCTGGTCCCCACGGGGCAAGGAGGGGGGTCTGAGGGACAAGAACAGGGCTGGGAGCAGTCCTGAGCTGCTGTCTGTGGGGGAAATGAAACACAAACAAACACAAACAAGTTAAGATCATAAAACAGGAGAAAAAAAGTGTTTTATATTCAATTTTCGGCCACAGATAGACTCTGAGTACCGGCTCAGGTCAGAGTCAGACCCTTTTATTGTGTTACCAACATTTTCTGCTGTTTTCACTCACAGGATTGTCCTTCAATATCCCACTGAGAGAGCACTGTCAGATACTCTGATCAGTGAAAAGCAGAAATCTTAAAATTGAGTTTAAATAGTAGTAGTAGTAGTTTATTTGTCCCATAGGGAAATTGAAATGTGATGTTTAATTAGATAAGGTCAACTGGGTTTTTGAACTGCATAAATAGGATGGCTTTATTAATGAGACCTGGATATTTAAGCCCCTATTCAGTCAGATCGGATTTTTATTTTTGGCCTATCACAGCCCTGCAGCTTCAATTTGTTTTTTTCAGTCACGCTTTTCCAAGTTGTTGTCCATGTGTTTTGCATTCAACAAACTCCTCTTGTGCAAAGAAAAGTTAACAGGCCTGGAGGAGCCTTCTGCACATGCTCACTGGGCTGCATACTCTGGAAAAAAACTTAAAAATCCTGGAAACTTTCTGTCAAATGGGCCGGGATGAAAACTTTCAGCATGTTGTTAAGTCAGCAGAACCTTGGTCTGGTGCGCAGGTGTCAACAGTAAACAGTAGTCCTATGAGCAAAAGGAAAATATCTTTTTTGGGAAAAGCATATGCAAGCATGTCTTTATGTTCCGGCTGTGCCATCTGTTTTTTTCACCAATGTCACCACTTTGAAATGTCCTCACTTCAGTTTTTCTTAAACCCTAAAGCTGCAGTAGCTAATTTGATTTTATCAACAGTAGATTTAGAGGGCCCATCCCTGGTATTATTCACAGGGATGGGCCCTCAGACAAGCCGATCCTCTAAGACCTGGACAACTTTTTTGGGTCTTAGTTTGGGTCTTAATTTAGTTCAGCGTCTCATACTTTCCCTGATTTAGTCCGTCTCGCATGTCATCTAAAAAAATCCCAGAAAAACCGTCGACGGCCTGAGTCACAGACACCGAAGTTAGAGAGGAGCTGGTAAACAGAGAGGAGCATTTAGAGCTACAGACACGTGTTTCCAAAACAGCATTAAAGAGAGCAAATATTAGACTGACACACACACACTCCACATGAGTGATCATGTTGTGTAACTCTGCAGCACCGCAAAACGGTAAAGGATGCATCCTTCAAAAACACCTGTGAACAAACACTGAAGTACCATCACATGTTTCCACCACGTGGTCCAGTTTAAACCAGGACCTCTGAGTCTGGCAGCTGAAGTCTGCTTGTAAATGAGCCTCTGCAGCAGACAACATGTGGGTTATGCAGGTATTTGGATACCTGTGATAAGACCTCCTTTCTTTAGGCGGGTTAATGTTTACAGTCTGACTGCAACATGATTCACGAGGAGACTACAGAGGATGAGTGTGAGCGGACTTTGACTCAAACATACTATTTATAGAGATTTTAAAAAGCTTTTTCCACCTTTTTTCTAAAATGAAAAGGGGCATGTCTATGACTTATAGACTGTACAGGCCAAACTGAGGTGCTGTCTAAAGCAGGAGTTCAGGAATAAATGCCGACACTCTCAGACTCACGTTTACATCGTTCTCAAAACTGTTAACCGTTTTCTCTCAGTTATACTCTACCTGTTTAAACACCAACTTTAACTAGAGCAGTTTTTTCTGAGAGCGTAGAGTAAAACCTACGGCAGGGAGAGCAGCAGCAAAGACCCTCCAGGTACAGAACATATCAGCATATCAGCATGACTTGAGTAAAACTAGACAGAACATAAAAGAAGAGGGACCCCTGGACATGACCTTGACCCTAAAATTCCTGCCTCTATTCATCTGCATACTCAGATTTAGTTTAATAAAACTCCTCAATTAAACCAACGAACAGCAACTCTCTTTTCATTTAGCTCTGAGGACATGAGAACAGAGCTTAGACTAAAAGTGAATAAGAGCTTATTTTCTTTTTGGTAACAGCAAGGTAACAGCAGAGGTCAGACAGAAAACTCTGCACAGAGGTGATACAGTCATCTGTGAGGACACTGTTCAGGTCTGTTTTTAAACCACAAGAGGGCGACACTAAGCTGAGCTCACAGGGCCAGCAAATACTTTCCATGTTTTGTTTCCCTCAGCGGTTCACATGTGGACAGAGTGAGGCAGGGAGAGGGCACATTCAGAGGAAAACATGACAACAGAGGACAGACGGAGGGGGGTCAAAAACACGAGGGTCCAAAACCAGCAGCAGCTGAAATCAGAACAAATGCAACAATCCTGAACTTTAGGACTCTCAGCTGACCCAGTTCTGCTGCAATGATGCACATGTAGTTCAAACACACACCTCCATACAGTAGCACACCAAAAACTTACAATACAACCAAAAACTTACAATACATCCATATTTACATTAGTCCAAAGCTAACTTACCAATGAGAGGAGGAGGATCAGCAGAGAGAGGGAAGTTTTCACAGACATGATCTCGTTGTGCAGTTTCTGTGTGTCCTAGAGTCTCTGTGTGTCCTGGATTGTCTGTGTGTCCTAGAGTGTCTGTGTGTCCTTTAGTTCTAGTCTCTCTGAGTATTGGTCTCCCTGCAGCTGCAGACTGATGAAGCCTGGGAGCAGAGTCGGGCTTAAATAGCAGCTTGGTGGGTGTAGCCGGAGAAACCAGAGCCATGCCTGCACGCTCTGAGGTGAAAATATTCAGAATCAAACGCCCCGCTCTCAGAAACTCAGAGAGACAGGCTGCACTGTCACGGCATCAGTTCACAGGGGAGGGATTAACGGTAACTACAACATCTGATCATTCAAGTCTGAAAACAAAATCTCCACAGAGAACATACAGTCCCATATTTAGAGAAAGTCGGTCACAGAATCAATGAATGACTTTAGCAGAAAAGAAGATATCAGTCAGTGTGCCAAATACCAACAACTTGCAGAACAGCAGCTGCAGTGACGTTTGTGTTGCTCTGAAAACCACAAACTGCTGTCCTTCAGGAACATTTTGTTCAAGAATCAGCAACACGAGACGGGAGACAAAAAGCTAAATTTAGACCTTTTAATACTCTTTTGGTCCATCAGCCTGATGTGGTCATGGTCAGTCTTAGTGTCACAATACAACAACATGCAGCTCAATGAAAACTCTTTTAAAACAAGGACCAAAGACTTTGAATCCTTTAAACATCAGTCATCGTTAATACTGGTGATGTTTGCAGAAAATCAGTCAGTCTAGTTAGGGAAACAATAGCTTTCCATGTGCGCTTAATGTGCTGAGAGATGACAGAGATCTACAAAACATGAGGACCAGATTTTGCAACAGATCTACTTAAAAATTACTCTTTTCATTGGTAATATCAAAGCAACAGTTCAGGGTTTTCTTTGTCCTATTTTTTGGGGTCATGATAGTCCAAATGTTTTCAATGGGGGACAAGTCAAGACTGCAGGCAGGCCCGTTCAGCAGCAGGACTCTTCTACTACAGAGCCATGCTTTTGTTAGAATGTCAGATTCTGATTGGTCAGTCTCTGGCGTCTCTGGATTCTGTTTCTATTACTGTAGATATTACTGTAGATGACAAAATCCATTCATTCTTTCACATTTGACACAGCTTCTGGGATCTTGAGTTGTATGAGAAGGATTTTGTGTATTTTTTTGCCTTTGGTTGTTAAATATCTTTAAAATGTTATTATTAGTCATATAAAATAATAAATGCCCTTGTCTTGTATGATACTCTTACTAGCCACGTTTACATTGGCAAAATGTCTTGATCTGATTAAAAAAAATTGAGGGATCGGATCATCTGAATCCCCTGTGTATATGGGTGCAAAACCAAATAATCCGATCATGACGTGCGTATACATGCACCAAGCTTATTCAGATTAGAGGCATTTGGACATGAGCAGAGTTGTCTGATTTCGCTTAAAAAAAATGCAGTAGAAAGTTGTATTTACACTTGTGCTCGCAACAAACCAACAAACGCGATAGCGGCTCACTCCATCCAATTCAGGATTTTTCCCCCTGTTGAATGTTATCACTAGATGGCGCCCTTGCGTACTTATTTTACTGTTCCGTCAAAGGTTGCACTGTGCGCGCAGATGTGACATCATTACGCTGTATATATGCTGTGTTATGTTACCGGAGGAGCAGACTCGGCAGGAGTGATTGAGTCAGGTAAGAGAGTAAGTGTTTACATGGACGCATTTCGGGATAATGATCGGCATAAACCACCCCTCTTGATCGGAATACAATTTCTCTCCGATTGAGGGGAATTGCTTCCGATCAACATGTTTATGTTACGCATTTTGCTTCCGATAGTGGATTCATTCCAATTAGTTGTACCCATGTAAACAAAGCTACTGTCAGACTCAGGTAGGGTCAGATATGTAACAGCTCTACTCTTGACCAGTTCAGTATCTCTCTTTTGTAATCCTGCTGACACACAGACTAACTTGGCAGAGGCTTTGAGAAAACACTCTGACTGTGTCTCCGCTTGAAAAGGTTTCAGATATTTTCTCATAAAAATCAGGAGGAAATTGTTGAAGGTGCAGCGGTATGAAAACAGTGAGTTCTTGTTGTGTTTATTGGCAGACTGCAGCTCCTCTGCAGCAACCACATAATGAAATGTTTGATGTTTTTCATCCCATAAACATTACATAACACCTCCAGAGTGGTTACAGGCTAATAGTTACCATGTACAGACAGGTGACAGTGACATGACGCCCGCTGAGTGACATCGTAGAGCCGCCACGGCTTGGCTTACATGTGGTCGACCTCGTGTTAGAGCTGTGAAAGCAAACATGTCATTTGTTGTTTCTCCTCCCTTCTTTGTCTATTATTCCTGCTCACGCTGACGGATGTGGCTGATTTTATGAACAAGAGTTGGACAATAAACCGACTCATACAACCGATGTGCTGGTCTCAGTGTTTGAAGTATTTTTTTTCAGATCTGAGCAGAAACCAACAGACGGAGGATCGTGCAGGGAACTCAATAGCTGCACACTTACTTCATGCAGTGGTTATATCTCCATCAAACACAGTGACTCAGCACCATGAGGTCCTGGTTAGGTTCACATGTTTGCCACACAGACAATCATCAAACAAACAGCAGATCGTGGATCTCTGCTGTTATTTGAAGTGAAAACTGTTCTTCTTGGAGTATTGTGCACAAACTTCAGCACTGAAGTATTGACAGACTTTAAGAGTACTTGAGATAAGATGTTTGACCTTACACAGTAGCTCCACATGTGCACAGTTAGACCTCTGCTGGCCTATGCTTAGACAGAAGTTTGTAGTTTCGGTTGTGGAAGGGGAAATAATTAAAGGCCCTTCTCTTGACACCTGTCCCAAATAAAGTCGTGGTATGGGGTTAGCAATTACTCCAACTTTACTTGCCTTTATAACACGATTACACTGCTTACGTATACAGCTTTATCCTTGCCTGTGTTCGTCACTTTAGAGAAAAGCATCTCCAAATGACATTGTTACATCATTTGTAACATCTACTGTAGCAACAGTTTCTTGTGGAGTTCCTCAGGGCTCTATTTTTGAGCCTTTTCTTTTCACACTTAGTAGAAAAACAGCAGTGAGTCTGCAGATGACACACTAATACACTTGTCTCACAACATCATTTAGCGCTATCCTCTTAAACCACTGGAATTATAATGGACTTGGAAAATTTGGTAACCTTACATTTCTGACTTTGTATGAGAGTGGAACAAAAGTCCAAACATCTGGACTCAGTGGTGCTTCTGATGGATCTCTGTATCAGTGAAATCATCTAAAAATCTCAGTGTGATTAATGGAGAGTGAATTAAAATACATATAGTTTGATTCTGAGGTCAAATCCACACAAAATTTATCTGACTCCATACTTTTCACTGGTTTCCTTCTCATTTTAATGTTAACTTTGTCTGGTATAACTTCAGACTAAGGCCTGGTCCCCTGCATGGTTTCAGTCTGCAGAGTTAACTCAGTGGAAACATCAGCGGTATCTTAGTGAAGGTCGTCCATATTTGCTCCCTGACTTTTTAGCTCGTCTTTTGTCAGGCTGTGTGTCACTTCCCTTAAGTTTACACTGACAGAATACCTTTTTATCCATCTTTAGTTACACTAAGTCAGACAGACTCTCTCCTTTAGTGTTTTGAAGCCATCAGGTACCTGATTGTGTAACTTTTCTGTAGTTTAGAGCGATCCATCGACCCCCGTGCCCTTCCACTCAGAGTGAAAACAGCCCACCTGACTCTGCAGCTTGTTATTCACAGCAGGACATGAACAGTTAATTACATCCTGTGTTACGCTACGACAGCTGAGAGGACTGAAGGTGTTTGACTGGAAGTAGAGCTCAGTTTGGTGCTTTTGGCTGCTCCTGAGGCCTGATGACTCAGTAAAACCGAACAGCAGCAGTCTGCTCTCAGACCAAACTCACACTGATGCTGTTTTCCTCAAGTCCCGGTCTGCAGGTGAAAGTGAGTCAGACTCTGATGATTTCTCTGGTTTATTGTGGAGATTTTAGAGAAGCTCAGTAAACTCAAGGTGTGTGCTGATGTGACCTAAGGAGCCTGCTATTCATTCTCCTCATGTGTGCTCCTGCAGTGTCTGCTTGGGTTAAAACTAGAATAAAGTGAATGTACATTATACAAAAATAAGACAGAGGAGAGCTGACAGGTGACACATTTTGATTTAGGTGTTAAGGGAAGAGACTTTGTGGCTCTGGATGCAAACAGCAGGGGTGCACAGAGACAGTATTTGGTGCTTTTTGAATTGGACAGTGGTTTTTATCCTTTTTTGCAGGTTTGGTGAATCCAAAAGGTTCACAACCTTTTTATGAACCAAGCCTAGAATCTTCAACTCAAGTGAAGTTATACTCTCATTTATTCTTTCATGTGTACAAACTGTTTCTGTTCATTCTGTTATATATAAGTGGAGAAAGCTCTTAATCACATCTAAGATTCAAGAGGTCAAACCTTTATTATCTGTTCACCTGTTAAGAGAGGCATGTCTACAGACTTGTTTAACTGAAAATCTTTGTCCTCTCAAACCAGCTCCAATAACTCAAAGTTGGCATTGAAATCCTCAAACGGTCTTTACCAATAACAGAACCGTGAGCTGCAGAGTTTGCAGAAACTCTCTTTTTGTTTCTCTGTCAGAGTTCATATTTCTCTGATATTCCCACGAGCTGCAGACTCTCTCCATCCTGACGATGTGTGAGGGCCGACGGGCTTATCGTCCACTTCCTGAACCTCCTGCTGAGCAGAGACGGAGAGCAGGTCGCGACCTTACATCACGCTTTTATCTCAGCTGACTCTAGTTTCCTGCACCATGACTTCACCTGTTAATGCGCTGACGAGTGTTATTGGAGCTAGATTAGCCTCGACCCTGCAGGGTGGAGCTGGGCTGACGTGAGAGTCAAACAGATGGCCTGATTATTGTGGGGAACTTTCCTGCTGAAAACTCAGAACTTGAAGGTCGGTCCTCCAATGTTCATTTCCTTCACACCCGTCAACGTGAGAAGAAACCCCCAAATATTTCAAACATGTCCTGAGCCAGTGACAAGGTTTATAACCAGCTGGTTTTCAGACAATTTCAGACTTTTTATCAAATAATATAAAATCTTTTTAAGCTGACCACAGACATCACACAGACTGCAGCAGCATTTATATTTCTCAGCTAGAGGTTACACAAGACTTCGCCATTCTCTGTCATTTTGGCCAACAGGGTTATAAAAATCCCATCATAATCTATTTTTACACTCTAATTTTTAAAATGAATCAATAGCATTTAATTTTCACAAATTTCTTACAACATCGGACATTGAAGATCAAGTCAGTATTGGGTCGGTCCATCAAAGACCACATCTAGACGTCAGTGCGACGTGCAAAATAGGTTAGAAATTTCGACGTCCAAATTGGACCTTTTTTAGACGTCGCTCTGACGTTTAGAATTTGGACGTCATCTGAAGACCAAATCTAGACGTCGGCACAACGTGCAAAATGGATCCAAGATTTAGACGTCATTATTGGACCTCTTTTAGACATTGAAATGATGTCCACATTTGTACCTCATCGTCGAAAAAATACGTTAAATAGATGTCATTTCGATGTTGCATTGTGCAGTGGGAAAAGCTAATTAATATGCTCACTCACCACCAAGTGTTTAGGAATTGGAATTGTAAAATGACAGATGGCCTTTACCGTTTAAACAAAAACCAACAAAAAAAAATGGTCAAGTTTGGAGAATAATTAGTTAACGAGACCCCTGATCTCAGCCCAAAGAGAAAGAGGAAAAATATGTTCAAAGTCTGCACTTCCTCCAGTGTCCACTAGAGCTTATCTCCTGCAGTGAGTCAGTCCACTCTTCATATTCTCTGAATCTTTGAATGATATTATATAATGTAGACGATGAAATCCACTTATTCTTTCACATTTGACACTCGGGAACATTATTCTGAAACTGTTGGACTATTAGCTCACACAGTCTCTTACAGACAAGGAGGAACAATAACATTTTTTCAGTTAATCAGATGTTGTCTTAGCATTTTGTAAATGGAATATTAGCCTCAGGTCATTTGCAAACAATCAAATCGAATTTTATAAACATTTTCTCAGTTGACTTTGAGTTTCAGAATAAAGAGTCAGCAGGCTGAAGAGTGACATGTGGACATCCTACACTGCACAGTTTGGCACACAGAGATTATTGTGGAGCTGAGATAGTATACTTTCTTCCCTCTCAGAAACATCCACTCCAGTGAAATAAGTAATCTCTGATTATTTCCTGATATTTACTGCTAACCCCGTCTGTTCTCACTCCCTACACTTCTGTTTTCTAACATACATCAAAGTCCGGCCCCTGGCTCGAGGCTTTGCTGCTGTTTTTGTAAAATGTAAAGAAATAATGAACTCAGAGGACTCTCAGAGTTGTTTCCCCTGTGGGCTGATCCTCCTGCTGGGAATGTTTCTGAGACGGTGCTGATGCAGCACCTGTTCCCAGATCACACTCAAACATGAGGCCGAAACAGACTAAACATCCCCCTGGACTAAAAACTACAGTCATCAAGTTATGCGCTGGAGACGACTTGAGCCAATAGCTGGAATCATAAGTTCAAAGCTGATATTAACTCTGACAATGAACTAACTGAGGGAATACATATCTGTCAACCTATCAACCAGCAGGCTTTAGTGTTTGCAGGAAAATCATTCTGTATGGAGAGCAAAAGCAGGAGGAATACAGTCCACCATGGTGACCTCCAACTCCCATGGTTGGTGATCCGAGGAGGATTTCTGTCTCAATAAAAACAGATATCTGTATGAAGGTCAGCTAACGATATGTTATAGATCAAAAATTTACACTGAGACACGAATAACATGAGTGAAGCCTTTGAGAGAGTATTTACAGCGAAACGCACACTTTTCTCACAGAGATACTGATGTTCTCTGAGAATACAAATCAATCTTAAATCATCCCATTCGGTCAAAAATAGTAGAAAACACCAATCTAGAAGTGAACATGGACTTTGACTTTGCTTCTGTCAGGGCAGAGTTGAAATCAGAGGAAGTGATGATTGACTGAATATGTTTTCGCATAACAGTGTACAGAAAGTACATTTCATGTTCCCAGCCTTTAGCACATTCTGTAAGGGGGACATTAGTCTGTCATTGACATGTGAATCCAGCTGTTTGCAGACGTCTCTACACAGCGCTCTATATCACAGCTGACTGTCAGTAAATACTGCACAGTAAGGTCTGAACTGGAAGAGGTCGTACATCTGCCAAAGTTAAAGTAGTCTGAAGCTCTGAGTGTGTTCATTAGGCTCTGAAGGAAAGCTCTGTGTGTGTATTAGTGTGTGTGTCTGTGTGTGTAAGTGAGTAGAGTCTGTGAATTTAAAGATTCCTACTTTAATATCTAAGGGAGAAACCTGCTCCAGCTGCTCATAAGCAGTTTTTCCTTGTTGAGGAGACTCTGGAACCATATACTCTGGCTGAGAGCCGGTTCCTTGGCGGTAGAAACACAGAACTGGTTCCAAATCAGGAACCAGGTCTGAACTAAACCTGGACCCAGCTTGGTGTGAAAGGGGCAACAGTGCTGCGCTCCTGAAGTTAAGTGGCATGAAGTGGACGACATCGAAGACTGAATTTAATACAAGTTAAGGATTTTAATGGCAGTTTTAAGTGTTTTTAAAAGTGATGCCAATTTTTTTTTAAAAAAGAAACTTTCAACGTCCAAACGAATAAGAGCCACATTCTGGAGATGGAGAATATGATTTCCCTCATTTTAAAGCTTCACCATAAAAAAGCTGCTAGCCTTCATTCATGCTGCTTCTTCTTCTGCTTCAAAACTTTATCCATGTGCAGACACGCTCAAACCAAAGGAGCCAGATTATCCTGCATTCAGAACTCTTAGCAAGGGTATCTGGGGTCTGCCATGCGGTAACTCTGGTCCCTCCTCACTTTAACAAGCTGCCTCATAAACTTCTGGCTCAAATGTTCATTTTTGGAATGATGGGTGGATCACAAACGTAAAATTCAAAGTGAGTGTTTCTTTGATGTGATTGGGTGAGGAGGTTGGAGTGCAGTTTATTTCTGGTGGATAAGGACTGGTTTTCCTTCAGTGCTAATTCTCTGGGCTTTAGTTTGATGTTCAGAAAGGAGTTTTATAGTAACTTTCCCTGTCAGCTGAGCTTACACAACACTGACATTAAACGAAGCAGGAATGTAAGCCACCCGGAGAACCAACAGGAGAAATTCCTCAGTTTCCTGGGGGATAGATTGACTCTGTGGTCGTCTCTGAGTTGCATAATTTGTGCCGGTGGAGATTAAAGCTGAGCAGAAACGGAGCTGAAGTTTGGGTCCCGTTAGTCTGCCACATCTTGGGTTATTTTCCCCTCAAAGCTCAGCCCCGGGGACACCTGCTGGGGTTACACAAACACCTCCACTTTACAGAGTGGCCTAAAAATAGCCCTGACTCCAGGAGGGAACCACATCTCTACCTTCCCGATGTGTTCACTCAGGATGTTGTTGAAGTCTGGAACATTCCTCACACGCTCAGCCAGCCTGCATATTTGCCTCTTCCCCATCTTTCTGTTTTATTCCATCCACCTTCTCACGGCCTGAGAACACTCTGTACTGATCTGAAGCACCGCCTGTTTACACATGCATGTAACTCACATATTATAACGCAGATCCGAGACCAAAACCAGAACACTTTATCCTGAAATCCAGCAGCAAAGCTTCATGAACCTTCCAGAAGATCAGCTGTTGCAACTGTGTGGTTCTGTCCCCAGTCCAGATAAAGAGGACTGAAGACCATCTACATACCTAAATACTAAATACCTCTCTGCAAACTCTAGTTCACACCTTGACTCGTTTTAAAGATCTTGTGAGGAACTTTCAGTTTGTGTTGATTTTGGCGCCCCCTGTGGACAAAGTAGTATCTGATTCTCAAACCTCGTCCTGCTGTCTTTTAGCAGTAAAAATATCTCTGTAAATGTCACTAATCAGCATTTCATTCATTTTATGATCAGCTACATTCACAACAGACAGACCTCTTTAAAACGTGTATCTGAAACACATCCAGAGAGTCGATGTCTGCAGGTCCGAAACTCTCTCTGTAATCACGTCTGAATAATCAGCTCTGACAGCTGTTGGCGTTAAAACTGAGAGAAATTATAGAAACACAACGCTCGTTAAGGTCCAACAGCTGTGTTCAATCTACTGCTGCTGTTTTACTTTCTTTGAGATGGTTAGTTTGTTTTTGATGAACAGAAGGAAGAGAGAAGGGGTTAAATTTAGAAGCTGAGATGAGTCTAAAAAAACAGATCAGTATAGTTAAAAGAAATTAGAGATGTTTGTTTTTGTTTTTTGTTTTTTAATTTCCTCACAGCCAGTTCTACGATAATAATTCAACAGCCATTAGAACTATTTGTTTTACAGGTGGTCTTGAAAAACAATCGCCTTTTGTTTTTGTTTTTTATTTGTTTTTTGTTTGTTTATATATACACATATATACACTTGTAAATGAAAGAATAAAAAAAATAAAAAAATTGGGAAGATTTAAGAAAGAAGGAAAAATAAAATAAAAAAAAGACAACAACCATAAGAACACAGAAAAAACAAAGAGGACAAAAGACAAAAACAAGAGTTTATTTAACTATTTTCCCTTTTTTTTTCCTCACATCCACTTTCACTATAATAATTCAACAGCCTTTGGAACAATCCATTTTACAAGTGGCCTTGGTAAACAATCACCTTTTGTTTTTCTTTTCTTTTTGGTTTTGATATATATTAAGATGTGTAAATGAATAAATAAAAAAACTAACATTTTAGAAAATTTAAGAAAGAAGGGGAAAAAAAGACAAAAACAACAATAACCATAAAAAAAACATTGAACAAACAAAGAGAACGAAAGAAAAAAATGTTTGTTTTTGCAGGTGAGTCAAAGGAGTGTGAATTTAACAAGCTTCAGTGGGGCAAAATATAATTATATGATATGATATGATATGATATGATATGATATGATATGATATGATATGATATGATATGATATGATGGAATTCTTTATTTAATACAATATAATTTCAAATGATACAATATAAGACGATACCATATGATACAATGTAACGCATTGTAGTTTGATGTAATATAACTCCGATGATTTAAAAAAAAACGGTCCCTCTGCTTAAACACTCTTCATTTCTCAGCCACACATGCACCAGCTGACACACTCGGACTAACACACCTCATAACTTCAGCTCAGCTTGACTTTATGTTACATAATAAACTTTAATGCTGCCCCGTTTCAATAAAGAGTCCCCCCTGTCTCTCTGTTGTGTCCCACCAGTCGGGTCCTGACTGATCAGGTGTTCCTGTGTGCACCTCTGAGGGAGGTTATGAACCCAGACATGATGGACGCCCGGAGGGGAAAACAAAATATCACTGCGGTCAAACTCAAGGCCGGTGTTTGCATTGCTTTGGAAACAACTCCATTAGTCAGGAGTGCGAGATTTGAGATGCAAAGTTTTTTAATCATTCTTGAAAAAAAGGGAGCAAAATCTTTTTTCTTGTAGATTAACTTGAGACAAAAAAAAAAAAAAAAACACTTTTATCCGACATCTGGATAATTTCCCCTGATGCCCTGATGAAGACAAGATTATCCAAAGTTCCAAAACAGCTTTTACACCTTAAGACAAGTTGATTTATCAGTGTGGTAGAAGTCTGACAGTTTGGGACTCGGTGTTTTAAGGCTAGGGTGAGATGTGTTTGAGTGAGGTTACTGTGTTTTTGTGATCCACTGTGTGTTTACTGCAGCTGAGAGCAAACGTGTACACACAAATATGCTTCATCCTGCAGAGTGGTCTGCATGAGTCTGCTTGAATCTAGCAGACACACTCAGGTTTGTTTACATGCATCTAACTCTTCCTCTGCAGGACAACATCCAGGAGTTTGTCAGTCGTGTGCAGACTCTACCGCAGATCTCTCCCGGACAAAAGGTCGCTTGTTAAAAAACCTCAGGAGGAGGACGAGGAGTTGAAGCGATGTTCTTTACTGCAGCCGTTTTCTCGTTCATGACAGGAAGTGCCAGTCAGACCACAGGAATGTAAAGCTCTGCAGCAGACACGCTTCTCCAGAGAGAGAGAGAGAGAAAGAGCGAGAGAGAGAGGAAGGGTCAGAGTACAGGATCCAAAGAGGTCGACTGACAGAGTGGATATTTCACAGATCTGTACAGAACAAATTCACCTGCAGAGTCCTGTCTGCTTTTATAACCTGCTGGAAAAACATGAGGGCTGAGTGTTATATAGGATTAGGATTTTACAGTAAATCAGAGAGAAACATGTGGTAAAGTATACAGTTCATGAAAATGTATGTCATTCAACACAAGATAGAGGGTCTGGTGTGCTGACTGGTTTGTATGCACATGGATTTTAAAGTGTTTTGATAACAGGAGGAGTTTGGGGATTAAATAGAGGTGAGTGCACAAGTGGGGTGATTGGTCCTCTCTGTGTAAAATTAACGTTTTATTTTGACTCTCTGTGATGAAAACATGTTTGTTTTGTATATCATAAGTTTGGAAAACTTAATGGTTGATCATCAGCTCTAAATGGACCGCAACAGAATTGTGGCAAATGTTAACAGTGGGCCTCTCCAGTCTGAGTGAGTTTTGCAGTACCTGAATAGTGATCTCCCGCTGCATTTAATCTTTCAGAGAAATCTGTCCCATCTGTAATTCTCTGTAGAGGAACTGTGCAGCTGTAGATTGGAGCTTCAGGTGAACTTTTTTTTTCTTTTTTTGGAAAAAAAATTATCAGACACCAGCTGGGCAGAGAGAGGGGCACAGAGAGGCTTGGAAGGGAGAAAGAGCGTCTATCAAGGTTTGTTTACCACTCAGTTTCCAGCTACACATCCAACTTCCAGCTCAAAGCCCAGCATGTGAACACTGAGCATGCTCAGAACACTTAAACCAGTTCCAGTCTGAATGAGCCAAACATGACACAGAAAATCAGGCCCATGATCAGGTATGTTAGTCCAACTGAGAGAAGTTTGACTGAGTGCAGTTTCAGTCAGACACTGGCTGTTTTCATGTTTTTTCAGAAAGTGACTGCATGAGAAAGGCATGTCTGAAAAATCTACTGGTACATGGCTAAGAGACACGGTGCACCACTTAATCTACAGAGGACGCATCAAACATCACTTACTGAAAATCCCTCAGCTGTTTTATAAGGATGCAGGTCACTAACAAAAGCTCCATGTCAATAATCTAAATTCCTCACTGAACATGTCTTGCCAAAATGTCTGTCATGTGCACAAATTTTATCAATAAGAAAACTTCATATTTACGGAGTTATATTTTGAATATGAATGTTGAAATGTGCATTCCTCCACATTAATATCGTTAAGAGTGAATAAAGCTCACTGTCCTTTTTATCAAAGGTGTATTAGGGTGTATTTCTGCAGGCATGTGAGCCTGGAGCAGCAGCAGAAAGGTTCCTTGTCCTCAACAGCTGCAGCTTCAGGTTGTTTTGTCTGCAGGAGCTGGCAAAGAGAGACGTGTCCCCGAAGATTTGAATTGGAGCAGGTCTGACAGGAAATACCTCTGGCACTGAGCTGGGGCAGCGTGCCTCACCTCTGACAGTCTGCGTGAAACACCTACGCTTGTCTGCAGCATGAGAGGGAGAAAGGGAGGAGAGGACAGGAGAGGACAGGACAGGACAGGACAGGAGAGAAGAGGGGAGGAGTGGAGAGGAGAGGAGAGGACAGGAGAGAAGAGGAGGCTGCAGACGGAGACCGTGGAGGAGACATGATGTGTTACAGTAAGTCAGGAGAGCAGAGGGGGTTTCAGAGAGAGTCTGAGACAGTCCCTCCGGTCCTCAGCAGAGTCTGAGGTGGTGTATCAGGTTGCTCTCATGCCCACCCTGCTCTCTGCTCCCTCACACAGACACACGCTCACACGACACACACACTCAGGAGAGGCCCTTGAAGGCTGTCCAGCCTCAACATTCGCCCGTCTGGAAGTAATTAAAGAAGGAAAAGGTGGATGAGGTGGTGAGACCAATTTTCCCAGAGTCAGAGAGACCCGCCCTGACTCTGTACCATGCACATGCTTTTTTTTTTTTTTTACCCACAATCCCCCTGTAACGACATTCCTGTTCTTATAATTCCCCCCTCATCACACCATGGCTCTGGTGTCACACCCTCTGAATCTGTTGACCCATTTTAGGAATAATGTTCAGAATAACCCTTTAATTTAGCTTCGACACTTAGACATACACTTATCAGAAGAGTTAACCCTAATTCTGAATCCGTCTAGCCTGGTGTGATTGAAAGCTGCACTATAAATGGGGGTCAGGGGACTGAAGTAGATCCAAAAGTGACAGAACTAGATCCAATATATATATATATATATATATATATATATATATATATATATATATATATATATATATACAACTATAGTGACCATGCTGATCTGAATTTTAGTCACTGTCTGGGTGCGAGATGAGGTGTTTTTGACGCGCTTCTGATACAATCCAACGTTGTTCTTGAGTTATATTTTTGCCATTTATTCATTAAATGAAAAACAAACAAAAAAGACAGATACGTCCAACTTACTACAATGGTGATGTTCATAATGAGGGTGAGAGTGGTGTCAGAGATTAGCAGTAAAACCGTGTGCTATTCCTATCACTGCTTCACCTGTGTCCCTTTGTAGCATTTACCTGCCCATTCACCTGAAGTGACCCTTGTGGTGATTGTGCAGGTAACAAAACAAAACCCCTAAAAATAATGGCTCATACACCAACTAATGAGGAACTTTTCCAACAGGTTAGTAACATGAATGATGATCTAAAAAGGACACTCAAGGAGGCTGAGTCTCTCTGAAGGATAGTTGGTAAGGACTTCACCACTCTGTGAGAGACTGTGTGAGCTAACAGTTAGGCAGTTTCAGGGTAATGCTGGTGAGAGTCAAATGTGTAAGAATCAGTGGATTTCATCATCTAAAGAACATAATGCCATTTAAAATTTTTGGAGAAATCTCTGTACAAAAAGGACCAATGTCCAAAGCCAAGACTGGATGGTCCTTCAGTCTTTAGTCCCTCAGGCAGCACTAAAACAGACAGGACTCTGGAGTGAGAGTCATGACATGGGCTCTAAGTCACTTAAAGCTAAACCATGTTATGTACAGTATATATATGAATGAGAATATGAGGATCTCTTCTTGGTTTCGGAGGAGGAATCAGGAGCCTCCATCACTCTTTGACTTTTAGCCAATAAACAGAGCTTCCATTAAAACCAGTCCCATGACACTAGCAGTGACAGGAAGGAGCACCAACTTCAGACAGAAACAATAAAGCACATGTTTGAGGTATGTATGTAAATTTGTCGCTATATTTACTTTGCAAACTACTGTTATAAAAAATGCAATTATATATATTGTATAATAAATTTTACATCACATGTTCCTGTCTGAACTTGGTGCTCCTTCCCGTCACTGTAACTGCTGGTGTCATGGGACTGGTTTTAATGGGAGCCCTGTTTCCTGTCTGAGGGTGATGGAGGCTCCTGACTGATAAGAACCAACACAGCCAATGCTCACTACTCAGAGGGGAGTTCCTCTCTCTGCTGTTTACATTCCACTGTGCTTTCAGCTTTTTCCACAGGGTTCACCTCCTTATGAACAAGTGTGATGGGTTACAGATGTTGCTCAGGCATCATGATACAGTGTGTGTTTGTATTTGCATGCGTGCGTGTGTTCATGCGTGCGTGTGTGTGTTCGCTTAATTTATCTATTGATTATCTTCCGAAGACTTTTACACTCTTGTGTATCTGCTCTCTGTGGATTGGTTCAGTGTGTCCCACCTTGGAGGTCTGTACCACCTGCTCCTCCATCCTCACCTGTACTCAGCCGGACTCTCCCTCAGGAGTTACTATCAGATGTACTTGAAATGTTACAGGTGTAGGAAACAGTCTGATCTTACGATTAAGTCTGGCTCCAGCAGCAGACAGATGTAGAGCTTTGTTTTGCTCTTCATACAGGATCAACATAAATCCTCTCTAACGTGGTCCAGATGCAAAGATTCTCCCCGAGGAGAGTCTTTATGAAACTGTATCCGTTCTGACGTTGTGTGTACCATGAGAAAGAGGACCGTGATGGTGATTCAAACCCTCTGAGGCCCTTTTTATTCTGGATCTGCTCCTCCCTGTTTCCTCTGAGTATGAAGATCCTCATGTTATGTAATACCTCAGTGACCCTTGACCCCTCTCATGCACCTTAATGTTCCCATCTGTTCTCATAAACACAGAGCTGTGCTGCAAGACCCAAACTGTTAGATCACACTTTTCTTGAAGGAGGTTTTAGATAATGCAGCTCATTATATAAATTTGAAGGTCCTTTTTTCAATAAAATTGGGTGTAGTGTACATGATTTTCAAAAGAAGGCAACAGGATTTCCTCTTTCCCTCAGTCCAGCTTAGATGGGCTCAGGTCCAGATAACTGTAGCTAAAGTGATTCTGAGCCCATGCAGTGATTTCCACTTCAAAGTCCTGTCTGTTTTTAATGCAGTTCTGCCTGAGGGCCTGAAAATCTGGACCATTCAGTCTTGGTTTGGGTCCTTGTCCCTTTTGTACAGAGATTTCTCTAGATGTTCTGAATCTATAAATGATATTATGTCCTGTAGGTGATGAAATCCACTCATTCTTTCACACATTTGAAACATTATTCTGAAACTGTTGAACTATTGGCTCACACAGTGGTGAACCTCTTCCCATCTTTCCTTCTGAGAGACTCAGCCTCCTTGAATGTCCTTTTTATACTCAGTCACGTTACTAACCTGTTGGAAATGTTCTTTTTGGTTTTAATTTCCTGTAGGCTTGTTTATCCGTCATTTGTCGTCCTTTCATGCTCTACAGCTCTTTATGTCTACACTGTGAAACTGAGCAGGTGAGAAAACGATCTTGAATGCCAGCTTACTGAATGTCTTGCATAGAGAAAACCATAAAGAGTCAGTGTTTGGTTATTATAGTCTATGATTAACTTCACTGGTCTGTTATGTAACAGGAGAATTGATCCTGCTGTTAAATGTCATGTGTTTCTGAGCTTGAATATAAGTTCCATATGCAGAAATAAAAATGTCAAAAGGAACATTTCTAAAATAAATTACTGTAATATAACACAGACAGATCCAAACATTGAACTCCTTGTTGCTAAAAGTTCTGTTTGATGTTTTACGTTTTTGACTGAATGTTAAAATTGACTTTGAGCTTTGAACTTGTGAAGCAGCTGGATTTCATTCAGACTACACTTCAGTATAGAAAATACAACCACCATCTCTCTGCTCCCAGTCAGACTTTCATATCAGTAAGTGAAGCAGACAGCAAGCAGGGACATTTGAACGGACTCACAGATTGTTGAAGCAGCACTACTTCTTCTCACGCACCTTTGTGCTCCTGAAACACTGACAGAGGGCTGAGCAGGGCGGTTAGCTCTGCAAGGAGGTTCTGACATGTGAGTTTTAAAAAGAGATTAATAATGAGTTCATTACATCACGGAAAATGATATTTTCTTCCTAACAAGGTATAAAAGGCATGTTTCAGTATTTTTAGACTGAAGTTGTTTGAGTCACATGTCATTAGTAAGTGTTTTAGCCACAGTGGATGTCTGTTAGGTCCGACCTTCTATTGGGAAACTGCAGGTAGAACCAGCACACAAGCCAGTCTACAGTTGTCTGCAGCCAAGACTGACTTTGCCGTATAAGCTAGCTTATTATTTAGTTTGGTTGTATTTTGTCCCTTTAAGTCTGCAGACCACAACAGCTGATCAATGCTCTGCAAGCATAGGCGCAGGTCTGTGCTGTGTCTGTAAACAGTGGAAAAACCAAATGTGAGAGGAAAAAATTCTCAATGGAGTGTACACTGAAACTGATATGAGTTTTTAGGTCAGAGTCTCTCAAAATTATCTATATTACGAAGCAGAGTTTCCCGGTCTGCAGATAGCTGTAGCGTAGTTTGTCTGCTGGTTCTGACTGTATATAGAATGGACAGAGTCTGCCTCCTCGCTGGGTGAAGCCACTCCGAGAACAGCACCCTCTGGTGACGGGCTGCAGTATAGGTCATAAATCCCACCTCTGCCTGCAAAGCTTATGGAGTTGTGGACAAACTTTAGAAATTAATTACTAAGAACATACATTTTTTCCCCTCTGCTTGCGATGTTGACATGTTGTTTTTGCAAGACTGGTTTGTGCTCAAGTCCTCTTTTTTCTGTACAGCTCCATTTTTAAAAGTTATTAGGGGGTTCATGTTTTCTGTGATTGACACCTGATACAGCCTATGAGTGTACGAAGATCGTATAGCTCACCCGGGAGATACGCTGTTTGAGCTGAGCAACATCACAGCGACTCTCGTCGACTCTCCCGCAGAATGTGCACAATGCTACTGTGCAGGTGGTGGAGTGCGTACAACACTACTGCGCAATGTTGGTTTCAGGAAATGTGAAAAAGGCCCATGATGATGTTTCCTTTTTTATTATTATTGCAAACCACCATTAAATAAACAAATAAAACCTAAGTTTCAAATCTATTCTGGCAAAAGGCGGAACCAAATTGCCCATAGTATATACAGTCTATGGTTCTGTCTGACGTTTCTCATTAAAGGGATCTTTCTCTTTTGATTAGATTTTTAAATATTTTGTGTGAAGGGCTGCAAAATGCACTGTACCTGAAATCTTCAATATAAATTTAAAAGTACATCTTGCCTTTGTTCAGCCGTTTTATCAGTATTACATCGATTGATTTACCCCCATGCCTTGCCTAACTCAGAAGTATTTTTCATTTTTATATGAACATGTAACTCATTACTTATTTTTTTTAGTTCATGTATTTATCATTTATATATATATATATATATATATATATATATATATATATATATATATATATATATATATATATATATTTACTTTGGTTTTGTGTTTTTAACTGTTTTAATGAGTAAATTTCCCAAAATTGAAACACTTTTTATTTGTTTTTCAAAGCATCCCCTCATCCCGTGACAGCACGCGTTACGTGATTGCGTCACAGATCAGGAAGAGGACCAGTATCTGGACGGAAGAGCGTTACGCCTATGTGTTTGTTTTAAACTGCCAAATACGCAAGTATGACCCATTTTCTCTTCGTTTAACACTTTAAACCTTTTGCCCGTATGTTTCTGTTTGTAAGCGTTCGTTAGTGGAGATCAGTGTCAGCTGTTTTAGGATCAGCAGGTTGATCTGAGGAGTTAGCTTGAGTTAGCTGCGGAGCTAACAGCTGGGCTCGGTTCTGTCTCAGTCCCGGTACTTCAGAGGGTCAACACCAGCACAGAAAATAACTCTGAGGCTATAATTGTGTTTTAACATCAAAAGAAACACGCAGAAAAAATATGCAAACGTTTGAACTGAAAGAGCTGAAATAATCCTCTCTGTGTGTTTAAATGTCTGTCAGCCTGAAGCTCCGTTAGCTGGACAACCCGTTAGCATGCTAACAGGTGTTGACCCAGATCCAGCAGGTAAACCTCAGCTGTCAGAGGAACAATCAGATCTGCATTAAACAACACGAGAGTGGACTCTGAGCTTTAATGTTTAACCGGTCTGTAACAATAATAATGAAGGTAAAAACTACAAAAAACAACCTCCTGTGTTTGTCAGGTACCATCAGCTGTGGACAGGTGTGATCCGGACAGGTGTCGCATCTGACACTCTCTCTCTTTCTCTCTCTCTGTGGTATTCACACACTCTCATACAACAACATTTACCTTTGAGTCAGTGTTTGTGATGTTTAAACAGGCTGGATGATGAAATGGTGTCAGTGATGATTCTGGAAATATTTACAATTGAAATGTTAAAACTGTATCATGGTGAAAACAAAAAAATAGACTTTGTTGTTACTAATAATGTTAATGACAATGATTATAATTATGATTTACTTTGTTATACAGCACTTTAGAAGTGCTTCACAAATTAATGGCAGAAATGAGAAAGAAACCAAGTGAAAGTGAAACGATCAACCTCAGACCACCTTAAAACAAGTTCAAAACACTCAAAAATCACAAACAGGTAAAAAGGAAATAAAGCAATTGAAATAAAAAACAGTGCTTAAAGTTGTGCTTATTGAAGCATGCTCAGATAACAGCACATCCTGATCTCATCGGGGGCTTGTTCCAGAGGGTGTGGACTCTGACAGGAGAGGCTTACTCACCTTTGGTCATCAGTCCTGACGGGGAGACAGCGAGCAGAGCTTTGTCTGGGGACCTCAGACTATGACTGTGCAGATATAGATAAAGGAGCTTCCCGAGCCTCTATCATGGAGAACCTTTCATCATAGAGTCACTTTTACAACACCGTTTAAAAGAAAGAGAAATTAAGAAAGGTGGAAACTAACTAAATATACTGTGAAAAAAAGAAATCCACTCCTCTGTGAATTATTCTGAGACATCATTTTGATTCTTTTTTTATTTTTCTGACTTCAACTGAACATGCTCTTGTTTTAACTATGTTTTCTTATTGTTTTTAGGAGGTCTTTTAACATTATATCTTAAATTCTCACTCTGTGTGCGCTTGTGTGTTTGTGTGGGTGAGTGAGGGTGGGTGTCTTTGTGTGTGTGTGGGTCCATTGATGGGTGGGAGGGTTGGGTTTTATTGTAGTTTTTAGCCTTTGTGAGGCACTTTGAACTACATTTTTTGTCTGAAAAGTGCCATACAAATAAAGTTCAATTTGAATTTTAGTTCAAGTTGTCTTCTTTAATACATCCCATTTTTCCAGAAGCATCACATTGTCTAATGTGGTTAAAGGAAATAAGAAATTGGAATCAGCATATTGATAATGCTTTGTTTTCATTCATTACAATTTGTGCATGTATGAGTCTGCTTTCAGTATCCTTGAAAAAGAAAAATGCCATTTTCCAACATCTCATGAAAGAAAAATGTTTGTAATCTTTTTAAACTGGTAGAATAATCTAAACTGACTATGTAACTTGGTGATGGTTGTTTTTGTTTCTCTGTATATTTACCCTCCACCCTCATTATTTTTGTTACACTTTATTGTACGTTTATGTTGTTTCTAGTCTGTTGTCCTGGGTTTTTGTGTTGTGTTTTGTGTGTCACTCATACTTTGTTGGTGTATTTTGCATCTTTATAAAATGTCATGTCATGTTTAAAAAGAGCTTAACTTTAAAAAAAATAAATCTTAAAACAAACATGGCAGCTGATCATAAACACATTTCCTCTCTTTGTGTGCAGATAAAGGTCGACCTCTCCTGCAGACATGTCGTACACTAAAGCAGACACATACCACCCCGTCCCCCGGGACTTCAACAGCCTCATACAGACCTGCAGCTCCAACATCCAGAAGATCACACAGAACAGTAAGTGCTGCCTTCTCACGGAGAGAAAGATTTCATTATTCTGTATAAACAATGTTTAATTTGATAATGCTTTCAGTATGACAAGAATCCTCCTGAAATAAAAACAGACAGATCATGAGTAACACATTAGAACAAAGTTTTTATATTTGTGCTCTAAAGATATGAACATTTAAAAAGAACATGTTGATATAATTACAGACAACAAAGTAACAGTGGACATCTTAGTTTACTGTGAAATATTAGTGCCTCCTCCTCCTCCTCCTCTTCGCTGCCTGATAGTTTGTACCATGTTGAAACTTCCTTGTGCTCTGAAACTCATAATGGTGAAGTGAAAGTGACAGCTGTTTGAGAGGGGAAAGAAAGAGAGGGAGACACAGCAGATGGCACATCTTCTCTCAATCTGGAGTCTCATATTTTTGTGAGAAACAATCCTGTGTTGAATCTTAGTTGTTTGTGGTGTGTTATCTTGAGCTTTTGTGGAGATCAGGCCTTACAGATTTCTGCTGAATGAAGTAGAGAGATATGGTAAAAGACTGAAATTCAGCTGCTGTAACTCAAAGAGGAGAAACAGGTTGATCACAGTTAAAAAAAATCCTTGATTGTCCCCGATTATAATGACTGAGAACATGTAAAAACAGTTGCGTGGTGCTTCTGCATTTCTGTGGCTCGTGGTCATGTTTCTTACTGTAATGACTTCTTTACTGTAAATGTCAGACTTACCCTCATGTTGTTGTTGACAGCTGCTCAGATAAAGACCATGGTGAACCAGCTGGGGACCAGACAGGACACCAGTGAACTCCAGGACCGTCTGTAAGTATCACCTCTATCTATGTTGTTTCTTCTCTCTGACACACAATCTCAGTAACAGCCGTACAGGAATTTACTCTGATATGATGTAACTACACTGGAGCTGCTGCACTCCAGTCCTATCTGATGAAACTGTCCAGAATCAAACCTGCCTCTGTCATCACCAAGCCTTTAAAACAAAGAACTATTTAATCCTGTAACAGAGTAAAGATTTTGCTCAGAGAAGACTCCGTGTAGATCAGAGAGTAGAGTGGTATATTTTAGTGTACAGGGTGATGATCTTGGCTGTAGATCGTTTTTTAAGTCCTCTCCCTCTATCTGTCTGTTTGCAGGCAGCAGATTCAACACTACACCAACCAGCTGGCTAAAGAGACCAACAAACACCTGAAGGAGCTGGGCTCCATCCCTCTGCCCTCCTCACCCTCAGAGCAGGTGAGAATCGGTCTCTGTTTAATAATGTAATTTTTATATACAGTATGTCTGTTTACTTCTGCATCATACATGTGTGTTTTACCTACAATTATGTGTTTATTGGCACGTTTTAATGTTTAAAGCCTGAAATCTTTTAAATTCATACAATTTAAAGCCCCTGTGAGGAACGTCTGATTTGTATCAGATTTGGTGCCCCCCTGTGGACACAGCAGCCTCTGCTTATCTTGTCTTCTCCATGCTTAACCAGTTTCTTCTGTTATTATGCAAATCTTTAGAATATTTGTCATATAATTACGTTGTATCAGGGAACGCTGTTTAAATTATGGATTTTAAATAATGTAAAATAAAACAAAAAACAACAACAGGTGAAAAAGTATTCTTTGTAACTGACATTATTTTCCTCTAAATTAAAATTTTAAGGGTCAAAGACTCAAGTTTGAACTCAAGATGAAATAAATAATAAATGATCAATATAGAGTTTTAAAAGAACCAAAACTGAACAGTGAAAAAGGATCACAGACTCATGAGAAAACTTATTTAAGTATGAACCTGTGTTGAGTGTTTTTTATGAATGGGATTTGGGCAGTTTAGTTATCCTGATTTGTTACATGGTTGGTCTGACCCTCTCTGTGCTGCTGACCTCTAACTGATCCTGCCCATCTCTCTCTCTTTGTTCAGAGGCAGCAGAAGATCCAGAGGGATCGACTGATGAACGATTTCTCTGCAGCTCTCAACAATTTCCAGGCCGTTCAGCGACGTGCCGCCGATAAGGAGAAAGAGTCTGTGGCCAGAGCGAGGGCCGGCTCCAGATTGTCGGTAAGTCAGAGATCGTTTCATACCTTAGAGGTTCACCTGAGCAGGACAACAAAGACAACAAAGATAAAACTTGGATTCATGTGGGGCCTGAAAGTCTGTGTTAGACTGACTCTGAGTTTGTGTTTTCTCTTCCTCCTCAGGCTGATGATGTCCCTCGAGATGAGAAACTTGTTTCTTTTGACAAGTAAGTCTTCTCTAATTCTTGTGAATCAGGTTGATCTTTGGATAAAGACACCAACAAGGTGTTTGTCTGGAGGAAGTAATTAGAAAGGTGACAGAAATATCACCAAAAACATCATCTCATCTCAAGCCTCTTTTAGATATGCACAAAGTTCCCGAAAATGTCCTGAAAGTCCCTGAGGGTGAGCTGCTAATGTGAATACAAACAACTGAGTTTCCACCCTGACTCCACACTGAATATGTCCTGCTGGTGTTGATGTCTTTCATGCTGCTTGTACTCTGTCTAGTTTTGCTACTTGACGTCACAATCAGGCTCCCAAAACTCTCCCCACGTCTGACAGGAGAGACCTGACATTGTGTGGGTGTGTGAGGAGTACAGTCAGGAGTTTTTTGTCACAGCTCCTGAAATTTTCTGGACATTTCACAAAGGTCATGTCTGAAAAAAAAAACTGAATTCATGAAACCAGGGTGTGTGATGATGAAATGTTAAATTCATCTCAATCAGTTCCTAAAAATTGAAATACAGCAGAGCTTTGTATCCGGTGTTTGCAGATACTGCCCTCTGCTGGAAAAAAAGTGAGACTGCAACACAGATCCTCACTTTATATGCACAAAAGTTCAATTTTCAAGCTGCAGGGATAAACTAGTGTCCATGTTGATGATAAAAAATAAATTATTGTTCTTTGTAACAAAGTTTTTCTTTTACTTGCAATCATGCAAATAAACACAGACAGCTAAATAAACTCAAAACTAAGCAAGTGTCTTTGTCTTGTAAGACTTTTCTTAACCAAATAAGAATAATAACCAAATTACGTTTTTGTGAAAGAAATTATGGTTTTGTAGCTTCTCAGTGTGATTTACTATTGTTAAACATGTAAATTCTTGTATGCATAGACATTACCTGATGGGGTCAGTAATGTAACAGCTGTACAGAATACCAGTCATTCACTAAAGAAATAATTGTGAGTTTTTTTCTGCATTAATAAAATTATGAGGTTTAAAATTATGAGGAAAAGTTCCAGTTTTTCTAAAACTGAGAACTATGTGGCCCACACGGCCCCCAAAACCCCAAACCTGCACTGACAAATAAAAAGACAGTAAAAAAACAACACTCAGGACTCTTCCACATATTAAGAGTCACTTACCTCTTTACGTTTAATTTAAATGATTTCCTCTGTGTGTGTTTGAAGCCAAGACGACTGGGGTCAGATGACGACTCAGACGGAGGAGGCAGCCATCACAGAGGAGGACCTGGAGCTCATCAAGGAGAGAGAGACCAACATCAGAAGGCTGGAGGTCAGTCTGACTTCTTTATTTGGAGTTAAACTTGTTCTTTATAGGAGTTGAGTATTTGGATTATTAAAAAGCCTCAAGCGTCGCTTTGAATCTATAAAACTTCAGATTTCCTGCCATAGTTGAACATGAGCTCAGGATAGTCTTATATGCCAAACCTAAAATGCTAACACATCTCTTTTAATATAGCTACAGTTTTATATCATATAATCTAATTACCCACATAATCATCACTATGAGGCAGCATCAGTACCAACCTGCTGAGAGGGAGAGAGGAGATTATTTAGACGACCACTGCTCACAGACATGTAGCTGTCTAAACTGTATGTTTTATTTATTGTTGTGTACATGTATATTTTAGATATGTTGCGTATGTCAGAGAAAAGGCATGTTTGCTTTGTTGTTTAAACGTTTCTTTACACATACGGTCAGCACAATCAGCAGTCCTCCCGGCCCTCCTATCACTCTTTGTGAATCAGCAGTCACACAAATAAAGTTTGTGTTTGAATGAATTAATATTTTTATTTTCATGCCATGCCACCACTGTAGTCCATTCCCTATTACCGCAACATGGAGATTTGCATCTTTACAGCATTAAAGACAAAAATACCTTTTATGAGCAGGCAGGATTTCTTCTGAGGTTTGTGGATTAATCACCAAACTGATCGATCAAATACTCTGTAACTAAGATATATGATGACTGCCGCCCTTCTGTATATTAACATCAACACACATCAGGATACAGAGGGTAAGCCCTGCACCACAACCTCTGACTGATCCTGACCTGTTTCCTGTTTCAGTCTGACATCCTGGATGTGAACCAAATCTTTAAGGACCTGGCTGTGATGATCCACGATCAGGGAGAGATGATTGGTGAGCATGTGACTTTTAAAAGTATTGAAAACTTTGACCACCTCTCTCCAGTGTGTTGGGTTGTTTTCAGGTAGGACAGATACATTTTAATGTTGCGTTTGGTCTGTGGCAGGTGTTAATTCCAGACCCTGAATGCAGATGTGTTTATTTTGTTGCTACAGAGTCATGTGACTAATGCTCCTGTGTTCTCTGTCCTGCAGACAGCATCGAGGCAAATGTAGAGAACGCTGAAGTTCACGTAGAGCGAGGAACAGAGCAGCTTCAGAGAGCCGCCCACTACCAGGTGAGTCTGCAGTAGGGCCCAACCAATATGGATTTTTGGGAGCTGATGACGACACCGATTGTTAGGGGGCTGGCCGATTACCGATTAGTCTCAAACGGGCTAAAATTGGCCCTAGTCTGCAGCACGTTCCCTGTCTTGTACCTGCCAACAGTCTGTGATGTCATACAGGTAACCGTCTTGTCTCTGCTTCTCTGCCACAGCAAAAGTCCAGGAAGAAGATGTGCATCCTCGCCATGGTGTGCTCCATCGTGCTCATCATACTCAGCATCATCATCTGGCAGGCTGCAAAGAACTGAACTGACTCTATCCTTCTCACATGTCACTGCTATATTTTACTCCGCCCCCTCCCACCTGCAAGTACCTGCTTGGAATCAGATGAAGAAGAAGAGGCCAGGGACTTTTCTGATCCGACGTGATGGAGCCTGATCCTGTAATTTTGAAAACGTCTGATTCGCTCTGAGATGAAGGATGAAGAACTGAGGTGGTGGAGGGGAGCGATCTAAGATTCCTTCATTTGCTATTTTTCATTTTTCCTTACTGCACTAACACTAGCTGTCACTGTATTTCAGATGTAAAAATGTTTATGGGTTTATTTCAAAAAAATGAAACAACTTGTTGAAGATTTCGTGGTTTTTAGGGGCTGTAAATTATTTCTTTGTTGAGTTAGTGGCTGCTGCTCTCACAGAAACTTGAGGGGTCTGACTCTGGTGATGGAAGCAGAGGTTGTAATATACATGTTGTAAAATGGAAGCAGATTAACAGTATGAATAAAAACCATGCGTGTAAATATGCCACTGTGCCACGGTATATTCTGCTCAGAACATTATGGATGATAAATAACGACAGTGTCTCTGGATGAAGCATCAAACATTTTTATTGATTTCTATGACTCCTGATGAGAAGCGAAATAAATGTCTCAAACACTTCCGATCCTTGAGACGTGTTTTCTGTCTGAGTGATAGTGTCAAAGGAAATACTTTAAATATTGAAACTGAAGCATATGGTTTTATGATCGATATCAGCTCAGACCCTGAAGTGTTGAGCGGCTGAAATTCTCTATCAGGCAAAAATGGGACAACATTTGGCTTTTAGACTCCAGAACCTGGTTTCTTGCGTTCACTAAGGTTTACAGAGCATCCATGCTGTAATGATGACTGTTCTTCACAGTTCTTCCTCTACTCTGATACACAGCACTGCAGGAGCCTCTTTAGTCAACACAGCTGTCAATAATCCTGTTCTTGCCTTTAATAATAACATCAAATAACCAGTTCAAACTGAACTTGGACATAAACACTCGGACATAAAGTAGCATGACAAGAACTAACTGAAATGACAGCGCAATCATTGCTATCACTGTTTATCTGCAGATGGATTTCAGAAAAACACTTTCACAGCTCTGCAGATTTCATAGATCCTGTGTGTGACTATGATTGCATGGCAGGATGTTGAAACATTTCCTGCTATTCTGGTGCAGTCTTCCTCTCTCCTTCCCGGAGAAATCCACACAAACAAGTGCATACCAACACATGCACACATACTTGCACACGCACACACATGCACGCACGCACACTTGCACACGCACACACATGCACGCACGCACACTGACGAAGTTGAGGATGCACAATCTCAGTGTCCAAGTGGTAACCATTGGCAACGCAGGTTTAGAGCATCTAAAAGTGTAGGAGCTTTCTGCTGAGCGGGCTTCTCTAAAGATTCAGAGACGGGTAGCAGCTGTGAATACTGTTACAGCATCATCCTGACATGAGATCTGGAGGCTGCAGATTGCAAATGAAGATGTCTGCTCTCTGCAACTAAATGAAATATATTTAGACCTCACAGAGCTTTCGACTGACGTCTGTAATGGTTCAACCTAAGGAAGGTCTCCTTTTTTTGGAGGACAGTAAAAAAGGACGTTTCACAGGACGTTAGCCTAATGTTTGAAATACTTAATGGGAACTGTGCATAAATCTGAGAGAGATTTTAATTTTTTTTTTAAATTTAGGTGAAGATTATGGTTAGGAATCTGTGCCAAAAAGTGCAATGTTGTAGGCTAGGCCAGAGCAGCTCTGGGCTAGGTTATAGACGGGTTCCTGTGCAACGTCATTGCAGGTATGCGCGCGCAGCCTTGCGGCAGAACGCGGGATATTTCTTATTTGTTTACTAGCAGAGTCAACGGAGAAAGAAAATATCAAGGAGATGTAGTGCTGTAAACCGTGCCGTTTATAGCACAACAGCTCCTTGCACGACTCGGCAAAGAAAACAATCGGCAAACGCGCACTTCGTATTGTTTGTACACAAGAAACCGTCTAAAAAGTGCCATTTTGTTGGTTGGGCTATGAATGTACCTGTTTGGAGTATTAATTTCTGCCTTATCACACAGTTGTGTTAAATACTTAGTTTTTACACTTCGAAGCGTCAATCCATTAGCGTCAAATGAAGATGTCTGCTCTAGTTCCTGACGGACGTTCTTTGATGTGATGATATCAATGCGCGGAAAGAAGTCTATCAACTTCAGTCAACGGGAGAAATAAGAGGTAAATAGAGATTAAGACAAGAGAAAGTCTGCTCATTTTATCAAATATTCAGGTTAATTCCAGTAGTAACAGTTAGCCCATTTATGAAATATTAAATTCGATGTGAGAATTAAAAGCTTAAGCTCGATTATTTCTGATAATGTGCAGTTCATTGTTGGTAACCACAGCTAAGTTAGCTCATTTAAAAAGTGCATGTCAGTACTAACAGCAACGTTGGCTAATTTAAAGGCATACTCAGTTTATAATGTAAGAGCAAACTGAGCTGACTTAAGAAAAAGAGTTAAGTTTAATGTGAGTAATTAGAGCTAGGTAACCTCATTAAAATTCCAGTTAAATGTGTGTGATAAAGCTGATTTTTTTAGCTCATTTTAAAACATGTTTATTCTATATTGTGAGTTGTCACAGTTAAGTTAGCTCATTGAAAGAAATGCCCATTCGACAAAGCATTTCTATAAACCAAACTTGCTCAGTAAGTGTAACTGTTTCTATGACTGCTGCTCAAATGTACCAGTTTTTAAGAAGAAATATTCATCTTTAAAACTGTATAAATTATTGCTATTAATTTGTTGTTGTAAGTGGAATGAAATGTAGTTAATGGACTGTTATATGCTGCTTTATATTCACAATGCTGAGGAATAGGGCCGCTTTCATTTAAACCTCCATTAGACTAATTTTTTGAACTAGAGGAGTCGCCCCCTGCTGGACATTAGGAATAATGCAGCTCTACAGCACTTCTGCATCACCACCTCATTAGCAACAAAAAAGCAGAATACACTTACTTTTCATTGTGTGTAGTTGCAGTTTGAGGTTTTTGACAGTGAGGCACATGAAGTACACAATATTTAACAGCCGAAAGATGATATGCATAAATTTATAATAATAAACTGATAACCTGAGTCAAGCTTTTCACTTTTTGACATATTTAAGAGAGCAGCGGCTGAAAAAAATTAAAAATTTGGTCTCATATCAAGATGTGGCAAAAAGCAGCACTAGTCTATACTAGACAGCTGAACAGTGTGTGTGTGCGTGTGCGTGTGTGTGTGTGTGAGGGGGCGGTGATGATTCAGAAGTCAGATTTCTCACAGGAACAGCCACTTCACTGGAAGCAGAAGCACGTTGCAGTTGGCCGGTGAGGACAGGTTTTTAGTTTTTATGTTCCACTCTCTCTCTCTGTCTCTCTTTGTCAGGTGTTGGAGGGACTCACAGAGAAGAATACACACCTTTAAACTGGATAATTATTTTTTCTGACTCTCTGACAGCCCTCGGAGTCTGTCATTTTGAGAAAACAGAGCTGTCAAAATGTCCAGAGTCGCCAATCTGTCGAAGCTGCGGCAGGAGAGGGTGAGGGAGATCAACCTGCGGGTAAGTTGGAACTATCTTCATCATTTAAAGGAACATTGAAGACCCTAGAGTGTGACACTAGTTTTGTCAAAAAGTCAGAATAGGTTAATTAAAGTTCCTGTTTCTGTATCTCTGAGTCACTACGTGTTTTCGTGCACTCAGCCTGAATCGTTTCCTCCTCAGGATGTCGGCCTCTCACACTTCAGGCCCTCAGATCTCTTCGTATGTAGATATCATGATAGTACTGAGTGTATTAGTGGATGTAGGTGGTGGGGTGTATCCATGTTTGTTGTACACAGTGTACTTGCTCACTGGATTTTAACTATAGCAACTGTTGCCATAGAAATAGTAGTGGGTGTGAGTGTGATATTGCTGCTGTCTTTGTGGATGTTGGAGGCCTCAAAATGTGTTCAGAAATGCTGAGTTAAAAAAGTGCTGCTGCTTCAGTTGTATACAGCTCTAACTGCAGTCTTACGGTGACAGATATCCTGCAGTGTCATCCTTTAGTTGATTATGTAATTTGCTGTTTTCACCAGAATCATGTAAAAATTTAACTTATAAACAAACAGCTTTATATCATCTTCAACCTCCACCTTCTGGATTATTACACTTTTTTAAAGGAAATGAACCTCAAATTTTAAGACGATACCAACCAGAACTTGAATCCAAAACCGTGGACTGAGAGTGACTGACGTATCAAAAAAAAAAAAAAAATGGCTGCCATACATTGTGCACTGCAAGCAGCTGATTCCCTGTTTAAAGCAGTCTTATGATACCGGGAAACCTGAGCTACCTTTTCAACCCAACTTTGTCCTGACTCTTTCTCCATGTCACATGAAATTTTCAAGTGAAATCAGGTTGAGCCAATGCAACAGGAAATATTTGGGAATGTTCCCATGAGCAAGTAGGAGGAGATGACGGGTGCAAACAGGATGAATGTAAAGAATAGAGGTTGAAGAAAGAGAATCATTGTAAAGACGCAACATTGATGTACATTGAAACTGTCCTCACGATGCAGGTCTCTGTTACTTTGTCTGTCATCATTTCATAAACATCACACAGTTCTTACAATACCATGAAAATAGTTTTATGTTGATGGAAAGAGAGAACTGAACTGCTCACTGGAGTGTGATCAAATGTTAACATAAAAGTGCCAAAAGAATGTGTTTTGCAGCTCAGGACAGTCTTTTGGTAGAGCAGCAGGCAAATATGACTCCCTTCATGGAAAAAGCTCCTGACCCCTTCACTGGGCAATACGGTTTTCCTACTGTAAGCTTTCAAATTGCCATTGGCCCTGCAACTTAACTTCTTGCTTCCAACTTTTTGATCTGTCTGTGTTTGTCTGATGACCATAAGAAAAAAAAGAACAGTAGTAACTTTACTCCGGGCAGAGCAAAAATATCTAATTCGGAGAAAGTCCTGGTACATTTCAACCTGTTTATTTTCTATAACTGCTGTCACTGTGGTTGCACAAGTTGTACAAACTCTTCCCTTTGTTGCAAAAAGTTCACAGAAATGACGAGTCATGCTGAACATCAAGTCTGAGTGAGCTGCAGGAGCCTCCTACAGTTTCCCAAATAAACCTGATTTGACATGAATCATTTCAACCTCTGAGTCAGGAGCAGCCTGGAGTGACCACAGTGGCTACATCTGCAACTTCCAGACAAAACTGATCACTCCTGAGATTAACTTTAGTTATTGTCAATCTGTCTTTTTATTGGTCCACTCATCTATTTCCATTTTACATATTCATTTTCTTTTCCGTGTATATTTGCCTTAAGTCCTGTGTTTTATTCTCTGTAACTATAAGTTAGGCCATGTTATGTATATGTCGGTCAGGAAGGCTAAACTTAAATTACCCAGGGTGCTTTGTTGTCCAGTAGGAATCAATCTGGGTTACTGGACCGTTTCAAGTCCCCACAGTGTCTTTCAGCTGTCCTCGAAATGGATCAGCTAACTCTCACATATAGAGGGTTTTATAAAAGCAGAATAGGTGTAAATAAACAGGAGAGAGATTCTTTGAAAAGCTGAGATGTCTCAAGTTTATTGGAGTTTTTAGAGAGTTTAGTCAGGTTTTAAAAAGTCTCCTGTTTTAGTTCACGGCACCAAACTGATCACAGGTACAAGAGAACTTTGACTCAATATGTTTGGGGTGGATGTCTTGAGAAAGTCACTGAAATATTGTTAATGTCAGTCTTATGTTACATTGAAGGTGAAGCACAGCCAGTAGCCAGGGCTCTAGCTCTTGTTGGAACTACTTCAGTATGGCTAAAATGCTCTTTATGTTGTCTTTAAAGGAGGCCTGAAAGGTGGTGGTGCTAGCTCTGCTAAGGTTAGCCACACTCTGCAAACCAGTAAAACTCTATTCACCTGCAGAATCAGTGATCATGAGTAGTTATGTTTTTAAAAACTTAGACTGGTGGTGGTGTCAGCAGGAAAAACAGTCCGTATGGAGAGCAAAAGCAGGAGGAACACAGTCCTCCACCGTGATCTCCAGATCCCATGGTTGGTGATCAGAGGAGGATTTCTGTCTCTGTATAAACAGATATCTGCATGAGGGTCAGCTAACAATCTGTTCTGTATCAAATATTTACACTGAACACTAATCTGACAGATGCTGAGTCACTAAAGACGATCAGAGTTTAAATTTACAGATTTCCCTGAATGCATTGGAAATGATGGATCTGACCTCCATTCAACAAACAAACATTGTCAAAGGAGTTTTCTTCTCCTCTTGAGGACAGACCTGACAAAGCTGGACTTTGGACTAATCTGCATCATGATGTTGGTATTTCAGCAAACTGAAGACCAATTAATGAAGAGAACATCACAAGAACATCAGTTTCTGTTTTAGTTTCATACTGCTGAAGGAAGCCAGAGTGAAGCCTCTGAGAGACTATTTACAGAGAAACTCAGACTGTCCGCAGACAAATGGTTGCCTCTCTCACAGACAGAGTGAGCAAACGTATTCAGATAGCCTGATATTTCTTCAGTTTTGATCTGAACACACTTCCGCAGGTTAAGCCACATGAGTCAGGAACACTTCTCATTTGGTTACCAACAGGCTGGCTGACCCTTAATGTGGTTTATGACTGAAGAGCCACACCGGCACCTCTTATTTTGCATCTATACAAACTATAGTAACTATAGCACATATTAATTTCTGTCATATTAATCTACCAGCCATTTCAAAAGCCAATAATAATGTGGTTTAAAGTATCCTAAATACATTGTTCAGCTAGTTCTGCTCCAACTTTGTAAACTCTGTCATGGCTAAAACATCAAAATCTGTGTTGATGGTCAATACTTCTTGTAATTTAGTTTGACAGTTCTCATTATTTCTGAGGAAATGTACTAAATGAAGTTGCCATCATATGTTTGAGTGTGTGTTTTGGATGTGTGTCTGTGTGTTGTAATCAGTCAGCTCTGACTTCTGCTTTCACAATATGTTCATGTGACCGTCATAAGAGCTTCTTCTTTTCTGACGAGAAAAACAGCCAAACAAAAAAGAAAAAAAAAACATGACAGAAATAATCACACAGGAAGTTAGAGCTTGGTAACCCCTGATTTTATCATTAGTGGACCCCAGACAAGCAGGAACAGCTACCACAGCTGGAGCTTGACTGTTAAGGTGAAAAGGATTTCAAGCACAAACTGAATTTGATAAGTATGATTTATGTTTTCATCAAAGTTAATGGGCCTGATAATTATTTAGGTCCTCATCTGATTGGTAATTTTACAAATGAATTTGACTGAGCTTTACTTATGAGATATTTTATGACTGCAGTGCATTAGCATTCTGCAGGAACAAATCATTTCTTTATGTCTGTGTTTAAAAAGTGAGATGTAGGATAAAAGTGTTCTGATTGGAGAGGTTGGTTGAGCTGTATTTTATGAAACAGGCATAAAAGAGGTTGAAATACCATCCGTTAAACTCAAATTCAAAACTCAGCAAATCACCAGATCTTAAAATAAGCCCAAGTAAAAATCAGGTTCAGCATTTAAATGTACTTTGAACAGATTGCTACAAACCATATCATTTGTCTGGTGGATTACTTCAAGTATTTTTATAAGAAATGTGAAACCATATCATACTGCATTAAAAACAGTCACAGTTTAGGTAAAGGAGGAAGAGGAAGTCCTCTTAGGCGTGGTGTGTGAGGGGTGTGTCACGTTGATAGATGGTTCAACCACATAGGAGCCCCACAAAGGAGGCCCCTCAGGGAAATGTGTTTGATTCCTGTCTGAAACCAAAACTACAGGCACACCCCTGAACTCATCTATGAACTTTTAAGATAATGTTCAAGCACACTTACTTATTTTTACTTGAAACACAATTAAAACAAAGACTTCCATATTTATAATTAAACTTCTTCCGATAGTCTCCTTTCATTTTTCAGCCCATATAGAGACATCTATATATGGAGACAATAAGTTTGTAAAAAAGGCTTTATAAATCTACAGATTTTTACAGTTTTGTTAAAGTGACATTCATAAAACTCAAATTTGTTAACTTTACAAATATATATTTTTTCCTTTTACTGATATGTCTTCTTTAACAAAAACTTGTACATATCTAAACTTTTCAATAACACACTGTGACCAAGAAGTGTGGGTGCCCTGTGATAAATTCATAAATACGCGACCATATCAAACTTTGTGGTAGCCAGGGCGAACACAACAGACAAACTACTTAATCTGAAAATTAAAATAGGTGCTGACGTGCATACTACATCTCAAAGTTTGGACACAAGTTGGACACAGTGACAGTCAGGCTGCCCTGGCATGTACTGAGAAAACAAAATGTACCATTGTCTTTACAGTCGCTGATAAATCTGAAAGTAGTGCATTGATAATCATTTGTTAATTATTGGAACATAACAGCATGATATTTCTACATCAGCTTATCTCTGCTCTTTGAGTGTGACGTCAGAGGAAAATGGCAGAATCATGATGGGGACAAAGGTGTCTCATGAGGTGGAAAAGAGGGTCCATGTTGATGTGGAAGAGTGGGATCTGTTATAGAAATGCTCCCCTCAGGATAATAAGTCAATGCAGACGTCAGCATGAAGCATCAGAAAAACCTCCCACTCTGCTGATCAATAATCTGAGTAATAGCCTCTCTGTCAGTGGAGAGAGAAACCTCTCAGTGAGCGTGGATGTGCTTCCACTGAACTACCTGTGGTGACGCAGTTTAAAGGTAACCACAGACCGAGATGGACTGAAGTACAAACACTCCCTGCTCCTGTAGAAGAACAGATATTTGTGCCAAGGACATGCTACTGCTGTAATGTGTCTCCTGCAGTAAAAGTGTATGAAATATCCCCACTGTGTCAGAGTAAACAATAGTCCTCTGACGAACATTTGTAGCAGCTATTTTAACCTGAGTCACTGTGGCAAAAGTCGACATGCAGCTGTTTTCCTTTGAATTGATGCAGTAACTTTCCCCACCCTTCATGTAGTTTGACACGGGGCAGCAGTGGACGTCCGAGACTGTTCTCCCTATAAAAAAGGAAGTCGCTGTTTCCTCATTTCTGTCTGCATTTCTTTCAGAATAAAGAGAGGGAGAGGATGAGGGAGCGGGAGAAGGCGGCAAGGGAGAGGGAGGCTCGGTACAGTAACGGTCACCTCTTCACCTCTCTGACGGTTTCAGGAACAACGCTGTGTACAGCCTGCAACAAGAGCATCACAGCCAAGGAGGCGCTCAGCTGCCCCAGTGAGTAACACAGTGCTGCGCTTTTTCAAGGACAATATGCAAAACTGTCTAAAGAGTAATTCAGAAGACGTAAAACCTAGCTACACATCAAAACAACACAGAGCACAAACCCTGTGGTCGGTCTGCTTAGCGGTGGATTTGTGGACATTTCTGGTACTGCCATCATCCTCCTCTCTCTGTCTCAGTGGCTGTATGGGACATTTCCTCAGACATGTCCTTTCTTTTCTCTCTGCAATGATTACAACATGATCAACTGCTCTTCAACACATGTCTCCTAATATTACACCCTCCTGCATATTAGTATATGACGCTCCATTGTTTGTACTTCTGATTTTTACTGTTGTACTCTGTTGAGAAGATGTATCAGGTGTTAAATACATTCAAAAGGTTTCCATTTTTATTCTCTGCATTTATTATCAGATTTGGCTCATGTAGTTTTCTACCTTCTTGTATCTTTTACAATTTTAGGTTCCCAGGATGTTGTAGTACTGCTGTGAAAATGCTCTTTTCTAGATATTTATATTTTTGCTTTTATATAATTTCCAGATTTATCTTTATTGTTGTTTAGTATTGTTTTTTTGCACTAAAACACCAAGAAGAATTCCTTCTATGTGTAAATCTACTCAGCGAGAAACCCAAATCTGATTTTAAATTCTCTTTTTTTCAGCATGAGAAGCTAGAAAAGAGGAAAAAGAAGCAACAATGATGTGTCTATTTTTTGTCTTCACTATCAAATGTTTTATTTTCCCAGCATGCAATGTGACAATCCACAACCGCTGTAGGGACACTCTACCAAACTGTGCAAAGATGAAACAGAGGGTAAGACAAACACTACAACACAAAGCATAATAATAATAATAATAATATATATATGAGATCTAAAAAAAAGATTCAATCTTTTTTCTGTTTTATGATCTAAAAGTTAATTTTAGCCAATTTTCACTGTCAGGAGGAACTTTTATTAACTTCATGTGTAAAATAGTCTCACATTCTTCCTCAAAGTCCCTTTAAAGTCCCACTCCGATTGATTTTATCATCATTAGCTTTTTTTACAATCATTGCAATCTGCTACCACACATGCTTGTTCCACCATCGTCCTCTCTACTTCTCGGGTTAGGAAATCTCACCGTGTCTAAACCTGTTGTTTTGGTCTGCCAGAGGTTCACTGTGATTTGATTGCAGAAATACTCAGAAAGGCAATCTTGCGTTTAGTTTTTCATGACATGTCCTCTAGCATCAGTAAAATGCCATATGAAAGTATAGACAACAAGAAAAACATGATTTTCATCAGAGTGGGTCTTTAGAGTGATAAAATAGAGAAAACCTTCAGGTTTAGTTGAAGTATAGTGGCAGTAACATGGTAGAAGCTCATTTGTTTGTTGTCTTTAAACCCACAGCAGCAGAAAACAGCCCTGTTGAGGAATAACTCAGCCCTGCAGACCGTCACACTGCGCACAAAAAGTGAGAAATGTTCTTTTCCTTCCTCCTCCTACTTTATTTTTCTTTCTCTTAAATATTCTCTTCACGTCCTCCTACATCTCTTCTCTCTTTTCTCTACCTGAAATCTTTCATTTCTTTATATCTCACAGCTCCAGGAATGCGTGAGCGTCCATCTTCAGCGATCTACCCCTCCGACAGTCTCAGACACACTCTTCTGGGGTCACGCCGGGGTCGCTCTGGCCTCTCGCTGTCCAAGAGCGTCTCCACCAACAACATCTCTGGGTGAGCGTCACTTTCGCCGTCTGCTACCTTAAACAGAAGATAAGACCAGCTCACGTCTCTCTGCAGCCTGTCAATATTAAATCACAGTTCATTCTTACATCACCGACGGCCAACAGCAGAGTGTCCCTGTGCCTCGCCGGTGATAAAATCTTACATAACACAGCGCATCCTTTGCCCACATTAGACCTGCAGACAATGTGAAGCAATTTATCAGTTTCTTTTTGTGAGCGAGAGTCTGCTATGACTCAATAAAATGTCTTAACAAAGAGGATAAAAGGGAGGCTGTTTTTTCGCAGAATGATCCGGATTAAATAAACTCTACTCAACACAGTCTATGATCACACTGCTGAAGTCTTTGAATGTTGAATCAACAGTTAAAAAGGAGTGATTCACCTGCAGTATTTCACTGAAGATTAAATGACTGCTACTGAAACCACAAGTGTAACTGCTTGCTCTCTGACTGACTCTAACTGCAGGCCAAACCCACTAAAAACAGCCTGGACTGGTGCTAATACCCTCATATTTGTATTTTTATTTAAGGAGACACCATCAGTCTGTCGCTTTATTATAGCTGTAGCGCTGGAAAGCATTGGGACTATTTGACTAAAAATATAATTAAATCATCTATTCCCAATTCAGATTAATGATCTAGGATTAAAATAACATAACTGTAATTAATTTCTTTTGCACGGTGTTGTAGCAGTTATTTAGTATTTCCTTTTTTGGTTTTTACTCAATAAACACCTGGATTTATTGGCAGCCTGATTCACAAACATTCTTGTAAGATCCAAAACTGTCAAAAACCTGTCAAATTTACTCTCTCACCATGCCGCTCTAAAAAATGTCCTTTTCCTCATCTCTTTTAAACTATAAATATAAAAGCAGAAGCTCTTTGAAATCGGTTTTAATTTCTCAGAGATTCAGCTTTTTCCCTTTTCTGAATTCTGTTTTACAGCATAACCACATTCTCTTACCCTACTGTCAGATTGTGAATTGTGCTCCACTTGACTCACTTATCAATGATGATAGATAGGACGCTGCAGTCTCTGGTATGAGTTGTTTCATAGTTTATTTCAGTTTTATGATTCGTCTGTTGTTATCGTGAGGTTAGCTGTTCGAGAAAATAGGCCAAGTACCTCCTCTCTGTTTCTGCTTCTTTGTGTCACATCCTACGACAACATCCATCAGCAGCACATTTTATAAACTAAATAACATAAATTTACAATGGTTCCTCTGAACTACAACCACATCAACATACATGTGCTTGATCCAGGCTTTGCTGCATATAAATACAGGCATGCTCTGGCAGTTGTTGGTTGTCCAGTACCATCATTCAGTGGTGTACCAGCAGGTTTTGGCTCTATGTGAAGAGCAAAAAAAGAGGACCAGCTCACCATAATGTGATTCAGCCTCATGTCAACGCAATCGAGCTTCATGTCAGATATGTAAAAGTCAGCTAAAAGGCTTCTCTTTGACATCCCAACCTTTAGTCCATTTGTAAGGTCGAGAATCAAACTGTAAATGTACGCAGAGCAGAAGTAATCTTGATTGTAAGTTTTTAATCAGACGCTGGCTGATAGACACTTTGTTTGTGCTGTACATGGAGCGGGATCACTGACAGTGTTTTGTTGTTATTGTAGGACCCTGACCGACGACTCTCCTCTGGGTTTAAGGAGGATACTGTCCCAGTCCACAGACTCCCTCAGCTTCAGGAACAGAGCCGTGTCCATGGAGTCGCTCAATGATGATGGTAGGACGTCTGAGAATGACTGAAAAACAGATGGTTGTTTCAAACAGTGATGCTGCAGGGTTTTTATTGAGTAATTTAGCTGTGCCAAAAAAAAAAAACAGATTAAAATGAAAGAGAAATACACATAGACCAAAAGTGCACTAACCTGAGAGTCATAAATCCACACCTATGTTTCCCACAAACACCTCAGGGTGACCTGGATCTTTCTTACTCTCGGTCTCCTTTTATTCAGGAGAGATGTACTACACATCAGTCCTGGAGGAGATTGAGTACGAGGGTCAGGACTTTAAGGCAGACTCGTGGAGCATGGCAGTGGACAGCAACTACCTGCAGACTCACCGCAAAAACATCATCAAGAGGCAGGACGTCATCTACGGTGAGGGGGACATCCTCTATCTTCAGCAGCACTTCATTTAAGTCTTTTCTCCTCATTATAATCTGATCTTCACTCATCTGTTTGTCCCAGAGCTGATCCAGACCGAGCTGCACCACATGCGGACGCTGCACATCATGGAGCGAGTGTTCAGGCAGGGCATGCTGGAGGAGCTGCAGCTGGAGCCCAGCACCGTGCACGCCATGTTCCCCTGCCTGGACCAGCTGATCAGGATACACTCGCACTTCCTCGCGCAACTTCTGCTGCGACGCAACCTCAGCATGCAACCGGGGTCCAACCACAACTTCACCATCCACCAGCTTGGAGACATTCTTCTGGAGCAGGTGATACAGACTAACAGATTCATCGTCCAGACTGGAAAAACAACCTCATTTGTTTATTTATCCCAGTTTTATAATCGCAGATGTATTGAGCTGCATGATAGGAGGATGTTTGTTTGTTATTCTGACTTTATTTAAGGGTTTAAATAACTAACATACACAAAGTAAACAAGTCTGCAAAGAGCCTGTTTGTCTCGGTGGCATTAGCACACAAACTAACCTGTGTGCGCGTGTGTGCGGTCAGTTCTCAGGTCAGTGTGCAGACGACATGAGGAAGACGTACGCCGAGTTCTGCAGTCGACACATGAAGGCGGTCAAACTGTACAAAGAGCTGTTGGCCAGAGACAAGAGGTTCCAGTGCTTCATCCGGGTGAGAATCCCCTTAAACTCCAGAGCACGGTCTTAGAGAGACGCTGGATAGTATGAAGCTTTTTTTTAGGGGTGATATTTCCCTCTGCTCCTCTGGCTCAGTTAAAATGAAACTGTTGTCTTTTAAGTTACTAAATCATTGAGAGTTCAGGTTGTTCTTACTTCATGTAGTACAACAGCAACTGAGAGACAAACCAAGATTTTGCTATCCAGTTACCCTTTAAGATTGGTGCCAACAGAAAAAGTGGAGCACATACTATACATTAGAGATCTGTGCAAAAGCTCTTTTTGTGAGCTTCAGCTAGCAGCCATGGCCTTTCAGTCAGCTGTCTTGAGCCTTTATTCCACCAGAAACACCACAAACTTTTAGGGCCCCTTGAATGTGTGGAAGTTACTTAACCTTTGCACACGTACAGTCATGCAGAGTGAGGCTCAAACTGAACTGAAAATCATTTCAGACTTGAAATCCCACTGAGCATTTTTTGGTCTAAAAGAGGTCTAATAGAAGTCTAAATGTAGCCTAGATGACTGGTCTAAAATCAGGCTACCACAGGTCTAAAAATGAAAGTTTTTTAGACGTCTAAACTTAGACTAAGTTTAGACTAGTCGGCTAACAGAGGTCTAAATGTATATCGCCTAACAGCTATCATAATTACTTTGGTTAAGCACTTGGAGATCAGTTATTCTTCTTTACATGTCCAAATGGTTGGATTTCAAACATTCCAGCAACAGAAAAACAAATGAGTCCTGTCTGTCCTGTAAAACTTCTCCAGCTTTGTGTCTGTTTCATTATTGGCACCTGTTGTGTATGGCTGTCCAAACAAAAGGCTTGTGGAGACCTGGTTCACAGCTGCAGTGATTTTATTTGGTGTCATGGTGCGCCCAGTGATGATCAGAATAACGTAAATATCACATGGATGAACTCTTGACTCCAGTGAAGCATTCACACACGGACGTGTAGCTCTTCTATAGATTAAAGTCTGATTCTGGAGTTCTTCAGTCTAAAACTCAACAGAAAACTTGCACAACACCTTTTTGTTTAATCTGCTGTTGTTTAATCAGCTGTGAGGAGAAAATGTGATGTCAAAATAAGATTATGTCAATAAAAGAAAGTACTCCTGCTGAATAACTTACTTCTCTTTGCCAAACTTTACCAGCAGCGCTCTAAAGCAGAGACACTCAGGGTGAATGACTAGTATCCACTTGGTTGTTTCATGGGAAATCTGACCCGAACACAAACACTAAAGAGCAAAGAAATGACCAATCTGATCCTGGAGAACCTCATTTTACTTTATCGGTTTTAAGTAGACATCAGAATAAGAGTGAGACTATTTCAACATCAGCTAAACCTCCTCCATCATAGTGACTCTAAAGGTTCATCAAATGTGTTGTTTGCTGTTTTAAGAGCGATCTAAGCTTGGTTAGGACTTTTCAAATACATCTGCTGATGTTTGAAAGATTTATGTGAATTTTACGAGTAAAAACTCTGTCCCTTTAGGGTCTGCTATTTTCAGAGACTCTCATCCTCTTTTGGGTCTTGATACTTGTGCATCTTCTGTTTCTGAAAGATGATCGAAACCAGCTGTACGCTCACTAAAAAGGAAAAGTGACTGACAACCTTTTTCTTTTTTTCAGAGGGTGAGTCGGGGGCCGTTGCTGCGTTGCCATGGTGTTCAGGAGTGCATTTTGTTAGTGACTCAGCGGATCTCAAAGTATCCTGTTCTCGTCCAGAGGATCCTGGACAACTCCACTGGTGAGTCAGCTCAAAGAAACATCACAGCGGTTTTAGTTTTCATCCTGTTATGATGACATTTAGCAAAATTAAGAAGAAGCAAGTGAGAAACTTTGGGTCTGCAGCAGTATGTCAAAGGTAATATGTGCTTTTAGAGCTGTTTGTGAGGTATTTACATCCCTGCATCATCCACAGAATACTGATTTTTTTCATGTCGTTGGAACTGCAGTGTTTCTTTCTCTTACCTTTGTATCCATTTCATCTCGGATCTAAATATTTTACCGCAAACTGACTGTCTCTGTCTGGTTCTTTGCTTGAACATTATTTCTGTTTGCATGTTTATCTTGCAGATGATGAAGAGGAAGCGTCCTGTATAGCTCAGGCTCTCTCCATGGTCAGAGAGCTTCTCAGTTTAATAGACCAGCAGGTACATAAATAGTCTTTGAGCAACATTTCAGTCAGGGAATACTCTTTGGGATTTTTATACTGGCTTTAGATCCAAGTAAAGAAAACAAAAGAGAAGACTAAAACAAAGAAAAGCTTTTCTGATCTTCGGGGGTTTGTTGATGTTTATGAGTGTTTTTTTTTATGTTCAGATGGAGGACTTGGAGAAAACTCATCGTCTGCAGGAAATCCAGGCCAAACTGGACCCTCGGGCTGAGACCAGAGTCCGGGATGGATCGCTTTTCAAACCTGGGGAGCTTTTCAGACGGAAGCTCGTCCATGAAGGAATCCTTTACTGGAAAACACCTGGATCAAGACTCAAAGGTACACAGAGTGTGGAAACAAATACAGGGATCATGATGTAAACTGAGCAGGTGGTTATGAGAGCTGAGCAAGACTCTGACACAGAGGGTGAATCATAAAAATGAGTCCATCTAAATCCAAATTCTGTAACGCCTCCATGGCAACAGATTCCTATTGGTCTCCTTGTTGTAAAAATTAACATCTGGCTGAATAATTTGATTCAACTTTAAGTTCAAACATGATGATTAAATGAACTTTAATACCTTCTCTGTCATATAAAACCTACAGACTGGTACTGGTATCAAAATGCAGAGAGAGGGGTTTCAATATTGACAGTGTGGTGCTCTCACATAGTACAAAGCAGAGCTACACGTCTGCTTGAAAAGTCCACATTGCTGAACACGATGAAAGTCTTCACACAGGAACACAGTGTGAACTTTTTTCTCCAAGAAAGGCTGTGCGACTACGAGCAGAGATGTGGTAATGTGTGTCTTTGTGTTTTTGTTTTTGTAGATATTCAGGTCCTCCTGATGACCGACATCCTGGTGTTTCTGCAGGAGAAAGACCAGAGGTACATCTTCCCATGTCTGGTAAGATAACGTCCTTACAGATCATTTCTTTTGGATTATTATAAAAAATGTCTCTTCATACTGATCCTTTCCTTCTGAGTTACCTCCTAAAAACCATCCTGTGTTTTGTGATCCAGGACAAACCCCCAGTGCTGTCCCTCCAGAACCTGATTGTGAGGGACATAGCCAATCAGGATCGAGGGATGTTCCTCATCAGCGACTCATCTCCTCCTGAGATGTACGAATTTCACGCCGCCACCAAAGAGGACAAAAACGTGTGGATACGACACATTCAGCGCACAGTCAGCAAGTGAGATTTCATACTAAACAAAACTTAAGATGCACCTAATTTTCTGTGATTTTTGGTCGCACATGACAGGATCTGGGTTCTTTGTCCTCAGGTGTCCATCCAGGGAGGAGTTTCCACTCATAGAGACTGAATACAAGGCTCACCTGAGGAGACTCAAAGGTGGGGATGCACATACAATCAGAACTACAATCCCAACCCCCAAAATGTTTTTTATATCTGTATGCACTGCAGCAGTTTGTTACATTTAAACAGATACAGACTGTTCCTCTGTCTCAGCTGTTAGTTTGAAGGTGTGATGAGATACCTGATAACGCATGATTCAAAACCCTTCCTACTTTAACAGCTGACCTGCAGCAGAAGGACCGGGAGATGCTGGAGCTCCTGCAGGAGAGGGTGATGCTGTTCTGTGAGCTGACAGAGGTGACGAGCGGTCAGGAGGCGCTCCAACCCCCCATTACCCGATATTTATTCAGAGCTGACACACCGCAAGCCCCCCGAGCCGAAAAACTGCTGATGGATGCCACTGCTGAGGGTGACTCACTAAATCTTTAAACTCAACCATTAAATCAACAAAAATATGTGTATACTGTAAATGCTGCAGTACATTTTACTGAAACTTTTAACTGTATCTTCCACAGTGGACAGGCTGAGTGAGCTCCTCCTGGGCTCTAGCTTGGACATGTCTCCTCTGTATCATCACAACCACCTGGAGGGGCTAGAGATCAGTGAGTGACTGAAGTCTTTCATACAGTGAGAAAAGACAACAAGGACTAAAAACATAACAGACACAAACACATTGATGCATACTGAACTCTTTATCATACTTTCATGAGCATAAAGACAAGTTTTACTCACTTAGAGCTCAGATGGAGGGCTGTTAGATGAGTCAGAGCTTCAAGTTAAAATTCAAGTTTAAGGATTCGTCACTCAGAATAATAAAAAATTAAGGTGTCTTTACAGAATTATTCAGATACCTGTTTGGTTGTTGCAGGTGTAACGCTGACTGCTTTCTTTTTTTCTGTGTTCAGGTGATCAGGATCTGTTGATAAATGGAGCTCATGATTTCTTTTCTGTAAAGGTGAGCTAAGGGCGAAGGTGTTAAACAGTAAGAGGATGAAGTCTTTTTTGATATTCTGACATTTAAAATCCATCAACACCAGCTCGTTTTATGGGCGTATCAGACTTACCCAGTCGATCAGTTATAAGAGCCTTTTTGCACTGAATGTTGTCTACCTGATGTTAGGTTGTGCCATCCTGTCAGGATGATACTTAAAGACACATCAACCCTGAAGCTGCAAAGGCGGTTTCCCTGCTCATCCTTCTCCTCTCTGCTCTTTGTCTCTCAAGTGTCTTTCTGAAGCTCAGAGACACAAGCTGGAAACAACAATACGACAGCACAGTATGGAGCTGAAGCTGTGTAAAAAGTAACACCCCTAAGCTGTCTGACTTTCCATCATTGGGAAAGCAGCATAAGTAAAGTGTTTGAGTTGGAGGCTAAATAGAGATGAAATTAAGGTTTTCACAGACGCCAGTATGAGATAAATACAGAGTTTTGGAGATGCTAATCATGGGAAGTTAGACTGACAAAACAAAAGGTGAAAATAGATATAAAAAGTAGTAAAATCTTAAAAAATCACTTTAACCTTTGTCCTGGATGACATACCTTGAGGTACAAAGAGGTTATTTTCCCTTAAATTAACATCCAAACTCACTTAATGAGCACAGAGGGGCGGAAGACCTTAAACCAGACAGCCACAGCCATTTACTGACACAACTCTTTTACTGAGAAACTTGGAACAGGTGGTCAATACATGCATGTTTCTGTATTCATATGTAGCTCTAAAGTTTGGCTGGTTCAGTTCTGTTGAATAATGAAGTATTCTCTTATCTTGTAAAGGACTGCATGAAGAGTCCAGACCAGCAACCACCCTCGGTGAGTGGGAGGGAGAGGTTTAATTAGAGTGGATGTGGCATGTTAGTCTCTGTGTTTTCAGAGACATTAGTAATATGAACAGAAAAGGTGATTCAGTTTTTCTGCCTGGGTTCACAGGAGATCTATCAGAGGATGGTGAATCTCAGCGTTTATCTTCATGCTCTTCAGGTGAGAATCTCTCTGGACGTCTTAAAACACATCTAAATATTAACATGCTGGTTCACACCATTTTAACAGATGATAGGATGTTTTTGCACAATTTTCACTTAAAAACAGGCTTAAAATTATTGATACACAATGATACACAGGGAACAAACTTTTTGGAAAAAGAATCATAAAATATATTTGCTGTCATATTTGCAGGCTGCAGTCATCAAACAGGACTCTATCTTAGAGCTGCTGCTGCAGCCTCAGGATGCAGCCTCACCGGCTGGAGGAGGATCGTGGCGCCCTCTATGGAGGGACGGTGTAAATCGTGAGCAAAGTGCAGGATCAACAATCGGTGAGCTGGCTCTTCTTCAGAGGCAGCACAGTCTGCTGCAGGAGGAGCTGCTGAGGCTGAGAGATGCCGAGAGCCGATTCAAAGACAGCGAGAGAGCCCGGACCAAACTGGAGCGACAAGTCAGACACATGAAGGTCTGCAGTGGCGCCGCACCTACCTCCCAGCATCCAGCAGAGCTGACATCACAGGTGAGGAGGTTATAACTGTGATTTCAGGAAGGTAAAGAGAGCCTCAGAGAAGATATTTCAACTTTTGATACCCAAGAGCAGGAGCATGAGTATGATAAAGCTATCAGAAAAGCCAGCACTGCAAAAAGGTCTAATCCTGATCCAATAATCACTGAAATGAGCTTTTTACACACTCAGCAATATTATGTTTTTTTTTTCATAATATTAAAACAAATTCCGAGAGTAACTGTGGGCTGTTTGATGGTCGAACATGATGCTAAATTCTCCACATTAGCAGTTCACCTTGCTGCTGTGAAATATACTTAATGGCATTCCACTGGGCTCTATACTGGGTCCTTTGATATTTAAAAATATTTTTTTTAATAACTCACCTGTTTACTATGGACAAGGAATTAAACTCACCTGATCACATGACATTAAGGGTTGAAGTTATTTCAGATTGGGAGCAGGGCCTCGCTGAATGTAGGTGTGATCTGTGAGCTGTCTGCCAGCTGTCACCAGAACAAACTAAATCACAAAAATGTTGTTTCTGCCTCAAAATACTCAACTGTAGATCAGTCTACAACTTCATCAACTTCTCATGTATAATTTTATTTTGTTCTTTAAGTCTTTCCTGTTTTTTTTCCCTGCAGTCAGGAAGGGTAGGTTCATCAGGAGTTGACACTCAGCGAGGCGGCCGGGACACTCCCAGCCAATCAGATGGTCTGCAAGATGGCAGTGATCTGGAGGTAGATATGACATCAGATGAGGACGATGAGACAGCGTCTGAAAGCTCCAAAGGTCAGAGTGAGACACGGCAATGACTTTTGGTTTATGAAGAACATGATTGACCTTCAGTTTAAGACTCAGGAGGCTTCACCCACTCAGGTTTGGTCCTGTCATTTCACCCTCTGATTCCTGATTATTTAGCTAAAGTCCACTTCCTCTGATTTAAATTCATAGATCAGTTGTGATGGGAAAATTTTAATTTAAATGGTTCTTTCAGATCTAGATTAGCCCGAACTGTGACAGCAAGTTTAAGTCAGACACAAATCAGTAAACTGGAAGGTTTCCTTTTTATACGCATGTCAATGAAGTCAGGCTGTCGAAGTTAACAGGTCTCATGATTTTGAATAGAGTTATATATAAGATATCTACTGGAGTAATTCATTAACTATTGTTCCCATAGAATGCTATAATGCTAATGCTGTTATTTTCATGTGCTCAAAGGACTAAAATTAGAATTTTCTTTTCAGATCTTCAAGATATTCCAGAAGAGATCTGATCCTCTGCATGAGCCCCAACACTTCAGTTTAAAATAATGTAAACTGAGTGATCAAACCCTGCAGGATGTTCTGCTTTCTGAGCAAAGAAAGCAGAACAACCTGCATCTTCCCTGCAAGTCTGAATGCTTCTTTAGCTGCTTTGCTTTCAGTAGTTATCTTGTGACAGTGAGTGGTTTTGTTTTCAGCTTTAGAGCTTTGGATGGTTTGGATTTCTGTTATTGCATCACGTGACCAAAGGGGAGGAAATGGATGGATTGCGCAGATTTGACTCTGATGGTTCTTGCATGATGAGAGCTTCTGTTTTCAGCAAATAACTGCACTCTAACTCAAGGTTAAACCACAAGGGAATGTGCATGTTTTTGTCCATGAACAGTAGTTATAAAAAGCTCTGTGAAAAATGTATTTTAAACAAGAAATGTGCACTTTTATAGTCTATTTATTTTCTAATCACAGTAGACAGATATTTGTCCAAAAGCCTTCTTTTACTGTTTAAAGCACTCTACTCCTTTTATAAACTACTCAAAACCCAAATATTCTTAAAAACAAGCCATATAAGGAGAGAACGTCTATTCTTAATCATAAACACAAGCACAATCCAAAAGCAATCCAATAAATGGTGCAATAAACCCTGTTCACAGTGCCTGAAATATCCAGGTACTGTTCAGACTGGAGATGAGAATTAAAAAAAAAAACTCTAACTGTTTTGAGCTTTTATCATTTGGCTTGTTGTTTCATGGTTATCGATGCTTTCCACTTCACTCTGCCTTTCTCTGATAATGACGCAATCCATTGTGAGGGGCAGTCTGCACAAATAACAACTGAGAAAATACTTGTGGCCCAGAGAAGACAGGAGCTGCCCAAAAATGTCATCAACAACTAAATAATGTGTTCAAAATACCATCTTTTAAAACAGAACAATGTAATGCACCAATTTGTTATAAAATCCACTCAGTTTGTGAGACAGGCAACTGTCGGCCGATAAAGTCTGAGTGTTTTTGTCACATCAGGATCTGTTTTTATCCCACAAACAAGATCAGTGTCTCAGAGAGTTTGAAAGGTAATCTGAAATGATTTATGAACTGTTATTACCTGGCCTGTAGTCTGAATCTTTGCCCATGATTGGCTCCTCAGAGGCAGCATTTCCGCTGAAATCTAAGGCTACGTTCACACTGCAGGTTATGATGCACAATTCGTATTTTTTGTTAAATCTGATCTTTTTGTGCGGTCGTTCACATTACAACAACGAACGCGGCATCTAATGTGAACGGAATGCATCCGTGAAGTGACCCGCATGCACACAAAGCAGGACATGACGCAGTTCTCCGTTCCCTCGTCTGCCATTGTCGCATATTGATGATGTATAGGTCGGATGAACGTGACCTGAGCGTCCACACTGCAGTCACATCGGATACATATCTGATTTATATCCACACACAAAAGAGGCCTGGGTCAGATTTAAAAAAATATGAATTGCACTGTTCACACTTACATGAAAAAATCAGATATGTGTCAAATATGGTTAAAAAATCGGAATTGACCTGCTGTGTGAACGTAGCCTAATATTTGCTTGTATTTAACAGGCTGCTTGTAGCGTCTGTCATTTCTGTGTGACATATTTTCTTCTGTTGGCCCTTGACCTCTTATGGAGTCCTTTAAATAATAAAGTTTGGGAAATTTTAATGCTGTTGCTAAGGTAACTTGCCGTTTAAAGTTAAAAACTATACACAAATATTCAGCAGACAGCCTCACTCATGATACACACAGACCACTAATTGATCTACACTCTAACATGTGACTGAGTGTCACAACATTTTAAAAAAATCTCTAATGAAGAACAAACAGTAAAGTTGGTCTTAAATGTTACAGACCAAAGATTGTCAAACATCTATAATAAGCCACATTGAAATCTCCTCACTGTCTTCCAATCTCTGAAATAATGACTCTTTCTGCAGCTCTTAAATAGATTCAAGGTCAGTGCCTTTCAAAACTTCTAGAAACGACTGTTACGAGAAAGATTCACAGAGCTGGTTATCAGATAAGTTTTGGTTTTAGTTGTTAAACAAGGTTGTAGTTTAAAAAGGCACACACGGAAATTCTCTGTTAGACATCTTTGTCTCCTCTGAACGGTGATGCTTTTTGGACATCTGTTTTCAGGACACCATTCAATGATTGATAAGGGCATATTTAACTTCTAACCAGATATTATTCTTAGTCACATCACAGAGAAAAGCTACTTTTCCGAGGGAAGATTTGCAAATAAAAATATCCATGCAGAGTTCAGTTTTTCACATTTTAGCTTTGCTTTGTTGCTTTCAGCAGCTGTCAGTATGGTCTGTAATCTGGATCAATCTGTGCTCATGGTTTTTAGACAGAGACCACTTTAATTTTCCAAGGCTCCAGATGACGATCTCTGGAGTACAGAAATTAAAAGGAGCTTCAGTTTTTTTGTTGGAGTAATTTTCAGTCTGTAGTGTGTTTGGCTGAATCCTTCTGCATGTTTTTAAACCTGAATATTTTCCCCAACCTTTTTCTTCAGACTGCAATAGAAATCGACTTTCAGCTTTATTGTGTATTTATCCTTTAAAGATTTACTATGTGTGAAAACTGAATCTATCTATCTATCTATCTATCTAACTAGCTAGCTAGCTAGCTAGCTATTTATCTATCTATCCCACCTACCTATCTATCAATCGATCTATCTATCTGCATCCCTAATTCAGCGGTGTGTTTAGTGTTGATAAAACAGATTTTCATGGTTTGTAAATCAATGACAGTTTATATTTAATTGAAAATTGAGCAAAGACAACAGATCAAATGTTGAACCTGAAAACTTTCTGCTCATTTTAAATCTGATGTCAGTAAAATGTTTGTATAAAGTAGATCCATGTTCATGTTTCTCATCGTGTGTCCTCAGCGCTTCTTTTCCCAACCCTCCGTAGACCTTAGTGAACCCAGCAGACCAGGTTCTGGAGTCTTTAAGGGAAATTTTGTCCCATTCTAAGTATGGGGAACCAGTTCAGCAGCAGAGAGAATGCCAGATTCTGATTGGTCAGTCTCTGGTGTTTCTGGATCCTGTTTCTATCTCGTTTCCTCTTTTCATGGTTCAGTGTTAACCTCATTTATGGATGCATATGAGAACTGTGTTCACAGACAACGTTTTTAAAGTGATTTTGAGCCCATGCAGAGATTTCCACTCCAGAGTCCTCTCTGTTTTAATGCAGTGCTGCCTGAGGGCCTGAAGACTAAAGGACTAAAACCAGTCTTGATTTTTAGTACTTGTCCCTTTTGTACAGAGATTTCTTCAGATTCTCTGAATCTTATAATGATATTTTGTACTGTGGATGATGAAATCAGCTCATTCTTTCACATTTGACACTCAAAACGACATTCAGTAACTGTTGAACTATTAGCTCACGCAGTCTCTCACATAGTGGTGAACCTCTTCCCAGCTCTCCTTCTGAGAGACTTGACCTCTCTGAATGAAAACTTTTGACCTGTTTGGTTGTTCCTCTAAAAACTTTTTACAAACATATAAAATTTTAAATGAGCTGAGATTCTCTCATAAACCAAAAACGTTTTATAGTTTTAGTTTAAAAAAGTTTTCTTTGCTCCATTTTCTATCAAAAACAGACTACATGATTAAAAACCCTTAAATCTGTCTCTATCAGCACCTTAGCTTTCTGAATCAGGGCTGTATCTTCTCTCTCAGTCATATTATCCTCAGGATAAAACTTTAAGTGTATTTAACTGTAAATACTGTGGAGTTTGTGTGAAAACTTTGGGTTATGCAGATGTTCCTGTGCTGCAAAATGAATGTGAACTTTACAATTTTCTGCTGTACGTCGTCCTCTCTGATATGAATGTGTTAAAGGAGATTGTCTCTGCGACCTTTGGTGGAAATAGGATCATGTTTTTGTTTGATATAAAGCAGGTTTGATACACTTTTTGAAGGAAAATGAAGAAATACTGAGCTGTATAAGAAACTTAGATAAGTATAAGGTGTTATAACTTGAACAGAGTCTCTAATGTGTGATGCCTAACTGGGAGAAAGGGCTGTACTTCAGTTTGCACACCCTTCTTCATTAATGTGAATTATTATACATCAAAAATTAAACATATAATACAAAAAATATCTGTGTTGTTTTCCTTTCCAGTGTGTTCAGGTCTTTCTGAGATCTTGAGTCAGTCCCAGGTCGGATGGGACTAAATCCTCTCTGTACTATAGTACTGGTACCTTGGTTTTTAATCCTCTCTGTGTGCTTTTCCTGATGCTGGTTTGAGCAGGTTCTTCCTTATTATTAACAGGATACTGTAAATCAGAGTTATTCCTCCTTTCCTGGTATTTGAGCTCGGTCCCTAAAATGGTTCAACCGGATATGTGACGTGAATCCTGGAGAGCAGCTGGTGATCCTTTTCCTGATGTGCTGAGGGATATGATGGCTGTGTTAATGAGGCTGTGAGGGATTGATACAAACATGTTGGTAAAGATAACTCCAGGATGGCCTCAGCTCTGTTCGGCCTTCAGGATCGGGTTTAGGATGCCCGTGTAGTTTCAAACACTTGGGTAAGCCTCAGACTGTGCCCTGTTGGATTCATGAATCTGTGCACCATTTCTTCATCGTGTCGGCTGTCACTGTCTTGGACAGGAGGAAGGAAAAGATCAAACTTTTAACTCAGATGGGAATATAATTTTTTATATGAATAACAGACTGCTGTGGATCCTCCCACGGGGACAAATAAAGCCTTAATGATACAAAAGGATTATTTAATACTCATTCAGCTTTGCTGGATCTGCTGAGTAGTTTGGAACTGAAGCTAAAGGGGGTCAAAGAGATCATGTTTTACAGTAAGGACAGTAGACACCGTCCAGCAGAGGGCGACTCCTCTGGTTATAACATCAGTCTCTTAAATACACAGTCAATGTCAGTGTCATTAACTGAAATGACTCCTTTAACACTTTCACAAAGTTAAACACACTTAGAGGACCCGATCTACCTGTTAGTCACTAAAGCACATTTTAAACACTGTGAGGCGTTCATGTAACCACAGGTAAGAGTGTTTATCCACCGACACAGGATGTGGTTTGAAAACTTGGTTTCGTGTTCAGTTTAGAGGAAAGAGTGTGACAACAAATGAGTTTCTGTTTTTTTGGTTTGTTCTGTAGCTGACTGAAGTCCTGGTTCTCCGTCCTTTCCACTCACATTACCCGTCAGCTAGAATTGTTTCTGTATACGACATAAAAGACGTCTCTGAAATTAGTCATCTTGGTAATAACACTTAAATTTCCTGACATTAAAAAACTGTTTAAGTTACAGTGAGACCTAAACCAGTTTAAAATCTTCTCTGTGAGGCTGAAGAGTCTCCGATTGAACTTCCTAACAATGAATCATAAACAGCTCTTAAACTTATTTATAGCCTCACTCTGCTGCTAATATCAGCCTGGAGCCCTGACTCCTTATACAGTATCTGAACCCCGTCAGAGCCAGCGGTCAGCCAACATGAACCCCCCAGACCCTGTAATAGAAAAGGTCAACCCTCGGCATGCGCGCACACACACACACACACACACACGCACACACGCACACACACAGGAGAAAGTAAAAAAATTACAGTTGAAGTCTGTTCATTGTGTGTGTGCGTGAGTGTGTGTGTGTGTGTGTGTGTGTGTGTGTGTGTGTGTGTGTGTGTGTGTGTGTAGATTTCAGTGTGTATGTGTGTGTGTAGTGTGTGTAGGTGTCAGTTTGTTTGTGTGTGTGTGTGTAGATTTCAGTGTGTATGTGTGTGTGTAAGTGTGTGTAGGTGTCAGTTTGTGTGTGTGCCAGCTGCAGACACTGCAGTCTCTTATTCTAATCCCTGAGACAATGTCAGCCAAAAGCAGTTTATTAATAACCTTGGGGGGCCCAGAGGGGGAATATCTGACATATCCTCCCTCTGGCTCTGCCCCCCGTTTATCCCCAGCAGAGAGACGCTTATAGACGTTACAGACAGGTGATGGTGTGAAGTTACAACTCTGCATTCCTGCCTACTGTTCCTTCTATTGTCTCGCTCCTCTCAGCTCGTATCAAAGAAACCCTCTACAAAAACACACGGAGCATCAGGACATCTCGAAGGAGGAAATTCTTTCCAAAACATGTTTGATTCCACTTGAAAGTACTTGTATTTATCAGGGTAACCATGTTTCTCCCCTCAAACATGGAATGTTGTTCATCTCAGTCGCATTCTTTCAGTCAGTGTGAAAAAGTGAAGAGAAATTCCTGCTGCTGTTATATGACACTGAGTCACCTAAAAAACTCGACAGAGCTGCGCAGAGCATCTTTGAAAACAGGAAACAAGCAGAAGAGAATAAAAAAATCTGTAGTTCAAACGTGAACCTGTTTCTTGTGTATCTGAAGATGTAACTGACCACTGTATATACACAGAAATATGATCCTTTAACCTCAGAGTCTGCTGTGATTGGCTCTTTGGGGCTACAGTACCATGCTCAATGAGATCCCCCCTCACCTGGTTTAGATCAGGGCACCGTGGTCACGTTTATGTTCATTTTGATTATCATCAGGAAATGTTTGAAGGTTTTTAAGCTGTGTTGGGAGAGAGAGATCAGGAAATACGTAACTCGATGACTCAATGCTATTTGATAATTAGCTTGGCTCACCTGCAGCCTCCCTGATCCAGGGTAACTTTCACCTTAAGGACCAATACAGAGCTGTGCAGGTGACTTCCTTCACCACTCAACTATCTGAGACTTCAAAAACAAAAGCATTGATTGAAAAATGTGTTTGTGCAGAGATTTAAACCTCAAATCATTCACCTTAAACACCTCCAAATGTATTTAAATATTCATTTTATAATGCTGTCAGTGCACACAGGCCTTTAAGGTTTCCTAACCCGCCTATCCTTTTTAAACTCTGCTCTCTCTCCAAATATGGTCAGCTTTAGCTCCATGAAATGAGGTTTCTTTGAATTTTCTTAAAGTGTCTTTGAATAGTGTTAACGTTCCTGTTTCTGAGCACATGATACATAAACCGCTGAATAACACTAACATTATAGCAGGCGCAGACAGGCAATAATATGTTTGCATAAAAACAACAAGAAAGCAGACAAGCAGCAGTTTCTTCTATGCACAAAAATCTAGACTTACATACATGTACATACATACAAACACACACACACACATAGATACATATATACACATAGACACACATACATGCCACAGTATACATATATGTAAGTTAGTGTTCACAGATTTGTCTTTGTTTCAGCCATAGTTTTGTTTTGATATTGAAGGCTTTGGGGTCCTTTAATGTTTTTATTTCTAATGGTAATTTATTCCAGATCTGTGGACCTTTGACTGAGGAGGAAGACGGTTTACAGTCTCCACTGACTGTTCCTCTCATAGAAACTACTTTATATGAGAATTTTTGGATCATTTCGCAAACTAGGTCTGGGGCAAAGCCATCTACACACTTAAAACCAGTTTAAGAAATAAGAGATTTATGAAACTTTTAAAGCTTGTGTAAAACTATGCAATGGTGCCATCTTTTTTCTTCATTTATGTTATCAAAAGTCGACCTCTGATGATCTGAATCATGTTTCCTGCCTCCATGAAAACTTGTGCGGTCAGGGGCGGGGCTTCTTTTGTTCGTATATTTCAGACATCATGACACATCACTGCTGTAAGCGTCCAGTTATCTCTCTGTTTATATATTTATGACTCATCAACAGAGAGCCAGAGCTCTGACATCACTTCCTGACAGTCAGCTGTTCACATAACTCATCAGGATGAGCTTTTTCATTTCTACTCCTGCTGCAGAAAAACAGTCAGATTTCAAACTATTGTAAAAGTCTTTTATTTTGAAAGGTGTGTTTCCTCCTTTCTTTGATAACTTAGCAGATCTTTAATTTCCTCTCAGAGTTCAAACATTCAGGACAAAGATTTTCACAAACCCATGACAGCAAATAGAAAAAATAAGAACAAGGATTTATCATGAAATTCAGCGAATCTCAGGAAAAATTAAACAAGAACGGCAATGACTAAATCAACAGTAGAAAACAAGCGACAGGTTAAAAAGAGTCACAGGTGAGACAGATAACAATCAAGATAGCAATCAAGCTCCTGAGCCTCTGATTGGTCAGAGTCATGCTGCACCTGTGACACACCCTTAATAATACAGGAGTAAACACCTCGTCTCACACCTGCTGCCTCCTTTAAAGTAACGATGTTCAATCAGCAACACCTGGTCAGCATCATTCAATCATCTCTTCTTCTTTCTGTGTTCACAAAAATGAAGTTATTACCAAGTGAATTTCATGTGAAGTTTGGAGAGGTGCAACACAAATGGTGCAAATTCAGCAAGGTGTTCACAGGTGGGTTCATACAACAGACCACTCTGATCATTTCAGTTAAAAATTCCTGAACTCACTCACGTCTCAACAGCCAATCAGTAAAGCGATACCTTTGTGGTGTACATCATTCATCTGACAGGTAAAGCTCGGGGTAGCTGCACATCAGATCACCATCCTCCGCCAGTTTCTATGGAAACAGGAACAAAAAGGAGTTGGCTGTGAGGACAGTGAGGAGATTATCCTGAAACTTCAATCATGTTTAATGTAAATGGACCGAATAGACGTGAGGAAATCTTGGGCTCTCTGGGGTAAATTTACATCTCTATGTAAGACACACAAATGGAGCATGTTAGCTAGCATGGAGCTATAAACTATAAGCTATAAACATAGAAAACAATCAAACAAATCTGACACAGATTCCTGTTCTAGTTTCTACAGTAATATCAGACAACATGGACCCGGTGGGATTTCTTGGTTACTGCATCAAAGATTTTCACTCCTGTTTCCATTCCTATTGACAGACATCAGCATTTGATCATCGGTAATCCAGCATCACATCTCCTCCATGAACTCTGTTGGTTCAGAGTTTAGAGAGCTCTGCTTTAAAGGGCAACAGCTGTAGTTTAACAGCACAGAGGACATGACAGTGGGTTAGATTAAGTACAGGAACTTTAAATCACGATGAATATCTGTGAGTGTTGCAAACTTTGTTGGGTGAAACACAGGGAAGTCAGACCTGAGCTCAAACTCTCAGAGAATAGTCGCAAAAGTCAGAAACATCTCTTCAGAGCTGCTTTAAAGCTCCTCTTGAGTTATGATGGTGTGGGATGAAGGAGGGTGCAGCCATGAGGGGCTCAGAGGTGGGGTTTCCTCCCCCTACTCCCCCTCCTCTGTCATATAAATGTCCTCCCTCCCCACCTCATCGTCTCCACCGTCTGTCAGGCTCTCTCTTGCTCAGGTCAGCTGTCCGTCCTCCACCGTTTGTCTTCTCCTCTTCTCTCTTCCTGTGCTGCTACAGAGGCCCATTAACCCTCAGCCAAGATGGAGGCCATCAAGAAGAAGATGTTGATGCTTAAGCTGGACAAGGAGAACGCCCTGGACCAGGCGGAGCAGGCGGAGGCCGACAAGAAGGCGGCAGAGGACAGGAGCAAACAGGTGAGGAGCTCAGGTGTGAACGCTGTCACCTGTGAGTTATGAGACAAAGTGAGTCTGTTTGTGTTTGAAGGTGCCTCATGGTTTTTAATCTGAGTGTATTTCACCATCATGGTCAAAGTCCTGAAAAAGGAGCAATGATGGGGTCTGGAACTGGGATCTGAACCTGTCAGAAGACCTGATGTGACCTGGAGAAAGCCTGGCTTATTTTTAACCAATAAGAGACTTGGACTTCTATTTTTGACTCACTCCATGATGTTCCATCTTTTCATAGACCACATTCACAGGATGGACATTTTTCTCTGACGTCATAGTCAGGGTGGGACGCTTCAACAGCGTTGGCGTAATCCTGCTTCATATCCGGTTTCAGTAAAAATGAGACCAAACATCTTTAACATGAGCGGACTGAAAAGTTAGTTAGCATCAAAACACGGCTGATGTCAGCATCCACACATGACCTTTACCAACATTGGAGAGTCCCATAACAGGAAGAGAAATTATAACCGATCATAGAAAACCTTTGGATGTATTTAAGCTAACGGCACATTAGCCGAGCGGCTCTGTCCGTTTGGTTCAGTTTGACCGTAGCGTTAGCGTGAGCTTTTAATGGGTGTTGTAACTGATGTTTTTTATCAGCCGAATAATCTTGAGGTTTATGAATGGCCTTATGGATTTTTTTTAATTCACATTAGTTTGTTTAAAAAAGTGACATTAACGTTGGATGCAGACATGAGCTCTGTCGAACTCTTCTCTTCAAATTAGTTTTTGAAAACTTTTTTTTTTTCATTTTCTGTGGGGTTTGGCACTTTTATCAGCTCATGTGTGGACTTTTATTTTTGAGGAAAGTGCTGGTTCACAGACTTCCTTAAATAACGCTCAAAGTTCCCCCTGAGACTGACATCCCTGAAAAATGATCGTAGTTTGGTGTCCTGAACTCTGATTTTGACATGTGATGTTATAAAACACAGTTCTTGCTCACAGTGGAAAATAAAACTGAAATTCTGATTGAATAAAATTCAGAGGAAAAGTTCTTTATTTTTTTATTTTGTAGAAACCAAACTCACAGGTATAAAACCTGCACCTTCGTTCACCTTTGTGCCCAGACATAACTTCCCCAGATTGGTTCCTGATCTGCAGGTTCAGAAACTAAGTGACTGGGCCTGTCTGGTCTCTAATTCTCACAGGCGTGTTTGTCAGGCAATAAACATCGTACAGATGTAGACGACGATGAACAGGCATGTCTTTAAAACTTTCTGCAGTTGTTGCTCCTGTTGCTGCATTCACTGTCACGCCCCTCTGCCTCGACACTGCCCCCTAATGTTCATGTGCATACTACCGCCTGCTTGGTTTTCATTTCTGAGGATGTGCTCCAAATTAACCCTGTGTGGCAGCTGTCCTGCATTCCTGTCAGTGAAGTCAACACCATGTACATCTCCAGCCTCAGCTCTGAGCTTCAGCATGACTCGTGCTGGTTTAAGTTCTTCTTGCCAGCAAGCTGACTCGGGGTAAAGTAAACTTCATCCAGCCAAGCTGTAACGGAGCTGAAGGTCTTCAGTATTTATACCAGTGAAGACATGGAGATATGCAAACTCTGTCACCATGGCAGGAGGGCAAGAAATCAAGACCTCTGAGACATTTGGACCACCAGTCTACGGATTATCACTGAGAGGTTAGATCACCCACCAACAATGTGGGTGGACAAACAGACATAACGACCGTGGTTCATTCTGCTGCTCTGAGATCAGGCCTAACGGCTCTGCTCCAGTAGCTCATTTCACACCAACACCGGTGTCATGGACGAAACAGATCAGTAAGAAAAGGGCAGACAGTCCGGATGGATGTGTTACAGGGTTAGAGTGTCACCAAAAAAAAAAGTCAGCAGAATTAGATTTTATTAAAGCATGTCGAGGACAACATAAATGATGACTGATTTGTCCACAGGGGGCGCCAAATCTGACACAAACCAAAAGTTCCTTACAAGAGCTTTAAGGCACAACGGGCCATTTTATAATATTTTGTAAGTAAATTACAGAAATCATGACATCTTATGATACATTAGATGAATTTTCCTTTTTTTTTTTACATCTGGATAAAGATGAAGATATGAGATGTGATTAAAAAAACAGAATTTAAAAGATGCAGTTGTTAAAATTGAGTAAAGATATAATACATTTTAAACCATTAAATACATCTAACTGCTTATGATACTTTATAAACGTTGTTATAAGATGTAATAAATTATTATCACTTATAAGGATCGCAACAAAGCCTTATAGATGTGTTTTAAAAGAGCTAAAGACACATCAAAAAGTTGGTCATAGTTACCAAAAACTCCTCACAGGAGCTTTAAAAACGAAGTTTAATGTATTCTCAGTTTTAAAGCCCCAAGTCTCACATTTTTAAATGTAAACTGGTTTTAGAGTAACTGAAGGTCTGGATAATGAAAATGTTTCTTCTTTGAAAAAGGTCCAGAAGGTTTATAATCCTGACTCTTTTCTAACAACACTCAAAAAACCTGTACATGCCTTCAAACTATCACCTTTACTGCAGTGAGATTCTGTGCCTCCAAATTTAACATCATCAGTTCATCAAATCTATTTCACAGTTTCACTCAAACTCTGTTTTCAGAGTGACACATTGACTTGAACAGCTTGATGAATCTTAGCAGTAAGTTTGTCTCTGTTATAAACTGTAATGGGTCTATTTGAGCAGGAGTTATGATCAGACCTGCTTTAAAGAGCAGTAAGGCCTATCAGTGTCGCTTCATTAAACTGAATCTTTGTAACAGTGATTTTTCTGTCCTCCCCACCCTCAGCATGAAGACGAGCTCCTGCAGATGCAGAAGAAGCTGAAGGGGACAGAGGATGAGCTGGACAAATACTCTGAGGCTTTGAAGGATGCTCAGGAGAAGTTGGAGGTGGCCGACAAGAAGGCTGCTGACGTGAGTAACCCCCTCATCCATGTTGTAGCACCGTTACTATCTCTGCTCCTCCACAGCATCAGCCCAGAACAGAGTCTGTGCTCCTCTCTGGGAGTCAGAAAACTGCTCCTTCCTTTAATAACTCTGTAACCGGGCAGAGGAGACAGCAGCCCTGGCCCACAGATCCGTCTTCTCGCTGTGATAAAAGCCGTGATGCTGTCCTGTAAACCAATCCGTCTGATTCCCTCCTCATTCCATTCTCCACATGCCCGCCGCGGACCCTCACAGCTGTCGGGGATTCATGTCCCTCTTTATCCATGATGTCAGTCCTCAGACCTCACTGTGAGATTAACAATGGTCAGAGTCCATTTTAGGAGCATCATCTGTTCCCTCAGGTCACTGTATGAAACCGTCAGAACTCATTTAAACACGCTACCTTGAAACTCTACTAATGCTCTCACTTACTGTTTCAGCCTATATTCAGTCACTTATTATAATTAAAGGGATAGTTCTGTGTTTTTGCAGTGTAATTATATGAGTTAAGTGTCTTTAGTTAGTGTTTTAGCCATAATGGACGTCAGTGAGCTCCGCCCCTTTAATGAGAAACTGAAGAGAGAGCCGGCACGCAAGCTAGGCTACAGTTTTCTGCGGATGTTTGCACTCTGACATGTGATTCAGAGACCTTGAAAACCCTTACAGACACAGAGAGTTTGATCTTACCTGCACCATCACTCACAGACCGTCATCATAGTGTTCTCTTTGCAGCCTCAGGCGTCATAAATGTTCACTGAGGGCACAGAGAGGATGTGGGGCTGATGTTCAAAACTAAAATCAGTCATTTATTTACTGCTACGTCATTCATGTCAAGGGAAAGTTCACTGTTTCTGCAGTTTGGTTGTATGAGTAGGTTAGGTTAGGGTAGGATAGGATATCCTCCTAATCTTAGTTTCAATCTGTCTCACTGTGTCTGTCTGTGTCTTTGTCTCTGTATCTCTGTGTCTTTGTCTTTGTATCTTTGTGTCTTTGCCTCTTTGTCTGTCTCTTCAGGCTGAGGCCGAGGTGGCATCTCTGAACAGGAGGATCCAGCTGGTGGAGGAGGAGTTGGACAGAGCTCAGGAGAGGCTGGCAACAGCTCTGCAGAAACTGGAGGAGGCAGAGAAAGCTGCAGACGAGAGCGAGAGGTGACGTCTCTCTGTGTTACAAACACCTGTAAAAATATCTTCACCTGAGGGGAGACGAAAGGTAGAGCTGTGGAGGTTGATCTTTAAAGCTTTAGATCTAGTGTTATACTATACTGCAGCAGCCTGCTCTGAGGCACCTGAGATCAAACCTGAAACTGATGTGTCAGAGTTCTGGACACACCTGAGCATCACTGCAGTGTGCTGGGAAACCACCAGGGGGCAGAGTGATACCCTGAGAGAACGACCTAACAGACAGAGGAGCAGGACAAACACTAGGAAACCTGCAGCAGGTCAAAGAGGTCAAAGATGCTCTGAAGGATTAGATGTGTCACTATTATATCAGACCCGCTAAATGAACTGTCTGCAGGGTAAATGAAAACAGCTTTAACCCTTTGATAACCTGTAATAAAACTGTTTTAATAAGAAAAGTCATTTAAAGCTCCTGTGAGGATTTTTTACTTTGTTTTGGTTTTGGGTTTGTTTCAGTCTGTCATTAGAAAAAACGTCTCCACCTCCTGTCTGTAGTTTAACTGTTTTTATCAGAATATTAAAGCACAATTTTTATATCTGTGTGTGTGTGTGTCCGTGCACTCAGAGGAATGAAGGTGATTGAGAACCGGGCTCTGAAGGACGAGGAGAAGATGGAGCTGCAGGAGATCCAGCTGAAAGAGGCCAAACACATCGCAGAGGAGGCTGACCGCAAATACGAGGAGGTGACAGAGAATGTGCAGCTGTGATTGGTCCACAGCCCAGCAGCTGTGGTTTAATGCACAGGGAAGTATGACGCCTGAGTTCATCTCATGTATCTGTAAACTGTTTGAGTCCAGGTGGCCCGTAAGCTGGTGATCGTAGAAGGAGAGCTGGAGCGCACAGAAGAGAGGGCAGAGCTCGCAGAGGCGTGAGTGTCTCTAAGTTTCTTATCTTCAAACTTTAACAGCTGACTTTTTTCTGTGTTTAACAGGCTATTTTTACCCTCTATATTGTCCTCACTAACTTGGGCTCTCCCTCTCTCTCTGAAATCAAACAGTAAGTGTGCAGAACTGGAGGAGGAGCTGAAGAACGTCACCAACAACCTGAAGTCCCTGGAGGCTCAGGCAGAAAAGGTACAGAAGTCTTTATTGATGATTTACTGCAGAAATACAGTCTCCTGTCAGACATCACTGAGGGCACACAGCCCTCTAAAGGATGCTAATTTATCTGCACACACTCATAGATTAAAGCTGAATCTGACCACAGATCAGTCCTGAACAGTTGAGATCGTCTCTGCTGTCATCAGATCTAAGTTTATGTGTTTTCTCTCCTCAGTACTCTCAAAAAGAAGACAAATATGAAGAGGAGATCAAGATCCTCACCGACAAACTCAAAGAGGTGAGTAGGAGTTGATATATATTCAAAGTCATCAGGACAACATAAGACATTTTCGGGTTTTTGTTTGACTGTTTTTCTAGTGAGATGTTAAAGTCATGTTTTTTTCCTCTCAGGCTGAGACTCGAGCAGAGTTTGCAGAGAGATCTGTGGCCAAGCTGGAGAAGACCATCGATGACCTGGAGGGTACGACAGAAATTGAATGACTTAATTATAAGAACCTTTATAACCTAATATCATAATTAGCTTTTTCATGGGCATTGCAATCCACTACTGCACATACTTGTTCCACGATCATCCTCTCTACTTCTCCGAGTCTGGCCTGCATAGCAGAGGGGGCGGAGCTTTGAGTTGCAGTGTAGGAAATCCCACTGTGTCTGAACCTGCTGTTTTAGTCTGCCATAGGTTCACAGCAATTTGAATGCAGAAATACTCAGAAATGCAATTTTGCACTAACTTTTCTCATGATATGTCCTGTAGCATCAGAAAAATGCCATGATTTTCATCAGAGTGGGTCTTTAACCCCGACACTCTCTCTTGTGTTTGTGATCAGATGAGCTGTATGCACAGAAACTGAAGTACAAAGCCATCAGCGAGGAGCTGGACCACGCCCTCAACGACATGACCTCCATGTGAGTCCTGCCGCCTCAGAAAGAGGCTTTTACACCTGCATATATACATTCATATGTGTGTGTTTTGTGCGTTTGTGTGTGTTTGCTTAATATGGCTCAGAAAGCAGCTTTTCATGTCCTGTTCTTTGTGCTTTATATAGTGATTAACATTGTTGAAGAGAAGATGGTCTATAGGTTTTGAGCAGAAACATCGTGAAGCTGAATTACAAGAGAAAAGGTGTGAAGTGGAAACAGACTTTGACTTGGTGTGATAACGACCACCTTAAAGAGAATTACCAAATCTTCATATTTATGTTTACTTTGTTATTGATGAAAAAAAAGGTTTTAAAGGTCTGCAGCAGATTTCTGCATCCTGCAACAGTAAACTCTGACAGTGAAAGTCTGATATGACAGTTTAGGATGTTAGTGGTCAGTGCAATTTTATACTTTTAAGATGTTATTTTCGTGAACATCTCTGTGGAAGCCTTTAAAGCTCACACTCCAGGCCAGCGTCAATGTCATGTTATAGTCTTTTGTTCACAAATTTGTTTTATATCCTGTCCTGTTGTGCTGTGTCATGTCCTCTCTAATCATGTTGTATTGAACAGAATCTGAAATGATCAGACTCAAAGCAGGTAAATGTAGAGAGTGCTGCAGACCAACACACACATTTGTACTCTGACAGTCAGGTCAGAAATCTGCTCAGTTTTATCTGTTAGAGCCTGTTTATAAAACACCATGTTTTCACTGAGGGGCCCTTTGGACCAAAATTCAATATTCAGAGAGTCTGCTAACAGACATACAGATTTAAACAAAGATTTTAACTATTTTAGGAAGTAAAAAAGTTTCAAAATTCAGCCCGAGGAAGTACAGTTTTACTGCAAACATATATGTGTGTGTTTATGTGCAATTTTTTGTGTATCTATACAAATGTGTGTGTATTTATGTGTACACAAATGCATTTGTATATATTTGGTGTATACATATATGTTTGTGTTTGTATTGTGTGTACACTATTAGAAGTTGTTTATTTAGTCACTAAATTGTAGTCATTTAGCTTATTTGTCAGCCTGTGTTTTGATTTATTATTATTATTATTATTATTATTATTATTATTATTATTATTATTATTATTATTATTATTGTCATTATCATGGTTATTGTTTTGTTGTTGTTGTTGTTGTTGTTTTGTTGTTGTTGTTATTGTTATGTTGTTTGCTATCTTTGTAAAGGGGTCGGGGGGCTGTGTTTTTTATCCGTTTACAAGTATCTGTGTCTAAACTACTGCTGACAAATATGTGCATGTTTACTACTTTATATGCTTGTATATATATATATATATATATAGATAGATAGATAGATAGATAGATAGATAGATAGATAGATAGATAGATAGATAGATAGATAGATAGATAGATATCTGTGTGTGTGTATGTGTGTGTATATGTGTATATAGTGTATATATACATATATACTGTATGTACATATATGTGTGTGTGTGTATAGATATATATGTACATATACAGTATGTTTGTGTGTGTACATATATGTATGGAAGTATATTAACATACACTTGACATGTTCATTTGTGTTTGTTTGTGTTGATAATAATGACACTAATTTATAGTGAAATTATCATAATTATCATTACAGTAATATCACTTTAACACTTCTAAGTATCAGATTGTCACATTCACTTGAGTGTCTTTGTAAAGGGTCATCCAGTGTCCTCTTATGAAGTTGTGCACTGTCTTGTCCTGCAGTGTAGTATGATGTGTTGTGTGTAATTGTGTGTAGTTGTGTAGTTGTGGGTAGTTTTGTGTAATGTTGTGTCAGTCCTGCACTGATTTGCCGTTCCGTCGGATGACACACTAATCTGAGTCTGTTTTTAACATGACCTTTCAGAGACTTTAGTTCAGACTCTGTAAAAACAGTAAAATTCTTTTTTGTTTGTGTGTTTGTTTGTCTCCAGGAGTCCAGCACCTTTTCTCTGGGTCTCATTAACACTTTCAATCCTCTCTGTCTTTTTGTGTTTTCAGCTAAACGCCCAGAATCTCCTCATCCTGTTAGAGACACTGTTGGACATCATCTGACCTCAGTCTGTCCTCTGTCTCCTCTGTCCTGTCTCCTCTGTCCCCTATGTCCTCTATCCCCTCTGTCCTGTCTCTTTGGTCTGTCAGTATCACTCATTGAGTCTCTTATTTATGGTTTTTCTGCGTCAGGCTACTTTCGTCTGATTTCTCTCGTTCTTCTTCTGTTTCTGTGTTAAATAAAGGAGAGAAGAAATGCTGTATTAAAGCATCAGTGTGTGATTTTTACTGCAGTTTCCATCTTTGTCTTTTCTCTGTAGAGTTTCAGTGATTGATTCAGGATCAATTTTCTCCTGATTTGATTATTGATGGGGTGTTTTCACACCATATCACTGAGTTAGACACCCCATCGAGAGATAAATGTTGTAGACTGCTTGCTTCCCTAGTTATACAAACTTTAGTAACGACCGCACGATAGTAATACACATTGGTCTGAGGAGCCACACACAAACCTCAACCAAAACACCACTCTATAGTCACAAATAATGCTCAGAACAGCGCCTAACTTCATCAACAGTACATATAGGGTCCCAGCTATAGCACTAGCCACCAAATATTGCAGTTCAATGAAGAAATGATCGTAAATGTTCTTCCTTGAGCTGCATCACCCCACTGTAGTCTGTAATGGATTGGCCCGATGTCTCGCTACAAACAAGCGGCTGCTGGAAAAGAGCAGGTGAGTTGTGTTTAGTCTCTTTGCTAAAGAAATCAGGCAAAGCTAAAAAGATGTTTGGTGGTAAGTGCTGTGGCTGGGACCCTATGTGTACTGTTGATGAAGTTAGGTGCTGTTCTGAGCATTATTTGTGGCTATAGAGTGGCGTTTTGGTTGAGGTTTGTTTATGGCTCATAGACTGTATATAGAATGGACAGAGTCTGCCTCCTCGCTGGGTGAAGCCACTCCGAGAACAGCACCCTCTGTTGATGGGCTGCAGTGTAGGTCATAAATCCCGCCTCCGCCAGCAAAGCCTATGGAGCTGTGGACGAACTTTAGAAATTTATTACACAGAACTTAAATTTTTCTCCCCCCTGCTTGTGATGTTGACATGTAGTTACAAACTAGAGAAGCAAGCATTTGGCAACATTCATCTCTTGAGGGGGTGTCTAACTTGGTGTTATGGTGTGTTTGACCCAAAATTAATTTAATGCCGGAATATCCCTTTAAGGTGCAGTTTATAACATGTACAGAAAATTTGACTTTATAAATTTAAAGGACAAAAGTCTGAAATATATATTTAAAAAAATGAAACTGGGATTTACATTAAGTTTAATTCAAAAGAAAAATGCGGAAGAAAACCACATTATCAGGTTCCTACTTTAGACCACTGGGCGGCGGTAATGCGCTCTCTTGCACATTTCAGCACAGGAAGACAAAGCGGAAATAAGAAACGAAGAAGAAGCTTCATCGGGAGGAGGAAGAAGGTGAATGGCGGAGAGGTCAGCCATATTCGTGAGGTCGGAATCTGCAGCGCAGTGGTAAATTTTTAATACATTTATTTCATTCCCGGACAGATTAAAACGATTCATGACATTTGAAGGATTTATTTATCAGCAGAACATGTGAAACCGGGTCTTAGTCGCCCTGTTCTGAGCAGGTCTCCTTGTTTCGCTCTTGTTAGCTCTCTGAGATCCACATCAAAGACCCTTCACAGAGACCTGAACTGCTCTGTTTCACTAAATCCTCTCAGATTAATTCATGTAAACTGATCAATCTATCCATGTCCGTATGGGACAGACTGAACAGTTTAAAGCAGCAGTCAATGTTTCCACTTCAGCTGCAGGTTCAGGGACTCAGATCGGGGACTTTAGTCGTAAGAGGTCTGTTTGTGGTCCTTTAGTCTGCTCTCCGTTCGCATTCAAACACTCCGAATTACATCACCGTTTTTTTTCTCTCTTTACGATCAAACTTTATTGATAAAAAAACAAACAAACAGCGCCCCCAAGCGATGATCTACGTTTCATGAATGGAAATTACTGTGACAGAAAGTGATAAGAAGCAGCTGATAGTGATTTCTAACGTTTTTGTTCATTTTAAACAAAGTTTGTATTTTTATTGTTTCCATGAAAAATTTCTGCTAATTTTAAGTTGAATGTCGGCAACACTTCTCTGAAAAACTGATTCAGGATCATGTTTCTTATCGGCGTCATCAGCCCTTTCTTGACCAACACTCTGTAAACGTTAGTGAACCCAGGAGACCAGTTTCTGTGTCTCCATACCATCAGTGATTCAGACTGGGAGCTGATAACAATCTGGGTGTTCCCTCTACTCTAAACAGAACAGATGATGCAGCGTCCATGATTTCCAAAAAGAGTGTATCAACTCCCCCTCAGTCCAGATAGGACAGGCTCAGGTTCAGAGAGGTATCTGGGGTTTGAATGATATAATGTACTGTAGATGATGAAATTTACCACTGTACCGTTTCAGTTATTGTTTTTATTTTTAATTATTTTGAACCTTGTAGTTCTAAAAACAGTCTCCTGCAAGTTTCCAGAACGTTTTTTAGAAGTGGGTTTTAAAAGAGTAGAAAACCTGTCTCACACAAATGACAGCAGGTCTCCTGTATCACCAACTCTTTGGTTCTCTGTCTCCCTCTCTCTCTCTTTCTCTTCCTCCCGCTCTCTCTCCCTCTCTCTCTCTTTAGATGCCCAGACACTGCTCAGCAGGTGGCTGTAAATCTCGGGACAACCGTGAGAGTCGTACAGCAGGAATCACCTTCCATAAGTGAGCGTTCTTCACAGATCTTTCCCATCAGGGTCACACAGACTTCTTCTTTTGGCAGCTTTTGGTTATTAATCAGTATTAACTTCCTTTATTATAAGTGTGTCCATCATTGTCTTAGTTCTTCTGCTGATCTTTCTATGTCTCTGACTGATGGAGCTGCTGGATTTATTGATTGAAAAATGTTCTTCATCAGCTTATTCTAAGTTGACAGCTCAACGGTCAGCAGAAACAAAACTGCTGCAAATCAGTTCCCTCCACAACTCCACAGCTGAGTCCTTCATATCCTAAATTTAACAAGATGATACAATGAACTGAGGTTTCAATAAAGACGCTGAGATGTTGGAGTCATTTTAGTTATTTTTCACAGCAACATGAACCTCCACAGTTTTATCATACTGTAAAGAAACAGGAAGTGCACAATTCTGTGTCGAAAAATCCTGCATTGATCTAGAAACAGCAGCCCTGAACTCAAACAAATGAGTGTGATTGTGTTAGATTAAATACCTGTTTGTCATTTAACCTGAAAGAGAATCAAAGTGGTTGGAGTGTCAGAATCATGATACCCTGATCGATCATAATAGTTAGTTTTTGACCTTCAGATTGCCAAAAGAAGAAACTCGGAGGAAACTCTGGATCACAAACTCTCGGCGTGCCGACCCCTGGGACCCTCAGAGTGACTTTGTTTACTTCTGCTCTCGACATTTCACTCCTGAGAGTTTCGAACTGACCGGATACAGGTGAGCATGTGGTTCAGAATGACCCTTTTTTTCTTCTATATGGTGTATAGGAGTATAAACTTTGACCTTTTTATTCCCTTCACAGTGGGATCAGAAGATTGAGGGAGGATGCTTTTCCCACAGTGTTTAATCTTCCTGCCACAGCTAAACCCAAGAGAGCGGGGAGGCTGCAGAAACAAGGAGACACTTCTCTCAGGTAAACACATGTGATCAGGAGTCCTCCTGTAAACATGTCAAATGGGAAGACTTTTATATTTCAGCAAGACAATGACAAACCATATTCTGCTTGGATCACAACAGCATGGTTCTGTAGTAGAAGAGTCCTGATGATAAACTGGCCTGTTAAAGGTGGGGTAGGCAGGATCTGAGGAAGTGCCAGTCTTTGGGAGAAATCTTGAATGTAAACTCTACCCCTCCCAACCAGTTTTCCCCTCAGCTCCTCCTCTCCCCTCCCTCTCTGCTCCAGTAAGCCCCGCCCACAAACAGACACTCGTGCTCGCTCGTATCGTTTCAATTAAATTCAGATATAATGCAGAGAAATACTTTAGATAATTACAAATGGGGCCTAGTCAACATTAAAGTAAAAAGCATTAGTGCTACTGTAGATGCCAACAGACTACCAGCAAACACAATGTTCTCAGGACTTCTACAACTAGGATAAAGTGACATAGTCCAGGACCCGAAGTAAACAGTTTAGTGGCGCTACAACACGCAGCAGGTCCAGTTTGACAAGAAACACTTCTGTTACACTTAGCTTACTTTGTTTAAGCGGTTTACCGGTCCAGCAGGAAGGTTACAGGGTCCATAAGAGCACAAAGCGTCCCCCATCAACCCGGCTTTTTAGCTCTTGTCCAGTCTACCTCCTTTTTAAGCGGCTGTTATTCCGCCAGAGTTTCCAGTATTTACTTTGTTTTTCTTGCTTGTGTTGGCAGTCATGGCTAAAGGAGGATTCAGACAATTTTCCGTACTTTCTGGTTGCTTTCTATTGTCCGATATTGTAGCACGCTAACTTTGTTTGGGCTCGTGAACGACACAAGGGTGCAGCGTCTGCCTCACAACCAATTAGGTTGGGGGAGGCGGAAAATGCCTTTGTTTACAGTCAAAAAAGAGCGGGCCACTCAAAAAATTTAAAATGTTGACTACACAGACACAACAAAACACAGCGATATTGTTATATTATCAAATGTCATCAATAACTAATAGCTATTGACTGATATTAAAAGCTTTTTTGTATATACACCACAAACAAAGATGCTTCTTTAACAGAATTCGTCCTACCCACCTTTAATATTCCTGATACTAAAACAGGATTCATTATCTGATATGAAGAGTTTGTTTTTATGTAAATGAACAGTCTGATTTGTTGGTTTGGGTTGTGTGGTGATAATAACAGCTGTTTCATGTTACGATTAACTTAAATATTAAATGATTCATTGAGGTTTTTGTTGCTCGTCTTTGTGAATGAAGAGAACGGTTTGAAACAGCGCTCCTTTAGTACTTGATCATTTTTCTCTGCAGAAAGAATCTGCTCTCAAGTGACCAGGAGAAAACTCAGGAAAGACAAGAGAAGGATGACAGTCACCCCTCTGAGGAAGCTGCAGGTCAAAGGTCAGCTGCAGCACCTGAGCAGACTCCTGAAAATACACCGGCACCATCTCAGGGGCTGTCAGAAGGGGGGGCGAACTCACCTGAAGAAAAGGCTCCTCCACCAGAACCAGAGCCTAGACCCGTGTCCCCGTCGCGCTACATGAGACGCCTCCCACCTCCTCCGGGTTTCTACCTATCCAAGGAGCACAGTTATGCTCAGCTCTGCCCCCTGCTGTGGAGGAAGCGTTATGACCAGGCCATTGGTTGCTTGGAGAAAGCGCTAATGCAGCTGCACGCAGCCCGGCGGAGGGAGAACAGGCTTAGGAGCACCGTGCACAGACTGCAGGACAAACGGCTCAGACAGGCTCTGCAGGTGTCCAGAGATCTTTTTAAGGACCGGACAAGCTGGAGGAGCTGGAGTCCTGGAGGGGAGAGGCGGCGAGGCCTAGGAGGCTGTGACCTGGGGGAGGGGGAGAAGGATGTATGTGAGGATACAGGAGAGTCTGAGGACGGAGGTGGAGATCAGTTGGAGTTAGGAGGTTCAATCAGTGGCTATGAGGAGGAAAGGGGGCGCTGTTTCTTCTGCGGGAGAGGACAGGGGAAAAGCAGGGGTTCAAAAACTGGGGACCACAGACAGAACACAGCTGAGGATGTTTCTCAGAGAAAAAACTCCAACTGTCCTCGTAGCAACGCAGAAAAAGTCCAAGAAACAGAGATGTTTAGGTCACAAAGTCCACCTGAGATGCGTCCCTCAGGATCAGGTCCATCCGTCTTGGTCCAGACTCAGACTCTGCAGCCTGTGACTCCTGCTGGACCATCTCTGTCAGGTGTTCATGAGCAGTTTTTAGGCTCTCAGCAAACATTTGTGCTCTCTGAAGGGGATCCTGAATCTGCAGGTCAGCAGCTGTTCTGGCTGCAGGACTGCGCACAAGGTCAAGTGGTTCTGGTTCCTGTCCCAACTGAAGAAAGACTGCAGGGTCTCCTGAAAAAAGACTCTGACGGGGTGCAGACTGTCTTGGTGTCGGAGGTGGACCTTAAAGGAGGGTTTGGTCAGCTGACAGAGAGTGGTGGAGGTCTGTGTGGGGATGGAGAGCTCAACGAGCAGCAGACCGTCCCCAACCTGAGGGAGGATGTGAGGGAGAAGCTCAAAGAACACCTGGAGGGGTTCCACCTGCAGCTCAGCTCCGAGTTTCTCACCTGAACACCACACAGTCATTCAATTCTCCAGATTTAACCATAAAACCCCATTTTTATGACTTCGGTCTATCGTTTTAAGTTAGGAAGTTAAAAATAGTTTACTTTTTAAATCTAAACGCGCAGGACCTATGAACAAACTTCACCAACAAGTTTTAAAAGGAACTTTAAGACTCTTTGAGAAGATCAAAAATAAGCAAAACTTACAGAAAAGATGGCCATGTAGATTCTCAATCATCCAGGTCATGGTTTTCTTGAAGGCTCCAAAAAAAGGAAACTGGACTGTGTCGAGTTCTCAACTCTACACAGTCCAGTTTCCTTTTTTAGAGCCTTCAAGAAATACAGAAGAAGATGGTTTTATAATGCCCGACATGTTTTATCAGAGACTGTGTTTCATCTCATTTCAGAAATGAAGGATTAGCTGAGTTTGTTTTGAATGTTTGCATCATGTTGAAGCTGATCACTTCCCCTAACCCTAACCCTGACAGTTTTTATTCAACAAATTATTAAATTTAGCTTTTAAAATCAATACATCTGAGGGGTTAATGTGATATTTTAAAACACTTCTATCTCAGTCTTTACACATGATCCAAAAACCACGGCTGCAGCAGCACTAATCGTGACCTCCAGACAGGGGTCACCCTGAATTTGAATATTTTTCACTTTAAAGGGATATTCTGGCGTAAAATGAAGTTAGGGTCAAACACACCATAACACTGAGTTAGACACCCCATTAAGAGATAGATGTTGCCGACCGCTTGCTTCTGTAGTTATACCAACTTTAGTAACAACTGCACATAGTAATACACATTGGTCTATGGATCCACACACAAACTTTAATCAAAAAGCCGCTCTATAGCCACAAATAATGCTCAGAACAGCACCTAACTTCATCAACAGTACATATAGGGTCCCAGCCACAGCACTAGCCACCAAACATCTTTTTAGCTTTGCCTGATTTCTTTAGCAAAGAGACTAAACACAACTCACCTGCTCTCTTCCAGCAGCCACTTGTTTGTTTGGTCAGCAAAATTCCTCTCTCCAGGGGGTGTTTAACGTGGCGTTATGGTGTGTTTGACCCTAAATTAATTTTAAGATGGAATATCCCTTTAAGTCTCTTCCTACAGCTTAAAGGCGCTTCATCAGTCTGTGGCATCATGGGTAATTTAGCATGCAGGGATTTTTGTAACTCCAAGTCTTGCTAACTATTTGCTGGCTTCACAGGTTTCTGTAGTTCTGTTGTCGGTCTGACTCCTTCACTCATGCTAATCCCTAACTGCAGACGTTACAGAGTTAAAATTCACCAAAGACTGACTTAAAGGATGAATCCATGTTTCAGAAACAGAGACATGTCTGCCCACAGTTATTTGACAATGAGCTGGGAACAGTGCAGCTTTATTAAAGAGGATGAGTCAGTGAAAAGCTTTGCTGTAACTCACTAACCCATGAAACTTTAAAATTTCTTTTTCACTCCCACAAACTTCCAAACCAACTCAGACAGAGGTAGATCAGCAACTCCCTGACTCTGCAGAGCACAATTACGGTTGACTACTTTTGTGGTTTCAGTCAGGCATGTGTAGTGAAGGATTGTGCTAGTCTGAGTGGCATTGTGGGAAATGTAGGATTTAGTGCTGTTTGACTTCAGTTTGAATAATGTGACAAATGTGTTTTTGATCCATCCCTCATGAGCCCCACCCTAACCAGCCTTTACGGAAGTAAAATAGGTGAAATCTACCTTTAGGTCATTGTGGATATTTTGCTCTTTAACGGCAGGAAAAACTCACCTGTCAGGTATTTTTAAAGAGTTGTTAATGTCTCTTTTTTATGCAGTTTTCTTTGTTTTCTCTCACTTTATTGTTGACTCAGACGAATCTGCGTAACATGACGGGAATGTTTGCTGTTTGCTCAAAGTTGTGTGTGTGTGTGCGTGTGTGAGTGTTCATGTTTCTGTGTGAGTGTGCGTTAATATAAAGCATGTGGGATCCGCTCAGCTCTGTATCACAGAGGATGAATCAGGGACGGTCGATGTCCTCATACTGAAACAATCCTCTGTGGCGTCTCTGATTGGGTGTGGCATCAAACCTTCCCAGCCGCAGATCCGGGACCTGGAGGGGGGCGGTGGCAGAGGGGGGGATGGGGGGTCTGTGAGCATGTAAATCATTGAAATCATATATTCGGACACACCCTGCTCTGCTCTCGACAGGATCCCTGCCAGCCTGAAGCCGAGGAGCTGCCTTTAATTCCTCTGCAGAGGCTTTTTCTGAAGGAGATTCTTGTGGTTGAGCTTTCCCCTTACTTCTACACCCACAGACTGAAGTCATAAAACTGGATAGAAAGAATGTGGCCGTGCCTGTTTCCTTCCCTCTCTCTCTCTCTCTCTCTCTCTCTCTCTCTCTCTCACTCACTCTCACTTGCCCCCCCCTCCCCTTCTCTCTCTCTCTCTCTCTCTCTCTCTCTCCCTCTCTCTCTCTCCCTTTTATTTAAAATCTCTTTTTTCATCAATAGTACTTCAGGGCATTTCCCACAGTCTTAATGCCTCACTTAGAAAAGTCTGGACTGATTTGCGCTTAAACCTGCGGCATGAAATCTATGTCAGGCTACAAGGTGTTACAGTAAAGGGACATTCTGCTTTTTTTGAAACTCCCATTTCTACTAAACATGGGGTCCAGACATCCAACAGGTATATAAAAGTTTGAGATCCCACCAAAAGGTCTTTATGGATGATCACTCTGGTGAAGAGGAAGAGGGTTTTTAAGCCAGAAACAGCTGTTCTGTCACTCAAGACCACACTGAGAGAAAAAAAAAGAGTTTGGCCTTAGAGGATGAGGGAGTTGGTGATCTGCCTCTGCCTTCATTATTCAATAAGACTGTCGCTTAAAATGATTGGTTTAAAAAATGGCACTAACAAAGTAAAATGACACATTTTGCACCTATAAATCAGGAAGACCACAATTTTGTGTCCTAAACCGTAGTGAACCCAGCAGACCAGTTTCTGGAGTCTGATAGGAAAATGTTGTCCCATTCTTGCCTAATAGAGAATTTCAGCTGCTCAACAATTCAGGGTGTCTTTTATTCAATTTTTGGTGTCATGGTGCTCCAAATGTTTTCAATGGGGGACAAGTCAGGACTGCAGTCAGACCAGTTTAGCAGCAGGACTCTTCCACTACAGATCCATGCTGTTGTAATCTCTGCAGAATGTAGTTTGTCATCGTCTTGCTGAAATATGAAGGTCCTCCCTGAAAAAGTCATTGTCTGGATGGCACTAGATGTTGCTCCTAAACTTGTAGATATTGTTCAGCATTAATGGAGCCTTCACAGATATGGAAGATACCCCTGACATGGACTCTGATGACAACCTGTGTAGCCAGGTGGTCCCTCTATCTGGTGTCTTTTTGCATGGTTCAGTTTGGACCTGTTTATGGATGCAGTGATGATAACAAACTGTTTTGCCGATAAGACCCCTAAGTCTGTGAATACTTGGGATCGCTGGTCTGCCACATCCTGGTTCATATTTTGGGGTCACTGTGACTGAAGTTTTGATGGTTCTGGTTTATTGGAATGACTCTCCTGCAGAATGAACTTATCTTATGTTCAGCTTGGTAGTTTGTTTGTGCTGTTTTGGTATTTGATGGTTATTCCAAAATGAAGTGGTCTTGAGTTTCCCAGATTTGATCATGTTTTTGAAGTATCCTGTTTTTGTGTTTGTGCATGTAAACATCCTACCCCGATTCCAGACACCAGGATGAACCTTATTATAATTTCAACAGTAACTTCATTCACATGTTGAAAACTTGTAACTAAAGACCTCATTTGATGACTAATAAGCAGTATATTGTTATCTTGTGAGCACAGTCCTGATCCCTTTGCACGCCAGACACTAACTTGTGAGCTCAAGATAATAACATGATTTTAACGTTTGACCACAGAACAGTTTGTGCACACGGGATCATGAACTTTCTGTCTCAAGATATCGTCCAGTGGGGTAAAATAAGAACCTTTACACAAGTTAATATGTTCTCACAGGTTAATAATATTGTGTGCAAACAAGATCAATCTTGATGGAGCAATAAAAAAATGTGACTTTTTTGGGGACTTGAAGGATTCTGGTTATTTTGAAACCCAGACTAAAGTCTATTTTCTGAAGATTTTTCTTCTCTCTTATTTTAAGGAAAGAAAGCCTCTCTTCTGGAGCATCTCTAAGATGCAGACTCAGTTTATTACAGTTTGTCTCATCGTGTCAGAAATGTGAAATTTGTCTCCAATAATCTGACTAAACTGGGGGACTTATCAGTCTATATTTCTAGAAGGTTTTACACTTTTGGGGGGTTTGTTTTCTAATCTTGCACAAAAAAATGGGTCCAAACACCGTAGAGCTGCAAAGCCCAAAAAACACCACCAGTATGACCAGGTAAACCAGCAACTCCTGTACTGGGCAGGATAGAATCCCTGTTTTATAAGCAGAGTTTGGTGCCGTAGAAAAGCATTATCGATTTGAATCTGGCACGATAATCCTCAATGAAATTTAAAATCAATGTTTAACATGTTACAGGGAGCATGAAGGTGCACAATACATTTTTAATACAGCAGAATTGTCCTTTAATATCTGGTGATGAAGCGGTTAATTCTGTGACAGGGGAGGAAAAGGAGAAAACCAGCCTTGACATGCAGGCTGTTATTGCGCAAAACATGGAGCTCCAAGTTTTCCTGAGAGTTTCCAGATGTGGAGGACTAGAAACTGAGGAGGTCTGCGGGTCTGAGGAGACATTTCAGCCCTGAGAGACCCCAACCTGCACAGAAACAAAGTCCAAAAAGACACTTTAGAGTCAGACTGAGGGCCTGTGCGGGTGAAGGTGAACGCTGCTGCTCCCTCCTCCTCCTCCTCCCGCTCCTCCTCCGGCTGAGGGAGGATCCAGGACCGCTGCCAGCTGGTGACAGAAGCAATGATCCACTGACACACACACGGACACACACACACTCTTTCTCACACACACACAGAAGCAGCAGAGACACGCAGGAGGAAAAGACAGAAACCACCGCAGACATGGCACAGGTAAGAAAACGATTACACCTCAAAGTTCAGAGAAAAGGAGAGAGAGAAGTTGAGAGCTGAGCCGAAGTTAGACTCTCTTCCAACTTTACTTAGACTAACTTTACGGTAACGAGAATATCATGTCAAGCTGAGTTTATTTAACGCCAAAAATGAGACGATGTCTGAGAGTTACAGATCGTTTTGACGCAGATTGAGGCGCAGGGAGCGTCAAAAGTCTCCATGAGACGGTTTCCTGCTGAAGACGCGCCATCTCACGCAGGCGGAAAAAATGCGTTAAGGAGCAGCCCTGAGCTAAGGAAAAGTTTAACTGTTTGAGATTACTGCTCTAACTCTAAACACAGTCTGTGCTCAAGACCACCAAACTCCCAGACCAGGAGGGTTCAAAGTCCGGACTTGTAAAATGTGACCTGTAAAAAGAAAGACTGAGTTCAAACAGCTGCCAGCGGCCCCTCCCTGAAGACTGTTACACCTTTACTGAAACACTGAGTCTCATTTTAACTCTAACATCACTAAAAGATGACAGTTAGGACAAATACAGACAGAAAAGCAGCATAAAGGAGGATATTTGTGTCGATATTATTTTACTGATTCAGTAACTGGATCAGGGGTGTGTCCCGGTTTGAATGTAGAGTCCAGGTGGAAGTCACACACCTGTACTGGAGGATTGTGCAACACTGAGCGGCTCCTGAGACTCGGTTTGAAATCTGTTAGAGAGGAGATCAGGGAGGGTCTCCGGACTCTATTTGTATTTAACAGGTTCAAACTGCAGCAACTTCCAGCTCCTAATATGACTGAGGGTGCAACTATGGCAGATAGTAAAGACTAAAAAACTGCTTTATAAAGTGCAGAAGTTATAAATATTATTAGAAAAGGTTGTATGACAAGAATGAACTCAATGAGTTATACAATGAAGTTGTTGTGTGGTGATAATAAACTTATTCTGAGACAAACATCAGATTAAAGTGGGTATATTAGCAGAGTAAAGCTGTTTTAGATTAAACGTTTGGACTGGTGTTGGTCACTTGAGTCTCAGACAACAGGATCAGCAGCTGGTCCCTCAAAGCTGAATACCAAGCTGCAGTTTTGTCTTCTTTCTTGATTATAGAGGTTCTGTCTCAATTTACCAGGACTTTCCTATCAGATCCTCCTCCTCTCTAAAATGGTTACTGGGTCCTGTGTCTCCTAACATATTAAATTCATTCTTATAATAACCTTATTCATGTAACATAATGTCTTAAATGTCCTTCAGCTTGATTCCTGTTTATTTAAGTTAAATTAATGTGAATATTTAATGTAGAAAACCAAGAAAAGACCTGTTTCATCAGCTGATCCCCTAACACAAAGTGAACAGATCAAATTTATAGATGCTGTTGCTTCCGGTCTTTTCTGTTGTCGTATTTCTTCAAATTACATCAATATAAATTCCAGTCTGTTTCAAAAATGTTAAAAGATTTCTCACAGGAGTTTCAACGGAACTAGAAATGGCTAAATCCACCAGATCCCAATAGAAACACTGATGTTATCCAGCAGGAGTTGCTGGTCTACCCCTGTCATTTTATGTGAAGGATGATCTTTGAACAGCCGAACAGTCAGTGATCACCGAACGATAGCCGCTCAGTAAAGCTGTTTTCTGACCTCCACATAATGATAATAATAAGAAGGTATTGAAACAATACTATGTGTCTGCAGAGTATGGGGCTGCACTTTCAGGACCTCAGCTGTGGGACCCTTGGGTTGTTGCTTCACTGGTGTTTTATGGAATCTAAATTCCTAAAAATCATCAGTCTGGACACTAAAGAAACATGCTCCATGGGGATCCAAACCAAACAACAGGGTTCCTAGAGTTGGGGTCCTGAATGTGCAGCCTTTGGGTCTGCAAACACATGCATCCTGGTTAAACAGGTGCAGTTCTGCCACCTGAGGCTGAGTATAAACTGCAAAACCAAAACTACCAAACCAAGAGTCTAACTATGACCAGAAGAGGCCCAACAGGAGGTGGCAGATCATGGTTCATACATCCTTAAAGAGTTTCCAGCGGCTGTTGAGTAAAAGTTTTCAGCAAATTTGTCATGTAAAGCCGAGGTGGTCTCATTTAAAAAATATATATATATATTAATTCCAAAAATGTGAACCTATCAATAATTCAGGCCCCTGAATTTGTAAAAAATAAAGCCTGGGATTAGAACCTTGGAATTGCCCTTTAAATTCCAGCTCTCTCAGTTTCCTCCTGACGTTTGCTGTAGATGATTCAAAACAGCTGACGGCCCACATTTCTGGAGAACAAACAATGCTCCTCTGCAGCCTGCAGTGAGCGAGAGAGGCTGCTGTACTGCTCTCTCACTTCAGGATTCACTCGTAAACGTCTCCACCTCACTGCGAGGAGTCCAGGATTAACAGGGTCTGGGTGTGGAGATGAACTCTCTGACTGAAACTGGAGGCTTATCTGAAAATAAGTCTTTCGGATCTGACCCATAAAGACTCTGCTTTCTAAAAAGTTCTAAGCTAACAGAGAAAACCATCAGACTGTAGACTGAAGCCTCCTCAGTCCTCTGCCTGAGTGTTTAGGGAGCGCTGAGCTATCAGGAGAGGAACTTAATCTCCATGTTTGGTGGAGATTATGAGGTGTTGAAATGTGGAGTAGCAGTGAACAAGATCCTGGCTCTGGACTCTGTGGGATCCTCTTCTCCGCAGAGGTGAGGAGGGCTTGCAGCAGCTTGTGCTGCATCAGTCACAAAGGGTGTGGTTTTCACAAAGCCGTCGGCCCACATGCGAACTGTAACTGTTGCCAGACTGCAGCATGGAGGAGGCCGGGAGTCGGCCATCTTTGACACAGCTCTGATCACAATTAAAGGGGAGGGATCTGGCCTTTTTCCACTTATTTTATGTCTTTTGGTTATGAAAAGTTTTGGAGATGCTCCAGAATGCTTTAAACTCCCCAGATGACACTCACAGAGTGACCTCGCTCATTTCCTTTCTGTGACTTTCATGTTTTAAAGGCGAGTTTAGATGCAGAACTACATTCCAGTAACTCAGGATTAAAACTGTGATGGCAGACTGATGACTCCTGATCTATGAGTGAACTTAGTGATTTTGTCATGGAGTGTGGTGGTTTCCAGGAGTGTGTTTATTCTAACGGATCCACAAACTGCTGCTGAACTCCTTTGTGGCTCTCTCCTTTGTTAATGTGGTACTGTGTCTTTATAACAGCAACAGGAAATCTGGGCTGAACGGCTCTGGAGTCACACTGCAGGACGTGTGATATCAGTCTTATGACCTTAAAGACATCATGCTGTCACCACTTCATCGTCGTTCAGGATTAAACTATGAAAATCGTTTCTCTGAGATCGCTTCGATGCAGCTCAGAGAAACTGACCTCTGACCTCTGTGCTGCAGAGTATCTGTGTGTTACATGACCGTAGAACGTAAACATGCACACGACGCCGCTGCAAGTGAGACGGTTTAGTCCCATTTGTCCCGATGCACATTTAGAGACGTTTAAATCTCACAGGACCTCAGAGACTTCTGACCCAGACTGACCTTCATTTCACATCAGAAGAAACAACTGTTTACTTGTGAGGGAGTGGACTGTGAAGTTTGTACAGCCACGTGTTGCTCCACCTGTCCTAGCTGCACCTTTTGTGTCTCTCAAAATAGACTCAAAGATCCAAATCATAAAAACTGGATGTTTAAAAGCGCCTCATGATACTCTGCATTTACCTGCTCTACAGTCCTGTATTTTTCCCACTGCAGTGTCAGCTTTGGTCCAGGATCACGCAGCCCTGATGAAAACTATGTCCGGCGACTCTGTAGGGGGAAAAGTAGGGTGTTATTTCAAGGATCTGAAACTCTTACTGTAAAGTGAGTCAGGCCACGTTTAGTTAAGAGGCGCACAATCTGGTTAGAAAGTGAGGCGCAGGGTGCAAAGCGATTTTAGTATGACCCTCAACCAGTCAGTGAAGTGTTTTTGGATATTACAAGGCTCAAACCAGTCTGTGTCGGCTCTCACTCCCTTTAAGAGTCAGGGTTCCCTCAATATGTTCACATGTGATTAAATTTTAGTCTGACAGCTGCTGGACTTTAAAAATACACATAAACATGCTAGTCTGGCCCTAAATCTGCCTCCTGCTGTGGTTTGACTCTTACAGTGAAGCCTCTTCATAACTCCTCATCATTTTAAAGGCGTTTATTGTGATGGTTGGTGATTTCTTAAAACTGAATCTTTGCACCTGTGTTCGAGTTCGATTTTCTGTACAATCTGCAGCAAATTCATACACTGAATGGACACACTGAGAGGCTTTATTGTTGGTCTATTATAGATCCATTATATGTCCTCCTCTCCAGTTAGTTTGTCTTCAGATTTTCCTTTTTTGAGGCTCTGGACGTTTGTTCAATCAGGTTAAAACCCTGTCTTTTAACAGGTGAGATGTTGCTCACAGACTTGGCCTTATTGAAATAGACCTCTCCTGTTTGTTTCTGAGCTCTGCAGCTATCTCAGCTTTGGCCTGTGGTCCAAATACAGGAGGAAGAGAATGTAAGACAGCTATAAGCTCACAGAATGACTCCAAATATCTGGAGTCTGCAGGTTTCCTCCTGGCTGACCCCGCAGCAGAGCAGGAGATGATTCAGCTCACAGGAATTGATATGATGACCTGTACCGCGGTGGTGTAACAACAGAAAAGCAGTTCTCTGACGGAAACACCTGAACACAGGCCGACAGAAAGCTTCAGATTCAGACTGTAACTCTCTAGAGATTTGCTGTATTGTTTTGCTGTTGTGTCTTAATACAGGGAGCAGAAACATCCAGTTTTAGTCTAACAAAACCCCTTAGATCAGGAGAAGCTCTCAAGGTGTGGGTTCTGCTGTATTTGTGTCTATAAGTCTGTGTAATACCTGGTCTCATCGTGAAATTGTGTTTTACCTCCTCAGCACTCAGACCTGGAGAAGGCCATCAGCACACTGGTGAACCAGTTCCACTCAGCTTCAGCCAACAACAGCGGGTCGCTGAAAACCGACGAGTTCAAGAACCTTCTGTCGAGCCAAATGCCCAACCTGTGCAAGGTGTGTGTGTGTGTGTGTGCGTGTGTGTGTTTATGCTGGGTGTGGCAGCCAGCTCTTTACTCACTGCTCACACAGACAGTTAGAAACACGCTCGGCTGCACACTCACCCTGTAAAGATATGAGCCAACTGATGGGAAAACATCAATGAAACTGTGATTCAGCTCACAGTCAACGTTTGAGTGTGTGTGTGTGTGTGTGTGTGTGTGTGTGTGTGTGTGTGTGTGTGTGTGTGTGTGTGTGTGTGTGTGTGTGTGTGTGTGTGTGTGTGTGTTCTTTTGTTTTTTTTATTTTGTTGATTTTTCATTAAAACAAATAGAGACTTAACTGACCTCACTGCTGCCTGCAGTGACTTGAAACTTGGACCTGTAAAGAGGGACTTGTGTTGATCTCTGATGGCTGACTTTGTTCACTGTCATGGTTTGTGTTGGTGTTTTTCTCTCAATACTAAGACATAACCAGTGTGTTGTTGTTGTTGGCTGACTCTGCAGGGTATCAACACAGAGCAGGGCTTGGGTGAGATCATGAAGAAGATGGGCGTAGCAGACGGGGAGGGAATCTCCTTCAAGCATTTCTGGAACTTGGTCCAGAATCTAGCCACCTCCCAGCATGGCCTCCTTGGAGGGCAGAGTGGCTGCAGCTGCATCCTCCTGTGAAGAGGCTCCCTCAGACCGACACCCCGGCAGCCTGGAGTTTAACACATCGGCCTCCTCCTCAGGTGTCAGGAGTCTGGTCTGCACAGAAAGCTCCTCCAAACATTTAGGACCAAATCAAACACTACACTCTTTCATCAGTTTGTTATTCTGCAAACTTTGCACCAGTTTAAGTTCAAATTTTGAAAGTTACCTAAAAATCTTCTCATTGTGTTTTAATCACGCTTATATATACAGAGTGTGTGTTTTTTAAGTCATTTTGGGGTCATTTCAGCAGGTTGTTATGGTCACAGATCCAGATCAGTTTCCTCGCTGATCCTCTTAGACTGATGCGTACTCAATTTGAAACCTTTACTGCCAAAACTGACCACAGCTGTCAGCATCGACTAAGCAGCCCTCTAAGGCAGCATGTTTACAATCATCTATACTTCTCCCTCTTAAATCTGCTTCAACAAAGACTCCAACTGTCTGGCTCCCAAATGCTTGAACTGGTGCAGAGTGCAGGGACATTTTTACCCTTATGGACAGGATCTCTGTCCCTCATTGACTCCAGTCTGTCTTCTGTTTCTCTCCTTGTATGATCGTGGTGTCTTTTAATGAATGAACTTCATTTATGCAAGGATAACTAAAAAAAAAAAAAAAAAAACACAGGTGGTGTTTTTTTTTATCAAATAGATGAGTATAGTTTGAGAGAAAACAAAAACAGGCTCTCTGCTTTCTGTTTTCTCTCGTTTTTCTAGCTACAGTCATCTGATTAGATAACCACTGGAGCTGAAGCAAACAGTTTATATTCAGTGATGTAGTGCAACCAAAACATGCCAGCTCACAGTCCTTATTTGAGGGCTCAGAGGTATGAGAGTGATACTTTAAAGATGTTTTATTGCCTTTGTGTGAAACAGGTTCCGAGTCTCTGTTCTGGTGTTTTCTTCACCTGATCTCAGTCTTTGTACCGCTCTCATCTCAAACTTTCTGTTTATCAGAATCAAAAGGCCTCAGTGGAGTTTCCTCCTAATGTCAGACCGTGTGCTTTTTGTCCTTTTATACCCGTAAGGCTTTAGCCTCTGTATTTATGTGTTATAACCTTCTGTGTTCTGACCTGTGGGACGCCTTCAGAAAATCACTTCAATTAAAGAAATCACCAATACTGCATTTGCTTTTTATCTTTATTGGTTGAGAAATAAATTTGTCCGTTAAATAAAATTATTACAAGAAAATGTGAATTATTTTGACTCTTATTGAAAACACTCCAACGTGTTGCTGTGGCTGAAAGCTGAAGCAGCAGAAGTAGGCCTATATTGCCATTTGTATCAAATTTGAGTTTTTAGACCTAAAAAAACCTCATGTATCCAATCAGATCCATGCAATAATCAGACAAACCACCAGGGTGCAGTTATTTATGCACCAGCAGGCCTTCTATCGGGACATCCAATATGGCTGCTGTCAGTCAGTGACCCAAAGTGTTTTCTCATAGATTGCCAATTTTGAAAACGATAACATAAGAAAAACTTTAAAAAATTTTACCAAAAATTCAATAGGAATAGTTACTGCATTGATGCAAAGTAAAACTACTTCATATTTCATAACTTAGTTTGTAGTAGAACCGTGTTGAAAATATGTGTATCAAATTAGATACAGCAGGTATCTAAGGTAATTTTCTATGCAAATGTCCTATTCGGGAAAAAAAATTGGACTTGTATTTTTTTAATATTTTTTGTCAGAAGGTCCAATAAAGGGTCCAATTTCAAAATTTCAAACATTTTTTAGAATTTTCTGACAATTATTTCATGGTTCAGGATTTACAGGGTTAGACTGTGCCCAGCATCCAAAACTTCCAGAGAGGTGGCCAATCAGAAGAAAGTAGGATGGGAGAGGGGGCTAAAACGAAGAGTGTCAAACAGGCTAGAATGATTTTATTTTAATACACAAGAGTGAGAAAAAGTGGGATTTTTTTCTAAACCTGAAAATCATGTAAAGACGTTAAGTAAAAAGTCTGAAAACAATGCTAAAGGGGGTTAAAGTTGCCATGTTTGATGCTAACCCCGGTTTGGTTATGATGCTGGGGACTGGTTCAAAAAAAGTTCTTCCTTACAAACAGAACCTGCATGACCTGTAAACACACCAGTAGTAACGGTGATGGTCTTTCTGGGAAAATAAAAAGCTCATATTGTTTAAAAACCAGCTAAATAAGTGGCCATTTGAATGTCATCATTGTAATAATAATATTTCTATGGGAGACATGGAGGGACAAAACACTATGAGTCAGATTTAGGGCTCTGAGTGAAGACCAGGCACTCCTCTGGGGGTTGTTGGGGCTCTGTGTACACATACCTCCTCTCCTTTAGACTGGCTGTCATTTTTTGAAGCTGCCAATCATAATCAATGCAGTGCAGAAAAGGACATACATCACTAACTACTGGGCACTACTGTACCTTGACATACCTTGATAATGGCCATAGTTTCCAGAGACACGTATCAGATAATAGCCTGTAGATTTGCATTGATATGGTGTTGAAGAACACTTGAGTTAAGCTCAGCAGTCTTGTAACTGGTGGGGTTGCCCCCTGCTGGTTATTAGAAGAATGCCGGTTTGAGGCACTCTGCACTCCCTGTGAAAACTACACCATCAATGCCAGGTTCTCATTCATCCAGGTCATGGTTATCCACTTGACTTGCTTGAGGTTCTTGGAGATGTTTAGCCTGAGGCAATGCATCTCCAAGAACTTCAAGCAAGTCCAGTTGCAGTTTTAATGAAGAATTGGATCATTGTCACCGAGTTTCAGGCAGATAGGATGACTTTAGCATTATGGTTTAAAATAGTTGTTATTGAAGGAAGGAGCACATCCTCTCTTAAGTTTCCTCCCTTCAGGTGTTCCTCTGAAGAACTCAAGATAAGATGAGAACACGTACTTATTCATGACCTTCACCTTTCCAAAGATGTCCAGCTCCGTTTGCTCATCATGGTCAACGTTGTTCATCATCTGCTTGGATTTCACGTACAGGGCGTTCTCCTTTGCCACGACCTTATCCAACCAAACCTGCTTCTCCTGAGGGGCCATCTCGTAGCTATCAACGGAGCAGCCGTAAAATCCTCGTTGCAGACCTTCAGGGTGGGGGTTTTCTGTCTCCATGGGGTGGTCAGATCCAACAAACGCCGTGCACAGGGTGCTGTCCATCCCCCGTGACCGACCGACCTCACAGCCTATGACGCTCATGAGAAAGAGTGAGAAGGTCCTGAAGTTTATGACAGATGCTGAAAACACAGCCGACATGAAGTATCGACCCCAGCGCTCGCAGTTGTAGCTGCACTGCTGGTACTGGAAGGTCTGGCGGCAGAAGTCATTGAATTTGGCGGGTTTTAGACCCTCTCTAAGCTCCTGCAAAGATGACTGATTCTGCGCCTCATTGAAATGTAGACGGAAGTTTTCAATTTCTGCTTGGTTGTCAGAGCTCATGAACTTTCCCACCAAAGTGACGCTGAGGTTTTTCGCCTGTACTCTGTAGATGCACTCATTCAGGACATAGTAAAGGTCTGATCTAACCTCTTCTCTGGCGTTGTATCGTATCTCCACGAGTAGATCCTGGATGTTATTGATCTGCTTTATGACAATGTCCTCATTTGGTCCAGGTTCTTGAAGCCAAACCGCCATCCTCCCCCCATTATCACTCTGTGGGACATAATCCGGAGCTCGTCGTCTTTCGGTCTCAAAGAACAAGCTCCAGGTCAGCCCCTCCAGGCAGTCAATAGAGGGATATTTTTTACGAAGCTCTCTTGGAACAAACATTTGAGGATGTCTTGGCCAATTCAGTGTCTGAAGAAACAAAACACTTCCTCTATGATTAGGCAATACCTGACCAGCACAGCCAAGTTCTGCTCTTATTTCAAGGTCACCTGTTTGATCCAGTTCTGCAGTGACTCTTGTCCGATGGTCATGGGACCTCCAGACACCCTCGGTCTTGGTCAGGATCTTCCCGTCAGCACTGATGGACAGGAAAGCGTCATAAAGGTTCAGTTTTGTTTCTACACCAAGAGACCGGAGGACCTGCAGCAGCTGTAAAATGAAGTCCTTGTCATTTCCAAGGTTGCAGCTGATGATGCTGATTGTTTGGAGCGAACCAAAGATGCCCTCGTATTTCAAGGTTGACACAAACCTGGCAAGCTCCTCAGGATCATAACCGGATAGGACTGTTCCATTGGATCCAGCGCTACTGTGACCAACCAGAACAACCTCGTGGTCACCAGGAGGAAAGAAAGAACTCTCTCTGAGAATCTGCAGTGTCCCCTTGTGGTACCTTAGCAGGGTTGATTCAGAGGGAAGCCTCTGAAACAGGTAAGTGGCCGACTCGATTACAGCAGGGTCCTCCTCCAAGATAACTATGAACTGATGTTTATGTTTACTACCAACATCCAGAGAGATTGTAAAGTCACTGTGGGGCAAAATTTCCATCTTAAGTGTGTTAGTGCTGTGGGGTTTAACGTCGTCAGAGGTCTTCCACCCTATCTGTGACTTAAGAGATCCCTCAAACCACAAAGATCTACTTCTGTTGGTTTCACTCGTTTGTTTCAACTCTGGATGTTTGTACAGATCAGTCGGCCACTTCCCAGCATCTCCTGGACCAGAGAGGAGTGGGTCAAACCTTGGTGGGGTCATCTCTAAAACTGCCCTGGAAAAAAAAGAGTCGATGCACAAAAATGAGCCACAGAACTAAAGGGAAATTTCTGTGTTTTTGTTTAAGTTACAGCCTCAACGGACATCAGTCAGCTTAACCCATTTTCTTTTGCACAGATCAGCTGTTTGGTTTGCAGCTTCAAAGAGACAAAAACATGACCAAACTAAATACTGAGAGATTCTGACAGTGAGGGTAACATGCTGTTTGCTTCATTCACCAAAGTGCACAGAGAAAAAAGAAAAAAAGTTCCTGAAAGAAGTTTGAATGTTTTCTCTAATGATCTTCAATTTTTAGCTCATATTTTGGCTTTTTTTTTTTTGGTTAATTTTTGGGCTCATCAATTTTCTCTTTTATATTTCCCATCACCTCTTCTCCCACCTGTCTCCAGTATTGGTGCTGAATGAAGTCCTCAGAGTCCCATAGCCTGTAATGACAGAAATAAAATGGGTCGAATCCAGGGTATCATTTTTAATCAGCAGTGAGTCTAAACAGATATTGTTTTACTTTGTATTTTCACCCTGATTTTGTAAATATTAATAAAAAAGAGAAAGCTAAACAGTCAGTGACGCAGGATTCGAAGAGTAGCAGAGTCATGCTCTGCCAGACTACCACAGAGAGGAGAAACATCAAACCTGAGTGAATATGAACCTGAACCTGAAAAGCAGGATGATCTTACCAGTAGCATGGGTTCCTGCAGACAGAAACAGCTTGATAATAATAAAAAGATGAAATCCACAGAGTTTCTGCATGACTCTGAGTGTTTCTGCAGCTGCTCTGAAAATAATTCTGCAGACAGACGAGCCTCAGGCCTTTACCTGTCTTCACATTTGCTTAGATAAAGATGGAAATATGTTCATAACTGCACGGCTGATCAGTTAAATATTAATAAACTGCTGCTAGTTACACCTCTACTCTCCACCCTAATTCTTCTGCACTCTTACTTTCCCTCTGTTTTCCTCATTTTTATCACCTGTTGTTTGACTGGATGTGTCACTCTTTTCAAATTGTCCTCTCTTAGGTGCAATAGTGTTGTCAAATTCATCCAAATATCTAAATGGCAGATTCCACATAAAAGAAAACACTAAGAAAACCTTAAACATATTTACAGATGATGAAATGAAGTACGAACTGTTGTGTGTTTGGAAATGAACACTGAAATTAAATAATTTAAGGCTCCTCTTACTTTTTGTTTTTGTTTGAGTTATTTCTGACTGAAAAAGCTTGTTCCTTTTTATCCTTTTTTTTTTTCTTAAAAAGTTTTATTCACTTATTCAGGATAAAAAAGTTCTAATTTCTGTCTTCTACAAAAAGAAAAAGAACTTTGATATTTGTGCTCATGTTAAAGTAACATCCACAGGTGAGAGATTTCAAGTTTGGAGCTTTAGGAGTGCAGCTGCAGTTTTTGTCCCAACCATGTTTCAGTTGTCCAAATTTACTCTTAGACTGTTAAGCCTCTGAATCTATATCTTTACAGTTCGACCAGCACCTGCTGTGGACTGGGCACTTTGTAAAGTTAAGGACCGAGCTCAAACAAACTCTGTCTATCTCATTCAGACTCAAATTATCTCAAACTGAGATGCAAAAATATCTAAATTCACTTCTTATCAGAGACTCGTACCGTAAGCTGCAGGCAGAGGATCATGAATGTGTCCGTATGAGAACAGTCCAAAAACAAAAAGGCTCACTAAGAGTGAAGCGCTGAAAAACATCTCAATAGAAGATGCGCTCAGACAGAGAATGGATCTTTGGTTTCATAAAGGTGAATAAAGGCGTCTGCTGCAGCTCTGTCTTGGCTCACATGGTCATAATCTCTGCCGTGCGTTAAACAGTGCGTGCATGTTAACCACGCTTTATTATGCCAGCTGTATCCGTCTGACTGAAAATATCTGCAGGACAGAGTCACTGCTCAATGCCTGCACTGAATTTGTGAAACACCTGAAGTGATTAAAAAACACATTTTTTTCTTTCTGCAACATGACTGCAAATACAATTTAATTCTTTCTAAATGTGGTGTTTAAAAAAGGCAGAATCAAATTTGATCAGTTTGAAGCTAATTTATAATTTGGTGTGAGGTTTAGTCCAATGCCAGTTTTAAAGTTAAGTGCCACATAATAAAAGTTAAACCAGTTTTAAATCTGGTTTAAAGGTAATCCATGCTGCTGCAGCCTGACAGACATCTCTGTCCGGTCCAGATGCTCAGGTTCAGGTTATTTAGTTAACAGGATCATTGTGTACTGATGTGAGTCATTACACACAGAAAAACTGAGGAGATGGTTGCACCAGATTTATGGCGTCACTGATTTCCATGTGCAACCTCATGCAGCAGCTGACAGGCAGCAGCACACCTGTCTCAGGTGCTTCTCTGCATCTCCACCTGTGCGCCTGCAGCAGCTTTGTGTTTGATGCTGGAGGCCTTCAGCCTGTTACCACATGGCTCTTTCCAGGTCAGTGCTAATCTGCTCCAATCTTCTTTTCTCCTCATTAGCCATCTTATCCACTCCTTTCCCTGCTGCGCTCACAACCAAGCCCGACTCCCCTAAAGCTGCAGGAGTCTAATTTTACACGCCAGAGTTTGCTGCTAGGCTCTAATCTGTAACCAAGAGACATGACAGAGCAAAACACACTTTTCCTCCAACAAACAGAGTCCAGCATGGAGCTGGATGGAGCATTACAGCAGGTGGAGTGAAGGATGGAGGGGTCTGCTCCGTGTGCACGAACGTATCTGGGTGTTTGGATGGTTTCTGCAGCAGCAGTCGTCTGTATGAGGAGGAAATGGAGCGGAGGAGGTAACCCTGTGGAGTCAGAAACGAGGAGATCCTGCAGTTAAAAGTCAAGATGGAGACGTCCAGGTACAGGTACAAACAGATCACGCTAAGATCACACACATGATCACACACACCTCAGTGGAGCCGAGCCAGTGCAGACAGAGAGGGAACAAGCTTCGGGAAAGGAAGAGTCTGCAGATTCATGCTTTCACAGGGTTTGACCTGCAAATTGTTTGTTTAAAATGTGGTGAAAATTAGTCTTTATGATGTTTGTGGAGTTTGGTTGTTACCTGATGAAACACAGTATCACTGTTATATCTGTTATTTCAAAACAGTCACACACTCTTCATTCTGTCATGAAGCTACATAAATATAACACTTATTTTAGATAGCTGGACACGTTAAACAAAAGACAAAGGTTTGGTTTTCTAATACTAAACATCACATTAAACAAGCTGATTTTGGCTCTGCAGAGCGTAAACATCTGTCAAAGACATTTTTCTAAATATATCACTCTGTTTTTTCATCTTCAGAAGGTTTTCTGTATTTTACAAAAATTGGAAGATCTACCAGAGGTCAATAAAGGCCGGAGTCAGTCCAGGAATTAAAATGTTGAAACCCAATAAAAGATCTGAGTCCTAAAATTCTGTCCCTGCATTTATCAAACCTTACTGATCTTTGCAGACACAGAGATTGACTTTGACGTTAGTTTTCTTCCCGTAATTTAATATTTCTCTGTCTTTAGTCGATGTTCTTGCAGAATTACTCTTCTTGGAGAAAGAGTCTGCCCTGATGTTAAGTCTCTTGTATTGCTCTAAAACACAGGGTGCTTTTAATCACACTAATTTAAACTTCCTCGTGTCCTGTCGTCTCCTCTGACCCAATCAGCACCTCCACCATCATGGATGGTAAAACTGCAGCCACGTGGATGGTAAAGAATCATAATAACTGCTCACACAAATGATGTATGATGGGAGATTTTTGATCATTTCTAATACACAAATATTTCAGATCTCATTCTGGCTGAGGCTGGTGCTGACAGATATCAGAGTGAATCTTCAGGCGTTTAATGACCTTTTAAAAAGCTGGAATTTATATTTCAGCTTCACACTGAGGTCTTCTTCTGAAATGAATACTTTATCCTGTGATTTTACTTTTTTAAAAAGAAAAATCTAATAAAATCTTTAAAAACCAATATCTCACAAATCACAGAAACATTTTGCAGAATAAAAAATATTTTAAAAAATTTTGATAAATCACAAAAAAACTGGATTATGATAAAATTATTCTACAAAGATAAAAATTCACAAGATTTCACACAGAAATCATGAGTAACATTTAACAAAACACAGAATGATTTTCATAAAAATAGCTTTTTAACATACAAAAATTGTTCAAAAAATAATAAAATAATAAAAAAATAATGTTCATGCACAAAATGGAGGGTAGCGTCAGTTGTTTTCATTAAAAAATCCCGGCTTGCTGTTGACAACAATGGCTGCATTTTGTTTTTTTTTAAATCTCCCAATCTGGAGGGCATTTTTAAAAGTTACCATTTTCTTTATCACAAGAAAATGATCCCTGTTATGTCAGGATAATGAAAAAAAAATCATCATCACAAGAAAACAAACTTTGTTACATTCAAGTTAGATATAATGCATTTTTATCATGAGATAACAGTGCATACAAAAAAAAAAAAAAAGAAAGAAAACCCCATGACATTTCTTGTCTTCCATAGCTATATCTCAGGAAATCTTTGATTATTTTCTCTGAGTGGATTTTTTTTTTCACAAACTGTTTTTATTTTTAAAACTCAGTATAAACGGATTTAATGTTTGTGTCTATCTGAGTGTCTGTGAACGCTCAGTGGTAGGTTTGTACTGTCGGGGCCACCGTAGACCTGGAGCAGTCAGCTCTGTCTGTTGGCTGTAATGTGTCTGAGCGCCTCCAGGGGGAGCCTGCAGACTGTTGCGCCTCCCGATGGGAGGAGAAGGGGAGGAGGGGTGAGGAGGGGCTGTGAGGCTTTGTTATGATAGTAAAGGCTGAACTCGGTCAGCGGTTTCTCCTCACCGGGTCACGTTTCTGCTCTCAGAGGAGTTTGAGTCCGGAGCGGAGAGAGGAGGCGGACAAGAGCGGAGAGCCTGCAGGAGGAGGAAGAAAAAGAAGAAGAGGAGGAGGAGAAGATCTGCAGGAATGTAAGCTCCCTTTTTTCTGTTTCTCATTGAAACAGCAGAGAGAAACATGTCTGTGTGTCTCAGGGATGAACTGACGGCTGTTTGACCGCAGAGTCCTGTTGCACAACCAGAAAATGTTTCCTCAACACGAAGAATGAAGCTCGGAGCGGCTTTAAAAACACGATCTGAAAAATGATGGAGTTTTGTTGATTTTCTGTGAGAGCTGCAGAGGTCAGGGCTGAACTCTGGACTCCACGTGTTTGATCAGATCTGACTTTTCAAACTGAACAAACAGCTCTGATCATGTGGGGACTGCGCAGGTCTGCTGCTCCCTGCACACACACACACACACACACTGAGCTTACGCTGAAGTACAAACAGACACAAAGCCTACAGGGCTAAAGATAATCACACCCACACACATGTTGAATGGAGCAGATCTTCATGAGTGACAGAAATGTGCAGAAAATCAAGATTAAACACAAGTTACCTCTCGTGTGTGTGTGCATGTGTGTGTGTGATCTGCAGATTTCTCTCTTCCGTTTAACCTTTTCTCCTGGTTTAGCTCTTTCACTGTCATGCATACAGACTCTGGGCCTCTTCCAGAGACCATCTCAGAGTGGTTTCTGTTTGTGTGAGTGTTGTTTTGACTGAAGCATCTTGAACCTCAGGTCACACTAAATCCAAAAGTCTTTTTTTTTTCTCTTGGTATGTTGAATCTGGTCCAGACTCTAATGGGCTCTTCCTGGGTCCAGTTTATCTGCTCAGGATTGGATAATCTGAAAACAGACAAACGGAGGCAGTGATAGACGGCAGATCTGGGGTTAGTTTGCATTGTCGGATGCAGAAGTGAAAGGGGAAGTTCATTTGCGAAACAAAGACTTTTTTTTTTCTTCTGAGCGTGCCGGTCTGATGCAAACCTGGCTCTAAGTTTCTGGATCAGTCCAGTTTTTACCCTCAGACCGTTCATGTGTTTTTTTTTCTGCCTCAGATCCAGTCATGGTCGACCGTAGGATCCAGATCGTGTGGCTTCAGCTACGATCCCTCCCCTCCCGGCACGCTTCTCACATCGTGGATGAACATCCGACTCAGTGACCTCTGACTTCTGACCCTAAATGTAACTGAAATCTGCCGTGATGGGGATCCTCAGCCTGCTGAGCCTCTCTGTGGTCCTGCTGAACTTCTTGAGCCCATCTGAAACCGGACCGACCCCCAGAGTCTCCTTTAGTTTGGGTGAGTAAAGATGGATGTTGTCTTGTCAGTTATTCGGGGACAGGAAATAATCAACTGTTTGCCGAAAACACAGAGAACTGCAGGATGTCTTAATGACCTGATGAGATGTTTCCTGTTTCAGAGCTCAGTCTGTGGTTCAACGCATGTTCACTGTCTGACTATCTTTAGAGTACGTGATAACAAGACCGCTCATGATACCCTGATAATCCAACACCAGCCAGTGTAAAACCACAGTAACATTGTTCTCAAAACTCTGTTATCCTCTTTTGCACATATATGATTTCTCACTTCTCCTTTTGCAAATTCAAATTTTGCACGTCTGGCATTGCAGGAAAATGTCACTTCTGTCACTTCACATGTTGTGTATCTTTATAGAATATGAATACATTGAATATTTAACAGTCAGTTGCAACAACATCTATTTTTACAAATCTGAGTGTTTTTTATTGTGCATGTTAATTTTTCTCATTTTCAATTCCATATTTCTTTTCTGTGCTTAGTTTCTCCTCCATTTCTTTATCCCTCTGTTTTTTATGGACTCTGATGTCTCTCCGTAAAGCTGCTGCTGATGTTTTTGCAGATGTTTTTTTCTCACCGTGAGCTTGTAACAGCTCAGGGTGTTGATTGTCGTGTACGTTCAAATATCCTGACCCTACATGTTCCTTGACGTGTCAACTAACAGGAAGTCCCGGGAGATTTCTGACCCGCTTCAGCAGCCCTGACGTCAGTAACACCACCACCCTTCTGCTCAGCGAGGATGGAGACGTGCTGTATGTGGGATCCAGGGACGCCGTGTTAGCTCTGGATGTTAGCCACCAGGATGCGATCACGCTGAAGGGAAAGGTGGGGCAACGACAGATGGAGTAACCTTAGTTTATCCAAGAAAACACCATCAGCTGCTTCTTTCACTTGAATAAACTTCACCTGTTTCCCTTTAGCTGGACTGGAGCCCCTCAGAGAAAGACCTGGAACAATGCTCGATGAAGGGGAAAAAAATGGTGAGTGAATAATTCATCCTGATAACTTAGAATAATTCAAACTACAGGCACAAAGTTACATTCAGGAAACCAACAGATTGTGCGTACACAAACTTAAAAACATGAACAGGTGTCCTCAGAGTTGAAGTCTCTCTGCAGCAGCACCAAGCCGATCCTCAATAAACTCTTACTTTAAATGTGCAAATGGTCTACTTTGATAATTGCACGTAAAATAAAGCATGCTGCTATTTGAAATGTGAATGCAGCTTGAATGAGTCATTTTTTTTGTGTGAGTTCTGACAGTGCAGACGTCTGTTCAGTGATGTAACTCCTGTATATCAGAGCTGAATCCAAAGTTCCGCTGCAGACTCTCTCTCTCTCTCTCTCTCTCTCTCTCTCTCTCTCTCTCTCTCTCTCTCTCTCTCTCTCTCTCTCTCTCTCTCTCCATTTAGTGAACTTTTGTCTCTCAGTTATGTAACCAGACGTCTGTTTGTTGTTTCACAGTCCGACTGTCCGAACTTTATCCGAGTCCTGCAGTTCTTGAACAGCAGCCACATCTACGCCTGCGGGACGTTTGCCTTCAGTCCACGCTGCACCTACATCGTATGTTTGTTTGCACACACGTGCAGACTGATCCCTGACTGTTCACTCATTCAGAATTTTAACAGATGAAAAGTATCGACTCTGAGCTTTCACTGAGACATGAGTCTGACTTTATCATCTCTGTGCAGAATTCAGAGACGTTAACAATGAGCCTGAAGCCTGACGAAGGCCGAGGTCGCTGCCCGTATGACCCCTACCAACGAAACACCGCCATCATCGTAGGTGAGGATTTTATGTTTTCAGTCACTTAATGCATCAGATTTTGGCTGCCAGTTTGCACCTACGACGGCTCCAACCACATCCACACAACACTCACAATCATACACCAGTGGAGGACACACACTGGGAGCAAGGTGAGTTAAGTGTCTTGCCCAAGGACACAATGGCCAGACTAGGAATAGGGTGGGGATCGAACCGCCAACCGGTCATTGGTCTACCTCCTGAGCTACTGCCACCAACCTTAGGAAACCTTGAAATCCTGAGTCTGGATTTTTCAGGGGCATTCATAGATCTTCTGTCTCTAAATTGTTCCTGGTGGTATCTTGTAGATCCTGGGTCACTGCTTCATATTAAAGAAATGTTTTCGTGTTTTAGGTCTTTTCTTGAAGAAAGTTTCCTCTCTTTATATTTGACCATCGCCCCCGGAACTAAAGCCTTTTTCTCCCTCAGATGGAGAGCTGTACACCGGGACGGTTGCTGACTACAGAGGAAACAGACCTGTGATCTCCAGACACCTGAGCGAGGGCAGACGAGTCGACCTGAAGCTGGATGACACGTTAGGATGGCTGGAGGGTCAGTGTGCAGATTCTTCGAGTTATTTAGTGATCAAAGGAAAAACTAGTTTAGGCCACAGCATCAGGACTCTTGGTGCTCTTACAGGTGAATTTTCACAAACTAACATCTCTGACATCCTGTCTCTGTAGATCCGACCTTCATCAGTTCCACTGTTGTTCCCGATGAGGAGAAGATCTACTTCTTCTTCAGTGAAGTGGGCAGAGAGTATGACTTCATCGACAAATTCATCGTCTCTCGAGTCTCCCAGATCTGCATGGTGAGAAAAAAGTGAAAAGACTCCAGAACCTGGTCTGCTGGCTTCTCTAAGGTTTGCAGAGGGTTGGAGAAAGAAGAGCGGAGGACACACAATGAGAAACATGAATTTGGAACTACTTTATACAAACATGTTAGTGCGTGACATTGTAATGAGTGTGTTGAGGATTGTCCATCCATCAGAATCTGTCTCATCTACTTTGTGTCTGAACAGTTTTGGAGTCGTTTGTTCTTCTGGCTCTTCTTTGCTGTTCCTGCTGAGTTTCATCCTCGCCTCTGAAATGTAAAAGTCTTTAAATCCTGTAAGAGGTTTTCTTTAAGGAGCATAGATGGAGCTGGTTAAAATCTGATGTACACTCTTGGTTTAATTCACAGCTCTGTTGTTCAGACTTAAACTGGCCTTTTTCCAGGTTGATAGTTTGTGACACTAAAAGAAGTCTGAATCAGCTACATGTTAGGAGGAAATCCCCCCCGAGTCATGTTTATAAAATCAGAGCAGCCTATAATCCAGAGACTGTGCATGTATGTGGAGCTAAAGGAAAGAGCTGTATAATTTTAACCTGGGCTTCAACTCTCAGGTGAGCATGACCCGAAGGACAGACTAATCCACTTGATGTGTCTGACTCACATGGAAAACTTCCAGAGTGGAGAGAGTCTACACACACACACACACACACACACACACTCAGAGTTTTAAATGGATGTTGCTGACTCAGCTCCAAACTCAGATCAGCTTCGGAGAAACATCAGGACAGTTTGTGAACCCAGTCAGTCGTGACAGCCACCAAACACTGAGTCATCCCCTGAGTCAGTGTGTTAAGGTGTTGTGTCTCTGTCTCTCTTGGGATGGAGGTGTGTGTTTGTGTGTGGGGGGAGGGTCTCGCTGTGATAAAGCAGATTTAGTCAAACTTTGTGTTTTTTGCTCTTTTGTTCATCAGAGTGACATCGGGGGTCAGCGGACTCTTCAGAAACGCTGGACCACATTCGCTAAAGCTCAGCTGCTGTGTCAGGCCGACAATGAGCTGCCGTACAACGTCATCCAGGACATCGACACCCTCCTGCCAGCAGAGGGCGCTCCTGCAGACGACACGCTCTTCTATGGCATCTTCACCTCCCAGTGGTCAGTCAGCTACACAGCTGTTACACCAACTATGTAGAAACACCAGACAGACTTGTGTTTGAATGTGAAACATCTGCAGCTCAGTCCTGAAGGTGTCTCGGTCAAAGGTCAAGTTTCTGTCCCTGACAGGCTCAGAGTATGAGCAGTATTTGGTGGATGGATTTATTCAAAGATCCCAGAATAATCTTAGTCATACCCGTTAAAAATCAGCTGACCGAGGCGCTGATTGCCCCTCTGAAAACATCAGACTCTTTAAACCTTCAGATCAGACTGAATGAGTCTCAACATCCTGTGGACTTTAACGTCTGTCTTTATTTTTCCAGGTCTGTGAACTCTGGTCGCTCAGCCATCTGCTCCTTCCGTCTCAGCGACATCAAATCAGTTTTCTCTGGGAACTACAAAGTCCTGAACCGGGACACTTTACAGTGGAGCACACGGGTTCAGGAGAAGGTCGCCAACCCTGGAGAGGTAATGATTCCCTCTGACTTAAAGCAAGAAAGAGGCTGAAACACAGGAGACACTGAGTAATGAGGACTTAAGAGTATAACAGGCTGAGTTCATCTTCCAGTTTTTAGAGGAAACTTCTGTTGACCCGGTTTTCTGAAGTTCAGACCTTCTTCATGTTTGGTCCATTTCTGTCTGTAAAGGCAGACTCAAAGAGAGTGGAGCTCTTCGATTTTAAAACTCCTAACCTGAGTTCAAACCAGCGTCCTTAACCAAACCGTTTAGTCTGAGTTTGAAACTCTCTGCCTTTACTTGGAAGAAGGGTCTGCTAATTATTCAAAGGTGTGACTCAGCAAGATTCAGACCAATCTGGTGTCCTCTGTGATTAGAGTCAGGTGATTCTGCAGGCGGGTGATCATTAGCATGGCTGATAACTTCCTGTCTGTTAAACGAGTCAGTGCAGATCAATCAATTTACTGATTGAGACTGTCATCCTATCTAGTGTGGTCTTCACAACGCATCCGATAACGCCCTCCGCTTCGTCAAAGAGAACTTCCTGGCGGACGACAGCGTGCGGCCGGTGGGGAGGACACTGACCATGGTGTCACCCGAGCACAGGTACAGTCACCTGAGCGTGCAGAGAGTCCAGGCTGCGAACCACCGAGACTACACCGTCCTGTTCCTGCTCACAGGTGAGCTCAGCTGACAAAGTTCAGAAGTTTAAAGTTTGGCAAAACTCGCCGCTAGTTCGTTAAAATCTTCACCTCTGCATCCAAACTGAAGGAGTAAAGAGGACACGCCTCCTGTTGTGTTGTTGTGACCTGCTGTAACGCTCCTGGGTCTTATTACTGTGTTTTTGAGGTCACCAGGGGGCGCTTATGGGCATTCATGCTGGACTAAAACATTAGGACTCATAGATGTTTCCATGTTACGCTACGTAGTATTGTTCACGGAGGATGTTTAAACCCCAGTCCTGAGTTAACCCAGGTTCCTGGTCCTCCCTTTGTTTAACCCTGACCTCTGTGTCGTTTTGTCCCTCTGTGTTCAGAGTCCGGTTACCTGCACAAAGCCGTGCTGCTGCAGAGTGGCGCCCACATCATAGAGGAGGTTCAGGTGTTCGAGCAGCTGCAGCCTGTCAAGAGTCTGAAGCTCTCCATCCCACAGGTACAAGAGTCTGAATTAAGCAGCAACAAATATGAATAATCTAACAGTCCATAAGCATGCTCAGTCTGACCCACCAGGCTGGATCACAAAGGTGTGTTTTGATCGATTTGTGTAATTTAGTTAGGGTGACCATATTCTGACTTCCCATAAAGAGGACACGACCACGTGGGGGCGGAGTTGCGAAGTCGCACAAAGTTAATTTTGAGTTTTTTGGGTCGGATCGAGTGTCTTTTACGAGCTTCTAACTCAGTTAATCCATGTGACACAAAATCGAAACTTACATACAAAACCGCAGACATTTGAAGGATTTTATCAACTTCCCCGGACAAACCCGAACAGCCCCCAAAAAAGAGGACATGTCCGGGTAAAAGAGGACATATGGTCACCCTAAATTAGTGGCATTTCAATTGTTACAAAAACAACAATGATCTCAGAGGAAGGTTGTGGTTAGAGTGGTCTGAATGCAACACATACAGGTCAGGTCTTTGGTCTTCTCTTCTCTGGTTAAGCGTTTTTCTCAGACATGGTGCTGACACACCGATCACACAGCTGCTCTCACCTCCTTCAAACACTGTCAAAAAAGAGAAGTGTGAAACAGTCTGCTAGTCACAGGAAGTCTGTCTCTGCTCCTTCCTGCTTCTCTGACCTAATTTAATCTGGTTCAGTTCACTGACACAAAAACTTTTGAAACTCTGACATTCTAAAACACTATAACCCTTAAAACTCTAAAAGGTTTAAACTCTCAAAGGCTTACACTCTGAAACCATAAAACTGAAACTTTGATCTCTAAAACTCTTAAACCAGAAGTCTGAAAATTTGATCTCTGACAAATTAACAGACAATATCTTATTATTCTACACTTGGAACAAAGTAGAAACCTGGAATATTAATCTCAGTCAGAGTGTAAAACTCTAAAAGTGTTTGTTTGTTTGTTGCAGTGCAGTGATCTTTAGAAATCCCACTTGCTTCGCATCAACACTAAGTAGTGACAGTCTCATGGTTGTCAGGGTGTAGTTTCAGGCCCCACGGACTTCCTGTCACTCAGGTGTTCAGGATTATTCCCCGAGTTCGTTTACAGAGAGCCGAGAAACCCATCAGAGTCAGCCCCCTCTCTGATTTGTCTTTTTCCAACAACAGAATTTAAAGTTTGTGCTTCTGGTGGTTCATAGAAAACTCATATCTAACTCTGAGTGTGTTCACCTGCAGGGTGTGATCTACGTGGGCACGTCAGAGGGGGTGGTGAGGATCCCCACTTCCAACTGTTCGGTGTACTGGACCTGTCCTCAGTGTATCCTGGCCCGAGACCCGTTCTGTGGCTGGGAGCCGAACAGCCGAGTCTGTGTTGAGGTCAAATCCACAAAGATCCCCCTGTGAGTGCCACTGTCTCCTGTTATTATTAACTCAGAGATATTTCTTACTGTGTTCAAGTAGCAATGCTGATCTACCTGTGCAGGGATGACAACATCTCAATAGTTTTGACTCTTTTCCTAATTGTTTAGTGTTTCTTTGCTGCCATTTGCTTATTATGTGCCATCCAACTATATCTACTCTGATCCAGGGTTTAGGAGAGAATTCATACTGTTAATACTGCAGTCAAAGTTACTCTAAAATGCCGTAAACTTTCTCTTAAGTTGAACAAAAGCTGAGCTAAAATGCTCTGAAGTTCATCTTAAATTGCTCTGAAGTTGATCTAAAGTGGATCTTAACTGGTTCTGAAGTTGAAAAAAAGTTGATCTGAAGTTGATCTAAAATTGCTCCAAAGTTGATTTAAACTTGCTGTTAAGTTGAGCTAAACTTGCAATGAAGTTGATCTAAAATTGCTCTGAAGTTGATCTTAAGTTGAGTTAAACTGGCTCTGAAGTTGATTTAAAGTTTATCTAGAATTGCTCTGAAGTTGAACAAAAGTTGATCTAAACTTGCGCTTGAGTTAAACTTGCTATGAAGTTGATCTAAAATTGCTCTGAACTTCCTCTTAAGTTGAGCTAAACTTGCCATGAAGTTGATCTAAACTTGCTCTGAACTTCCTCTTAAGTTGAGTTAAACTTGCTATGAAGTTGATCTAAAATTGCTCTGAATTTAAACAAAGGTTGATCTGAAGTGGCTCTGAAGTTGAACAAAAGTTGATCTGAAGTTGATCTTAAGTTTCTCCAAGGTTGATCGAAAGTTGATATGAAGTTGCTCTGAAAGTTGCCCTAAATTTTGGTGCTCTCTGACTGTCTTTTGTCTCAGGGTTCAGGACGTGGACAGGGGGAACGTGGAGGAGGCGTGCAGCAGCGTGTCTCTAACACACAGATCCAGATTCAGCTCCACCAAACTCAGTGCAGGTGAGATTCACTTTTACCTGCTGCTCTGACAGCTCTGACCTCTGGAGCTGTAATGTGGTGTGCTGCACAGCTCTGTTACAGCCAGAAAGACTCCCCCCCTGAGTTATCAAATTATTTCACAAAACCAACAATATTTAAGGAAATGTTTAACCAGTTTGTGAAAGTATTTCATGAGAGAGATTTTCACTACTGGACTAGTGGTGATGATGTAATCTGTATGTCAGCCTTATGTCCTGCAGGTGAACTGGTCTCAGTCTCTCTGAACGAGGTGGTCCGGCTGCAGTGTCCCCCATCTTCCCGTCTGTCCCAGCAGCAGTGGGAGCGTCCAAACAGCCGTCTGTCCCCAGACCTGTACCTGCACCTGGAGGATGGCAGCCTAAGCTTCGTGGCCACGCCCACCACGCTCGGTCACTACCTGTGCCTGTCAACGGAGAACAGCTTCCAACAGACCATGGCCATCTACCACGTCAAGCAGAAGAGCAGCAACCCCCCGCCCAGCTCACACCCCATCACACAGGCAGGGGGCCGTCTGGGGCCAAGACTGCTGACCTCTGAAGGGCCCCAGAGGACAGAGTCAGAGCCAGTACCAGAAGCAGAACAGGCAGAGCCCACACAGTCCAGTAAGAACCCTCAGACTCCCACCAGTGAGGCTAAAGACTCCCCTCGGTGGACGGAGGAGTCAGGACCCAGGGGGTCTGAGTTTGGGAAGGAGAGGCCCCTGATGTGGTCTCGAGGCCCCTGTTATCTAAAGGAGCTGGTGGTGGTGTCGGTGCTGTTGGTGCTGTGCATCAGCCTGCTCATCACTGTGCTGCTGTACGTCTTCAGACAGCGCTGCCGCAGCCGCACCACCATCCAGGCGGGGACGCCGCCCAGGGACAGCGGGTCCCCCGTAGAGCAGGAGGCCCTCAGGGGCCACTGTGGGAGCAAACGTAATGGAAAGGCCCTGCACAGTGGACAGGGAGGAATGGTCTGTAATGGGGCTCTAACGGGGTCTAACGGACATTTACCCAACACCCCAATCTGACTGTTACACTCACACTGTTATACCTGAGAGACACCTGTTACCATGGTGACTGACAGTCAGCATAGTGTGAGCAGCCAAAGAGGCAGTACCACAATTGAGGAGGACAGTGTTAAAATGATGATGTACATTCTTAAAGACTGAAACAGACAAACAAAGTCATAGAGACACATGAAGACACAAAGACACAAATAGACAGAGACACATAGACACAGCTGTATCATGACAGTCTGTAGTTTGTCTCTGTCTCTAAATGTCTCGTAATGTCCCTCACTGTCTTTGTTTGTCTTTAAATGTCTCTGACTGTCTCTGTGTCTGTCTGTCTTTTCACTGTTGAAGCTTTAAAACACAGGATGGAGCTTCTCCCCTACAGCTGAACTGTTTCTCTGAAGGGTCAGGGTCTGATTCACTGACTGGATTAATACATGACCGTCACATCATCCCCTCCTGCTGTACAACAGCAACTCAAAAAACGATTGGGATCCTGCTTCATAAAACACATTTTGATGGTTTGCAAACCACATAAAGCCAATGTATAATTGATAGCAAAGTAACATCAGCAAATCAAAAGGTGTTTGGAAAGGTGTAAACTCTTGGAGGATTGTAGGTACTCAATAGTCCAGGGTCTCCTTTGTCCTATTTTTGGTGTCATGATGGTCCAAATGTTTTCAATGGGGGACAAGTCAGGACTGTAGGCAGGCCAGTTTAGCAGCAGGACTCTTCTACTACAGAGCCATGCTGGTGTAATCCCTGCAGAATGTGGTTTGTCATTGTCGTGCTGAAATATGAAGGTCTTCCCTGAAAAAGTCATTTTCACTTGTTTTTCAGTCATGTTGCTGCGTCAAATTTAAAATAAGCAGATAGTACTTCAATTTTAACATTTGATTTGTTATCTTGCATCATTTCAATGACCATCGAAGTCTGTTTTTATCAGCATTCATCTCTTATTGAATTATTAAGGAGCCAAAACTTAAAACAGAAACATGTCTGAGAAACATTGATTTGACCTGTTTGTTGATTTATGGTGAGACCATTGTCCCATCTGTTAACATGGACAAGGCAGGTTTAATACAAATACTGCAGTCAGTCAGCAGGATGAACTCTTAATGAACTCCAAATATATTTATTTTAAGAAAGGTTTCATTGTGTTCATCGTTTTATCCAGTCTATGATTTTATTTAAAGCCAGGGACTGCTGCAGTGATTAATCCCTTATATTCTAAGAGATCTTATGAAACAAACTTGATCAGATATCATAGATTTTTTAAAACTTTATTATGTGGAGGGAGAAGTGTAAGGGCCTGTTTTTATCACTTATTTTCAAAGTTGTTACACCAAACTCTCACTGAAAATGTGTTGTTGTTTGCCAAATAGATTTTGTAAAACTATGATGATGCCCTGAGTTAGTGAAGAAGGATGTTTTAAAGAACCAATGTTACATCGAAGCCAAAATACAAGTGTAAAATGAATGCAGTTCCCCTCTTGTCCACTAGAAGCTGTGTCCTGTAGTTAGCCAGTCCCTGTTGCATCAGAAATAAACATCATGCCAGCCTGAAACAAAAACTGTTTGGGTTTCTGGAGCTCATTTCTCTGTTCAAGCACCAAAACAGACTGAACTTGGTTAAACCTCACCTGTTTACCACAGGTTATGGATTACACTCACCTGTTAACATCATATTACGGATAATCTCACCTGTTAACATCAGGTTAAAGGAGTGGAATTTTGGGGGTTTCAAGTTAAAAACATGACAGTGCCTGACTATTTACAACTATCTGACCCTTTGTTTGAGATCATGAAAAACAGCTGTGTCAGTTTGGAAATAAACCTGAATCCCTTGGTAGTTTATAAAATCTCTCTGTGACAAAATATCTTTAATATTCTGTCAAACTGCAGGTGTCTAAGGAACGGTGTTAGTTGTATGAAAGGCTTGTTTGTCAAGATCTCCTGGATTTATTGAAATGTATCTTAATTTCACAGACATATCTCCAACATTATCTGAGATCTCATTTACACATTTATGGAAATTAAACAGAGAGATGTTTTGGTGGAAATATATGTATTTTCATATGCTGCAGCTGCAGCCTCTTGACCTGGACTGATCCATAAAAATAGTAAAAAAAGAAGAAAAAAAAGTACATCCACAGTCCACAGCATGAAGCTGAACACAGCTGTCACAACATGATGAGACCTGCTGCTGCTGCCGCCACTGCTGCTGCAGTCAGAGGCCAGAGTATAAGTGCCAAGAGACTAAAAGAGACATGTCAAATCTCTGAACCCTCTGTTTCAGCTGATCCTGAACTGTAAAGACAAGAAACTCTGTTCTGGGTAAACTTAGTGGGAAAAAAAACTATAAACTGAGATAATGAAAATAGAGATAATAATAGAGAGAGTAGGAACCACATGTTTAATGTGGTTAAATATTCATGAAATAAAAACAACAGTTACTGATCATAGATCTTTGAGAATATGAGGTGACACATGATCACAGCAAAGATGTTCAGTGCATTCAGAAACCTGAGGAGTTATAGTGTTGAATGTTTTTATTCTACAGTATTTCCAAAGTTTCCACCATGTCCCTCTTTCATTCAAAACTTGAGGAAATTTAGTTGTGTTTTAGTGCCACCCTGTGGCCAACAACTGAAAACACAAGAAGTGAGTTCTTGCAAACTACACCCAACATACCACAGGACAGTTCTCCTCTCACCCTCAGTCTACCGTAAATGAGCTCAGTTTTAACCTCATTTGTGGATGCAGAGATAAACTCTGTTCATAGACAATGGTGTTTGGAGTGATTTTGAGCCCATGCAGTGATTTCTACACCAGAGTCCTGACTGTTTCTAATTCTGTGCTAAAGCTTAGGACCATCCAGTCTTGGTTTTGGTCCTTATCCCTTTTATACAGCAATTTCTTTAGATTCTCTGAATCTTTGAATGGTGTTATGTACTGTGGACACTTTTTTCACATTTGAAATTCCGGAACATTATTCTGAAACTGTTGAACTATAAGCTCACGCAGACTCTTACAGAGTGGTGAACCTCCTCCCATCTTTCCTTCTCAGACACTCAGCCTCTCTGAATGTCCTTTCTATACCCAGTCATGTAACTAACCTTTTGGAAATCAATGAAATTCGATGGAGATGTTCCTCCAGGTTTTTTTTTTTAAGAATTACACAACTTTTTCCTGTTAAGATGTTCCTCCAACAATTTTTTACGTGTTTGGACGTTCCTCTGTAACAACTTTTAACCTGTTTAGTTGTTGGCTTATAACAACTTTTTACCTGTTTGGTTTGGTCAGGTTGGTAATGCGCAAATATTTTTCCTCAAATGTTAAAATGAATGTGAACGTCTGATAAATCAACTTCTGGTTGATGAAGTGCGACAGATTTTTTGCAAACCATCCAAATTAGTTTTTGTCATCATTTTATTTAGGATTCTCACTTTTTGAAAACTTTTTAGATGTTTTTTTTTCGGTGTTACCCTTAAGAGATTTTTTTAATGGATAATAATAATAATAATAATATTAATAATAATAATAATAATGATGATGATGATAATAATAATAATAATAATAATAATAATAATAATATCTATTTTTTTATTGTTTTATTTTTTATACCTGCATCATGTTGGGCCATAGAAAGGTCCTTTACCATAAACTCGGTGTATAAAATTATAAACTTAGGCTCCATCATGTCAGCGAGTCCGTGTCACCTTTTCAAAGGTGCGGTGTGACGTCACGGGGGCTCGGTGCTTCTGCAGTCTGAACAGAAACTGGATCTCGGAGTACTGCAGTGGTAGCAGTGAGTGAACACACCCTGCGGCAGCCTGCAGAGCATCCACACACATACCAACACACACCTGCGCCGGGCGGACTGTCCAGGAGACGCACAGCTGCAGGTAAGATCATTGTTCAACGCGTTTCGTCCCGCAGCAGAGAGCGGGACGGGTAACTCCGGACCGGACGGGCTGACATTGAGGTGTCATTCAGTGCGGTGAAGGCTCTGCAGCATGGGGACGTGATTTAATATACGAACTGTTTCTGTTTCATGGCGGTGCTTCGGGGGAGGTTTCTGAAAATATGTGGTCCGGATGAGTCCCACACGACTCGGCCTGAGTTTGTTTTGCTCCTGCAGCTGAGTCAGACTTTCCGCGGTCCATTAGCTCCTCCCCGGCCTGCTGCAGCCCACAGGCATGATTTCAGACTCTGCGAATATCTGAGAGCAAACACTAAACTCTGTTCATTCTGAGTATGATGAACCGCTGCGGCTTGTCATATCTACTTGCCACAAAACGGATAGTTAAAAAACAATTCATCTCCAGCTGCTAATGTCCTTTGCTACATCTGGAAAATTCTGCAAGTCAGCACATGAATATTTCACACTTTTTTGGTGTTGTATTCTTGCAGTAGAAGAAGAAAAATATAAAATATAACAAATATAAATGTGTTGGTTTGTAGGGTTATAGTGCGTAATGAGGGTGATCTTGCAGACTACTGTCTAAAAACAGATCACAGCTGCAGCCTGGGAGGATGATGCTGCAGATATCAAAACCTCCATTCAACACTCAGAGCAGGGCCTGGTCTCTTCATAGAGGCCACACATAATGATGATAAAGTACCAGGTAGGGCTAGGCGATAAAATGATAACAATATATATCTTAAAATTAATTTCCCTCAATATCAATACAAAACATGGTCAATATGCTGTTCAATAGTCGGCATTTTGCCATGTTTTGGTAGACTATACAAATAGCCACTGAAAAGGGGAGTTTCTCTGGGTCCACCTTGCGCTGAACCAATCATGTGCTGAATTAGCACTAAGGCTACGTTCATACTGCAGGTTATGATGCACAATTCAGATTTCTTGTTAAATCCAATCTTTTTGGATACAACAACGAATGCGGCATCTAATGTAAACAGAATGCGTACGTGAAGTGACCCGCATGCGCACAAAGCACAAATTACTTTCCACGCCTGTTTGTGTTGTCAAACAATGGTGACGTTTGTTGCATATTGATGACGTATAGGTAAGCGTCCACACTGCAGTCACATCGGATACATATCCGATTTATATCCATATACAAAAGAGGCCTGAGTTGGATTTGAAAAAATCTGAATTGCACTGTTCACACTTGAATGAAAAAATCAGATATGTGTCACATATGGTTAAAAAATCGGAATTGACCTGCAGTGTGAACATAGCCTAAGTAGCAAACAACTGCGTAGTAGCAGGCTGCAGCTACATGCAACCATAGCACTTTAACAGCGCAATGCCTTACGACGATATGCCGAAAGACCTCACAGGTGCAGTAGCCTATTGTATTGCAAAAGACATGCTACCAATAAGCACAGCTAAATTTCATTTTTATATCGTGATATATATCGAGATGGACTGATATGAAAAAATATATTGTGATAACAATTTTTCCCATATCGCCCAGCCCTATACCAGGGATGCGTCCAGGCTCTTAAACTGGGATGGCCTAGACAGGGCACTGACTTAGACACCAACAGATTAACCCTTTCTGTCATATCTGATTGTATCTACAATAACTCCTCATATTAAAACATTATACAGATGTTATAATGATCCATATTTTTCAGTCTTTCTGTCAGTGCAGGAACCTGATCAGGCTGGTCCACCTGGGAAACTCTCTGAGCATTGGCCCCAGACTCTGAAGGTGAGTATTCAAACATCTTTTTTGTTTGACCTCACAATTTGTACAGTCAGCAGACTTCCTGGACGTTGCTTTGTGCTGGAGGACAGTCTTTATTTTTTGTATTCTCACAAAGTAAAAAAAAAAATAGCCACCTTCATTTCAGTACTTTTAGCCATCCAGCCCATTTTTAAGATATCATAGCTTTAAATTAGCCCAAAAGCAAAACAAAAGTTGCCTTAGGACACTCTCCATTATGGATTTAAAGACCCAACAGTAATCCACTATGAGGCAAAAAAAAACTCCCTTTACTGCCAAAAACCTCCAACAGAACCAGACTCATAGTGAGCAGACATCTGCTGTTATTCACAAATCAAACTGAGCCGCCTAAGGAAAAAGATTTAATGTTTTCTGTTGATATTACTGAGAAGTGAAGTGGTCCCAGCAGCAACCCTGTGGAACTCCATGACTAAACCAGGCATACATAAACTCTGACAAACAGGTATCAACCTGATGAAAATGGACTTAAACCAGCCTGTAATACTGTTGTATTCCTGTTAACAGCAGGATGTCTCAGAATGACAAAGACCCAATGCCTCCTGTGGGGAATCTGTCCCCAAGACAACTGCAAAGTCTGCTCAAGATGGAGCCCAAGACCCTGGGGGTAAGTCTGTGAGCCAAATGATGTCTAAGTCTTTATCTCTCTAATGGACTCCTGAAAATTTCTGGAAAAATATCACCCACTTTACTATGCTGTATGGGTGTATGTTTGGAAAAGAGCAGAAGACAAAGCAGCTTCATTACCTGTCCATCCATTTGATCGTCTTCTTGTTGAAGTTTTTGCACAGTCTTTCTGGGTGTAGATTCTTCCAGTGTTTCCAAACATGTGATAGACCCTCAGACTGTCTGCACCATAAACCTGATTGAGAGATGTCCTTTAGGAGCACCATCTCTGTGTGAATATTATTTTGTTGTGTATTTCAATTTGCTGGTCCACAGTCGTAAACGTGTGTTTGATGTGTGCCGTACGTGGGGTCAGCACTCTAGCAGCACCCTGAAATGTGACAGCTGTTAACACATCTGTCGATCCTAACACTGTTTCCCATGCATCCAAACAGGTGTGCTTATTATTTCCTTTCCTTTACCTGCCAGGCAATTCAGCTGGTCATCGCAGGACTGATTCTGTGTCTGAGTGCGTCTGTGCTGCAGGTGCATGAGGTCCACTTCACAGGAGACATCGCTCTCTTCCTGGTTGTGGTCATACAGGTAGTTTTTTTTAATTTTAATTTTTAATTTAATTGCCATCAAACTGTATTTCAAAGTAAATTGTTCCGTGACCCTCCAGGTGACGCTATCTGGTTCAGTGTTGATCCATGCTGGGAGGAGCCCGACCCTGTTTTGGGTGAGTCTCAGGTGCCAAACCATAACACAACCAGAGCCACACATCTCAGTCAGATGTTCTAGGTTTAATGACTCTGGACCATGATCACTCCCATCTGGCCCTGCAGGTGAAAGTTGTCCTGATCCTCCACCTCATCAGTGCTGCCTTCGCCACAGCCGCTCTGGGTCTGATGTCCAAACACCTGCCGTACCGCCAGGACTCATACCACTGTGAACACTGCCGCAGGCTGGAGCTGCACGCCGTGGTAATGTCTCTAAAAGCTGCCTGTTATTTATCATTAGAGTTAATTCATCAGACCTGAACGATTACCAAAGACAAAGCAACACTGAGCATTAGATAAGAAACAAACTGATCAGCGCTAATGTTTACTTCAAAGTTACATACATTCACAAAAAAGGATATTATTGTATCTAAAGCTGACTGGCCTCAACAAGAAAAGAAAATTACTGCAAAATAAAATTTATAAATGTGTCTAGCTTAAAAAGATCAATCTGGATTTGGAGGATCTGAGTCTTGTCTGGTGCAAGACTGAAACAATGTTTGCAGGACAGAAATATGATCCTATATTGATATGATACACCTGTTTTATTCAGACTGCAGGCAGGTTTAAAACGTTTAGGCCCTTCTGTATGTGCACATGGAAGATGGACCGAGAAGGAGTGAAAAACTGTCTTGTGGTCTGATGGATCAAAAACTAACAGTCTTTTTAGAAATCATGGGAAGTAGTGGAAGTAGTGGGACCACCCAGCTTATTCTCAGCTCCCAGTCCAAAGCCAGCATCCCTGATGGTGTTGGGATCATCAGAGTCTATGTCATGGGTAGCTGTCACATCTGTGAAGGCTGAATCTACAGGTTTAGGAGCAACATCTGCTGCCATTCTCCCATTCAGCAGGGATTACAACAGCATGTCTCTGTAAAGAGTCCTGCTGCCAAACTGGCCTGCCTGCAGTCCTGACTTTTCCCCCATAAAAAAAAAAATAAAGTAAAAATCATTTGGAGCATCAAAAACAGGACAAAGGAGACCTTGAACTGTTGAGCAGCTGAAATCCTCTATCAGGCAAGAATAGGACGACATTTCACGTTCAGACTCCAGAGCCTGGTCTGCTGGGTTCATTAAGGTCTACAGAGAGTTGGTGAGAGACATGATACTGACATGTTTCTGGCATAAAATTTAAGCAAGCCTATAATTTTGATTAATGTTGTCTTTGCATTGTTTGTAATTGATACAGACTTTGAATAATTTGCGAACCCTCAAATTCAGTTTTTAGGAATATTTCACACAGCTCCCAACCTTTTTGAAACTGGGGTTGTATTTAGTTTGAAAAAACACATTTTCAGAGGCTTTAACTAAAGTCTTTTCCGTGAAACAGTCTAAAACACAGAGATTCTTCTGTTTCTGTAACACTTAGAGAAGAGCAGAAAAAAATAAAAATAAGAAATCAGAAAATGTTTGATGAATGCAGCTCATAGAACAGGTGAAATGTATTTGGCAGTTCATTTTAATCAGCTGCTAACCTGACTCACTTCTGCAGCTTCACCTGAAAGAAAAATAATACCTACAGAGTTGTAAATTTATTTTATGAAGAAACAGACTCCGTGTTTCTCTGTCTGTCCACTGCAGCAACATTGTTTCAGGAAATGCACCGGGCTGATCGAGCAAAAGTGTAAAGTAAGTGACTGAACGCTGTTATAAAAATATTCTGTCAGAAAGGATTCACTGAGTCTGATCAGCACAGCCTAAGTTCATTCGGAGTCCTCCTCCTCGGTTCCTCACCGGGTTTCCTCATTGGTTTCAGCTGCTGATTGACGGGATCTTGGGGACGCTGGTCATCTTCCTGGTCCTGGAGCTGTTGATCTGTATCACCGTCATGCTGTTTGGACTAAGCGTCCTCGCTGCAGGTGGAACCAGGGTGAGCTACCTGGGATATCTGAAAGCTTTGTTTGACCTGCAGGGGGCAGCAAAGTATCAAGTCTGTTAAAAGTCTTTCACATCCTGTCACCTTGAAGGGTGTTGTTTCCTGTTATATGGTGGTGTAAAATTAAATTATATGAGGGAATGAAAACAGTATTTTTTCACTGTCCTGGATTATGGAGACAGATTCTTATTCGTATTTTTGTGTATGTCTTGCAGACTTCTACTCAGCGACCCGTCTATCCACAGAGCCGCCCCCCTGCAGTCACACCTGTTCCAGCTGTTCAGGCTGCCCCACCTGCTCAGGCCATCTCAGCGGTGTATGTTGCTCCAGCTGCAGCCGAGCAGACTCAGGTAGACCTCTGACCTCTGACTTTTTACTGATTCACCAAGTGGAATGATGTGGGTATAAAGCATAGACTGTATATAGAATGGACAGCGTCTGCCTCCTTGCTGGGTGAAGCCACTCCGAGAACAGCACCCTCTGTTGATGGGCTGCAGTAAAGCTTATGGGGCTGTGGACAAATTTTAAAGATTTATTATACACAACATACATTTTTTTTCTCCCCTGCTTGTGATGTTGACATGTAGTTAAAGTAAGACTGGTTTGTGCTCAAGTCCTCTTTTTTCTGTACAGCTCCATTTTTAAAAGTTATTAGGGGGTTCATATTTTCTATGATTGACACTTGATACAGCCTATGGGTGTACAAAGATTGCGTAGCTCACCCAGGGGATACGCTGTTTAAGCCGAGCATCATCACAGCGACTTCCCTGCCGAATGCGTACAATGCTACTGCTCAAGTGGTGGAGCACGTACAACGCTACTGCGCAATGTTGGTTTCAGGGAGTGGAGAAAATCGCAGAAATACCGCGAGCTTTTCGGCTTCGAATCCATATACTGGCAGAGGGCAGAACCAAGTTGTCCATAGGATATACAGTCTATGGTATAAAGACAGAGTGTAGCCTGTATGTGCTGTGCTGAGCAGAGTATGCACACTGTGTACCAAAACATTAGATTACTTTCGGTGCAGAAAGTTTGTTTCCCTGCAGAGCTATAAAGTCAAAAGGAGGGCTCTTTCTCAACAGGATTTAAGGCTCAAAATGACTTAAAGTTGCCAACATGTTTGAAAGCTTGCAGCAGGTAAACAGGCTTTCATGTTTGCAACAAAATCCTTGTAGGATAATCTAACAACAGGAGAAAAATAGGAATTTGAAATGGCAGGATGCAGGGGTTTCTGGTTTACCTCTGTGTTGAGTGGTTCCAGGCTGTGGTAAACCAACAACTCCTGCTCTCTTCAAACTTCTGTTTTTGTGATCTGGTGGCATCCCAGAGATGCCGTTTTAGTGATGTACAATATTATTGCCATGACATCAGAGTCAGCAGATAGGGCCTAAAAAGTGATTCATTTGTATGTGATGTGAAAAGTATTTTGAGAACTGAATGTCTAAAGTTAAGGATAAAAATGTCATTTATAAAGGGCTGAAACACTCTGTGTCTCATTTATGTGTCTCTAAAACCAACAGACTGTCACAGTCAGAGGAGCAGCTCGATAAAGATGTGTGTCTTATTGTTGGTCGGGGTATAATATACTGGCATATTAGATCTCAGCAAATATCCTGTTGTACCTCCAGAAGCAGTTCAACATCTTCTAACATTTTACATGATAACATTCAGTTGAACAAAAAGGTTAATTTCTCTGTAACCTAAAGACTCTGAAGAAGGATGACGATAATCTGAAGGGTTTGCAAATTAAACTTCATCAGTGTCTCCCTCGGGTCAGTCTAAACTGTCTCTGTCTGCAGGTGGAGGTTGTCGTCACTGAACCAGACTCAGACCAGGTGGAAGATATCTCAACTCCACCCACTGAGCCTCAAGTGGAGCCAATAGAGGTTGAAGATGAGGCTACAAACCCCTAAACCACACACACACACACACACACACACACACACACACACACACACACACACACACACACACACACACTGTTCACTATCACGTCATGGTTTAATCCCCTGTATTCACACAGCAGCTGTTTCCAGATTCACACTGCACCTAAATTTACATCCTTCTGATGATCATTGCAGAATATTAGCTTAACCACTTGATTACCAACTTACTTATTGGTCAGATATTAAGATTAGCTCTGGACAAACCAGGAAGGATTTCATCAGAGAGCAAATTTACGACACCAGAGCTTTGATATTCCAGGCAAAGAGTAATAAATGTGCACATTTAAATGACAAATGAATAAATTTAATAATTAAACGATCAAGTAATAGAGGTGCAAGGTGAAAAAAAAAGTTAAAAAATACCCCTAAATCAACAAGGAAAGAGGTTAGTTAGTTAATGGAAAAGTCTGAGATCTGTGATAAAAGTTTAAAAGTTATAAATGTACAGCTGGAATTGAAAAATTAACAAGATAAATGTTAAAAATGCAAGTATAAATTAAGAAGATTACAGTTTTAAAATTACAGTAAATAAGCTGTAAATTTAAATGTACCTGAATAATATTCTAAATTCATGAAAAAAGCAGAAATAACAAGATCTATGTATTGTATATGTATTGATTTACTCAAGGAAACTTTAAAGAGGACTGGACTAACATGAGGGAGAGTTAAGGCGGGCAGGACCCATCTGAGGGGTTGAAGGGTTTTTGGGGATTCACACTTAATGACTGGAGGAGGCTGAGCTGTGCCCTCCATATTCATGTAACAGTGATTAAAATCTGGCTTTCTCAATAACAATAAAAGTTTCAGTTTCTTTATCTGGCGGGATATCAGAAGAAACAGCTGCTGTGTAAATATCTGTTTAAGGGTGAACTCATCTTTTGTGCCCCATGCTGGTCACTGAATGAATAACTTAGGGGGCAGCAGACTGAAGTCAAAGTGGACTCCAGGACATTGATGTTGTTTTTATAAAACCTGACATGACATAAAGACAGAGACATACAGCACATACTGATGAAATTATTTTACAAAGGAGTGTCTGTTAAAAATATTTATATCTACTAAAGGTAAAGGTAGAGAAATGAAGAAACAGAGAGCCACCGGACAGTAACATGTTTCTCACTATAGAGCGTGTAGCTTATATTCACTTCCCTGTAATGAATGTCCACGCTGTATTGTTTAGACAGAAGGCAGAGTTAATCCTGTTTTACTTGGTGCTGTTCAGCCTCTAGATGTCTTAATCCTGGATAAAACACACTTGATTCTTATTGTCTGGTTATAAATTGTCCTTTTTCCAATGAAGTCAGACCAACAACACTAATAAGAGTTTCAGAGCTGTTATTTTCAGACTGATTAATATTGCTGTGGTTCAACCTAACAAGAGGACAGGCCAGCAGACTGGGGCTGAGCTCACACGAAAATCACATGTATAATCAAAAGTATTTTCTGTGGCAGACATCACCTCTCAAACTAAGAGGACTTTTCTATGATTTTTACTCTGTATATCAGTCAAACCTGTGGGCCTGGGTGGCATGGATCACAGTGTTTTCCTGCTCTGGGTTGTCAGTGTTACTTGTAGAAACCACAGGATGGCATGGTTTATGAATGTATTTCAATCACAGAAAATAAAGTTACCAAAAAATGAACCAAAGAGCTCTACATCCCGAGTTTCATTTGTCTCTGTCCTGCTGTATGCCTGACTCTTCTTTGGACACTTCATCCTCATACCAGACTTATCTATCATCATCCACACTGTAACTGGTGTTTGTAGTTTTAGCATTATTGTACCACAATATCTACAGCAACGAACTGTAAAAAATCTTAACAGTAAGTTGCTGCAGATATCCTGGCCACCATATTATCTATTATCTGCAATTTTTGCTAGATTTTTTTCATGTTTTTGTTGGCTTTTTGTTGGCTGCTGATGGATACTTCTGCTGGGCAAAGAGTTTATTCAAGAGAAGGGCTCTTTTAATTGAGAAAAAGCAAATCTGGACAACAACATACAATTCCAGAGGACATCAGGAGGTGTTATTGTGGTTGCCGTGCTGGTGCAAAGGTGAAGGCAAAGCTGAATGCTAGGAGGTGGCGATATAACCCTTTCTTTCATCAATCATCATGGGAAGCATCAACTCTTTGCCCAACAAAAGCAATGAGCTGGAAATATTGGTGAAGACTGAGAAAGCATATCATGAGTGCAGTCTCCTGTGTTTTATTAAAACCTGGTGGAATCAAAATCATCATCTCAGACAGAGATGCTCAAGCTAGTGGCAAGAAAAAAGGAGGAGGTCTGGCTTTATTTGTCAACCAGGGATAGTGTAACCCTTTACACATAACTGTCAAGGAGAAGTTGTGTTGTCCAGATATTGAACTGTTGGCAGTTGCTCTTAGGCCATATTATGTTCCAAGAGAATTTAGTCATATCATAGCATTAGTTGTTTACATCCCACCCAAATCAACTGAAGAAATTACACAGGATCTTTTGCATAAGAGTGTTGCCAGGCTACAGACTCAACACCCAGAGGCACTAATAATAATATCAGGAGACTTCAACCATGTCACCCTCTCCTCTCACCTGACTGGATTCACACAGTTTGTGAACTGTCCTACCAGAGATAACAAAACCCTAGATCTGCTGTATGCCAATATCAAAAAAGCCTACAAAACCACTGCCTTACCACAACTGGACAAGTCAGATCATAACTTGGTCTATCTGCAAACCTACTACAGACCTTGTGTACTGAGGCAGCCTGTAACCAAAGTCAAAATCAGAAGATGGACACCTCAAGCTAGTGAAGCTCTAAGAGACTGTTTTAAATCAGCAGACTAGAATGTGCTGCTGGAAACAGATGTGGATAGTATGAACATTGACAGACAGGTTGACTGCTTTACTGAATATATCAACTTCTGTAGAGACACACTTAAAGTGACAAAGACTGTTCACTGTTTCCCCAACAACAAACCCTGGATCACAAGTGACATAAAAGAAATCCTTAACCAGAAAAAGAAAGCTTTTAAAGATGGTAACAAAGAACGACTCCAACAAGTGCAACAAGAGCTAAAGAGGAGTACAAAAAGAAGAGAGAGGAATCTACAACACAGCAACATCCATGAAGTGTGGGGAGAAATCAGTACCATCTTTGGCTTTACAACTCTTCTGTAAATAGTAGATGACTTTTAGAGACATGACAAATGAGACGACAGACAATTAAATTTTCCTTCAGGGACTGATACAGTTCTTCTTCTTCTTCTTCTTACTATACAATAGAGATGCTTTAAACTTTATAGCAGGCTCCTCTACAGTAATGCCTCTGTGCTTTTATTACAGTTTGAAATTGTACAGTCTAATTGCTGTGGGTACAAAAGATCTTTTGAGTCTTTCAGTCCAGCATTGAAGAAAGAAAAGCCGTCCACCACAATTGGCCCTTTGGTCTGTCATGGTGTTATCAAGTGAGTGATCCATGTTTTTTAGAAATGTCACCACAGACTGGAAAAGGGATCATTGGGAAATGCAAAATATTCATAGATAGATCTAGGAAGGGGTGTGTGGGAGCCAGGGCGAAGACAACAGTCTTCAAAAAGTCGCTACATTTGTCGCTAGTCGCTTTTTTGAAAATTAGTCGCTAGAGGGGTCTAAGTTGACAATACTGAATGGCAGAAACGAACAGTTCTTCTGTGGCTTTGTTATCATGAAGGAAACATTCATGTTACATCAATCTAATCTTTTTTATTTTTAATCTGTTTAAAGGGATATTTTTTTCCATTCTGTTACAATGTTGGCTAACCAGTCCAGAAAACCTGTCCAGACCCCATCCATGAGAGGAGCTCAGGGTAGTTGTGGCTCAGGTGAACCCTGATGAGCGCCTGTGTTTAGTGGGCATGACCTTTTTTGATGGGGGGTAAGGTGGGTTTGGAGCGCCAAGGCGTGTTAGAATTGGTAGCCATTGGTTTGACAGTTCTTCTGTTAGATGTGATGGGGTTCTGGGATTTGCAGGTGGATGTGGTTTGAGGAAGTGGGGGGGTGGGGTGGCTGGTGTCAGGCTGCTTAAATGAGGATATCATGGTGGTCATATCCACACTGTTAAAAAAAACGACAATCTATTCACAAGAGTTTGTATTCTTAATTGGGTGAACATGAAAATTAAAATAAACTTTTTAACTAGTAAGTCAGACCAACAATGTGCACCTCAATAATATATAATTCTAAATTAGCAGAATTTGCAATTTGTTGTTTGCACAACAAAGTAGTGTGATACTCACAAAAGTGTTTTTGTAGAGTTATTATTATTGTTTTATCTCCTCTGAAGTCACTTTTTGGTTTATTGCTATGGTATCCTCTTATCTTATTATTTTATCCGGCTAAACGAGAACAAGAAAGAGAAACACAATGATTTGTAATACCAGAAACGGACACAGGGTAGCAGCACTACCGGCAGCGCCACAGGGACTCTCCACAGCGCAACGAGGAAGGGAAGCTCATAATCCGTTGGACTTGGAGAATGAGCAGTCGTGGTCCTGTTGCACTTATCACTCTTCTGTGTTTCCAGGTTGGTTATAAATGTTTTTCTGTGACTTCAGATGTATTTAAGTTCATATGGAAACCTCGTAACGTATGGTCGATAAGTTAAAAGGCCGTTAACTATGTCAATCTCAGTGTACGTGACAACTGTACAGGGGAAAATGGCGGCGGCCGCCGCAGCTACATGTACTTTTCATTTCTTTCTTTCTTTCTGAGCATTATAGGTCATTTGAAGTAGAAGACAGTGACTATGCTGAACTTATTGTTCTTGATGCCGATGAACTGAGTTGTAGCGTAGGACCACAATTTAACTGAGAACTGTAAGGTACAGTAGGGCGCTAGCCACCGCTCCCTGGCGTCCCTTACTATGGACAAAGATGCTGTGGACTCTCACTAAATAACAGGGGAGGGACAAGGATATAAAGGGAACAACATAAACATTTATTACACCACAAACAAAATTATGCACAATTGACTCACTAAAACTTACACTAAAATATGTCCTGTCTAACTATACTAAGTCCTACTTAATACTAAACCTAATGGTACCAATGTTGCCCGGGGTTGGAGCTCAAAGGAGGACGTGAGGATTCTGATGCAGCCAGGATGGAGGTCTGTGGAGAGGTCCCGATGTTGAGGGATTATGTGCTCAGGTGTCCACGGGAGATGAATGGGAGCTGTTCTCGGGTGAAGAGGGGAGGGGGTGAAGATGTGGTCCAGAGGAGGAGGGGGTGAACTAAAGTCCTTAAGCTGGGGCCAGTTAATGCTTGCTGGGATACGAAGGACAATGACGCCGCTAGCGAGACCTAGCTAGCCACTGTCGGGAAAACGAGAGCTAACATTAATCGGCGATCTAACTTCAGTTCAAAGTCTGTTTGTTCCTCTTCAGGTACAATCTTCACAGGATTAAAAACAACTTGTTGTGCGGGTTATTAATCCCACAAAACTTCACCGAAAGAATGAATGAATCTGTTGGATACACGAAGCTGCTCCGATCGTCTCCTCTTCTCAAACTTTCTCCTCTCACTCTCCCAGCTGACACACACACTCGCACCAAATCACACGCGCACTGATACAAACATATCAGCCTAATTACAGCAACACTGAAAGGACGTATATCTCCGCTGTATGAATGACATCGGGCACAACAACAACAATAACAACTGTACATCGCTGCAGTAACAATAATAAACAGGATCTCAAATAACAAACCAGAAGTAAAGAAGAAAGAGGGCTTAACTGGGCAGGGAGCAGTGGGAAGCCTATGTTACTGCTTAGAGGGGTTCTTAAAGTAAAACTATAAAACTAATCTTCTAGCCACTTCTGAGTCTTCAATACAGCCGCCCCCTAATTCGCTATGCGTAATTAGCTATCACTCAAATCAGAAGGCTCAGAGTTAAATCAAATACGGTAAGTTAAACTATAATAGGTTGACTATCTAGCAGGATGAAGTTACGGGGGCGAGATCAGGGGTGGGTCATCTGTATTGGCGTCAGGGAAAGCAGGGAGCTCTATGAGTCTCGTGACCGGCCTGGTGTAGGTCCGTCCCTGGACAGTAACATCTGCCGCTCTAACTTTCCCATCAGATCCGACGATGACTCTGCTCACTCGCCCTACAGGCCAGATAGCTCTTGGTAGAGACTGATCAACGATCATCACGACTGTGCCTTCGGTTAGATTGTCCTTATCTCTCACCCATTTCTGTCGGGCTTGGAGGGAGGGGAGATAGTATAGGAGGAAATGGGACCAGAACTGATCAGCTAAAACCTGACTGTGTCTCCACATCCTTCTTCCTCTCATCTCATCTTGATGGTACACGGTCTGGGGGAGAGCAGGGTCCAGCCGCCCCATAAGGAGGTAGTTTGGAGTCACAGGGTCCACATCAGTGACGTCCGTGGATACGTACCCGAGAGGTTTGGAATTCAACACTCCCTCTATCTCAGTCAAAACAGTCGCCAAGACATCATCAGAAATGGACTGTGCTCCCAACACGGTGTACAAGGCGGTCTTAATAGACCTCACTTCTCTCTCCCATGTGCCCCCAAAGTGAGGTGCATTTGGGGGGTTAAACTGGAAGTGGACTTGAGCTGGAGCTAAACGGGACTTCAGTTCTTCTGACATGGCCTCAAAGCTCTCACGTAGCTCAGACTCTCCTCCCTTGAAATTGGTCCCCTGGTCTGACAACAGCACGGCAGGGTTCCCTCTCCTAGCTTGAAATCTCCTGAAGGACATTAAGAAGGAATCTGTAGTCATAGACTGTAGCAACTCAATGTGTACGGATCTTGTGGTCATGCATTTGTACACGATTCCCCAGCGCTTCTCAGTCCCCCTCCCTCTCTTGACTAAGAATGGACCAAAACAGTCTACTCCAGTTGTGTGGAACGCCCTCTCTCCTATCCTCAATCTTGAAGGTGGCAAATCGGCCATCTTGGGTATGGCGGGCTGGGCTCTCCATTTCTGGCAGGCGGTGCAAGCTCGCTGGAATCGACGTACGGCTTCTCTTCCCTGCAGTATCCAGTAGCGTCGTCGTATCTCGGCGAAAACTCTCTCTGCCCCTGCATGGCACACTGCTTGGTCGTACTTCTGAATGATTAACTCTGTCACTTTGTGTTTGGTTCCCAACACAATGGGATGTTTAATGTCTTCTGATAGGTTCATGGCACGTCGTAACCGACCTCCCACTCGGATCAGACCTTCAGAATCAAGTTCCGGGGCTAATCTCAAGAGTCTGCTATCTGATGGGACGGGCTTCCCAGCGGTCAAGCACTCCAGGTCCTCAGGGAAGGAATCTCGCTGGGCTCTCTTCAGGACTAATAGTTCTGCTTCCACATAATCTGCTGCACTTAGGTCTGTAGTGGCCGGGAGGTCTGGGTGGTGCCAAAGAAAAGTCGCCCTCTGCAGATGCTCGAGTGTAGGACTGTCATCAAGGCAGGGGCCATCTGCAGGTGGGACCTGACATAATCCACAAAACGGTGATCTCTTCAACTCTGCCTCGTCTGGGTTCTCAGCGATGGATGGTGGTAATGGCCAGTCTTCCTCGGGCCGCCGAAGAAAGTCTGGTCCGCAACTGTAAGGGTTCGCTTGAGACAGGGTGGCGAGGGTAGCACCTCTAGTGATTATATCCGCCGGGTTACTTCCTGTGTCAACATATCTCCAACACTCCACTCCAACTAGGTCTTGGATCTCCGAAACCCTTGTTCCGACGAACACTTTATAGCGGCAGGATTCGGATTGAAGCCAGGAAATCACAGTCATGGAGTCGGACCACAGGATGGTCTCCTGCAGCGGTAGGGTGAGCTCGTCCTTTACCATCTTAGCGAGTTGTGCGCCGACTAGGGCCGCACAGAGCTCCAGGCGTGGGATGGACTGCTGCTTACGAGGGGCTACCCGAGAGCGGGCTAGGACGAAGGCTATGTGGACGTCACCAGCGGTGTCGATTGCTCTGAGATAGACCACGGATCCGTAAACAGTCTCGGAGGCGTCACTAAAGACATGCAAGTCTATCTTACTCGTTCTCAGGTCGACGGTCGGAGGGAAGTAGCTGCGTGAAAGAGTAACTTCACCGAGGAGAGAAAGTTCTTCTTCCCACTCGCTCCGCTTGACAGCGAGGTGATCAGGGATAGGGTCATCCCAGCCCAGGTCCTTTGCCCACAACTCTCTCACCAGCACCTTGGCTCTAGTCGTATATGGGAGGATATAACCGAGTGGATCGTATTGACTTGCAAGAGTACTATAAATGCTTCTTCTGGTGATGCGCTCCTTCGTAGGTGGGGTGTGACGGTAGTGCAGGGTGTCTGTTTGGAAGTGCCATACGAGACCCAAGGTCATCTCCTGAGCCTCTCCGGGGCTCTGGGCCATCCAGGTCTCGCTGCTCTTGGCTTTGGCTTCAGGGGGAAGCTGACTGAGCACCCCAGGATGGCTACTTGCCCACTGACGCAGGTCGAATCCTCCCTTCGCTAGCAAGGTCCTCAGCTTCATAAGGATGGTTTCGGCCTCATGCTCAGTGGGGACACTCTGTAGACAGTTGTCTACATAAAAACAGCGTTCAATACTGTGGCGGATGTCTTCTCCTGCCTCTGGGTCGTCTGTGACATGCTTCTGCAGTGCGAAGATCGCACAGCAGGGGCTGCAGGTAGTACCAAATGGTAGTACCTCCCATTGATAGATAGAAGGGTGTTCGTCACTTGGGTCATCCCTCCACAGGAACCTCAGTAAGGGTTTATCCTCTTCCAGAAGGTGGATCTGGTGGAACATTCCCTTAATGTCCCCACTGATTGCCACTCTGTCCTGCCGGAAGCGCACAAGGACTCCTAGGAGTGATGGCCCAAGGGTGGGGCCGGGAAGGAGGTACCGATTTAGACACTGTTTGCCGACCTGGAAACTGCAATTAAAGACTACTCTGTCTTTGCCATTGTGTCGGACCTTGTGGTGCGGTACGTACCAACTCTCTCTTGACTTTCCCGCTTCGAAGTTGTCTATCTTCTTTACATGACCGCTTACTATTAACTTGCCAATCTCAGCTCGGTAAACTGCTGCTTGCTGCGGGTCCTTGGCCAGCCGTCTTTCTGTGTTCCTCAGGTAGTTGCTGACTACTTCCTTGGATACGTGCAAAGTCGGCATGTTTTCTCTCCTCAATAGTGGAGTGGCATACCTCTGTACTCCCTTGACGTCTATCCTCTTGGTCTTCTGCTCAAGCAGTGTCACGGCGTACTTATCCTCCTTGGAGCGCACCATCTGTTTCTCATTACAGAAGGGAAGAACGTCCAGTTGCCACAGGCGCTCGACGTGGTTCAGCAGAGTGGCGTCGGCAGAGGTGACTTTGCTGTACAGGCAGCAGGTTGGTGCTATTCTATTGCGGGGAGAGTTGAATGGACCTTGGAGAGTCCAACCCAATCTTGTCTTAACGGCTGCTGGACACCCTCGGGGCCCAAAATATACTGCACTGACAGGGACGATAAGGTTGGTGTGATCAGAGCCGATGAGGAGGGTTGGGTGGACTTGATCAATTAGTGGTACCGGTAGGCGTCGCAGGTGCTCAAACCTCTCTTTGAGTTGCTCGATAGGATAATCGTACTGAGACAGACCAATCTGTTGGCTAGTGAAGACGTCGGTCACTGGATACTGTTTGTTTGGCTGGTCAGCAGGGGATATGGTGAAAGCGACTCTCTCACCCTTGATGGTCTTTAGATCTCGACGGATAGTGCGGAGGTTCAACTTCTCCTCCCGTCCCTTTATTCCCAGTTCCTCTGCAGCAGATGTAAGTAAGAGTGTTCTCTCAGAGCCGTCATCAAGGACAGCGTGGGTGTCCAGTACTCTATCCTTGTAGCGTAGGAGGACTCTTACTATCTTCAACATCACTCTGGAGCTTCCGCTCTTTGCTGGGTCGATGTAGTGTACCTCGGCCGTTGACTCAGTAGGCGTTTCTCTGCGATTAACATCATGCAGGATGGTCAGGTGGGTAGCTTGACATTGCCTACACCTCTTCTTAAGGTTGCACTCTGACGCTTTGTGTTGGCGGGCACACCTCCAGCATCGCCGATTGACTTTGATCCACTCTGTGGCCTGCTCTTTGTTCATCTTGGTGAAGTCTTCGCAGGCATGTAGCCAGTGCTCTTTATCACAGAAGGGGCAGTGAGGTTTCACCTTGCTCTTGTTCGGAGTGGAAGGTTCTTTCTTATGGGCTGACTGGGTCGGTTTCGGCTTGAAGTCTTCTGTCTGAAGCATCACAGTAGTTGGTTTCCCATGACCTCTGCTCTTCTTTCCTACATCTCCTGGGGTTGGGCCGCCCCGTAGGGAGGGGTCCAATCTGAGGCTCCGAACTTCCATCCTTAAGAATGTGGAGAGGTCCATCAGGGACAACTCGTGCTGAGGTGCGTGGAGGTAGTTTCGTTGACGCCTAAATCTCTCCTGTCTGAACTTGGGAAGTTTGTCGAGGATGCGCTCTACATTGGAGCTGGCGTGGAGTTCATGATTTCCTTTCTCCTGCTGGGACTGGAGCATGCCTACTAGAGATTGTACTCGTACAGATAGGTCGTCAAGGGTCCGGTCATCTTTGACTGGAGGAAGTTTCTCTATGTCCCTCATCTCTTGGAGGACATAGTCCCATGTTCGCCCGTAGCGGTCATCAAGATCTGCTAATGCATCGGAGTAAGGGGTAGTGGAGTGTGCATGTGCTAATACAATATTATGGGCCCGAGGAACCTTGACATGTTTCAGCAGGAGGGCATATTTATAACGCTCATCTTGGGATGGAGAGAGCAGGGTTCCCAAGCACATGCGTAGCTCTGTATACTGGGACCTGTCCTCTTTAGTGAAATCAGGAAAGGTCGGCTCTTCTACTCCGTAGATGGCTGCTGGTCGAGAGGCGAACTGGACAGGAGAACTAGGATATTGATTAATCAATGGTGAGAACGGCTGACCTTGGTTAGAGGGTCCGTAGTTCTGCAAACCAGGTTGGGGTTGTGAGCTAGCTGCTGGAGGAGGGGTCACTGTGCCGTGTCCATCTAGGGGGGGAGGCGGTTGGCTCAACTGTGCAGGTATGCTGTAAATAGGTTCTCGGTCTCCTTGGTAGGCAGAGGAGATATGGGGAGCTGGGAACTTTGCGTGATCTCGCATTTCATCGTCTAGTGCTTGTAGCTTGTTGGATAGCTGTATAGCTACCTCTATGGGTTCTGCCTTAGTGCCATATACAGCTTGGCTCAGACGAGCTGGGGAGTGTTGTCTCGACTCTCTGCGTGAGGACTGCCTGGAAGATCGGGCGGAGGGGCGTGCGGATTGACTCTGATAGGCCTCGGTAAGTAACTGGATAGTCTGTCTAGCAGCTTCATCGTTCTGTTTAGCTAGCGCTACCAGAGCCTGGGTGTGTGCACTCTCTCTCTCAGCTTGTCGGCGTTCCCTCTCAGCTTGCAACTCAGCCTGTTGTCTAGCTAACGCTGCTATGGTTTCAGCTTGCTGCCTGGCTAGCACCACCTGTTGCTCTGCTTGTAAGCGTTCCCTCTCCATCTGCATCTTAGCCTGCAGTTGTTCCCTTTGTATAGCCGCCTCCTCTAGACGGCGTGTAGCCTCCTCTGTTGTCGCCATCTGCAGTTTAAATAGCTCTAATAGTTCTTTGTTGTTAGTTTTCCCTGATGTAGAATAACGCACTGAGTCAGGGCTTCCTGGCGGGGTAGGTGTTCTGGGTCTGAGGAGCTCCTTATCATTCATGTCAAACATGTTCATTGGATCAGCCTTGTATAGCTCATTAGCTCGTAAAGAGGGACTGACACCTATCTTGTGTATATTATCCATGCTACGGTTAATAGGTAGATCGAACATGCGGGGCCTGGTCTGAATAAGGCTTCTAGTACTGCCTCCATGTGACTGTTCAAAGTTGTGGCTAGGGGGCAAATCAACTTCATAAGCATCTAAATATCTGGGACGTTGACGGATACGTCTGGGGCATTCGGGTGGAGTCCTATCTCCTGCTGATAGTCCACTACTAGCCATGGGGGCAATGCTAACTCATCCGGCTCGAAGGACCAAAAATTGTAGCGTAGGACCACAATTTAACTGAGAACTGTAAGGTACAGTAGGGCGCTAGCCACCGCTCCCTGGCGTCCCTTACTATGGACAAAGATGCTGTGGACTCTCACTAAATAACAGGGGAGGGACAAGGATATAAAGGGAACAACATAAACATTTATTACACCACAAACAAAATTATGCACAATTGACTCACTAAAACTTACACTAAAATATGTCCTGTCTAACTATACTAAGTCCTACTTAATACTAAACCTAATGGTACCAATGTTGCCCGGGGTTGGAGCTCAAAGGAGGACGTGAGGATTCTGATGCAGCCAGGATGGAGGTCTGTGGAGAGGTCCCGATGTTGAGGGATTATGTGCTCAGGTGTCCACGGGAGATGAATGGGAGCTGTTCTCGGGTGAAGAGGGGAGGGGGTGAAGATGTGGTCCAGAGGAGGAGGGGGTGAACTAAAGTCCTTAAGCTGGGGCCAGTTAATGCTTGCTGGGATACGAAGGACAATGACGCCGCTAGCGAGACCTAGCTAGCCACTGTCGGGAAAACGAGAGCTAACATTAATCGGCGATCTAACTTCAGTTCAAAGTCTGTTTGTTCCTCTTCAGGTACAATCTTCACAGGATTAAAAACAACTTGTTGTGCGGGTTATTAATCCCACAAAACTTCACCGAAAGAATGAATGAATCTGTTGGATACACGAAGCTGCTCCGATCGTCTCCTCTTCTCAAACTTTCTCCTCTCACTCTCCCAGCTGACACACACACTCGCACCAAATCACACGCGCACTGATACAAACATATCAGCCTAATTACAGCAACACTGAAAGGACGTATATCTCCGCTGTATGAATGACATCGGGCACAACAACAACAATAACAACTGTACATCGCTGCAGTAACAATAATAAACAGGATCTCAAATAACAAACCAGAAGTAAAGAAGAAAGAGGGCTTAACTGGGCAGGGAGCAGTGGGAAGCCTATGTTACTGCTTAGAGGGGTTCTTAAAGTAAAACTATAAAACTAATCTTCTAGCCACTTCTGAGTCTTCAATACAGAGTCATTACTATTCTTTGACAGCTTATTCTGTTGGACGGAAGCTTTTGGCGATGCCGAGGGCACGTTTGTATTAAAAGAAAATGGTAAGAGTCCATCTTGAAATTCATCATAAATGATGATCCTTCTAACAGAGTTGCTTCACTGGTTTATCCAACTATCTTCTTTTTCTGTTAGGCTCTGCTAATTCGCCTAATAAGCATAATTGGCCAATTTGTAATGGACACTGTAAGGGAGAGGAACAACGTCGTGGGCGGGGGAAAAAAAGTGAATAGAAAACACCCCAAAGATGTTTAGAACTACATATGAACTTTTTTCTGTCCGTTTTTTTTTTTGTTATGTCACAATACCAACCCTCCTCCTTTATCCGGGCTTGGGACCGGCAAAAATGACCCGATTGAGACAATTTGGCGGAGTTACTAAGGTTTTATTTTTATAAACTTTTTGTTTTTGTTAAGTTTTGTTTGTTTTTATTTGAAGAAGTCTGGATGCAGAGGAGTGCACACGTCTCCTCTGACTGCAGCTGGGAGGGACTGCTGTGACGCACGAGGACTGGGCCGCATGTGAGTGCTATGGGATGGGGAAGAGGCTCACAGCAAAACACGCTGCTGGTTAAGAAGAGTAGGTGATACGTGCTTTAACGTCAGTCTTCAAAAAGTTGCTACATTTGTCGCTAGTCGCTTTTTTGAAAATTAGTCGCTAGAGGGGTCTAAGTTGACAATACTGAGTGGCAGAAACGAACAGTTCTGTGGCCTTGTTATCATGAAGGGAAACATTCATGTTACATCAATCTAATCTTTTTTATTTTTAATCTGTTTAAAGGGGATATTTTTTTCCATTCTGTTAATGGTTGGCTAACCGGAGCGCCCGGAGTAAACCTGTCAAACCCCATCCATGACAGGAGCTCAGGGTAGTTGTGGTTCAGGTGAACCTGGATGAGCGCCTGTGTTTAGTGGGCATGACCATTTTTGATGGGGGGTAAGGGGGGTTTGGAGCACCAAGGCGTCTTCGAATTGGTAGCCATTGGTTTGACTGTTCTTTTGTTAGATGTGATGGGGGTTCTGGGATTTGCAGGTGGATGTGGTTTGAGGATGGGGGGGCTGGTGTCAGGCTGCACAAATGAGGATATCATGGTGGTCATATCCAGCCAGATTTCTCGCTCTTTCTCAGCGGTTAGAGGCTTTCCCATCGCTGCCTCCAGTTCCTTTTTGTACTCTGAGAAATTTTCCCACAGGCGTTCATACTCACGGTCCGAGATTCTGATCGGATTCACGCGCTGAGTTTCCTTCCACAGCCCGGCCCCTATTTTTCTCCTCAAATCAGGTTTCTTGGCTGTACAGATTTGAGCTGCAGCGATCCCATCCAACGGCTCCACGTTGTCCTTGATGTAAAATACTCTCAATTCTATGATTTTTTTCCTCAGAATGGCAGGGTGGTTAATGACCTCTACACATTCTGTTAGGTCGCCTTCGAAACGAAGCTGGTAGGCTTTCAGGCAGTCCACCTGCTCTGTTAACTGCCTGATTTGTCCCTCACAGCCTTTAACTTTGCTGTCCAGCTTTCTTACGGTGTCCTCCAGGATGCTGTTGGTTCTCACAGACTCACTGAGGACAGACGTCACCTCCATTAGCTTCTCCTCCGCCACCTTCCATCTTTGCTCATGTTTTCTACACTCAGCTTTCACATCACGGAGCTGAGAAGTTAACATGTTGCACTCTTTCTTTTTCTCTTTGAGAGACTCTCTCTCATTTTGGAGCTCAAAAGGGGCTCGGTCCTTTAGCGTGTCTGCTTTCAACAGCTTATTATAGTCTGTCAGCAGCTTTGAGTGCTTAAGGACGAGCTTTGAGTGCTCCTGGACGAGCTGGGAGTGCTCCCGCTGCAGCTGGGTGTGCTCCAGCCCTAGCTTTGTCAGAAGCGTCGACTGCTTTTCTTTAATGAGTGTCTCAGTGCAGAGAGACACTGGCGACACGACATCTACACGTTCAATCGGCATGTTGGTACGCTGGTTCGTAATGGTGTAAAAAATCCTTCCGACAGGGTGCAGACAAAGAATATTATATACACTGACAGGAGGCAGATATCTCTAAGTTCTGATCACAAGAGATGATAGCATGAGAGACTGTGATGATGTCACAGTCTTTGATGACATTACAGTCTTTGATGATGTCATAGTCTTTGATGACATTACAGTCTTTGATGATGTCACAGACTGTAACATATTAGGCCATGCCCACAGGCAGCCCAACATTTAAATATAAACAAGTTTAAAATAGATTAGATGCAACTTTATTGATATAGATATGCATGAACAAAACACAATAAATACTCACACACACAGGTAGTCCACACACGCTAAAAATGATTCAGGATCAATTACTGATTTTTTTTTTTTTTTAACTTCATGCTCTTTTTTTTCCAAATTATTTTTAATTTTTAATTAATTCCACTTATTTTAATTTGATGAATTTATATTCATGCAAAACATTACAAGAAAGAGTTGACTTCACATGACTTGATCTATCCAACAACACACAGAAAATTAGAGACTATCCAAAATCAGCTCATAGTAATAATAATTATAATAGATAATACAAGTTAAAATGAGAGATTAAACAATAGACTACTGAATAATGACGCTAATGATGACTTGTTTTGATTATAATTTATTCCACTTGTAAAATAAATAATACATTAAATTATTAATGTGAATGTGAATATGAGGATAAAAAAAGCAGATACAGAAAAAAGAGGAAAACACTCCGTATGTTTACTATTATAAACTGCAAACATAATATGATTAAACACAAGCAAATCAATTGAAAAACAAAACAAAATATAGGAGTTTATTTTGTGTGAGAGGCTGTGTATTGCTGGGGGGGGGGGGGGGGTGACATTAAGCACCATGAGGTACTATGATGAGTGTGTTGAATTTATGAAGGGTTGCCATGTCACGTCTAGAGATTTTGATTTCTGTTTAGTTGAGATGGAAAGTTTGTCGAGTGAGATGTATTTAAGCAGAAGGTTTTTCCAGAGTGTGATAATTATGGAGTGTTTTCAGTTCATGAGGATTGTTTTTTGGTGATAGGTAGCGCCTCATGGAATCATTTGCCTTTTTTTGATCTTATTTTGACTCCTGTAAGATCTCCTAGGAGGCACAGTGGTTTGAGCGCTAAATGAATTCCTTGCCTAATTAGCATAATTGGCCAATTTGTAATGGACACTGTAAGGGAGAGGAACAACGTCGTGGGCGGGGGAAAAAAAGTGAATAGAAAACACCCCAAAGATGTTTAGAACTACATATGAACTTTTTTCTGTCCGTTTTTTTTTTTGTTATGTCACAATACCAACCCTCCTCCTTTATCCGGGCTTGGGACCGGCAAAAATGACCCGATTGAGACAATTTGGCGGAGTTACTAAGGTTTTATTTTTATAAACTTTTTGTTTTTGTTAAGTTTTGTTTGTTTTTATTTGAAGTAGTCTGGATGCAGAGGAGTGCACACGTCTCCTCTGACTGCAGCTGGGAGGGACTGCTGTGACGCACGAGGACTGGGCCGCATGTGAGTGCTATGGGATGGGGAAGAGGCTCACAGCAAAACACGCTGCTGGTTAAGAAGAGTAGGTGATACGTGCTTTAACGTCAGTCTTCAAAAAGTTGCTACATTTGTCGCTAGTCGCTTTTTTGAAAATTAGTCGCTAGAGGGGTCTAAGTTGACAATACTGAGTGGCAGAAACGAACAGTTCTGTGGCTTTGTTATCATGAAGGGAAACATTCATGTTACATCAATCTAATCTTTTTTATTTTTAATCTGTTTAAAGGGGATATTTTTTTCCATTCTGTTAATGGTTGGCTAACCGGAGCGCCCGGAGTAAACCTGTCAAACCCCATCCATGACAGGAGCTCAGGGTAGTTGTGGTTCAGGTGAACCTGGATGAGCGCCTGTGTTTAGTGGGCATGACCATTTTTGATGGGGGGTAAGGGGGGTTTGGAGCACCAAGGCGTCTTCGAATTGGTAGCCATTGGTTTGACTGTTCTTTTGTTAGATGTGATGGGGGTTCTGGGATTTGCAGGTGGATGTGGTTTGAGGATGGGGGGGCTGGTGTCAGGCTGCACAAATGAGGATATCATGGTGGTCATATCCAGCCAGATTTCTCGCTCTTTCTCAGCGGTTAGAGGCTTTCCCATCGCTGCCTCCAGTTCCTTTTTGTACTCTGAGAAATTTTCCCACAGGCGTTCATACTCACGGTCCGAGATTCTGATCGGATTCACGCGCTGAGTTTCCTTCCACAGCCCGGCCCCTATTTTTCTCCTCAAATCAGGTTTCTCGGCTGTACAGATTTGAGCTGCAGCGATCCCATCCAACGGCTCCACGTTGTCCTTGATGTAAAATACTCTCAATTCTATGATTTTTTTCCTCAGAATGGCAGGGTGGTTAATGACCTCTACACATTCTGTTAGGTCGCCTTCGAAACGAAGCTGGTAGGCTTTCAGGCAGTCCACCTGCTCTGTTAACTGCCTGATTTGTCCCTCACAGCCTTTAACTTTGCTGTCCAGCTTTCTTACGGTGTCCTCCAGGATGCTGTTGGTTCTCACAGACTCACTGAGGACAGACGTCACCTCCATTAGCTTCTCCTCCGCCACCTTCCATCTTTGCTCATGTTTTCTACACTCAGCTTTCACATCACGGAGCTGAGAAGTTAACATGTTGCACTCTTTCTTTTTCTCTTTGAGAGACTCTCTCTCATTTTGGAGCTCAAAAGGGGCTCGGTCCTTTAGCGTGTCTGCTTTCAACAGCTTATTATAGTCTGTCAGCAGCTTTGAGTGCTTAAGGACGAGCTTTGAGTGCTCCTGGACGAGCTGGGAGTGCTCCCGCTGCAGCTGGGTGTGCTCCAGCCCTAGCTTTGTCAGAAGCGTCGACTGCTTTTCTTTAATGAGTGTCTCAGTGCAGAGAGACACTGGCGACACGACATCTACACGTTCAATCGGCATGTTGGTACGCTGGTTCGTAATGGTGTAAAAAATCCTTCCGACAGGGTGCAGACAAAGAATATTATATACACTGACAGGAGGCAGATACCTTTAAGTTCTGATCACAAGAGATGATAGCATGAGAGACTGTGATGATGTCACAGTCTTTGATGACATTACAGTCTTTGATGATGTCATAGTCTTTGATGACATTACAGTCTTTGATGATGTCACAGACTGTAACATATTAGGCCATGCCCACAGGCAGCCCAACATTTAAATATAAACAAGTTTAAAATAGATTAGATGCAACTTTATTGATATAGATATGCATGAACAAAACACAATAAATACTCACACACACAGGTAGTCCACACACGCTAAAAATGATTCAGGATCAATTACTGATTTTTTTTTTTTTTTTAACTTCATGCTCTTTTTTTTCCAAATTATTTTTAATTTTTAATTAATTCCACTTATTTTAATTTGATGAATTTATATTCATGCAAAACATTACAAGAAAGAGTTGACTTCACATGACTTGATCTATCCAACAACACACAGAAAATTAGAGACTATCCAAAATAAGCTGATAGTAATAATAATTATGATAGATAATACAAGTTAAAAGGAGAGATTAAACAATAGCCTATGGGGGGGGGGGGGGGGGGGGTGACATTAAGCACCATGAGGTACTATGATGAGTGTGTTGAATTTATGAAGGGTTGCCATATCACGTCTAGAGATTTTGATTTCTGTTTAGTTGAGATGGAAAGTTTGTCGAGTGAGATGTATTTAAGCAGAAGGTTTTTCCAGAGTGTGATAATTATGGAGTGTTTTCAGTTCATGAGGATTGTTTTTTGGTGATAGGTAGCGCCTCATGGAATCATTTGCCTTTTTTTGATCTTATTTTGACTCCTGTAAGATCTCCTAGGAGGCACAGTGGTTTGAGCGCTAAATGAATTCCTCGCCTAATTAGCATAATTGGCCAATTTGTAATGGACACTGTAAGGGAGAGGAACAACGTCGTGGGCGGGGGAAAAAAAGTGAATAGAAAACACCCCAAAGATGTTGAGAACTACATATGAACTTTTTTCTGTCCGTTTTTTTTTTTGTTATGTCACAATACCAACCCTCCTCCTTTATCCGGGCTTGGGACCGGCAAAAATGACCCGATTGAGACAATTTGGCGGAGTTACTAAGGTTTTATTTTTATAAACTTTTTGTTTTTGTTAAGTTTTGTTTGTTTTTATTTGAAGTAGTCTGGATGCAGAGGAGTGCACATGTCTCCTCTGACTGCAGCTGGGAGGGACTGCTGTGACGCACGAGGACTGGGCCGCATGTGAGTGCTATGGGATGGGGAAGAGGCTCACAGCAAAACACGCTGCTGGTTAAGAAGAGTAGGTGATACGTGCTTTAACGTCAGTCTTCAAAAAGTTGCTACATTTGTCGCTAGTCGCTTTTTTGAAAATTAGTCGCTAGAGGGGTCTAAGTTGACAATACTGAGTGGCAGAAACGAACAGTTCTGTGGCCTTGTTATCATGAAGGGAAACATTCATGTTACATCAATCTAATCTTTTTTATTTTTAATCTGTTTAAAGGGGATATTTTTTTCCATTCTGTTAATGGTTGGCTAACCGGAGCGCCCGGAGTAAACCTGTCAAACCCCATCCATGACAGGAGCTCAGGGTAGTTGTGGTTCAGGTGAACCTGGATGAGCGCCTGTGTTTAGTGGGCATGACCATTTTTGATGGGGGGTAAGGGGGGTTTGGAGCACCAAGGCGTCTTCGAATTGGTAGCCATTGGTTTGACTGTTCTTTTGTTAGATGTGATGGGGGTTCTGGGATTTGCAGGTGGATGTGGTTTGAGGATGGGGGGGCTGGTGTCAGGCTGCACAAATGAGGATATCATGGTGGTCATATCCAGCCAGATTTCTCGCTCTTTCTCAGCGGTTAGAGGCTTTCCCATCGCTGCCTCCAGTTCCTTTTTGTACTCTGAGAAATTTTCCCACAGGCGTTCATACTCACGGTCCGAGATTCTGATCGGATTCACGCGCTGAGTTTCCTTCCACAGCCCGGCCCCTATTTTTCTCCTCAAATCAGGTTTCTTGGCTGTACAGATTTGAGCTGCAGAGATCCCATCCAACGGCTCCACGTTGTCCTTGATGTAAAATACTCTCAATTCTATGATTTTTTTCCTCAGAATGGCAGGGTGGTTAATGACCTCTACACATTCTGTTAGGTCGCCTTCGAAACGAAGCTGGTAGGCTTTCAGGCAGTCCACCTGCTCTGTTAACTGCCTGATTTGTCCCTCACAGCCTTTAACTTTGCTGTCCAGCTTTCTTACGGTGTCCTCCAGGATGCTGTTGGTTCTCACAGACTCACTGAGGACAGACGTCACCTCCATTAGCTTCTCCTCCGCCACCTTCCATCTTTGCTCATGTTTTCTACACTCAGCTTTCACATCACGGAGCTGAGAAGTTAACATGTTGCACTCTTTCTTTTTCTCTTTGAGAGACTCTCTCTCATTTTGGAGCTCAAAAGGGGCTCGGTCCTTTAGCGTGTCTGCTTTCAACAGCTTATTATAGTCTGTCAGCAGCTTTGAGTGCTTAAGGACGAGCTTTGAGTGCTCCTGGACGAGCTGGGAGTGCTCCCGCTGCAGCTGGGTGTGCTCCAGCCCTAGCTTTGTCAGAAGCGTCGACTGATTTTCTTTAATGAGTGTCTCAGTGCAGAGAGACACTGGCGACACGACATCTACACGTTCAATCGGCATGTTGGTACGCTGGTTCGTAATGGTGTAAAAAATCCTTCCGACAGGGTGCAGACAAAGAATATTATATACACTGACAGGAGGCAGATACCTATAGGTTGTGATGATGTCAGTCTTTGATGTTAGTCTCTGATGATGTCACAATCTTTGATGATGTTAGTCTTTGATGATGTCACAGACTGTAACATATTAGGCCATGCCCACAGGCAGCCCAACATTTAAATATAAACAAGTTTAAAATAGATTAGATGTAACTTTATTGATACAGATATGCATGACCAATACACAATAAATACTCACACACACAGGTAGTCCACACACGCTAAAAAGGATTCAGGATCAATTACTCTTTTTTTGTTTTTTTTAAACTTAATGCTCTTTTTTTTCCAAATTATTTTTAATTTTTAATTAATTTCACTTATTTTAATTTGATGAATTTATATTCATGCAAAACATTACAAGAAAGAGTTGACTTCACATGACTTGATCTATCCAACAACACACAGAAAATTATAGACTATCCAAAATCAGCTGATAGTAATAATAATTATAATACATAATACAAGTTAAAAGGAGAGATTAAACAATAGCCTACTGAATAATGACGCTAATGATGACTTGTTTTGATTATAATTCATTCCACTTGTAAAATAAATAATACATTAAATTATTAATGTGAATGTGAATATGAGGATAAAAAAAGCAGATACCGAAAAAAGAGGAAAACACTCCATAAAACACAATTGAAAAACAAAATAAAATATAGGAGTTTATTTTGTGTGAGAGGCTGTGTATTGCTGGGTTGCCATGTCAAGTCTAGAGATTTTGATTTCTGTTTAGTGGAGATGGAAAGTTTGTCGAGTGAGATGTATTTAAGCAGAAGGTTTTTCCAGAGTGTAATAATTATGGAGTATTTTCAGTTCGTGAGGATTGTTTTTTGGTGATAGGTAGCGCCTCGTGGAATCATTTGCCTTTTTTTATCTTAATTTGACTCCTGTTTGATCTCCTAGGAGGCACAGTGACCGGGACAGAGTGATGAGGCAGCCCAGAGTATTAGTGAGTGATGTGGTTATTTCAGTCCAAAAGTGTTGTACAGGTGTGCAGTTCCAGAGGGCAGGAAAGTAAGTGTATTGTGTGTTTTTGGGAGCAGTGTGTGCAAGTGTCAGATTGTGCTAAACCCATTTTAAACATTCAGTGACCTGTGAAGTGAACCCTGTGCATGATTTTGTATTGTATTAGCTGAATGTTGTTATTGTTACTCATGTAGGAGATATTTTTTAAAATGTGGTTCCAGAAGTCAGCATTGGGAGTGAGGGCCAGGTCCTGCTCCCATTTTTGTGATGGAAGTGATGGTGTTTTATCTTTAAAAGTGATGGTTTTATATATTTCGGATATTATTTTCTATGTAGTGTTAATTTCGTAAAAATTTGAAGCTGAAAGAGGTAAATCTAGATTTGATTGTCTGGATTCTCATGTCTCAAGTTTTACATCATCTATTATTTACAGTCGAGTTGTAGAGTCTGTTTGCTGTAGGTACAAAAGATCTTTTGAATCTTTCAGTCCTGCATCCAAATGAGAGGAGCCATTCACCATCTTTGACCCATTTGTCTATCAAGGTATTATGAAGTGGGTGATCCATGTTCTTTAGAGTAGCCTCCACTTTCCTCAGTGTAGATCTCTCCAACACATCCTCCAGTGAGTCCAACTTGATTCCAAGTACAGAGCCAGCTTTTTTTCCCGGTGTGTACAGACATCTTGCATCCTTATGTTTTATACTGCCTCCCCAGCAGACTGCAGCATAGCACAGAACACTTGCCACCACAGACTGACAGAACATCTGCAGCATCTTCCTGCAGATGTCTATTGATCGGAGTCTTCTCAGGCTAAAGAGGAGGCTCTGCCCCTTTCTGTAGATGAAGTCGACGTTACTTATTATTGAGTACACCTAAACATTTATACGGTGTCACCACTTCGATGTCCACCCCACAGGTGTTCACTGGCTAAAGAGGGGGTTTGGATCCGTAGAAGTCTATGATCAGCTCCTTTGTCTTTGAGGTGTTGAGGAGGAGGCAGTTTTTGTAACTCAAGTCACTGAAGGCTTTTATTAGATCCCTGTATTCAGCTTCTTGCCCATTTCTGAAATATGCCACGATAGCGATGTCATCTGAGTATTTCTGGATGTGACAGGACTCGGTGCTGTATTTAAAGTCTGATGTATACAGTGTGAACAGGAATGGAGCCAGGACTGTCCCTTGTGGAGCCCCTGTACTGCTTATTAATGTCCCAGAGACACAGTTCCCCAGCCTGATAAACTGTGGCCTTCCAGGCAGGTAATCTGTGATCCAAGAAACACAGGAAGGATCCACTTCCATTTCTGTGAGCTTGTCTTTGAGTACGATGGGTTGGATGGCACGAGCACTTCCAAAAAAGAAAGAAAAAAGATAATAATAATAAATATGCACTGCAAAGCGGTTTTGTATTGACTCTTGTTGTCGAATTGGCGCCCCCCCTGCTGCTGTAGGCGCCCCTGCTTGCTGCGAAGGTGCCGCACAGAGGCTGACAGACTGTATGAGACCAAGCAGGGAGAGGGTCACGGGGGACAGCTCCGCTCTCCGGATTGCTCTCACTCTGCCAGTCACGGTGGCTCAAGAAGAGAGGAGCCTTTCAAAACTGAAGTTGATAAAGTCGTACCTAAGGTCAACCATGTCTCAGGAATGGCTCAATGGCCTTGTCGTCATCAGCATCAATCACGTAACCCATTTAAACCGAGACAATATGTCCACATATCAGCTTTCCAAGCCGGGAGCGCGGCTGCGCATTTTTAGCCTTCAAGCCGGGAGCGCGGATACGTCATTTTGTTACATTCTGTAGTCTTTTCATCATTTCTGGAGTCGTGGTGAATCACATCATTATACCCGTCTGCCTCTGATAAGGGAATAAAGTGCTCTGATTCATGCTCAGATCTTGCTACATGCTTCATGAGTAAAGTAAACAATGAGGCAGACACTCTCTGGAGGCAGAGAGCGCGGGGGGGTTCACCATGTAGAAGATATGTTGAATAACTGGTAAGTTCCAGAATATTTGAAAGTGATCTGCCTGTGTATCGCCACATTTCCACCCACATTTCTGGTGTGATAAAAAAAAAATAAAAACGTGTATTTTTCCATGACAATGGAAGAAGTTGAACTGGAGGTTTTCATTTGGATTTTACAAATGTTAAGCCAACCCTTTTCTGAGATCATTATTTTATCTTCTTTCTGTCATTCCCACAGTGTAAATATAGATTGGATATTGTCTGTATGAACTACACTCATGTTTATCTTTATCCATCTTTGGAATCAGAAAGATTATTGCTTGTTTCCATGAAACTAGTACATCCCCCTCCTTTCAGTGTAAAATTAAAACATTTCAATAATACTGGTGAAAATATCTCTGATTACTGTATATGCATTAGCACCTTAAGATGGCATTATTTAGTTCTTGTTTTGTTTTTTCATAATGTTCTGTTCCTAAAGAAGGTAAATTAAATGAGTTTAAAAAATGTCAAATACTCCAACACTCAGCGCCCTCTGGCTGTGTGTACAAACTGCTATGGTACTGCTATAGCAGTTTTTTGTGACATGAGTAAATTTTTTATTGAAGTCACAAGGCAAAAAAAAAAAATTATGGTAGTTTTTCAAATGTCTACTACTTTCTAGACTCCAATTAAACTTTAAAATGTAAACACAAGGCTTGTCTATTGTTATATGAATCCATGTTTCGATAGGTATTGTAGTTTTTGATTACTCACTGTTCAGTGATTATGATAACAGAATTTCCCTTTAGAGATCAGGAAATCTGATCTTATGATCATTTTTTTTAAGAAATTTTGAGTTTATAATAGGTGTGTATTATATGGATTTAAGAGCCAGAGTGGGTGACATCATGAGCCAGAGTAAGAGAAGTTGCATGAAATTGTCTGAAACTTTTTTTTCCACACTCCTCCAGGCCACAAATTACATTCTACAAACATGTTTTATTCCACAGTTGTAGCCATAATTGTTTTGTCTCCAACAATGTGTTACTCCAAGCAAAGAGACTCACAGAATTTAAACACTGAACCTCTCTCTGCTCTCAAGTTTTTGTGAGAAGCAGAAAGGACTCCTGTTTAATAGGACCCGACCGATTTATCGGTGAGCCGATTAAATCAGCCAATTTTAGCCTGTTTCAGACTAATCGGTGATCAACCAAAACTCGCCGGTTTTCGCTGATATTTTCAGAAATGTTCCACCGTTTGAAAAGATCCCCCGACTTATCCTGTAGAAGGCGCGACAACCTCATGAAAATGTTCATCCTCTCACTACCTCACAGCACAGCGGAGTGACGGATCTGAAGGCAGCTCAGGGACACATGGAGGAGAGTGGTCCACCTTAACGTTAAATAAACCAGTTTGTGAAGTACACAATAAGTCAAGTTTCAGTTCAACACACTTCACGATGTTCCCCGCTGTGCTGGTCTCGGTCACGCCAAGTAAACGGTGAAGCACCATGTAATATGCAAGCTAAAGTTAGAGTTAGCCATCTGATATTAGCCTTGCTACACTGTTAGCCGTGCCAGTAACAGTAATTGCGTGATTGAGCTACTTGTCTTACTGAGGCAGCTGCATGTCTCCAGATGAGACCGGACCGAAAATGTGAGTTAAGATGTGAATGCACCGATCCGCGGCGTAGTGTGGTGGGGTAGGGGTAGTTGAAAACGCTTTTCTGGTCCGAGTTTGATCAGTCGGTCTTCCTGTCAGCGTGAAGAGCAGTATCCTACAGTAGATCTACAGTATATAGTATACTTTAGATATCTCCAGTATATGTAATTATTAGAACTTCATAAAAATGTTAAAAATCGGCCAATTAATCAGTAATCCGATTTTTCCCCCCCTAACAATCGGCATCGGCCCCAAAAAATCCATATCGGTCAGGCCTACTGTTTATAACTTGCAACTGTGTCCAAACTATTTACTGTAGAAACACCAAAATCATATGAAAGCGTTCAGGAAGTCCTTACGATGACCAGGGTCAGCTACCATTCATCACCACACCACCACAATCATTTGAGGGTTGCAAAGTTCTATGTGTTTCATTTCTAGATTTTATAATTCATGCAGTAAATCAGTAATGTTTTTGTTCTCCTTTTTCTGTTTTTAATGAAAGACCACATTATTAACTGTCCTCTGATTATGGCTTTGCCTGAATCCCATCTGTTGATTGTATGTGTGAAAAAATGTTTTTGTACTTGATGTTGGGGCACGCTATGAGCAACTACTCAGCATGTCTTTCTTCGTTTAGATCTTTTCAGTCTTTCTGGTCTTTAATAAACTCTTTGGAAATGGAAAACTAAAACAGAAGGCAAGACTTATTCCACTTATTCTTGCCTTCAAATTCAGTGTAAGTGGAAAAAAATTACAACATTTTGATTGAACTCAATTCATTAAACTTTTTACACTCAAAAAGACCCATTTGTGTCTTTGTTTTCCTCAGTATTCTTAGAAAAATAGCCCATCCTGTGTTTAATCCAGCAAACAGAGTTTATGGACTCTGTGGAGATGAATAGAAAGAGTTCAGTCTCAGCAGTAGATGGGTTCAGGCAGGCTGGAAGTCATAAAGTCCTGTTCTGCAGAAAACTCAGCAGGCTGCCACTGACAGTCAATCAGAGCATCATACAGCTCCTCACTGAGCTCAATGAACTTCCTGTTCTCCTCCACCACGTCCAGCTCAGGACTGGGATCTGAAAGACAGAGACAGAGGGCTAAAGAGATGTACCTGTTATACAACCTCAGTCCTATAGAAGGGATGCTCTGGTAAATGTTACTAAACAAATGTGAATGTTAAAAGAGAACTGCAGTGTTTTTCAGCCTGGGCCATAATTTCTCCTGTTTGTTTGTGTGTGACTGACGAGGAGAACAGTTTCAGAAACTGGTCCAGTATTGAGGTGGACGGGAGCAGCCCAGCAGAACTGTAGTTTGACCGGGAGATGATTTCTTCGTGGAAATGCAATCAGACCGAGACGCTAAGGCAGAAGAACTACCACGTCTGCAGTGCAAAATGATTAATATGGTGATTATTACTTCAAGGAAATGATCAGAAATGTTCTTCCTTGATCTGCGTCACCCCGCTGTAGTCCGTAATGGACTAGCCTGAGGTCTCGCTACAAACAAGCGGCTGCTGGAAGAGAGTAGGTGAGTTGTGTTTAGTCTGAGCACTATTTGTGGCTATAGAGTGGTGTTTTGGTTGAGGTTTGTGTATGGCTCCATAGACCAATGTGTATTACTATTTGTAGTCGTTACTAAAGTTGGTATAACTAGAGAAGCAAGCTGTCGGCAACATTCATATCTTGAGGGGGTGTCTAACTCTGTGTCACAGTGTGTTTGACCCTAACTTAATTTTACGCCGGAATATCCCTTAAAACTTTTAAGAATCACAGTATAACTTCTTCATACAAGGCTCCTTCTGCATGAACATTTAAAAAGTAACTCAAACATCGGCTGCTTAGAGGAATAATCCCTGTAAATACTGACCTTCATTTCCATCATCCTGCACAGCTTCAGCTTCAGCTTCAGTCTCCTGAAAACAGAGATGATGTTGGTGATGCTCAGTTGTGTGACCTGTCATGCCTGTCAGGTGTATAAACACAAAGCGGCCTCACCTGTGGGGGGGGATACTGAGTGTAGTCATACTGCGGGTAGTTGTAGCCGTATCCTCCTCCGTTTTGGTCATAGCCCCAGGAGCTGTAGTAGCCAGGGTAGGCCTGCTGCTGGTACTGATTATACTGGTTGTACTGGTCATAGTTATATTGATAGGAAGAGTTGGACTGCCAGGATTTGTTTTCAGACTGCTGCTGCTGCTGCTGCTGACGGTTCCTTAAACTCAGGAGGAGGAGAAACAGCGCTCAGTTAAGACACATAAGAACAGTTTAATGCAGTGCAACACTGAAATATTCAGAGAAAGACTCACTTGTTAGCTGCCAAACTGAGTCTCAGAGGTTTAGTCCCTAGACCCACGGCCCCCTGACACTCTTCCAATGCTCGCTTCTGCAGCCGCTCATCTGGGAACTGAACAAATCCACAACCCCTGATAGAGACAGAAGCGCATGATGTTCAAATAATTGATTTATTGTGTGAGTCTGACTGAACGTGGACTTTTAAAATAAACACTTTTTAAATACATTTGATGACCTTGAAATTAAAAACATCTGATAAAAGGTATGAAAGTTCTTGCTCCATTTAGGAAATAAACCCAGTATATCAGCTGACATCTGTTTTGTTTGTCCTGTAAATTATAATGTGCTCAATCTCACTTGGAATTCCCCATGCTGTCCAGCACCACTTTGCCTCCACGACAGGATGGGTATCGGTTGTAGAAGAACTCATAGAGCATCCCATCATCCACCTCTGGAGTCAGATCTCCAACGAACAGAGAGTACATCTGACTGTACAGATGGAAACAAACAGTCAGATGATGTTTCTTTTAATCATAAATATCTTGTTAGTCTGCGGCATCTCATGGACTCACCCGGTGTCCTGTTTTCCAAACGTGGCCCTGTTTAACTTGAACCTTGTTGGCTGAAAGACAGACAGAAAAATTGAGGAGTTTCACTGCCTTTCAGCTGTCAGACATGTTTCCTTAAAGAAAATTAACCTTTTCGTACCGGGTTTGCTCCAGGTAATGCCTTCCCATTGATTTTACGTAAACATCTCTCAGCTGTGGCCTCATCGGTCATCTCCACAAAGCAGTAACCCAGAGCCCCCCTGGGTGATGACACACTGTTAAACGTCAGAATGCCAGGTCTTTAAACATGACAACTGGACCTGTGGATTTAAAACTTACCCTGTCATCTTGTTTCTGATGATCCGGACATTAACCACAGTCTCCCCCATAGTGGAAAATGCTCGGATGATAAACTTCTCGTCCATGTAAGCCTCCAGCTGCACACACACAGACAGACAGACACACACACACACACACACACACACACACACACACACAGACATCAGAAAAGATTCAGGCTGTGCTGGTCAAGGAGGCCCTAAAATATCAGATATACCGGCTGGTACTCACTTTTGTCTAATAGACGGGAGAGCAGGAGGAAAGGAAAAAGAAATGCAGGAGGAGGAGGTGATAGGAGAGCAGGAGAAGAGGAGAAAGGTGATAGGAGAGGAGGAGGTGATAGGAGAGCAGGAGGAGAGGAGATAGGGGAGGAGGAGGTGATGGGAGAGCAGGAGGAGAGGAGATAGGAGAGCATGAGGAGGAGATGAGGGGAGAGCAGGGATCAGACTGTAGTATTGTACGGTAGTATCATACGGTTTTATCAGACTGTAGAAAACACTGTAATATCACACTGTCGTATCAGACTGTAATATCGGGTTGCAATATCCAACTCTTGTATCAGACTATAGTGTCAGACTGTGTAATATCAGACTACCACAGTACAGTCGCTTGAGCCGTTCGCTGAACTCCTATTAAGGGTGCCTGAATCATTTCGAGCTAAATTAGCTCGAAATTATTATAACGTAGAGATAGTTTATGTATTTTTACAGCTGCTCAGTCCAAACCTGTCTGTATTTGGGTCCTGGTTCACTTCAAGACGTTGTTTTCATTATCCATTCAAACAGCGTGAGGCTAAAGTAGAGCTAGCTTAGTTAGCAGTCAGACGGAGCTCAGTGTATTAAGTTTAAACAGACTCACGTTTCCCATCCATAACGTACTCATGGCGCCTGCTGGAGAAGTGTGAGAAACCAAAATCTCGATGAACACAGGTTAGTTGTCCTTAATGTGGTCAAATCTTCTCACATTTACAACCTAACTTGCGAAGAGAGGGCAATAACTTCTTCTTCAATGGAGCTTACTGGCGGTTGGCAAACCAACTTGAAGGCCCATTACCACCACCTACTGGACTGGAGTGTGGGACAATAAATTGGCAGACAAAATAAAGACAAAAAAAAAACAGTAAGGGAATTAGACCCTCCCCATTAACCCTGTATCTTTCTTGGAGCTGCAGTAGCTCAGGAGGTAGAGCGGTCGTCCAATAACTGGAAGGCTGGCAGTTTGATTCCCCCCTATCCTGAGTCTGTCCGTTGTGTCCTTGGGCAACACACTTAACCCACTTTGTTCTCAGTGTGTGTCCTCCACTGGTGAATGATTGTGAGTGTGTTGTGTGGTGGTGGTCGGAGAGGCCGTAGGAATAAGGGACCGTCGGACTGAACTGTATATGTGCCAAACCTGCTTGTAGAGCTTTTATGTTTTCGACCCACCCAAAACTCATATTAGGTTCATTGTGTTCCCCAGGGCATTAACTTTGCGTATACACGTCACTGTACCTTCAAGAGAAAGCGTTAATTCTCCATTGTGCATGTTACATGACGTTCATGAGGCTGTTCACCAGCATTCAACAGAACCACACACTGTATCAGAGCAGAACCAGGTCACGTGGAAGATGATTTTATTCTGTTTTTTTTCTGAATTACCGAGACAATTATTTCAAAATTAAAAAATGTAAATACAAACTTTCTGCCCAAAGCTTTTTCTATAATCCATTTATTAGCGATTGAGTATAATATTGATGTAATCACCTCATTATCCAGACAGGTTTGTTTTAATTAACTCAGATCGAGCCTTTCATTCCCACACAGGAGCCGGATCTCTTCCACAACACTATCACTTTCTCATATTTATTCTGATGGTCTTATTGAACTCACTTTCTTCTTGTCTTCTTGGTTTGATGTGATAGATTTGTATAAACAGCTGGAGAAACAGTAACACAAAGTCTCTGCAGAAGGCAACGGATAAATCAGTAAAAACAGGCTGATGTTCAGCCATGAAGTCTGAAGATATGAGATTTATTTCCCACAACCAGCATGTATGTTACAGAGTTCTGCTTGCGTGTTTAATCCCAGAAAATCTGAGAAACAGAGTTTCAATGTGGAACTGTAAGTGCTGCAACTTTGTGATCTCTGTGAGCACCCAACTTTAACCTCTGTAAAAAGAGAAAAGGAAAAAAAAAAAAGAGAAAATAATCAAGTTTTGAGTTGAACTGAACACACAGACCTGAATTCTCTAGACAGTTGAACACTATTTTCGATGTGCTTCTGAAACATTGACATTGGAAACTCAACAAAAGAGGATGAGTAATAATTTAACAGTTTCATGATGAGTTTTTGAGCTCTTCCCAAAGTGGACATCACTTTGAAAAATGTGCAGAACAATCCAAAATGAACCTACATGGAAAGACTGATGGTTACAAAAGCTGGTAAGCTTGATTAAAAACCTCAGTCAGTGAAATTAAAATCAGCAGACTGTGGGTTTTAGCTGAGTTATCCCTGTTTCAGACCACACTGACATTTCCGGTTAACATCAGTGAAGTCTATCCTCCAAAAAATTAATAAATTAACCTTTTTTCAGAACAACTGCATACATGTGCTGTTTGTTCAGAAATTCAAGTTTGAGAGGAAATGCCCCATAAAGACCTTTTTAAGTTTTTTCAAGAACTGCCATGTTCTCGCTCTTCATGTCCCGGAGAGTTAACAAGCAACATCAGAAAAAGACGTCTGCAGTAGAAAAGCTGCAAGGACAGCAGCGAACATGGTACAAGTTCACTTGAAAAATCAATCACTAATCAAAGAAACAGAGTCAACTGGAGACGAATCAGTGAGATCTGATTTGTAGAAAACATACTGAGTGTAAATAACCAGACATTACTGCGAAATAACATGTAGATTGAACAATTTGCAACTTAAAAGACAAACTTCATCTGTTCATGAGATTTTTCTCCAGGGATTAACATTAAATGCTGATGCGACATCCTCACTCTCAGTTAGGCCTAAAAACCCTGAAACTGGATACCTTCCCCTCCAGTCTGGTAAAAAAAAAATCCTTAACCAGGAGAAGGGCAGACTCTTTTGAACTTCTGAACAAATGAACAAGGCAGCAATTTGAAACCAGGTGGAAAAGAATGAGCGACAACAGACAGACAGATCACATGATTCTCCAAAGTGCAAAATCATTAAACATACTTGAATAAAATTATCGTAAGAGGAAGACGTTTTTCACCCCAGTGGTACACACAGATCAGCCAGATATTAATATTTTGTAAGGCTTTACATTCAAAACGCAACACACACAGAAATACTGCGAAGAGATCCATGATACACGTTAATATCTTACTTCAGGAGGGTTCACTGATACAGATAAATTCATCTATTTGAGATGAATACCACTCTGTAGAGGACCTTTAAAGCTGCAATAAAATCCAGTTTTCATATTAATTATTCATTGAATAATGCAGATGGTTTTGGCTCCTTTCAGCTCAGGGTTTGGGTTCAGAACAAGAAACCAGTCAGATTCAGTCAGACTGTAGTGTCCCTTTTAGAACTGACTGGAACCTTCTGTTCACCGAGTAATAAATGACTTCCTCTTCTGTGTGCTGCACCTTTTACTGTCTCAACAGCAACTTGGGAAACAACTGTGTGTAACTCAGTCATCAAGGCCCGCAAAAGGAAAGTTGTCATGTCTTGGTTTGTTCTCCAGAGGAGCATCTTTTAATCTGTCTGTGGAGAGTCTCAGTTTCTCTGTAAATAGTCTCTCAGAGGCTTCACTCTTTCCTTCAATAGTATGAACCTGAAACAGAAACTGATGGTCTTGTGATGTTCTCCTCATTAATGGGTCTTCAGTTTGCTGAAATACAAACATCATGATCCAGATTAGTCCAAAGCCCAGCTTTGTCAGGTCTGTCCTCAAGAGGAGAAGAAAACCACTTGGACAATGTTTGTTTGTTGAAAGGAGGTCAGATCCATCATTTCTGATTCATTAAGGGAAATCTGTAAATCTAAAGTTTGATCATCTTTAGTGACTCAGCATCAGTCAGATTAGTGTCTCAGTGTAAATGTTTGATACAGAACAGATCGTTAGCTGACCTTCATACAGATATCTGTTTACATAGAGACAGAAATCCTCCTCAGATCACCAACCATGGGAGTTGGAGGTCATGATGGAGGACTGTGTTCCTCCTGCTTTTGCTCTCCATACAGACTGTCTCGATTGGTCCAAATGCAGACCCCAGGATATCGATCTTACATATCCTTGTCTAATCTGTCAGGTCAGCTGTGTGTACAGAAAAGAAGGACTTACTGCAGCTTTAAAAACCCTTACAGGAGTTTGGTGTCCTCACAGATGTTAAATTGTTTAGTGAGACCTCTCTCTCACTCTGCTCTAGGTTTTTGTTGTACCTGTAATTTTGGGACACTTCACAACATCAATATACTTGCATATGAGTAAGTTTTGGTCTCACAAATCAGAGTAAGTCTTAACACTAGCAGGACCTGCTGTAATTTACAGATGTGTGACAAGCAGAACCGAAATGAGCCTCAACTGACATCTGTACAGGTATAAATCTTTTTGAAGGTAAACAAAGAAGTAGTAGTGTGAGACAAAGTGCAATAAAGACCCCCAACAAAACCAAACCAAACAAAGAGAAAGGATGTGGGACACCAGGAGACCCTGCAGGAGGTGAGAGGTTCACGATGAGAGTCTGGAGGGCAGCAGACCAGTCCACAGAGTCAAGATCTGAGGAAGAAGACGACGATGAAGATGAAGATGATGTAAATGATGTAGAGGTATATGATCCTCACACACACACACACTCTTACACACACTCACACACACTCTCAGTCCATCTTCTCCTTGTGAACCAGTTTGGGGGCGTCCACAAAATCCTGCCCGTTGAACAGGATGATGGTCCCTGTGATGGCGCTGGCTGCTCCCCAGAACATCACGTACGCCAGAGCCTCCGTCCACGTGTCACCTGAAACATCCACAGGAAGCCAGTCAGATTGCAGGTGAACACCTTTAATTCTTAAAAAGAATGCTTTTTAATTTTTACTCAGAAGAGGATAAAACAGTTAACAGCTAACTTCTTGGGAGAGGAACTGAAGGGTCTTTTTAAGTTGAAGCTCAGAACTCTGAATCTAAACGAGATGTAATTCACTGAAAATGGTCCTAACAATACAGACATGATCCACCAGTTCAAAAAAGGAGGAGACTCCATAAAATAAGATCAATTGATGAGATTAATAGTCAAAGAATGAGAAAGTCGTAATTATGAGATAAAAAATCAGACTCAAGAGAAAAAAGGTTATTATTTTGAGACGAGATTAAGAATTCAAGTGTAAGTCAATATAATAAAATAAAAGTTTAAGATTTATAATCTAAGTCTAAAAATCAAAATTAGGAAATGAAAACAGAAAGTTTCAAACTGAGGCTAAAAAAAAGTCTGTCCAATAATTATGACCATGGTTGGAACTTCTCCTTTCATATTTTTGACTTTTATTTCACTACAATAACTTTCATTTTCATAATTAAGTCTCAAGAATTCATGATTTTGGTGTAAATCTCATGTTTCAGATTTAATGTTTGAGTTCTTTTACTGAGGCTCCGGCTTCTGTATGTTCTTTGTAAACTCTGGACTGGGAGGGAATGTCTGTGACAGACACTGAGATGCATCCTGTGACTATAGAAACTGAGAGGTCATCCTGTAACCATGGAAACCAAAGATGCTGCACTACAGCTCATCTCTAAGAGCCTTTATATTGATGGATCTGCTGAGCTCTGGGCCTCATTGACTGTACGGCTGATTGTGGTTCTGGTCATCACAAAGACATGCTGAAACTAAGTGGATTGAACTTTATTAGCGGTACCATTAGCTAACTGAGCATCATGCTGTCAGGTGAATTAATGCTCCAAAATGAGGGACGTATGACTTGAGTCTGATGACTGAGTTCAATCCACGTCTTGGTTTTAGTCGGTTATTTCAAACAAACTAAACCATCATGTGATTAAACATCCGGGTTTTGTTCATTATTCAGCTGTGCACAAAAATAAAAAACCTAAAAATATATTTTTTATAAAACTTGACCAAAGAAGAAATAAAGAGACAGAATAAAGCCACAATGATTTTTTTATATATATGTGTGGATTATAACAACAGTCAGGACCCCTGTGGTTAAGCGTAGATGTTCACCATTACAGTAAACTGAATCATAGGAGCTGTTTAAGGAAATGAACTCACCGGCCATGAGGAGACAGACGATGCACATAGAGAAGGCCACCAGCATGATGATTGGCAGCTGCAGGAGAAACAGGATCAAAAATCAGAACAACAAACTCACTTTAATCTGCAGGAAACAGAGAAATCTCATCCAATCTTTTCTGCTTTTTTTATACAGCCTATTTTAAAGAACATTCAAGTTTACCACAGTTCTGCACGGTAAAATTAAAAGAACAAACACTGCAGAAAACATCAAGAGGTAATAAATAAAAGCAGGTAAAAAAAAACATTCGAAATGAAATAAATCAAACAAAAAATACAAAAGCATAAAAGTATTAAAAGGACCATAAAGGACATAAAAAAATCTATGAAGAACTGACCGTCAGGAACTTCCAGTCCTTCTGCACCCGCAGAGGAGTGGGACCGTCAGTCTCGTCCACAGCAAAGTTCCCCAGAAACAGGTCGATGGAGTCCTGAAAGCAGCAGATCCATGTTCACACTTTAGAGATGACAAAACACTAACACACACAGACAGACAGGTTCACACACACTGAGGGATAGTCACTGTAAACCTGATCAGCTTTAGCTCTCTCTCCCTCTCTGTCTTAGACTAAGTTGATAATGTTTACAGTGACAGTCCGTTCCTCAGTAATGAGCCTCAGTGAGAGTGAACCTGTTTCTAACTTCGCTCCTTGTAACTGACTGTTTTTATCTTTTTCTGTGCAGCGAGCAGGGCAAAGGATGAAGGGAATTATAATATTTTCCCCTTCACTCTGACCCCTACCCAGTTGCTTAGTTCCCTCACAGGTCTACGACAGCATCCAGACTCTTTGGTCTCATGGTAACCTGTCATTACAGCCCTATGGGTTCATACAGACCAATAAAGCCCCTGATCAGAGAGTCCGGGGTCACACAGGTGAGGAGGAGAACTATCTGAGCCCTGTGTACCTGTCTGAATCCATCAGAGAAGTTGTTTTTGTAGTATCTGATCATGGAGTTCCAGCCGTCCATCAGCAGCCCCAACCGGGTCCTCTTTCCCGTCCTGACGGAGACACAGATGCTGATCAGACCGCTAACCTGAGAATCTGACTGCACAGGGTTGTGAGTGTGTTGTCACAGGACTAACCTGGTGAAGTCTGTTTTCAGAGCTCCTGTTCCTGCATACTGCACAGCACATGCATTAGCATTATCAGCCCATGCTGTTAGAGATTAAAAACACACACAGACACATACACACACACACAGACACACGCACAGACACACCCACACACAGGTTAGACAGCTGTTAATAACACATGCTAATGGCTAACGACTAACGACAAAGTTTTTACCATTTTTGTAGATTTTTTCAAACTCAGCCTGCTCCTCGATCCGCTGACCGACGTTAAGGACGCCAATCCTCTGAGGAACACACACACACACGCACACACGCACACACACAGTTTAATAAAACCCATTGAGCCTCTTTATCTGCCCGATTTTAACATTAACATTAAAAAAACAAATGTGCTCATAAACAAAAAATTCAACAAACTCTCTTTTTTTATACTGACATTAACTCTCTACTGTCTTTAAATAATAAAACGAGAAAAATAAATTATAACAGAGAATTAAAAAAAACAAGCAAAATACAGAAATAAACTTTAAAGAAGAAAATTTAATCTGGGGGAAAAACGAAAAAATGAAAAAGTGAAGAAAATAAATGTTTCTGGAAAAAACAGAAAATAGAAATTTAACAGCCTGATAAAGAAACAATTAAGATTTAAAAATTTTTTTAAAAAGGTGAAATGGAAAAAATAATATTTGAATTGAATAAATGAGTCTAAATAATTCATTAAATTTGAAAAAGAAATCAATATAAAAAGTATGAAAAAAGGGGGGAAAAAATGAAGGAAAACTTAAAAAAAAGAAAATACAAAAATATTATTGACGACATGTTTTCTGTCCGGTTGCAGGTAAATGCATCCTCCCCCATGTTTTCTTAAACCTCCGAGGAGTCCCTCACAGCTTCTCTCTGAGTCCTCTACTCTTTTTGGAGAGCAGTCAGAGGACAGCTGCTCTCAGTTGACTTTTCCTCACAGTTTAAATTATAAATTCAGGATTCTGTTCTTTTTAGGAGTTTGGCGGTTAAACATACCTGCAGCTGGGACTGCAGCGAGCGGCGAGCCAGCAGACTCTGGATCACGTTGGTTCGGTCCAAACAGTCCATGCAGTTACTGCGAAAGACGCCTTTCTGCTGAGCCACTGTCTTACCCTCCGAGCTCAGCATGAAGTAACTACAAACACAGACAGGAATGAAAACCAGCTCCTCCACGGCTTCTTACAGAGGATATCCTCCTTCAGCAGCAGGTGAGCTCACCTGTACTCATCCTGAGTCTCTGACACAGAGTCCACCAGGAGCTGCAGACGGTCCCACCTCATCTTACTGCACTCTTTGTGGAAGTCGAAGGCGATGTAGCTGAGGACGGACGGGAAAACATCACAGGGTTAGGTTAGAGAATTCACAGAGTCAAAGGAGTCAGCGTGAGTCTATAAAGTTAAACGAACTCTACGCAGGAATGAACCAAATCTCTGCAGATGTCTTTGGTACAAACTTACCCCAGCATCCCATTGTTCATACCAGACACCATCTTAGCAAAAGCTTCTTCGAGAGGTTTCTCTGAGCCCTTCTGGTTCACCTGCAGACACAGAGAGAAGAAAATCAGGTGCTTTCACATAGTTTACAGACCTCCAGGTGACACAGAGTTTTAATAAAGAGTTCTCACCAGGTTCAGGATGGTCTGTTTCCCATAGATGAGCAGCTGAGAGTCAAAATGTCTCTGGAAACCGTCCATCTGCACAGAGGTTTAGAGGTCAGTGTTAAGTTTTTATATTTTTCCTGATTTTATATTTCCACTGAGAGAAGTTGCGCCTGCTCTTACATGGTTGGTGTGTTTGCTGATTATTGGTTTGGGTTTGTACTTGAGGTTGGGTCTCTGACTCCAGTAGAAAGGCATCGAGCCTCGAGTCTGCAGATACAAACACAGAGTTCTTACTGACAGTGGCATAAAGGTCTTTTTTGCAGAGCCTGATGTAAAAACAGTAAATCTGCACCTGAACAAACGAAGCCTTCGCTCCCTCGTATAAAACTATCTGCTCAGTCTCCACAAAGTTCGCGGCATGGCCTTCAGAGTCGATCCCTGAGCAGGAGAGAAAACATTCAGTCAGTGTGAGGGAGACGTTTTCTTCTGCTAACAGGAAACAGAGTCACCATCTTTCATACAAGTACAGCTCTTCCTTTACAGCTGATGTGTGTATTTTGTGTTATCTTTGTGTAAAAACTGGTTCTGACTCTCGGAACATTCAGACTCCTATAAAAGGTTCCTCGTAAACATCAGCACCCATCAGTCCTCTGATTTACCTCTTCTCCCCTCCACCTGCTCTTCTCTAGGCTCACAGATACACCTCCTCCTCCTCCTTCCTGTTTATCTATCTTTAAAACTGTTTCAGGTGTTCAGGACCATCACAGAGTTGGAGAGTGAAAAGCTGACTCAGTGTTCTGGGCGGTAAAAGTTGTGTGTTCAGGTAAGGAGGTGAAGGTTGGACAAAGGTGTGAGTATGTTTCTACCTCTGACGTAGTATCTGACTCCGGCTCTGAAGCAACTTCTCCTGGAGATCAGGATCCACTCAAAGATCTTTCCATTTATACGACACGGTTTCATGACAATAACTGACACACGGGGTCAAAGAAGTTTACTGAACAAGAAGTGAGAATAAAACAGGGTGGGGGGATGGAGAGAAGTGGAGAGGATGAGGGACGAAGGGGTGGAGAGGTGGAGGGATGGGGGTAGCAGAGATGTAGGGATGGAGGTTATACCCTAATTAAAAGATCAAATTTAGGGAAAAACTTAAAGGGACATTCCGGCATAAAATTAATTTAGGGTCAAACACACCATAACACCAAGTTAGACATCCCATCAAGGAGTTAATGTTGCCGACCGCTTGAGGTCTCGCTACAAACAAGTGGCTACTGCAAGAGAAAGGGTGAGTTGTGTTTAGTCTCTTTGCTAAAGAAATTAGGCAAAGTTAAAAAGATGTTTGGTGGCTAGTGCTATGGCTAGGACCCTATATGTACTGTTGATGAAGTTAGGTGCTGTTCTGAGCATTATTTGTGGCTTTTTGGTTGAGGTTTGTTGATGACTCTTCAGACCGCTGTGTATTGCTATCGTGCGGTCGTTACTAAAGTTGGTATAACTAGAGAAGCAAGCGGTCTGCAACATTCATCTCTCGAGGGGGTGTCTTACTTGGTGTTATGGTGTGTCTGACCCTAAATTAATTTTATGCCGGAATATCCCTTTAAAGACCGACACACAGACATAAACACGAGGGGACCAGGTCATGGGACTAAAACTCACTCTTCTGTTGTTATCGTTAATCTCAGAGGAGATTTGACATAATCCTCCAGAATAGTAGGCGTTGTGGTGATTTACACTACAGAGAGAACAAACCTCAGATGGGAGTACAGAAGGATACAGCCGTGGATGACGGGGACTGCAAACTTATGAAGCTGTGGAGAAAAACAGTAAATAATGAAAACCGTCAGTGTTTGTGAGTGTGTGTGTGTGTGCATTTGTGTTTGTTACCTCAGGCTGTGCAGCCAGCTCTCTCAGCAGGTTTCCATTCCACACAAACCTCTGATCTGCCTGGAAACACACAGGACATTTTTACCTTCACATACGAACATTTTCATGGTCCAGAATCATATAGAGAGAGAGACTGAAGGAGGGAGAGCTCTAAACCCCTCTGAGATTAAGAACCTGGTAAACTGATGGACATGCAGCTGAGCTGGTTTAAACACCAGGCCTCTTTTCTCTCAGGTGTCTGTGTTTGTTTGGATCCACGGACTGTATGAGGAACTAATCACCATAAAATGTATTAACAGTCTTCCGGCCGCCTTACCCTCTCGAGCAGACTCATCTCCTGGAAGTCGGGGCTGGTGTTGGAGAGTCTCTGTAGCGTGTGCGTGAGGTCAAAGTTGGTGCAGAAGTAGAAACCGTCTGTGGTCAGCACGTTGTTGATCATGGACAGGAAAGTCTTGTTCTCCTGAGACTGAAACCAAACACCCTGTTAGTCTGAGAGCTCTGCTGAGTGTGGAGGAAACCGTGGCCTCACAGCTTCGATCAAAACATCAACCTTCAGCCTCGAAGATCAAACCTTTATTCATCACACAGGCGTCTTCATACGATGACCAGAGAAACTTTGGCAAAACCTTTAAATCAAAGTGTTTTACTGACAGTGATGTTAAAGCAAAGTGTGTTAGCTAACAGTACGGTGGCCCTGAGGGTCAACTGGACAAACACTTCAAACTAAACACAGTAAACACAGTCACAATAACATGATAATTTCATGAAGCACAGATATTTGTTAAAGGGGCTTCAGTCTCACATGACACAGAAAACGCTTCACAAAAACACGTCAGAAAACGTAAAAATTTTGGATTTTTTTATGTCCATCAGGTAAATATTATGTTTTAAATACAATATTAACATTATATCAAAATACCAGCACTCTGTTCCACTGAGACACTTGGACAAAGACTTGTTAAAAAAACTGATACACAATCGAGAAAAGCAGTAGCGCACAATCCTGATCAAACCACACATTTTGATGTATAATTTGTCCGACAACTCTCCAAGCTGTAGAACAAGTAACGAATCGATATTTGCCTAGAAGAGGATTAAGAAGTATAACAGTATAACAATAGTGCCTCAGGGCTTTGACCCGTGGGCCTACTAATGGATGACAAAATGTATCTATATGAAGGAAGCGTGCCATCCAGAGTCAAGGAGTCTGCTGTGGGTGTGAGTCTTTCCCTCGACCTTCAATCAAGGAGCTGATCTTTAAGACATGAGAGGGATGATAAATCTGAGAGTTTTCGCCGTGAGCTCAAAGAGAACGTCTCACAGCTGAGGACAGAGAAACAAAAATCTGCTCAGAGTTACAAACTGAAGAGATTTCATACTGGGCTGCAGGTGAAGATCACCAACACTGTCATTATCATTATAGTCATCATTCAGTCCTATAAAGAGGAAACTACCAGACCCACATACTGCTGAACTCTGAGCTTCTAATAGGATCAGGCTGCTAAACCGGTTAGCTTATAGAGGAGAGCTTCACTGTTTCCTCAGACTGCAGCTGCAGCTCAGAGCTGAAATAAAATGGATTTTCTGCTTTTTTTTTTTTACAGCCAGTCAATGTCTGACCCTGTCAAACCTCCTCATTTAAAGCTTGGCTGAGTATCAGGACAACAGGTCAGACCCAGAAGCTGATGAATAATGCAGCTCCCGATTCACTGACATCAGATCCTGCAGAGAGACCCAGGCTGAAACCCGAGGACTCTGACTGACTGTTGGAGTAGAGCAGATACGCTGGTGTAGTCATGTGGCAGACAGGGAGAGAGATGATGATGCTATGTCATCACTTCTTTATGTGCTCAGGTAGAAGGCTGCACCTTCAATCTGACACCCGCTGAATGCAGATTACAGATCCAATAAAAACTTTTGCAGATTAAGTTTTTGTTGGTGTAGAGCAGGCATCTCCAAACTATTCCACAAAGGGCTGGTGTGGCTGCAGGTTTTTCTTCCAACCAAGCAGCAGCACACCAGACTCCATTCATCTCATCAGCTGATCTCAGGCTTCAGACAGCTGATTGGTCAGACTGCATGCTCTTGATTGGTTGGAAGAAAAACCTGCAGCCACACCGGTCCTTTATGGAATAGTTTGGAGATGCCTGGTGTAGAGTCTTGGAGCCCTTCAGTATGCTGGTCACACTCTCCACCACCTGACCCCTCTGACCTTTGACTAACCTGTATCTCTGACAGGTGCAGCACTGTCTTCTTATAGGAGATCACATCAAAGTCCACGGCCTTCCACACGGCGTGACCCAGCAGGCTGCCTACGTTCCTCTTCCTGGTGATGACGATCAGGTACATACCTGAGAGGATGAGGTCATCAGTCTCAGTCATTTGATTGAACAGGTGATGTTGTTTCAGGACTTCACCTACCTGCTACCAGGCGGATGGTTCCCATGATGCCACATATCGGCCTGGTGACCGCTGACGGAGGGACATCTTTTTTACCTGAGAAGGAACCACAGGTGGAGATAAACTCCCTGTAATCTCTAGAATAAAATCTCTGATGGTAAAAAGCTAAAAAGTTCCTGTTTTTGACTCTGAAAGTCTCACACTTTACCTCTAAACGTATATTTTAACCAAAAGTAACAGAATTACCACACACCTCTGGATGAACAAACAAACAAAAACAATAAACGTAACCAAAATGGAACTTCCCGGACATCAGGAATCAAACATTTGTGGACAAACTCTTGCAGGTCTCTCCATGTGTAACAGTGTTTAACTATCCTCTAATGTTGGTTTTATTCCAGAGAAAGCAGAAGGGTCCTTTTCACATCCTGCCCATCTGTACTGACGGACAAATAGCATACTGAGGTGTGAGACCTCTTACATCCTTACTATCTCTGCTGAGGGCAGCACATGCAAAACAGTGACAGGATGAATAAATACAGATGTAAAACCATCATAATGTCCCTAAAGACCGGGAGAATTGAGCTCATTGTGCACAGAGAGGAGCTGCAGTAGGATCTGAAAAAGTTTCCATGGATGAAGGTCAGGAATGAATGAGTGTTTGAGGAGAGGAGAAGGTCAGCTTTGCATGCCCCGTCAGTGTTGTTTTTATGTCCTCCGTTCTGATTCAGCAGATATTCACTGTAGGTGTGAGTCTGTACCTGTGAGGGTCATCTCATTAGAGACCCTGTCGATGGCCAGCACAGCATCAGCCCCCTCATCACAGGCCTCGATGAAGAACTTCTCTGGGGTCGTGTGCCTGCAGGAGTAAAACGAGGATGTTAAAAAGGTAAAAATGCTGATTTTAAAGTTCAGTTCGGATCATCAAACGTCAAGGTTTCACAGGTTGATGTTCTCCTCTGGTAGAAAAGGTCACTGGTGGAGCTGCAGCTGTAAAAGGTTGACCTCTAACCCACTTTACTGTCTCATAAAGGCTGTTCAGTCCTCATTCTCTGCTCTCCTTCATTTCCTCAGACCAACATTAACCTGCATGACAGATAAACAGGAAACATGTGGACAGAGGAGGTTAGAGTCCAGTCAGGACTCAGACTGAGGACAGTCATGTGGTTTCACTCCAGGACCATCAGAGACCATCACCAACACAGTCTCTAACAAACTGACCATCTGAAGGGTTTGATGCTGCCGATGTAGAGGACAGTTCCTACTTTCATTATTATATGTCTTAGACCATAGAATAGTAATATCAGTCAATAAGCACAGGAATGTACATGAGCAGTAAGCTCCCCCCTTTAAAATAGATACATTTATATCAAACCCACAAAAATCTGAGTCCACAGTCCAACTAACAAGGGTAAAAGTCAGTCCCATCAGCATTTTCAGCTCTAACCCTGTTAGACAGGAAATGATCTGGTTTCCTTTCAGTGTTGTAGATTTCTTGGAAACCTCTGCAGGATCCTCAGACTGTACAGAGGAGCTGAGGACCATTTCTAAAAGACCCTTAGAAAGAAAAGTGACCCTGAAACACGATCAGTTCATCTGGACTGAGAAAAGCAGGAGCAGGTTTCACTTTCTCCTCCCTCTCGATGAGCAACAGCTTTTGTGACCTCTGACCTCTCTGTGTGGATGACTACTTGCTTTGTGGGAACAGTTGCATAACCCACTAAACCAGCATCATCTCAGAACTCTGGATCATAGTTCTCCTCAGGCCAGAGGGTTTCTGGAGCAGCTGCTTGAGCAAAACAGCAAGCTTTAATAAACACAACCTCATGTGGAGCCGTAGTGACGTCTGCAGCTCAGCGCAAAGCAGACACACAAACACACAAACTCTCCTTTGTTTTTGCTTTAATCCAGACCCACAACACATTCCTGAAGAAGGAGAGTTTATAACTGAGGAGAAACCAACGCAAACTAAAACAGGGCTGAGGCAACTCTGTGCACTAGTAACAACTCCAATACAAAACCAACACCTAAAAAACAGATATAACGGCAGAGTTTGGAGGTTTGTAAATCATTTGAGGTCGATATTAAACTGAAACAAGAGCAAGACAACAGACCAAATGTTACAAGTGAAAAAATGTTATTGGTTCATGGTAAACATCTGCTTAGGTTAAATTTGGTGTCTGTAGAAAGTTCTCATAGAGGAACATCCAAAGAGGTAAAGAGTGGGACAACACTTCACTCTCTGAACTGCAGGAACTAGTCTCCCGAGTTCACTAACGTTTACAGAGAGTTGATGAAAGAAGAGCTGAGGACAGGGATGAGAAACATGAACTTGAAACGACTACTTTTTAAAGTGTTGAAGGTGTTCAAATAGGTGTTAGAACAACATTTTTCAGTTTAATATTTCAAACGTCTCTATTTTCAAACAAACATCAGCTTGATGCAGAAACAGAGTTTCAGTGTGACCGTTTAAAGCTGGGTAAAAAAACAAAACGGCTGATGACTCTGCTAACAGAGTTTAGTACAGGCAGTTCATTTGACTGTTAGGATAGACAGGTAGGACTGGGTAGGTGAGCTTTTTCAATGAAGGGTGTGTCTGGAAAAGTACTCAGAGATCTGTTAACTTTGGGAAAGTTCAACAAAGCAACAGCTAACGGTAAACATCACCACAAGTCAGCGTGTTCATAGCAGAAAAAGTTTTCACAACTGAATCACCAAGGCTTCATCTAATTGACTGACATAAAAGCGCCAATAACTGGAGCTAACGATAATAATCTTCAACAAGGGTATAACCAGACTTCATCAAGATTTATGAAAGAGTTTGTTCATTATTTTTCAATACTTAAAGGTGTAAACAAATACAAGTAAGCTGCAGTTAATCACAGACAAGAGTTTTAACAGCCTATTAAAACGGCGTCCACTGACAAACGCTACACAAGTCCCGCCCATTCAGGCCAAACAGCCAATCACAGATGTTAATTTCAGAATGGCACATAGGTGGCAGTTAGGCTCTCAGGGGTCATGCCACCCCTCGCCCCCTCTTTGGTTTCGGCCCTGGATAACCTGCTGCTCCGGAATAGCTTTACTTTCTTCATCCTAACACACAACCACCCTCCCCTTTCATTCAGCCGTTCACAGCTGTTGTAGAACATGAATTAAATGCTGTCATGAATGATGATTAATGAATGAATTCGCGCGCAGATAAACTCTGCGGCTTCCTGCTCCACCAGCTCCGCCTGACCGCGAACTTCAGCCCACAACACCAGCCCAAGACGCCGGTTCACTCTCAGATACAGCCCCGCTCAAAGCCCCACTATACTCCCCGTCCTTCCTCTAACGTGTTTGTAACATACGAACAGCTGCTGAAATTCAGGATATGTACTTACAAATTGTATCTTTCGTAGGCGGTCGCCATCTTCGCTCCGTCTACCTGACCTCAGTGACGACAGCAGCAGTGAGAGAGGGTTCAGCCCGGGTTGCCAGGTCTGAGTTCTGCACGCGATTAAAGCAGAGCGTTTGAAGGGCGGAATCTGCTTAAAACCAGTGAGAACATGGCAACCCTGAAAGGCGTGACGATGGGTGGTTGCTGGAGCTCAGTCAGACTGAAATATTAACAATGGAAATGTATTCATTTATTTAATGAATGCAGTTCATTTTAGACATTTATGTGTCAGTCTCAGACATGTATCTAACATCTTCTGTGGGACCAAAAATAGAGGGAATGCAGAAAAAAGGCGTTGTTTTATTTTTTAAAATGTCGTTATTATTTCTTACAGTGAAGTTCAGGGGCCACCTTATAAAAGACAACTAAAAGATGTGGAGACTGAGGTTCTAACAGAGACTGTATATACTATATACGTCTATTTACAGTATATGGGTTCTAATCATTCAAATGTTAATTTGAGAAAAAATTACAAAATCAATATTGAAATGTCACACCAACAAAGATGAGCTGTAACATGAAAAAAGTTGAAAAGATATTAAAAAAAAAATTAAACTTAGAGTCAGTGATCAGCCAACATGTTTGGAATAAAGCCTTAATGTGACAAAAAAAAAAAAATAATCAAAATTTAACTAGAGTAAAAAAGTTGTAATAGTGAGGATTTTTGGTATCTAATGTACATGAAGCATATTTTCTAGAGAGTAAAAGTGTTATGAATCAATTGTTTAAAAAAATGATAAGCAAAAATATTACATGAAAATATTTAATAAAAATTTTAGCAATATTTTACGACACAAAAACACCAAACAATCTTTAAAACATTCTGATAAAAATCTAAAAAAAAAATCTGACTTCATGAAGTATTGAAGATATTTGAGAGTACATAAAGTCATAAAATGCCTAAATATTAAATATTTTTTTAAGTTATTACAAAAAGTTTCTCAGTGCTGACAAAGGTGAATTTATGCATTAAGTTATGAAGGGTCTCAAATAGAGTGGCCCTGAAGATTCAAAGACAAACATTAAAACCAAAATATTTAACAGGAGAAGAAAAAAAATAGAAACAGAAACAAAACTGAATATTTCATGACATGCAGACATTTGTAGGTAGTAAACCCTCAGAAAACAGCTAAAACGTTATGAAACTCAGATTAACAGGCGATCATAGAATCTGCGGGTAAAACCTGTAAACTCTTACATTTTTGAATCTCTTCTGTTCATTCAATAATCAGGTGGGTTTGAATATAAAAAAAGTTACGAACATTTATAAACAGGCAGCGCTAAGGATGCCTAAATCATGTGACGCTGTGAAGGCCCTGCCTATATAAGTCAGGGGCGCGCTGCACTCCGCCTCTTCGTGTCTGCTGGAGCTGGAAGAAGGAATGGAACACAGTATATCTAGTAAATTTAACTTCAGACGGCCTTTTTAAAGGCAGATATTGTTATATTTTAAGCATGTTAACTCCCTGTTTTCAGACCTTTATTGGCTGACTCAGTATAGATAATGTACACAGGATGGGACTCATCTGCACGTGCTGAGGTCCTCCGTGGTCAGCACGTGGGGGTCACGGTTAGACTAAAGATGGACAGGAATCTGATCAAAGTTTAAATCTTAGACTTTAGTAAAGTTAAGTTAAATAAGGAGCACCAACAGACTCTTTGAGGACATCTTGAAGATTAAAGGTGAGTTCTAAACAGTGAGCCAGAGGTATGACCTCACTGCACAGTTCCCGATATGTGGATCAATCATAACGATATTGCCTGAAGCGTGAGATATCAACCAACTTGGATTATTTCCAAACTACTTAGTCAGTGGTTAGATTGCATTAGTTTTACGTCAAGCACAAAACATTTTGAACCACCATTTTTACTCATCTGATCCTGGAGAAACACCCAGAAGATCAGAATCAGTTTAAGTCTGAAGGTCTGATGTGTCTGAGTAAAAACTGTCACACTTCTAACATCAAACATCAATACCATACCAGCATATGTTGCCGTTTAAACACTGAATTCTTAAATGGGAGGAAATATTGAGCACTACAGGGTTAATCTCAGACTGTTTCACCAGCTTGAACCCTTAAGAGAGGTTTAACGGATTTATCAAAGCTTTTCTGCAGCATCATGGAGACATGGTGACAGACTAAAAGGTGTTTTGTCGTTTCAGGATCAGGATGCTGCAGAGGTCCAGTCCTGCACAAAGATCTGTGCTCCTGAGAGTTCAGTCTGAAGACATGAGCTGATGTAAGTCTATGGAGGCCTCTGATCTGCAGAAACAGTCACGCTGATATGATGATTCACTAGACTAGAGTCTCTGATTGAACCATGAAGCTCTTTCACAGTGCACTGACCCTGCAGAGCCCTGATTAAACTGACTAAGGAGAGCAGAGCTGCTTTTAATGACTTTTCCTTTTTCTTGCTCCAGGTATTGGATCAGGATCAGCGTGATGTGATGGCTCCTCCTCAGTAAGTCTGACACTAGATAAAGCCTCTCTCTTATAATTATTTATGTGGGATGATGATTTCATAGACTAGAGTCTCTGACAAAAGCATGAAGTTGTTTCACAGTGCACTGACCACAGAAACCACTCAGTTATTGGATGTCTTTAACCCAATTTGCTGCTCATTATATGGATCTGAAATCACTGCAGGCAAACTGTTGCAAACACAGATGACTTTATTCAACATCAGATTCACAGGCATATTTGTCTGTACTGACATTTGGGAAGTATTAGTATGAAGGATTCCATTCCTTAAATGTAAAATGACTTCCTGTTATACATGCAGATGAAACAGGATCTGAAGTTTTTAGAATCACATTCAGGCTAACATCTGCTTCTAATACAAAGTGGAGGAGAAAATTTTATACTGAAGTTTGAAAGTATTCTTACCCTTCATCAGACCTGGACTGTTGGACTTTTTGTAGAAAAAAGTTCTTTCAGACATTTTGAGTTTATTTTTCAGTATATCCAAAGAAGAAAAATGTGTCAGAATATAAATATAGAGGGATCAGTCTCATAGTCCTCTTTGTTTCCTGCTGTAACAGTGAATGGGTTAAAACATCCAAATATGTGTCATCTCAGAGCTTCTTCATGCTCTGACATGTTACTGAATTTGGACCTTTTTTGTCTTTCAGCTGGTCTCTGCAGACGGTGAGGAGATGATGGGACTGTTTTATCTGTAAGTACAAACCATGGTGTTGAAGTTAAGGGTGACATTCTTCTTTCATGCAGCAGTGGGTGATAAAGTAGAAATTATCATGACCTTAGATAAAGGACGTAATAGTAATAAATTAGGTCTCAGAGGGGCTTGTCTCCTACTCTGCTGTCTGAGTTGGTCGATGATGATTCAGTTTTTCGGTTCGACTGATTTCAAACTGAAGTTTTCTCGCAGCGCACTGAGACGCTCAGATGTACAGAGTTCCTGTTTGGAGAGTTTCTTTTTTTAGTCTTGTACAGAAAATGAACAAAACTTGTGTTTCTGTCTCTCCAGGTCAGACTGTGGCAGCCTGAGCTGAAGCACAAATAGGTTAGTGTTGATTTGACTGTTATTGGATTGACATGAAAATCTTTGATTTGGATTATTTTTCCACATGCTGACGTTAAATGTGTCTTCACAGGTGATCCAGGGTGAGTTTGATCTGCACAAGCTCTGCAAGAACAATGACGCATGAAGTTGGTTGTAGATGTTGATATATTGTCCCAGAATCCTCTGTAATTTAAAAAGAAAATCTTTTTCTGGTTTAGTTTTAGTTTTGAGTTGTATTTATATAACTGATGTAAAAAAAAGTTTAAAAATGTTTTGTTTTTTTCTTAATGATTTAATTTTGATAATAAATGATTCTTCATCTCCTGAATGCATTTTTCAAGTGTCTCATTTCCAAAAGAGGGTGTAGTGATTAAAGTTCAGTATTTTAAAACCTATTTGAGAATTACAGAAGATAAAAATAAAGCTGCAGAAGATGGATTTTCTTTGAACCCTGGTACATGGATAAAGTTATGAAAGCAGAATTCAAATGTTTTATGCAGCATCAATCACAACTTAACAGCACATTTATTAGGCTTAATCAAAGTGCTTAGTTTGTATGAAGTGTGACCTTATCGTCCTTGTTTCTATCCTCAGAAAGTAAGTCTTATTCTTTCTAGATTTGCTTTCAGTCTTTAAGAGATCATCTTTACTGTGAGTCCTTAAGTTTGTTTAGTCATGTAGCGCCTCCAAAATTTTAATATCAGAGTTGGAGAATTATTTCTGATCTCTGAGTGTCTCAGTGTAGGGCAAATTTTCTGGGAGTCTGGTCTCCTGATTACATGTTAGACTGAGCTATATCTGCTGACTGTAAACACACCCTGCAGCTGAAACGCAGTTTTTACACCTCACTGTTTATCTTCAGTGTGAGGAGGTAAGCCGCCTAAAGTAGTTATTTTTTACTATCAGGAGTAAAGGGAACCTTTGGCTGGATGAGCTTTTAAAATAAGTACAACTTTATTTTTTGCTCTGAAAGCTTTATCAGGATGAAGATTACATTTTTAACTTGATCTTTTGTTACAAAGATGATCCCAAAGTCCAAATAAAATCAATCCTCGGTTTCCTGCCTGTCTTGGAAGTGTCACTTTAAGTACAGAAAACACACTGACCTGTGACACATTTCTGTGGGCTGGCTAAGTGACCATTTCCTCCAAATGCTTGAACACGTCATCAGACTGAGGCTCACTTTCTTTAAACTTGAAACTCGCTTACACCAACACTCACAGATTTGCAGATACTGTTTTTTTTTATAGAGCATCACAGAAACGCTGAAGTAACACACAGCCATTAAAAGTGTTTCTGTATGTTTTTGAGCCCATATATCAGTTTTCAAATCCAATTGTCCTTATTTCAGTTAACTATAGTTTCTTTCCCTTAAGATTCAACATTTACTGTAGCTCACTTTATGCATATGCAACACAGATGTTTCCCATTTAATGCAGTTTCAGTACTTTAACCATGTGATTAGAGCATAAATTCAAAAATAACATATGTTCAGAATAGAAATTAAAGCTGAAATGAAAAAGACACAAGTCTAATACAATGAAACAGTTGACTCAACAGTAACCTACAGTCTAAACTATGGACAGAATGTGTTTAAAATGTAGAAACATAAAAGTGTAATACAGTAATTCTGATAGTGAGAATACTACAGTGTAAACATATATTTCACAGTAAGTAAAGGTTACTGCAGTTTGTGAGTATCATATTTACACTCCTGCATGTAAGGGAGAGTCTAATGAAAGTGAAAAACAGTCATTTATATTTTTGATAAGTTTTAATGTTACATAAAGGCTTTCAGAGTCACAGGGTGAACATGTAAGACAAGAGCAACTTTAAATTATTCATAATTTTTCTATTTGAGGCTTTTTCAGGCTTCCCTGAGTGTATGTGCATTATCTAATTGTGTTGTAAAACAGTGAATGCCATGTGGATTGTTTATATAATCGAAATCTATAGAGGAAAAAAACTTGCAGACCACACCCTGAAACTTCACTCCAGCTGTAAATTACAGAGTAAACATTTTTACTGTCGCTCATTTTTGGGACATTTGGAGAATAAAGTCCCTTAAAGGTGGGAGACGCTTTTCTGTGCCTGAAATAAGATGATTATTGAAGTTTAAACGCTTTAAATGGGGTAAAAGTAGCAGGAGAGAGCAGAATAGAGTGTTTTATTTTGAAGGTGCAGACCGGACGGGCCGCTCTTCTTCTTCGTCTTTGTTCCACTGTCAGGTAAACGGTCCAGCCGACCTGGAGGACCTGAGCTGTGTTTTTAACGGGCGGACGGTATCGAACCCGGTACCTGCGAGTCAGATACCCCTGACTTTAGTATCTAGGTATTAAAAATAGTCCATATGTTGTGTCTGAAACACAAAAACTGAAAGTGAGAGAAGTTTGTGAGTCCGTCGGCTTTACGATGCTAACAAAGAGAGCTAGCTTAGCTTAGACTCTCCGGCTAACGTCAGAACAGGTGAGTGTTTATTCTCTGTGATCAGATTAACTTCACCTAAAAGTTACTCTGTTGTACAGGTCAGGCAAGAAGGATTAACCATCTAACTATCTTAGTTCACTGTGACAATGTAAAGAAAGCGAAGTTAACGTGTGCAGTTAGCTCAGATAAACACAGGATAGCTAAGACCTGCAGGTGGGCTCAGGTGAGTTTTTACAGGTCAGACGGGTACAGGAAAGTCATAAATATTATCTATCAAAGGTGTTCAGGTCTGCGAGGGATTCAACAACTCATTATTTTACACCCAGAACAGATCAAAGGTCTCTAATTTCAGATTATTAAAGTCAAAACTGTTGAAAGACCACAGCTCAAATGTTTTAAAAAGCTCAATCTGACCTTTTGAACCTGTAAGTACCTCCAGGTTCATGTTTCCCATCATGTGTCCTCAGCTCTTCTTTCACCAAAACCCTCTGTAAACCGAAGTGAACCCAGAAGACCAGATTCTGGAGTCTCAAAGTCTAATGTTGTCCCATTCTTGCCTGAAAAAGGATTTTTAGCTGCTGAACAATTCAGGGTTCTTTTGTCCTATTTTTGGTGTCATGATTGTCTAAATGTTTTCAATGGGGGAAAAGTCAGGAGTGCAGACAGGCCAGTTTAGCAGCAGGACTCTTGCAGTGACCGAGACATGCTGTTGTAATAGGAGATGTTGTTTCAGTTTGTGGTTTTTTTTAACCTGTTTGGCTGTTCTTCTGACAGCTTTTGACCTGTTTGGATAATCCTCTGTAACAACTGTTGACCTGTTTGGTTGTTCCTCCAACAATTTTTTTACATGTTTAGTTGTTTTTTTCCTGCTTGGTTATTCCTCTTTAACAACTTTTTACCTGTTTGGTTGTTTCACCAACATTATTTTTAAAGATTTAGTTATTCCTCTTTAACAACTTTTTACCCATTAAGTTATTCCTCTTTAACAACGTTTTAACTGTTTGGTCGATCCTCTTAAACAACTTGTTACCTGTTTGGTTTGGTTAAGTTGTTCCTCTTTAACAACTTTTTACCCGTTTAGTTATTCCTCTTTAACAACTTTTTACCTGTTAAGTTGCTCCTCTTTAACAACTTTTTACCTGTTAAGTTGTTCCTCTTTAACAACTTTTTACCCGTTAAGTTGTTTCTCTTTATCAACTTTTTACCCGTTTAGATATTCCTCTTTAACAACTTTTTACCTGTTAAGGTGTTCCTCTTTAACAACTTTTTACCCGTTTAGTTATTCCTCTTTAACAACTTTTTACCCGTTTAGTTATTCCTCTTTAACAACTTTTTACCCGTTAAGTTGTTCCTCTTTAACAACTTTTTACCCGTTAAGTTGTTCCTCTTTAACAACTTTTTACCTGTTAAGTTGTTCCTCTTTAACAACTTTTTACCCGTTAAGTTGTTTCTCTTTATCAACTTTTTACCCGTTTAGTTATTCCTCTTTAACAACTTTTTACCTGTTAAGTTGTTCCTCTTTAACAACTTTTTACCCGTTTAGTTATTCCTCTTTAACAACTTTTTACCCGTTAAGTTGTTCCTCTTTAACAACTTTTTACCCGTTAAGTTGTTCCTCTTTAACAACTTTTTACCCGTTTAGTTATTCCTCTTTAACAACTTTTTACCTGTTAAGTTGTTCCTCTTTAACAACTTTTTACCCGTTTAGTTATTCCTCTTTAACAACTTTTTACCCGTTAAGTTGTTCCTCTTTAACAACTTTTAACCTGTTTGGTCGATCCTTTTTAATAACTTTGGTTGTTCCTCTATAAAAAATTTTCTACCTGTTTGGTTGTTCCTCTGTAACAACTTGTTACCTGTTAGGCTGGTCCTCTATGGCCCGTGTTCAATTAACGTTACCTGACAGTGTTGTTGTTTCTGTGCACTTTAAAGAGGATTTTTATTCTCTTTTTTTTTGTTTGCAGGTGTGAAGCGTGAGCACGGAGAGTTTTGACCTGAAGTCTGTTTAATCTGCAAATTTACCAAATGTGAAGTTCCTGTTTGCTCACTCACCGATGAGGCCAAAGACATGTAGAGAGGAAGCTTCACTTCTGAATGCTGCCAGTCTGTAAAAATAAGCCCCTGTTTTGACAGTTTCCTGCCTTAACACACCCACAGGTGTTTTTATGGCTCATAGCTCTGCCCAGGCTTTGTGAACAAGAAGGACGACTTATCAGCTGAGCTGGTAGCGTGCATGCTTTCCCAGTGAGCTCACATAGCTGCTGGGCCAACTCGAGCAAGAACAGCTTAAATCCAAGTGAGCAGACTCATTTTGATTCACCTCCAGGCGGCTCAGTGAGGGGGGATGACAGCTGTGGTGGGACGGGCGTGGGGGTGGGTGTGCTCCTGGGGCGGCGGCGGCAGTAAAGCTGAGAATACTCCCACAGTAACAGCTGAGGAGCAGAAGCAGGTCACCCGGACGAAGAAAGGGTGGACGTCTTGGCTCTGGGGTGGATGGAGACGTCAGAGTGACCACGGCAGCCCAGTGGAGGAGTTCTGGGAGGCCCAGGAGAAACTGCAGCCCATGGAGATAGAGGTTGTGCGTGCAGGGAAGCAGGAGCCAGATCCAAAGCCACATCAGGTCTCCAGATGGTGGAGTAAATTTATCCCAACCTCCTACCTCCCCTGGCCAAGAAAAACTGAGCCCAGTGGGATGAAGCGGAGGAAGCGGGATGGTCGGGGTGGAGATGATGTTGACGGGGACTTTTCAGACTATGGGACACCGCCTCCATCCCCTACACCCTCCTCTCGTATAACGTCTCCTTTCCGACTCTTTGTGAACAGCTGGACGCTGGATATCCTCCCAGAGCACCACGAGATCTGCTTCAACTTCCTCCGCCACCTCTTTGACCTGTTTGTGGTTGGATTCCTGTGGACCGTGTCCCCACCGACCAAGCTGATCCTAGAGGTCCTGGGGGTGCATGGCGCTCTGAGGCTGTGGCTCCACGGCATGGCGATGTTCTTTGTGTCCACGGTGGGGATGGCGGGGTTACTCTGGCTGGTTCAGGAGTACCTCCCTCAGTTCGCCCTGATCTATGGGATCATCCAGGCGCTGGTCATCTCTGTGAGCGTGCGGCAGAGCGTCCTCCTCGACACGGAGGAGGTGGAGGGGGACCGAGAGACGGAGAAGGAGGAGGAAAAAGTGACTGATGATGTGAAAGAGAGAGAACACAAAGAGAAGAGTGTGTCAGCAAAGGACAAGGTGAAGACGAGTTAGACTTCAGGTGAGCTCCATATTTTCATTTCAGTGACAGCTTTCAGTTATAAAGTCTGACTGAGAGGCAGCATAATGAAAACCTGCTGATCAAGAGGCGCAGCTGATGACAGACACACACACACGCGCACTCTGACAGGTGGAGCTGCAGCTGTACTTAAGCTTCGATCTGCTCAGTTTAAACTCTGCTGGTCTGAATTCACAAATACATGAAGCTACTGGAGCTCTGCAGAAGAAAAGGCCCTAAAAATGACACAGGTAACAGGATTTTGGCTAAAAACTTCATAATCACAATTTAAAGACCACTGTGAACACTTAAAGTGGATAAAAAAAATGATTGGAGTGGGACTTTAAGAGTTTAGCTGAGTTCAAGCACTTAAGTTCGCACAGTCAGCCACATTTACCAAACAGACTGATCCTTGATGTGACTGCACTTTGGAGCTAAATCAGGTCATAAATAACTGAACAAAAAAGTGGTTTGAGAATAATTTCCCAAATTTTCAAGGATAAAAATAAACTTGAAAATTCACAAAAACTAAGCTGCAATTTAATGAGGAAGAAGTATTTAGATTTTCATGGAGATTAACATAAAAATATATGAAAAAGTATGTAAATGTGAAAAACCAGAATGAAGATTTTACAAGAAAAAGGGAAAATTACAAAATTATAATAAAGGACAATTAAATTAATGGATATACTGTTGCATTTTAAAGTTTGGTTTGGAAATCATCCGGTAAACTATGAGACAAATTTAGTAAATAAACAAGAAAAAGTTTTAATATAAAAAAAAAAGTCCTGATTTGATTTAAAAAAACATAACATATGAAAATAAACATGAAAAATGAAAACCATGTAAGTTATAATTATATATGAATAAACTTAGCTGGAATAAAACTAAAGAATAAAGTTGAACATTTACAGCTGAGTGTGTTTTTTCAGGATCAAGTCATTAATAATAATAATTACAATAATAGTTTGTCAATGATTATAATAATATGTTGACTTAAATGAGATGTGATGATCCCAGAAGGCCAAACTGCAGCTGGTTTTACTTTATTTATTTGTGCAGTTATATTTGGGCCTGTCCCACTTTATTCACAATAATAACAATAACCTTTTAAGACACTGAGAACACCTGACTGAGAGCACCTTTCCTCAGAGCTACTTTGAATACTTCCTTCCTGGGTGATGACAGTCATTTGAATGCAGCTCTTCCTGGAGTTCTTATTTATAATGTGGAACTTCTATTTTTACACAGTATATGATCTGAGGTCTTATTCCACTTGCTTTAAGAGACACGCTAATATAGGAGAGGTTTGAGTTTCCTGCAGGAGGGTCTATAATTCAGTGTGTGCTCTGCTTGTGCTCTGACAGATTTATTTCAAGTTCTTATTTGTTTTTCATAAACCTCAATAGTTCACTGTATTTATCCTCAGCCTGTAAACAGTCTGAATGAACTCCGTGGAAAGCCGCATTTTAAAGGCTTCTTCGATCACCTCCATTAGCTGTTGCTGTGCCTTGAAAACAGGTGTCAGTGTTTCATTTCTTTAATATCAAAGTTTAAAACTCTGATGTGGTAAAACCTCGAGTTCAGACTGCATAATGACTTTTTTATTATTTTAACACAGGTTCTAGTTATTTGTGCAGACCTATAAAAAGTGCAGTAAAGATTAAGCAAGTTAAACTCAGAGTTTAAAGAGACATGAATGTAAACATGTTCTCTTTTTAGTCTTAAATATGATTTATGTGATAATGGTGTTCACAGTTGAAACTTAAAGGTAGAGTTTCTGTCACCTGTAGGATCAGAGAGTGTTTTATTTAAACGTCAAACATCCTGAGAAAGTTGAGCATGTTTCTGTTTGGATCTATTCTGCAGTTTCAAGGATTATCTGACCTGAAACAGTAGATTCATGTCTTTCTATTGAAGCTGCTTGAAATAAACCACTCACACTGTGAGACCCTGTTGAATCTATTTCCATCCTGTTACCATAGAAAAGTCAGTGTGACGTCCTCTGATTGGTGTGAAACCTCTGACAGAGAGCAGCTCAGATCCTGTGGGAGTTGAATATAATTCAGTTTATCAGCCCGAGGCGTGTGATCCTCTGATTTATAATTATCTGTCCTCTCTCAGAGATACAGTCTGTCCTGATCCTGCACCTTCACACAGACTGACGTATGTTTAAAGAAGAGAGAAACTGACTCATATGAGTCGTGTTTAGATGAGAGTGAGCTTCTGTATTTTTCAATGTTTTTATGCATATACTCACGATTAGTAAGATTAGTGGGGTTTTTTTTTCAAACTTATTTTCACCTCAGTTTTACCCCGCACATTAATTCAAAGAAAACCTGTTTCTGTACTGTGTGCATGGCCTCCAGCTCTGCCTGTCAGCTCCTGTGTCTGAACAGTTTATCAGCTGTTAGTATCTTCAAGACGCCCCCTCTTGTTTTCATCTTTGCTTCTGTTGTAATAACCCTTTATGGATTGGTCTCTTTGGGCTGAATCAGACGAGAAAAGAAATGGAAAATATAGTAATAATTACAGTACTTTACAGTCTCCTGTTATTCAGCCGGAGCTGCCTCCTCCTGTTTTGAGTCAGATTCTGGGCCACATGTGTGTTCTGGCACAGGTTCACTGTATTTGTATTTGTATTTGTTTATTTAGCACAGATTAGAAACAGTGCAGGGAGGGAACGAAGCCGATAGGCTTATACAAAGTTCCACTCCCATCAGGACAGAGAAAGCATAAGGTGCAGACAACTAAGTAACATAGACAGGTTACACATGTACAATGATTAGGGAAAGGTCAAACAGATACAAATTGCCATAAACGGAACACAGACAAATCCGCAAACAGTGATAAAGACAATAAAGTACTCATAAAAAGGAAAGAAACATGATCATAACAAATAATGATGTATTTAAGACATTTGTTTCTGTGGTTCTTCTGCATCTGCACCAGCCTGCCCCTTCCCTACTCTAACAGCATTCAGGCAGCCAATCAGAGCAGAGCCTCTTCATTATGATGTTGGTCACTGCATTGTAGGGGTGGGAATCACTAGTGACCCCCTATGGATAATACAGCGAGTATTGTATTACCATATATTGCAATTTATACAATTTTTTCAACTGTTTAACTAATTTAGTATTGTCCTCCCTTTATGTTTGTCTTATTTATGCTGTATTTTATTTTCATGTAGCACATCTTGCAAACCTTGTATTTGTTGTACTAACTTCTCCTGCTCTATGATATCACCTCTGCCAACCTCACTGGTCAAACAGTTGATTTTAATTTTCAATTATCATAGATTTGACTTCATATTAGCCATTAGTTAGAAAAAATCAATACTTGATAAATGAGACGATACGATGTATCACCAGACAAAATATTGCGATACTATTCTGTTTCGATTTTTTTCTCCCACCTCTACTGCATGGACAATGAGGATCTGTTATACCCTGCAGTCCTGCAGTCACTTATCTGTGGATAAGTATCAGTGTAGTGATACTCAGCTGTGTATCATGTATTCTGCTGTCTTAGTAAGATATCAGGAGTTTGAGATGACTTAAAAGATCTGACAGGAGCAGTTACAGAGACCAGCTTAACTGTTTAAGAGTCTTTCAGTTCTTCTTCAGCTTCTTTTGAATCTGCAGGTTTATATTTAAAGTGCGCAAAAGTAAATAACATTTAACTCAGATTATTTTACAATAACATTTCTGTATTTTCCCACATAAATAAACTATCCTTGTCTTCTTCACAGATGCCGAGGCTCTGCAGTCTACTCAGGAGTCCACTAACACCTGCGTCACACCTGTATGAGCGCTGCGAGTGTGTGAGACCACACAGGGACTTTTACCTGCAGCTGGACTCACCTGTTGTATTGCACACTTCCTACAAACTGATAGACATTGTTCTTGTGTCACTTTATGTTCAACACTATATACCTGCAGTTTCTATTTTTGTTGTCACCTGAGCGTTGATTTAATCACACTGAGGGTTATGAATGTGAGAGACAGGTAATGTTATGCAGTATTTAAAGATTTTCTCTGTTGGTTTACTTTTATTCTTTCATGTTGGACTTCTTCTCTGATCACTAACCGCCGGCTTCCTTTAGTTCAGTCTGGGGGAGAAGAAGTTCATGGAAACATAATCAGATTATCAGATGGAAAAGGCAGAAATACACAGAATCAGCAAACCTCTGCTTTTTTCAAGCTACAAAATGACCCCTGAGACATTAAAAGATCTTATTTTATTTAAAGAAGAGTTATAGTTACACGGAAGTGGAGTTGAACTTTCTGCACAGTGTCATATTTAAACAGAGAAAGATATGCTTGTTTGGAGTCATTTCATTTAAAGCTCATGTAAAGAAGGAGACATGAGGTTTTGTAGGTTTTCAGCTTTACTTACAGACTGGAAAGTCTAAATATTCACCTGCCTGCGTCACAGATGAATCCACACATCCTCTCCCACCCCTGAGTACATCACAGTGCAGAGCCATTGCATGTGTACTGCATGCAAAGCAGCCTGGTGTGAGTATCAACCAAGCTACAAGGAAAAGAGGCGAAATCTCTACATGCTGAATGGAGCAAATGTATGTTTCTAATGCTTTCGTAATGCATGCAGGAACGGTGGAAATATCTGCACAAAATCATCAGGTACAGAAAAATGTGTTCCAGCTGTTGCTAAATATTGGACGCAAAGATCAAATTTTACACTTTTCATAACACTAAAAACATCCAACTGCAAGGTGACTTTATAGTGTTTGCAAAGATTAGATTTCCCTGCAAGAGCACAGGTGAGCCATGCTTTCCTCAGGTTTGCAGGTCACATCTTAAAAATTTCATTTGGAGGATGAGATGAAAATGTTCTGACCTTTTTTTTTATTATAGCACAGGGTTTTGGATAAAAACTATCGCTCAGTTAGAAACAGAAAAGTGGATATCTGACTTTCTGCAGCTGTAAAAAAGGAGAGAATCTGATTGGCTGGTTTGAACTTAGCTAAAATGTGATCTTTCTCTTTCTGAGTCAGCCTGAGTCAGCCTGACTCTGTGTGACTCTCAGACTGCAGGCTGAAACATCTCTCTGTGTTCAGTCTCTCTGATCATTCCTGAAGACTTTGGATCTCCGAAGTAAATATGGGACCTTTTTTTTTAAATTTTCAAAGCTATATATCCAATCAGGAGAGGTTTGACTGTGATGGTCTCTGCAGCACAGTCAGATCCCACCTCGTTCGTTTCTGAGCTGTGAACCTGATAACCTCAGAGGTCAAGAAAGTCACACACAGCCCAATGAAAACAAAAGTGTCTTTGCTCCAAACTGTGAGGAGTGATGTTGATACTGAGCCGTTATCGGAGGTGAAGAGGTGTGGAGTAAAACCACTGCTTTGCTCTTTAATGTGTCACTGTTACAGGAAATTTTTGTTAAATGATGTTTCAGACTTCCTGGAGTCTTTCTTCAACCTGAACTTTAAGAGCATGTTTCTTCTACCTGAATGTTTTTCCAGTGTGGAGTTTTAAACGTGAGCCCAGAAAGTTATTCTAGGGCTGTTTTCTCATCCATAGACTACAAACCACAGCATCAGTCTGCTCACGCAGTCTAATACTGATCATGTGACAGGAGGAGAGTTGGTCACTTTGTTGAACAGACTGATGGGATCGTGCCTTCAAAGGAGCAAAAATCAGGATGCCTAGGAGGAGGAGGAGGGACCAGCTTCCACTGCAGATTTGATGGTTTACACACCTGTCAATCAAATGGACAATCACACTACAAAGTCAAGTTAAAGAAAGCCATCAGAGATCCTGAACCCAGCAGAGACTCTTCACAGTCAAATGTGTGTTTTAAGACAAGTTAAAAAAAAAAAAAGTTTGATATTTGGTTGGACAAGCATCAATCAGCCTCTGAGGACAGGACCTCAGCCTCTGGGGGCGGGGCTTCAGCCTCTGCATATTTCTCATGGTTCATTAAATGTTCATGAATCTGTTTTATATTTTAATATTTAGTCTGAACTGAAAGGTGGACTGAGACTCCTCTCCCTCACAAACACCATTGTTGGCGCGCGTTGTGTTTAGAGATTGTAACACCAGCAACAGATATTATCTCCATGTTTCTGTGCCATCATGTTGCTTGTTTGAATCTTTATAGGGAATGTTAACCTCACTCTGATGTGTTTGTATGGGTTTTTACCTCCTTGTTATGCTTCAGAGTTAACGGCACAAAATAAAACACCCAACACCAAACTTGTTTCTGATTTCATAAGAACCAATGTAAGTCACAGCCTCTGAGATTCAGCTGAAAATAAAAACATCTCCTTTACTGAAAAAAATGAGAAGAGAGAGATGAAAAGGGTGACTCCTGTATTGGCTAAGGGAAAAGGTTAATCAGAACATGATAGACACCAGGTTTTGAACTATTATGTTTTTCTATTCCTGAAACAAGACCAGGAACAATCATCCATCAGTACTTCACCAACCAGCCCAGGAGGAGTTTTTATCCTGTTAGGAAACAGCCTCGTGAATCTAACACATTTTTTCACAGTATTATTATATATAAATATTACTGTTGACTGACACACTTCCCTGCTAACATAGGCTGTGTCTGAAATGGATCCCTAACCCTTATATAGGTGACTATATGGGGGTTAGCACCATTTTTAGGGGTGTCCGAAACCTGAGTGATCATTTGCAATGCTCCCTATAGGTGACTCAAAATTTCCCATAGAGCATTGCAAAATGTAGTGACCGTCCGATGGTCACTTACCAGTGGTGGACATCCCGTCATGCATTGCGTCTCCGGCGGCAGTTCAAAGATGGAGGTGTGCCATGTAGTGTCCGAGACCTCTGTTGATTGAGCTCACTACATAGTCAGCTATATGGTGAAAATCCATATGGGGGTTAGGGGTTAGGGATTGAGTGATTCATTTTGGACACAGCCATAGATAATCTCTTAAAGCAAAGGTAGGAGATGGTTCTGCTTTGTCCACAGGGTGGTGCCAAAATCAACACAAACCCAGAGTCTCTCACAGGAGCTTTAAGGCCTCTAAAGTTCATCAGGACGCTCAGAAACACTCAAAGTCAAATCAGTGTTTTTGTGTCTCTTCAGGGACTTAAACACCAGCCTCCCTGTTCCCACCAAAACAGCTGAATTATGGGTAAACAGTGAGCAGCAACGACTCCTCTTTGGTCCTGGTCTAACAGGATGACTCTCACTGGAACAGCCAAGTTTGGAGATTATTTCCCTCTGGCCCCGCCCTCAGTACAGGTGTGGGAGGGGCTTAGAGTAGTTGAACATCAGGTGGTCCATGCGGTAGAAGTCGTAGACTCTCTGCCGTTCTGTGGCGTTCAGCTGGGAGAAATATTTCTTCATGATGGCAGAGGACGTCCTCTTGTCCTGTGGGTTCCTGTCCTTATAGTCGGGGTACCAGACATTTGGTGGTGCTCCGATGCTCTGCAGCAGGAAGTTGGCTTCGCCATTCATGTTTTCAAACTTGCCAATGAAGTCGTAGTGAATCAGGCAGGGGTGACACAGCAAGCTAACAGGCCTCCAGTGGACGTCCAACCCCACTGGACGCCGCCGTGGGTCCAGCAGGTACTGCACGAACTCTCTGAAGGTGACACCATCCCCGGTTGTCAGGCTTTCCTCTGAGGCGTTGGCGCGGTACCTGCTGATGATGGCACGTCCATACTTGAAGTGGTAGTGCTTCTCTGAATTCTCAAACTTGTCTCTAAATGCAGACACCAGCCGCTCAAAGGGGTCCCTGACAAACAGTATTTTAGTGTAGTTGCTCAACTTCTCCAGAAAGTCCTCAGGTTTGTAATACCTCAGGCGTCGCAGGTGCGGGGCTTTATGCACTGTGTCATGAGAGATGTTGAGCACAGAGGAGGCTTTACCTGCCAGAACCATCAGCACTCGTTTCCAGTTGGAGCAGCCGGCTTTTGGCACCTCACAGTACAACAACTTTGATCGGTCCTCCACAAAGATCTGGGTCACGTGTTGCCTAGAAGGGAGCTTCTCCCAGAGGTGAGAGTAGTATTCAGAACAAACGTCATCCAGCAGGCGGTGGCGTGAGTTCTGGATCCTTGCCTGCTGCTGCAGTTTTTTCTTCCATCCAGCAGGACTGTCAGAGGGCCATGGTCTGTTCATAAGCTTGTTGACGGCTGGGTCAGAGTCAACAAGGTCCTCCTACAGAAAGAAAGAAAGAACGGGGGGCACGGGTAAACTGATTCAACAGACAAACAGGATCCCAGTCATCACATGAGAAAAATCCTCAATCAGTCAGACATTATGAAGTTTCTAAAGCTAAATATTCTCTTGATTCTGATTGGTCAAAACCCAGGAACAATTACGGTCATCATCAGCAGGTACCGCGCCAACACCTCAGAGAGAGCCCTGACAACCAGGGATGGTGTCCGTATATGCGGGAGGCGGAACCAAGTTGTCCATAGTAAATACAGTCTATGGGCAACTTTTATCCCTGAGCCCCCAGAAAACAAGACAGCGACACCCAATGCACACAAAGTAAACTGCAACTCATAATGATACAACATACTCATACATATTTGGCTCCCACACCAACCCTGCTCAAATGACCCCATTCTGTCTCGAGACACCTAATTGGATCTTATTACAGGTTCAAACAGCCAACAAGTGGTTTACTGAGCATTGCATCCTCACCTGCAGCTGCAGTTTTTCCCTCTGGCCAGATGGTTTGCTGGTGATCGAGGCGATTTTCAGATTTTTGTCTTTATGTGGGCGGAAGTCTCCAATGAACCCCTGCAGAGAGAGAGAATTTAACTCTGATTCTAGAGATAAGACACCAAAAAGATGTCTCTGTAGGTTCTCATTCATCAAGGTCATGGTTATCCACAGTTGCCCTTCAACAAAGAAGTGGACACCGATAAAATATGAGCTGAGTGAGAGAAACTTGCTGAAAATGCTGTGATGTGCAGCATCTACAGACTGCAGTCATGGATCCTCACCTGCTGCTGCAGCTCATTGCTGGAATCTGTGATCTCCAGGGTTTTGTTGTCGGCTGGTTCAGAGTCAAACACATCCACCTACAGACCCAGAGAAACTTTCACTTTTATTCTGGAGACAGACGTGATCCTGGTTTTTATGTGAATGACTCTAACAGATCTGATCCAAAGTTATTATTAACATGTTAAAAACAAAAAAGCTGCTGATGGATCAGATCTTTAGTAATTTGGTTTATATCAGATAACAGGTCATTTCTCACGTTAATCAATCTGACTTGATTCTTGTTTCCTCTCAGTTTGGTGTTTGCTTAAAAACTTTGTTTAAATCTATAGCTGCATCAGATCGTCCCTCCATCATCCCGTCTAAGTGATCATTAAACTAGCGATCTGGGTCAGTGCCCTCAGCCTCATCCTCTTCAGAAATAAACCCAAACTCAACCTCTCCTACAGGACTGGTTTCTGGCCCAAGTGTGTGTGATCTCACCTTCTCTATAGTCGGCCTCTTCTTCCAACCTGCTGAGAAACACAGAGGAGAAATATAAGTTACCACATTAGCAGCTGTTTATTTACTTCCTTCTCTATAGATGTTTTTTAAATGTTGTGTTTTGGGAGCTGGATTTAAAAGATTAAAAAGGTGATGAATTGATCCTGCTGCCGGTAAACCATCTGAAATGTCTGAAATGTATCATAATCCCCGATGTCACTAAAAGTTCTTATTTTTGTCCCTGACAGACTCTAGTAGTTATTCTTAACATGACAGAGGAATAGGATGTTATCAGACAGAAACAGCTGATCCATCACTCTCTGCAGACACACACTTAATCATTGCATCCACATATAACAGGGCCCAGAAACACAAGATTAATCAGAAGTGGGTATTCTTTTTGGAACTCAAGGACACAGCCTCCTTTGAAACATCTGCTGCCATCCACACAATGACTTTTTCGAGGAAGACCTTCATATTTGAGCAAGACAAAGACAAACCACATTCTGCAGGGATTACACCAGCATGGCCCCGTAGTAGAAGAGTCCTACTGATAAACTGGCCTGCCTGCAGTCCTGCAAAAGTTGCCAATGTTGAAATATGAAATAGAGACCGCACCGGGAGCTGGTTGTGTCTTATCATTCATGTGCATGAGCATGAGGGTAATATAAGACAGCTGCTCAAGGGAGGTTACATATATATAACACACTATATTATTACACACACACACACACACACACAAACATATATATATATATATATATATATATATATATATATATATATATATATATATATATATATATATATATATATATATATATATAGATAGATAGATAGATAGATAGATATATATAGATATATATATATATATAGATATATATATATATATATATATATATATATATATATATATATATATATTTTTTTTTTAAGCACTACAAACTCAAACACTTCCCTCTGTATGTGTTTGGAGATTTTTATCACAAACTCAGATTCTACAGACAAACAGGATTCCAGTCAGTTTGACTTGGTAGCTGTCTGAGTTCAGTCTGTCAGCGGCTGCAGGATTTGACATTTACCTCTACATCAGTGTTTTATCGAACCACACCCTGCATTTAAGGTTGTACTTCAAACATCCTGCTAATATCAGGGATCTCAGTCTTATTAAATATTGAACTCAGGATGATAACCACTTGCTGCAGAGTCAGAGCAGAAACACACTGACAGGATATACAGGAACAAAAGGTAAGAACAACAGAGAAGAAAAAACTGTGTCAGTAAGATTTGTAATGACTTCAATTACAACAGAGTCAGGGAAGTTCAAAAGGCAACTGATAAAGAACTTTCTGATGTGGGTTTGAGTTTTTCTTTGAAAGTGTGGAGCTGAGGAGAAAGACGAAGAGAGGAAGAATGAAAAGAAAGGGGACTGGAGAGGATAAAGATGAAGAGAATGGGAACCAATTAACCCACTGACCCGCAGCCAGTTGACCTGAGTGACATCACTGACCTGGGGCGAGGAGGTGCACAGGGTTGCTGAAGTCCTCCAGGTAGAACAGGAGCGGCAGAGATCCAACAACCAGCAGGAGGAAGAGCCAGAGGAGGGAGGAAGGAGGGCAGGAGGGCTTCATCATGCACACAAACACACACAGCAGGGACCTGAGGATGCACACACCTGCAGCTGAGGCAGCAGACAGAGATGATGATGATGATGATGATGATGGTGGTGATGGTGAACTATCTGCACATGCTCAGACAGAGAGAACATGAAGAGTTGGGAAAAGCTGAGAGATCAATTTAAGGTTTAAAAATTTTCTCACCTACAACTTTATTATTGACTTTTCCCCTCAGATCATACTTGAAAACACCTGAGTTGTCTCAACTTCAAGCTTATCAAACCTTCGAACCTCTGTGCTGTAAAATCCACTCATTCTGTGACCAGCAGCTTTCTGTGTATAAACTCCACTTATTTCAGCAGCTGAAGAGGTCTGAGGAGGTCTGAAGATGTCAGAGGAGGTCTCATTTTTCCTGCATATTAAACTGAACCCACAGCAGCCATAACAGGGACATTACTCAAACTTGAATTCTATCTCAGGTCCAAGAAAGTATGTTCAAATACTAACAACAGAAAGAAGAAGAAAATAACTGAGTCACTTTTTTAACCACAGATGCTTCATCACTCACCTGAGCTCTGACCCTCGTGGACGATGTGAACAGGTGAACACATGTATGAGTGTTTCTCATTCAGTGAAATGTTCAGGTGGTGTGCTTACACAGTTTGATTCTTAAGCAGGAGGATGACCCCGTGAAGGATATAACCCTCGGTTGCTTGAAGTGGGTGGGGCGGGGCAGGTTAATATAATAGAACAGGATAAGTCATGATCCTTGTAAGCCCAAACAGAAAACCAGTTTGGAGTTTCCACTTGGAGTGTCCAGATGCTGTGTAAAAACAGTCTAATGGATATAAATGATTTTAAGTGAATTAAAATGAAAATACAAAAATATAAAACAACACATCAGATATTTAAACTGCAAACTTTCTTTGATAAAAATAAGATCAACTCAATCTGTTGAACAAACCCAGTGAATAAAGATTGATGTGAGAAAGTTCTTTTTCTGATTTCTGATTTTTTTAAATTAACCTGAACATCTTAATAAGAAAATAAAGATGCAAACAATGTAGTAAGCATTACACTCTACAGCTTTATCAGGTCTCCTACTGTTTGCCATTTTAACTCTGATCAGATTACTCCATTGAACACCGGCTGCTTTTTTAACGTTGTCAGCTGAGCGGCTGACTTTCACTCAGATTAAGTCAGCCGGACCTCGACCAGTTTAATTTTCCTTTAATCAAACATCCAGATCTCTGCAGAACAGTCTGAATGAGTTCCAGTAGGGGGCAGCAGAGCGATGTTCTCAACAATGAAGACTGGACGTGTGGAGGTGAGTTTAATCACAGTTGAAAACTTTATTTCACATTAAATCTGCTCTCATTATGTTCAACAGTATATACAGAAAGGTGCATTACAAGGACGATGTACATATGCAACAGTGTGTGCAGATAAGAGGACACAAAGTGCTGATAATGAGCTGAGAGTTACACACACTGCTGTCAGACAGGCTGAAGAGGAGGAGGAGGAGGCTGACACAGGTGAGTCCCTGCAGGCATGCACCTTCACCTTTACCTCTACCTCACCTGAGCTGTCCTCCGTATGAGCAGTGCTGCTGATACGCTCTGTACAGTCTGATAGAGGCTGCGTCTAACTGGTCTATTTGAGTGAAATGATGAAAAATCAAACATGAACTTTCCTCCCTCTTCACTCCGAATCTCAAAAACTCCTCGCTCGGATGCCACTCAATACAAAAACACTAAATCCTAAATATCTGAGGAAACTTTCCATTAAAAAAAATCAATCAAGCAAATGAACAAACACTCACAGCACCATCCTTCAGTGAGGCAGAGAATAAATTAAAGACCTGTGTGATTCATGTTTAAGCCCCGCCCCCTGCTCCTCAGGTGTGCTCCAACTAAACCTGATTTATACAACTGCATCAAAAGTACCTCACATCATGCCCCTTAGGTTAGCCTCATACTCATCTCTTCAAAGAAAAAATTACAGCTGAGTCCTGATCCAGGAGCGGCAGAGTCCCAGAACACATTTGAAGACTCCTGCGAATCAGTCGTACTTTTTCTGGTTCTGCACTGTTGAAAGTTTTGGTCTTACTCTGTGGTGAACTGTGCTGACGGTTTAAGACAGACAAACTGAAATTGGTGTTAAAATTACACAACATTAGCCATGCTAGCTAGTTAGCCAGCCTCTTGCTAAGCGACAAGGGTGGCGCCATGAAATACCGGTGTGAGAGACTGGTGATGTAATTCTCCAAAAGGTAGACTCAGTTCAGTTTGACCTGACCTGGCCTTCCAACGGAGGCCATGAAAACTGGGTCCTTCAAAAGCTGTATGGTCTGGTCTGGGTAGCATCATATTTCCTGCATTTAAAACACTTTCCACGACCTCGGCCTACGCTGACTCAGTGACTGTGGGGTAAAGGTTTCAGGTTATTGTCAGAGCTTGATGTTTGAGAGTGTAGCAGAGCGAATCAGATGCTCCAGCACACAGGGATGTCGATCTCTTGAGGGTACAGAATCAGACGTAAACCAGGATTAATCCAGGTCTACATTGAGTTAGCTGGACCAAGTTATAAGGCTAACTCAGGTGTGCTGCAGGTAAACAGAGGAGGTTTGAACCTCAGAGAGACTGAGCTGATCTCAGATCTGTACTAAGCTCTCAGAGAACTAAAGAGAACCTGCTGACGGACTGATCTGTTCTGGGACTGATGATGCTTTAGAGTTTTCAATATTTTAACAGCTGATGGTTTCCAGCATGAATTTATCAAATCTGCAGCAGATCTTTGGTTTCTGTGTGGATTTTGGTGTTACCTTAAACCTCAAATAAAGGTCTTGGATTATAGATTGGGTCATTTCAAAAGTCTGCTTCTGGATCAGGTTGTTCAGTTTAACTTTGAAAACCAGGACTTAACTGAACTATAATATCTGATCCCGGACAGAAAAAGAGAAGAGCCAGGTCGGCATCAGGACAGGGTCTGTCTGAGTTTTTGATAGTGTGGCTTTAAAATTCAACATGATGTGTAAATGTTTTCAGTTAGAGTCCTAGACCTTAGACAGTCTCAAACATGAAGAGTGGTGAGCAGGGCTGAACTCTGATTCTGATGGACCGACGTGTTTCGGAGTCAGTCTTAAAGCTCCTGTGAGGGTCTGTGTTTGAGATGGGTTTGGCGTCCCCTGCAGACCAAATGGCACCTTTTTAAGACATATTTTTAATTTTTTGGATCTGCTGTCAATTCAACAGCCTCTCTAGAGTCTTAAATTCAAGGAATCAATGTATAAACCGGGTAACCTTGGTCTGGGTGGTCCTGTTTGTCAAAAGTTACCATCAGTGTAGATTTTCCTAACCATTCAGAAAGCCTCCTGGGAGATTTATGTTGAGTTTCAGCAGAATTAAAAGCAGAAAAATAAATAAATAAAAACACTGTTATTCTCCTCAGTTTCCCTCTCAGTCAGAAAGTTCAGCACGCTGAAGAACATCGAGTATCAGCTCTGAAGGCTTTTACCTCATTACTGTGGCCGAGGGTTTCCCACAGAGAGTTTCAGGGGAGCTGATGGCTTCCTCTGAAAGTGCTCTTAGATTCTGTTTATCTCTGATTCTGTTGGTTGAAATAATCAATGTGTAGCCGCTGAAAAAGGCCTGACCAGGAAAACACTGACTGAATGACAGAAGTGATTCAATCTGCAAATCCAAATCTTTCCTGACTTCATTTTCACAAAGATTTGGATAACCACAACCTGGATGAAGAAGAACCTACTCAGACATTATCAGTGCTCAAACCTGCGGAAACACTGATGCTGTAAAATCATCTCCTTCAGTAGACAATGAAGGAGAGAGATGTCCTAATCACTGTTATATCTAATCACTGAGAATGCTCTGTGCTGTCTGAACTGACTGATTCCTATTTTCAGAGCAGCAGTTGGATTTTCTGACTTTATTACAGGTCACTGAACACAGCGTCTGGTCTGCCCCTCCCCAATACTGATGGAGCTAAACTAAAGACAGAGTGCATTCTGAATGATGTGTGAGAAACCCCTTACCCCCACCCCCCCTCCATCAGCCTCATTAGTGCGTGTGTGCCCCTCCAGAGTTTGGGGGCCCTGGGGCCCCCCGGCCCCCCCTCTGTCCGTGGTCTCTCCTGCCGTGACCGAGGATGCAGTTAGCGCTGCCGCATCCTTCCTCATCATCCTCTCCCTCGCTTTCAGAGGACGACTCTCCAAACTGTCGGGGCTTCTCGTAAATACAGCAGCCTACAAGACAACACCCAGGATCAAAACTCATTTAGATGAAACAGCAGCCTGTAGACAACATCCAGGGTTAAAATGCATTGAGATAATACAGTAGACTGTAAGACAACACTCGGGGTTAGAGCCTCACTATGTAAAACACAGACGGACTGGTTTTCACAGATTCTGGTGTCAGGAATAGATTTCACACAGCCCAGCTAAAAATAGATCCATGCTGCTGGATTCACTCAGAAGTGTGAGTCACAGAGTTTTTCCTCAATTTGAATTTTTCTTGGCGTCTTTGTGCAGAAGATGGTTAATTAAAGGGATGATGAATGAAAAGAAAACAGTTCGATAAATTGAAAAAAAAAATGGCTCACTTTTTTTTAAACAGTATTATACAGACTGTGAACACAGACAGGTGAGGATCTGAATCTGCTCTTCTATCAGATTTTAAAGTGGAAGATGTAATTTTCCCAACTTTGCTCCTTTCTGCCTGTATGTTCATGTCATGCTTCCTTAAATTTTGTTAAACCCTAAACCGTAAGTCCAAACTGCCCTTTCATGTTCTGGTATATTTATGTGTATCCTGGTTATCCACCTCATCATGTATGTTGCCATGGTGTCTTCAGGCACAGTCAGGAAAAAAAAAGGTCTCAAAGTTGTGAAATTAGAAAGTGTGAAAATTAATGATATTTTTTTCTTCCAGTTTATATTTAGAAAGTTTTTTTTTTCATCTTTCAGTTGCTTCTGTGATCACATGTTCAACATCTAAATTCGAGAGGATGAGACCTGGTCAGTTTGTACATCCTGCTTCTTCATTTTAACAGCTGACCTATCCAGGTTTTTCCGGGTTTAATCCCCTGAATAATCCAGGGTGTAGAAGAGGGTCAGCTGGAGAGTGTAAAACCTGTAAACTCTCTTGCTGGGTCAGAAACATGTCAGTGTTTCATGAAGACAAAGATGGACTCACACTTTGAGGATCGTCTCCCAAGGTGCTCGTTGTCGACGGTGTCACTGGACCACTCCACCTTCTTCTCTGTCTTCCTCTTCCTCAGTTTAATGGTCAGACTGCGTCCCTCCTGAGAGATGTGGCACAGGGACACAACTGTGAGGGACTGGTGTAGACCGGGCAGAAGACTTACAGGGACACAAGGCCTAACTAAGCAGAGAAACACCTCTGTGTGCTCTAAGGGAGGACTCTCACTGAAGCGCAGGAACAGAGCGCTTATTCACTCATATTTGCCCTCAGTAAAGCCTGACCAAAGGCTGATCATTCCTGCACGGCTTTAGGACATGCATGTTCAAGTTCTGTAAACACTTAAACTCTGTAAATCAGGAATCCAGTTTGAAAGTTGAATAAATAAAAAATCTGTTGATGTTTTTGGACTGCCCTGACTGTCAAAACAACAACAGCAACAACAAAAAAAACATTTTTTTAAGCATCACATGACTTTTTACCTGTTTGGTTGTTCCTCTAACAACCTCTTACAAACAGGATGTTGCAATAGTCTTTCATTTTTCAATGTTAACATTTGACACAATGTTTTTGCACCATTTCTGATCAAATAGGAGCTTTCAATGATCTGCAAACCATTAAATTCTGCTTTTAATACATTCCAGACGAGCATGTTGGGGGCCAATCAGATCTACAGAGGGGGCAGAGCCACCTGTATCCTCCCATTTGGACACGCCCCTGCTAATACTGCATCCCGAGGGGCCCGGTTAGTGGTGGTTGATGTTAAATAGTCCATTAGCTCCACTAAAGCTGCATTGTGAAGCCTCATCAACCCAACCCTAATTTAACCCTCAGTCTGGGTGAAAACATGAACACTGTGTTCCAGCTGCAGGTCGAGGCCTCGCTGCTGGTCTGGTGTTAGTTAGCACTGGTGTTATTCCTGGTTATTAAACCGTCATAATCCTCTCCCCGGTCTGCTCCTCTTCATCCCCAGTTACCTGCTGGGGCGGCGGCGGTGTGCCGGTCTGGACCGTCTCCGTTATCGTCTCACTCGATGTCCCGGGAACCTCCGCCATACCTGCGGCTGCTGTGCTAACGCTGCCGTTAGCTGGCCTGGATGTTACCAAGCTGTAGTCAGAGATAAACAGACTGTAATGAAAAACTACGGCAGCTACAGGGCCTATAGTTTGTTCTTTAAATCGTAAAAGAGTCAAATTAAAGGCTGTTGACGGAAACACGGTCTACTGTCTGAGGAGGGAAGTGGCTAACGTACAGCAAGCTGTAAAATCATTCTGCGTTCATGTAAAAGCCAAACAATCGGAAAAATTAGACTCGTACTGTGAAAAATATACTTTTCATACGAATATCGGCTCGGCCCTCATCGTTCGCTGCTCTGCATAAACAGAGACAAATCAGCTATAAGCATTAGAACAATGCAGTGAATCTGTAACCTCAGTGTTGTTTTTGTTATAATACTAAGAGCTTGTGAACATACCGAAGCCAGAAGAACCACTCTGAGTTTGTAAGGTTAATAATCCGAGGAGTACATGAATGCAGCATGAGCCATTGCGATTTAAACAGGAAATGCAATCTTTTCACGTTAAAAGCCTTTTTATACAACAGCGATAAACACGGTTTCAGTTTACATGATACGCTGCAAGTTAACTTTAATCTTGGTTTTATTTTAACTACAAGAAAAAAAATCATATTTTTATTGGTTATTTTAAAAATAGTCCAAATATTAAGTCCTTTTTTTGAGACGAGAAGTTAAAAATCTCTAAATAAAAAGTCAAAATAATGGTAAAATAAAAATAAAACAAAACTCACAATTACGTCACAAAAAGTTTTACATCTGAGTTGGATTGTTTAACCTGTTTTTTAACCAGAAGAAAACCTCATCAAGATTAAAAATCTCTTTTTCAAGAGTGTCCTGGTCAAGACAGCAGCAGTGAACAGAGTTTCAGACATACATAAAAACAGTCATACTCATACATCAAACAATATAAGTAGTCCATTACATACACGAAAGAATTTAAGCAGCAGCAGTTTATCAGAAGCAGCCAGAGTTAAGAAATAATTGAAGCATTTGTATCCAGATGTGTCTGCCTCCATCTTTCAACTTTCCCTTAAAAGTATCCAATGAGATTTGTTCAGACTCAATGCTCCAAGGGATATGAGGTAAAAAATTTTACTTTTCCTACCGAGGTGGAAATTTGCACTGCTTTTGAGACAAAAGTCATAATAAAGATATTCCTTTATTAGTTCCACAGGGATAAAAGTCATAACTAACTAATAAAACAGCCAAATTGTTGAAAGTGGCAATCATTACAAAAAAGTCTTAACTATGAGGAAAAAGGATAGAATATTAAATAAAAAGTCATGGATAACAGACAAGAACAGTTGTCTGTCAAAGTAGTTTCTTTTGTTGTTTTATTTTGAAAGTAGAAAGGATACCGTTTTGTTATTTTGCTTTACAGCGGAAGTCTCTGAGGGAAGATTTTTACGGACGGACATCTCGGTACAGTTTTCGTCCGTCAGGAAACATTGTCCTCATGCTGGTTATAAACTGACAGATTTAAGACCAGACTGAAGTTTATATTTAAATATTGTATCGGAATTTATTTATAAAACATTAACATTATTTCGCAGTTTAAATTATGACGTTTAGTGGATTTCAGCTCTAAGGAGTCAGTGTGAAGGTCGCATGAGCGGTAAGTGAACTCACTTGTGTAAACCTTACCTGTCTATACCCCACCACCTGTGGGTTTAACCTGTTCATACCTGCGTGTTTGTTTTCAGGGTGTAGCTGAGGATGTGGAGGACAGGTGGGGTCTTGGGGGGGAGAGGTGTGAGCAGACTCTGCTCAGGTATCCGGACACAACCTCCTCCCTTGTCCTCCTCCTCCTCTTCATCATCATCATCAAGACCTCAGGTGGAGAAACTGAAGAGAAGGAGACAGAAGGACGAGTCCATTCAGACTGGAAAGCCTAGAGTGAGTATTCATCATGAAATAACTGCCTATAATAAAGACAGTTAAAGGGACAGTCTGCTGTTTTTGTGTTTAGGATGCTGAGGAGAAGTCGGTGAGGTGGTCTGAGAAGCAGAGGATCCAGTACTCTGCTTACACTCCCCCTGGGACAAAGAAAGGTGAGTTAGTTCTGCATGTGATTTGCATATTAGTTAAATGTAAGCAGACTGAAGCTCCGTCTCTGACCAGCAGCTCAGAAGTAAAGGCAACACAAAGCATTATGGGTTTCTCTCCTTTTATCCATGAAAGAGCCCAGAATGATGATGAAAGCTCAGCACAAGATGTTATTTATCCTCTTCATCTTCACACACTAGGAGCATACAGGGGTCTAACACACACACATGCCTTTCTCATGCTAATATCGGCCTGATGCAGGTACTGGAGCTGTTCGAAACAGTAAAACCTGCTTGCATCTTGTTGTTGTCCATGTTGATAATCAGTTTACCACTACCGCTCCTTCCTTAACTGACCCGTCTGCCTGACTGTTTGTCCGTCTGTCTGTCCATCTGTTTGTCCCTGCAGACAGCAGCGTGCCGTTCCCCTCCGCCTATAGTCCAGATTTTGTTGAGTCCAGCTGGTATCAGTGGTGGGAGAAAGAGGGATTCTTCAGGCCAGAGCAGCATGTGAGTCCCTAAAACAACCTTCTGAATTCTCTCTAGGGTGAGGCGACGTACATGCAAGAACAAGAACAACACGAGCAAAGATCTAGACAAGATTCAGATATGACTGAGTCAGTGTCATCCCCGGATCTCTCTGAAGCTGTCCTACCAAAATAAAAGCTAAAAAAAACAAATAAAACCAAAAATAACACAGTGAGGACCCTCTGTGTCTGATCATTGTTATCTCCTGTTGTCTTGTCCAATCAGGAGCATCTTCCTCATGCCGTGGATCAGACATTTTCTCTGTGTATCCCTCCTCCTAACGTGACGGGGACGTTGCACCTTGGCCATGCCCTGACAGTGGCGGTGGAGGACGCATTAGTGCGATGGTAACCTGCAGACAATGACACACTGCAGAAATCAGACCGTAGTATAGAGCAGCAGTAATACACTCTCTGTGTTTGCTCTCCATCAGGAGGAGGATGCAGGGCTACAGAGTCCTCTGGGTACCTGGATGTGATCATGCAGGTATAGCCACACAGGTACGACACCCTCCTGTGTTTAGTTTTAGAGGTTCACTGAATTATGTCGACAGAAAGTACATTTATTTAAACCTCAGGAGTGTTTAGTGAGTTGTGTGTGTGTGTATGTGTGTGTGTAGAGTGTGGTGGAGAGGAAGCTTCTTCAGGAGCGAGGGAGGAGCAGAAAAGACTTCAGCAGAGAGGAGTTCCTACAGGAGATGTGGAAGTGGAGGAACGAGTGAGTTTGACTCTTACACCTTTACTCCTAATCCTCTATCTGTTCAGCTCACCCTGTTGGAGTCTGAAACTTGTGTGTAACGTTTGTGTTTCTGCGTTTCAGGAAAGGGGATGAGATCTACCAGCAGCTGAGGAAGCTGGGGGCGTCTCTAGACTGGAGCAGAGCCTGTTTCACTATGGATCCAGTAAGACTGCAATGACTGTAGACAATGACAAACCACATTCTGCAGGGATTACAACAGCATGTCTCTGTAGTAGAAGAGTCCTGTTGCTAAGGTGACCTGCCTGCAGTCCTGACTTGTCCCTGAAAACTTCCTGAATGATGTGAATTATAGTCCTAGATAGACCAACATGAACCTAAAGTTTATCACCACCCTGTAGTCAGCCCAGTTCAAGGGGACTTCTTCCTTCATAATGAAGCTGTTTTCTGAACATATCAGTGTGTCACTCAGTGAAGTGTCTGCTGTGTTGTTTCATGTGTTTTCAGAGTTTCAGCAGAGCAGTGACTGAAGCCTTCGTCCGTCTTTGTGACTCTGGTCTCATTTATCGCTCTGAAGGTTTGGTGAACTGGAGCTGTGCTCTGGAGTCAGCCATCTCTGAGATTGAGGTAAAACTAATCTTTACAAAAGGCGTTAAACTGTTGTGTTATACAGAGTTTTTAGTTTTTAACTGTTTTTCAGCTGTTTCCTCTCATCAGAGGACTTAAATGTACCCGCTGCTAATGCTACAGAAATGAAGATACAAAGTTAAAAAGACACTGACTCAGGAAACCAAAATTTAGGACCAATTCTGTGTTTGTTCTTGGTGTCAGGTGGACTCTGAGGAGCTGAGTGGACAGACTCTGCGGTCAGTTCCTGGTTATGACACCAAAGTGGAGTTTGGGACGATGGTGACTTTTGCTTATCCTCTGGAAGGTCACGGTGAGACTTCATTACCGTATGGAGACATATCACAGCTTCTGCCTGAGTTTACTCCTCATTATTTGATACATGTGCGTGTGTGTGTGTGTGTAAGGTGGAGAGGTGTGTGTGTCCACAACTCGTCCCGAGACAATGCTGGGAGACGTGGCTGTAGCTGTTCATCCCGATGATCCTCGATATCAGGCCAGTAGCCTCTTTATACACAACAGATCTATTACGTCATACTGGGGCCATACTGGTGTCATACTGGTGACCCAGTGAGAGTTGATATCTTTTGTAATAGTGGTCTGGATTCATATCGGATACAATTTGTAAACAAACAGCAGCATTTTCGAACGCATTTATGGACACGTAGAGCGGTTTTGAATCGTTTTTACAGGATCCATGGCAGCAGATTGACTTTTTTGGACGTGTCACTCCGGAGTCCTGTTTTAGGATCACAGTATTACAGTCTCCTGTGTGTAGACCCATGTGCGTGTGTGTGTGCGTGTGTGTGACTCTGGTTTCCTCTGATTCAGGCTCTTCATGGGAAACAGCTCAGACACCCTTTCACTGACAGACTGCTGCCCATCATTACAGACACCATGGTGGACAGAGAGCTAGGAACAGGTGAGAGTCACACCGACTGTCTCTGCACATGCTCAGTGAGTGTTTCCTCCTGCTCCCCCTGTAATATGACCTGTGTGTGTGTGTGTGTGTGTGTGTGTCCAGGTGCAGTAAAGGTGACTCCAGCTCATGACCACATTGACTTCCTTCTGTCTCAGAGACACTCGCTGCCTCGCCTCACTGTGATTGCAGGAGACGGCACCATGACACCCCCCTGTGGACACTGGCTGCAGGTGCGCCATCTGAAACTCTGTGTGACAGTCAAGTGAACTGCTGTGTTTAAGGACAGAGTGATGGTGGGTTAGAGCCACAGTGAGAGGTTTGGAGGTGAAGGTCCTTGATCTTCAGCTGAATGTTAGTTTGAACCTTCAAAGGAGCTGAAATAAGACGCAGCTTGTGAAGTGATATTAAAGTATGAGGTTCACAAACCATCAGCACCACGTTCTTAAAAAGATCAGGACTCTGAAGTGATTGAGGTAGAAACAGAGTCTCCTTTGAAGAAGAACAGACTGTGTTTTATTGCAGTACAACGACTTATACTATGAAATATCATAGCTCTGTTCTAATTAATGTGTCAGCTGATAATTGAGTCAGCTGATTAGAACAGAGCTGTGATATTTCATGGTAAAAGTCATTATACTGACTCAATGATCAGTCTTTTTCTAATTAGCTGTCTGCTTTTATCGCTTTATTCTTTAAAATGATTATACCCTTTTTTTTTCTCAGGAAGTCTACTGAGATAAAAATTTCCTTTAGGACTTTTTAAAAACAAAGACTTTATTTAGTTTAGGGTTACTTAATTAAAGGTCTGTATTCTCAAAGATCCCAACTTTGACTTTTATAAGATCAGATCATTAATATGTGTCTGTTTTCAGGGCGTGAAGCGTTTTGATGCCAGACAGCAGATCATCGACGCTCTGGTGGAGAAGAAGCTGTTTAGAGGGAAGAGGAGCCACGCCATGACCTTACCTGTCTGCAGGTACAATCACACACACACACAGTCTTTTTGTCTCTTTTCCTGTAAAATATCCTTTAGGCTTCAGGGTGAAAGTTCTTATTAGGGATTTTCATTAAAGAAGAAATTTTGATTTCCAGAAACTTTCGAGCTGCAGTGAGGAACTTTAGGTTTGTGCTGATATTATACACCATCCTGCACATGTGAAACCGCCTCTTGTTCCCTGTGATAATAAATTTAGCCTCTCTGTGAGGATTTGCTGAATAAAGTGTCAAACAGGCTGTTTTCAACAAGCTGCTGTGAATCATCATCCAGTCTGGCTCCTCCCCCTCACAGCATGTTTAAGCGTTAAAATCCCGACATTGATGTTCCCGACACACCAGCAGATTTTTCTACTCACTATAAGCAGTCTGGGTTTATTGTAGCTAGTCACATAGTGAGCCTCTATGTCAGTTGACTGTGTCTCATTTGAAGCTTAACAGGGAATTTGACTGAAAATAAGACCAAAAATCTCCCTAAGATCTGAGTTTTTACAGCGAGTGTCGAAACTACCTGAACACAGAGAAGCGTTTTTTTCTGTTTTCATCCTGTTAAAACTGATTTTTCTTTTTGTTTGTGTTTCTGCTCCTCAGCCGCTCAGGAGACGTCATTGAACCTCTGCTTAAGAAGCAGTGGTTCGTCCGCTGTGATCAAATGGCCAAAAAAGCTGTTCAGGTGAGCTGTCAGCCGACCAGACAACCAGAGAAGGATTCGTTATATGAATGTATTTATCCACAGGGGGGCGCCAGAGTCAGCCCAAAGTGAGAGACTCTCATTGAAGCTTCAAGGTGTTGAAGTACAGACATATGATGGTGGTTCACTGACTGTTTGTCTTTCAGGCTGTTGAGGCGGGTCAGCTGGAAATCATCCCTCATCTCTACACAAAGATCTGGAAGAACTGGCTCTCCAACATCAAGTATGTTCCTGACCTTTGAGCTTTGTGCTTTGACCTGGACCCTGAGGGCTTTGGCCTTACTTTGTGGTGCTGTCATATAGTCCATCTTTTATTCAGGCTGTGGTGTGAGCTGTTGTGTGAGGATGAACAATGTGTGAGTGTATCAGAGGGACATGAGGGAGGTGACTGCAGTGAGATGATGAATGAGCTCCTGTCTTTGTAAACAATGTCTGTCTGTCTGTTTGCTGCGCAGTGATTGGTGCATTTCCAGGCAGCTTTGGTGGGGTCATCAGATTCCCGCTTACCAAGTTCAACTTCCTGATTCTGCAGATGCACAACAGGTCAGACCACCTGGGGGTGAATTTACTGTTATGACCATACTTCCGTAGTCTCAACTCAACAGATCCTCCAAAAACTGAAGGATAGCCTGAATCAGGCTTTGGTGTCTGTAGGAAAAACAGTATGAAGAGCAAAAGCAGGAGGAACTCAGTCCTCCATAATGACCTCCAACTCCCATGCTTGGGGATCTGAGGAGGATTTCTGTCTCTGTATAAACAAATAAAGCTGACCTTCATGTCTATACATAGAAAATATAGAGCTTTTTTATAAATCTTAATTTTAACCTGATAATTTCTAAATTCAAAATTTGACATGATGCACTGTTGTGTGTGTTTCAGGAGGAGTTGTGGGTCTGGGGTCGCAGTGAGGATGAGGCCCGGCAGAGAGCAGCTGTTAAATACAGAGTGAAACCAGAAGAGCTGACTCTGACTCAGGGTGACTCACCTTCATCTGTTAACTGTCTGATACCTGCAGATTTAGAAAAGTTTACTTTACATTCACACAGAAAACTCAATTACCCATGAACCACTGCATTATTTATGACTGGACTGCAGACAACTGTTATGAAAATGACAGTGTGACCGACTGAAGCATCCCTCTGTGCTCAGCTGTTTATCTCTGTGCTCGTCCTCTTTGTGTCTCAGACCTGGACGTCTTGGACACCTGGTTTTCCTCGGGCCTTTTTCCCTTTGTGATGCTGGGCTGGCCTGACCAGGTACTCCTCTTCCTCCTCCAAAAACCTCTTTAGGCCTAATTTTAAGTTTCTCAAACACACTGTCTGCTCTGCTACTTTTATATGTTCAGCTTCTGAATGACCCAGCACTTGGTACCTTAGTAGTTTTGTGGTGAAGATGGTGATCATCTTAAACTGATCGATTGCTTCATTGATGATGTTTCTTATTTAAAAAAAACTTTCATTGTTATGCATTGCCTTTAAAACTGTTAACACTGTTAATGTTTGTCTCTGTGTGTTTCATATGAAATATCATCAAAAATTCATTTATTTTAACAAAATTCTTCACAGATGACAGAGAAATGAAACAGAAAAAGAAACAGACAGTTAATCAAATATGAAAGAAAAATAATACAAAAAACTTTTACAGACTCCAGACCTGCAGCGCTTCTACCCCAACACCATCCTGGAGACAGGAAGTGACCTCATCTTCTTCTGGGTGGCAAGGATGGTGATGCTGGGTGTGGAGCTGACGGGAGAGCTGCCCTTCAGACAGGTAAAGATCAAAAACTGGAGAGAGGGTTAATTTATTTCTGCTGAGTCATGATCACAAAGAGAACTCCATCTCCCATGATGCCCTAGGTTCTTCTTCACTCCATGGTGAGAGACAAACACGGCAGGAAGATGAGCAAATCTCTGGGAAATGTCATCGACCCTTTAGACGTCATTCATGGAGTCTCCCTGCAGGTACGAGGAGGGGGTTCTAAGTCAACTCAGAAACTGGTCTGCTACGGTGGCCCTGAAGGACCACTGCATGAACATACCATTACACACACACAAAAAAAATTTAAACTGAACACCAAAAACATTTCCTTAAACCATGAGAAAAAACAACATTAAAATATTTTGATACAGAAATATTCTTCAAAAGTATTTTAAAGTTTCATGGCTTCATTTTTTCCCCTCTTCTTTGCACATTTTTTCTGTTTTTCTTTCTTTTCATTTACTTTACTTCCTCCTCTCTGTTTTTCCTTTCCCTCTTTTCCTTCTCCTCTTCCTTTTTTCAGAGACTGGAGGAGAAGATAAACAAGGGAAACCTGGACCCCAGGGAGCGGCTGGTCGCCATTGAGGCTCAGGTGAGCTTTTCCTCTCTCTCCCTCTCTCTCTCTGCTCCCCCTAGACTGAGCATGCTCACTGTGTCTCTCTCTGTCTCTCCACAGAGGAAAGACTTCCCTGGGGGGATCCCTGAGTGTGGGACTGATGCTCTGAGGTTTGCTCTCTGCTCTTCCAGGATTCAGGGTCTGTGAGTTTTTATTTGGAGCCAATTTGAGTCCTTCTGGACAGAAATAGTTAATGTATTTTTGGCCATGCTCTCCATGTAAACTACAAATCTAAAGCTTGAGTCTGGGTTTGAATTGAAGCCATTTCCCTCCTCAGGTGAGACCATCAGTCTGTCGGTGTCTCAGGTGTTGAGCTGCAGACATTTCTGCAATAAGATGTGGCAGACACTCAGGTTCACACTGGGAGTACTGGAGAACAACCCCACACCAGTGGGAGCCCTGGAGGAGGTGCGGCTCCTAAACCTGTAGATATTGTTCAGCAGTAAGATGTGAAAGCTACCCATGACATGGCTTCTGATGATCACCGTACCATTAGGGATGCTGGATTTGGACTGGGAGCTGAGAACAAGCTGGGAGGTCCCTCTACTGTTTAGAGCTGAGGATGACAATATCCAATTTTGATTCTTCAGACATTTTTCCTCTCAGACAGGCTCATGTCCAGATTGATTTTTTTTTTTTTACCTTCCTGTTTGGTTCTTTAACTTTTTAGGAACACATTGCTAACATCAAATTTACAACGAGCAGATTTTTCATCAATAATAAGGTCATTTGACATGTTGCCATGCTCCATTTCTAAGTAAATATAAATTATCTACAAACCGTCAGATCCGGTTTCATCAGCGACCCAGTTTTTGAAATCGAGGTTTGAGTCATTTCAAAACTTTTACGCAGAAGATTTTCAGGCCAGATTATTAACTGACAAAGACATAGTAATGTAGGTCAGACCAAACCCACAAAAGACTATAAACACGAAAAGAAGATGCTTAAAGATAGATCAACTGTGTAAACCTGAGCCAGACTTTATCTTCTTATTGCTTTGACGCTGACAATGGAGCCTAAAATATCTACTTTATATATCCTTAAGACATGTATGCATACATTTACCTGAAATGTAGAGACACCTGCTCTCTGATGTTGCATCACAGTGAGAGACAGCGCGAAGTTGGTGGTCGGTGATGTTCTGAGTAATGTTAGAAACGGTAGCTGCTGAGAGGCTGACAGAGGCTCTGCTAACATTGAGGTTTGTAAGAGGTGATTTCCACTGATGTTCAAACGTGTGAATATTTCCACTTCTCTTTGTCCAGGTGCGTCCAGTGAGCAGCGTGGACCGGTGGGTCTGCTCCAGACTCTACAGCACTGTGCAGCAGGTGGAGCAGGCGTTTGAATCCTACGAGCTTCACACCGTGACATCTGCTCTGCATGCCTTCTGGCTTCACAGCCTGTGTGACGTCTACGTGGTGAGGACAGGGAGCAGACTGTCCCAGTGCATCATGGGAACTCTTTACAGTCATCTAAACAGCTGTCTCTCTGCTTTGTAGGAGTGTTTGAAGCCTCTACTGGCTCAGCAGAGTGGAGGAGGTCATGAGGAGGACAGGGTAGAGGCGAGGCGGGCGGCGGTCGGCATCCTGTATCACTGCGTGTCTTCATCTCTGGCCCTGTTGTCCCCCTTCATGCCGTTCATCACCGAGGAGCTGTGGCAGAGGCTGCAGCCGTTTGGAGGCGGAGCTAAAGCTCAGAGCAGCCTGAGCCTGCAGCCGTACCCCCGATCAGATCGACTGGTACAGAAATCACACACCTGATCTAACATGGCGTGCAGCTTTTACACACAGCAGGTCATTTTTGAAAGGTTGCATGCAGGGGGCACCGCTGAGCTGACAGTTTGAGGGCGTGTCTCAAACTGAAGGTTAACGTTATGCCTCAAGCGGATGGCCCTGTGTTTGATTCCACCCTGTAGCTTATCTCCTACTTCCTCTCAGTCCACCAGCTACATATGAGGAAATGAGGTTCAAAGAAACCTGATAATGTGAACTCTGACTCACTCAAATATTTTTCTTCTTTCTCTCTGTTTTTGTCCTCCTCTCTCTCTATTTTTGCTGACATGTTCTTCCTCTCTCTCTTTCTCTTTCATTGTCCTCCTTTCTCTTTCTTTCTCTCTCACTCTATTTTTGCTGACATGTTCTTCCTCTCTGACCCCAACGTCCTGTCAGGCTCACTGGTTTTTCCCTGAAGAGGAAAGGGACTTCGTTCTGGTTCAGGATGTGATCAGAGAGGCCCGCTCACTGCGAGCTCAGTGTGGACTGGGCAAACAGAGACCCGACCGTGAGTCTTTTCTCTCTGTGAGGGTCTGAAACCAGCTGTGTCTTTGTGTGGTAGGTGAACAAAGTGACTGATGAACAGCGGGATGAGCTCACCTCTCTGTGTCTCTGCTCTTTGTGTCTCAGTGTGGGTCGTGTGCTCACCCAGCCAGGCCTCAGTCCTCCTCCACTTTCAATCAGCTGTTCAGACTCTGAGTCAAATCGCCAGCCTCCACATTTACTGTCCTGATCGCACGGATGCCCCCTCCTTGACAAGCTCCACCCCCCCACCTGCAGGCAGCCTGGTCAGCGTGGTTGACCATACCTGTCAGCTTCACCTCCATGTCCAGGTATGGCTCTGCAGCCCTGACATAACATGCTCCCCTGACAAGTTTCCCTCTCGGGGGGGAAAAGTTTTCCTTATTTTCTTTAACACACTGAGGAAGAGTCTAATTTGCAGTGAACAGGTGAAAAGAGGCCATTTTAGATACAGACCCAGAGATCTGGAGGTGTTTGCAGTATCATGAATGAGTGGCTGAGGATGAAGCAGCTTCATCATCATCAAAGATCACGCTGGTCTGATTATATAAACATCATCATTCCTCACACTCACTCTCTTTGGATTTACCTGACTTTTACCTTTAAAAGAGGAAACTTAAGCTGGCAGGAAAAAGTCCATGTGAAATTCAGGTGACTTCAGGTGACACCCTGAATTTCTGGAGTTTGATAAAAATGTGAAACCAGCTTTTCACTTGTATATCAGTCTGTGGATGTCACAGTCTTCAGAGCTTCAGCAGATACGATTGAACATTTTCTGGTTTTAACTGCTTTCGTCTGTGTTATGTCACAGCTGATACAGTCCTTGGATTTTGGACTGACAGGGGGGGAGAAAAACAATGTTTAAAGGCAGTAACCTCTCAGACATCATGACAGACACTTTTTTTCCTCACCTGACCTTTAATGCGTGAACCATTTCAGATGGATCTGCAGAGTTAGAATCAGAATCTGCCTGAATCCTGCCCTATCCTTAAACTACACGTCACTGCTGTTCCTGCATCCTAAAGAGCTGCTTAGTTAAACAAACATTTCCAGTGACGGTCAGAAGGTCAGCGGAACCAGTTTGAATTGCAAACATGAGGCCGTGCAGGTGAAGAGCTGCCATGAAAACAGTCAAAGCTGTTTATTTCACTGAGGAAATGATTCCAGTAAAATGAAACAGATCTGTCAGTGCATGATTCACAATGTTTGCATGTTTGGACTGCCAATATTTCAGTGTATTACTGAGACTTGACGAAATGTTCCTCTATTGACTCTTGTGTTGGCTCATCTATAAGTCTATTTAAGGTCGATGTCCTCTGTACCTTTTAACCTGCATCAAACAGAAGAGTACAAGAACCCATGATCTTTGCTCCAGGAACTTTTTACTGCCTGTTTCAGAGGTCAGGACTGAACTGGGGAAAATGTGCTGAAATGTGAACTGATCCTGGAGTTTATAACCAGGATGTTTCACTCATGTTCTCTTTGTTTTTAAGGTGGTCATGTGTGACGCTGTATTTCCCATTTCTGTCTCTCAGAGTGGAGTGAACGTTGACAAGCAGGTGCTGCAGCTGTCTCAGCGCAGAGATAAAGTAGCCCTGAAGCTGGAGGAAACCTTGAACAGGGTCCAGTCTCCAGACTTCCAGACCAAAGTCCCAGCTCACATCAGACAGCAGATGGAGAGCAAGGTGAGTCAGGAAGCTGCTCCAAGTTAATATTTTTATCTGAGAAATAAACATATGAAACTGTTGTAGAGGTTTGAATTTATATATATTATATTTATATTCATAGTTTCAGATTACTCAATGACATGGAGTAATAACACCAAAATGACAATGACACCAAAGGAATGCAGTTTTGATCAGCACATGGTTGAGCAGGGTTTCTGACAGAGGTCTGGAGGTCAGCGTCAAGCTCCTCAGACCTTTTGTTGGACTCCATGTGTTCACACATTTAAGACAGTAAATCTCAAATGGGAGACCTGGGTTGAGGCCTGAATAAATATGTAGATAGTCAGTGATCGGGTCGGTCTGTTCTTCAAATTGACCAATTAAAAAAAAAATCCAGAGGTTTGGGTCAACCTCCTGTTGGGTCAGTTGTGCAACCTGAAAGTCCAAACAAGTCTGGAAAGATTTATATGATTGTGCGTCCTGAGACCAGATAAGAAACTTGTGAGTTTCACACACAAGGTTGTCTTGATGATACAATGCGGAAGAGTAAACCCTTTTTGTCCCCTGCATCCAGGTGTGGGCCCTGCAGCAGGAGCTGGGGACTTTAGAGGAGCAGCTGAGTGTCCTGCAGGAGGCTCAGAGGAGTGAATAAGAGCTGCAGACAGACGTCATGGTCTCTATGAGGACATCATGGACTTCAGATGAATTATTTATCCCCAATGTCTGTCCTGCCTCAGTGAGGAGAGGATGTATAACAGCATCAAACTGAAACTCTGTTCAACTGTCATACTGCAGCACTCACCTGCAGGTGAGGCTGTGGAGGTCTGCAGGTATCCATGGAAACCGACTCCAGGCAGCGTGATAGAAAGTATCAGTGCTTCTACGCGGCTGCATGAGTTATCTATAGCCTTACAGATCCATATTTCCCTTTGTTTTAACAGTTTATCACTATTAATTTAGTTTTCATGTCATCAGTCGGAAGAAACTGCAGATATCATCCCGGTTTAGAGGAGAAATTCATGCGACAGGACATGACTGTGCAAAGACAGAAAAACATGGAAACAAACCAGTTTGACGGAAGATAATGAAGATTACAGTCAAACATATTTTATTCAGTGGAGAAGATGAACAGATTTCATCACACACCCTTGGTCTTTAAAATGTAATAAATCAGATTTTGGTGGTTTGTAAATTATTTAAAGGCTATATTTAATTAAAGAGAGCAAAGGAAAAGATGCTGAAACTGTAAACTGGTATTGTCTTATTTATTAAATTAAAAAAAGAAAAAAACAACAATTGTGTGAAACTGCAGGGGTTCTGGGACAGAGTGGTTCAGATTCTGGAAAAAAATAAAAATAAACTTTTTTGAATTAACTTAAAGAAAAAAACACAGAAGCCCCGCCTCTGATAAGACAAATAACCATTCATATTTTAGGAATACCAGGTAGCCAATAGGATTTCAGAAGGGCCCGGGCCCCCTCGGTCGCCGCTCTGGACGTGCCCCTGCTGGAGACGGGGGGCGGGAGGGCAGAGGCAGGCTGAGGGTCTCTGTGGATCCTGGAGCCGGCTGCAGGCTCAGAGTGAACCATTAGCGGAGCAGACTCTGGAGGTTAGCCTGCCATCATCAGCTGCTCCCGGGGCCGGATGCAGAGCAGAGCCGGGCGGGGGGTGATGATGGGAATCCGAGGCGGAGGTTGAGGCTGCAGAGGAGCCGCTGAGCACGGACACGGACTCGGACTCGGAGATGTGCTGTGAATGTGACACTGAGGGGAACAGTGGGTGGCTCAAATAGCTAAAGACAGCTAGCCTGTTAGCTAGCTGCAGCCAATGGAGCCTCTTCAGTCTGAGGTGAAGCCGCGCAGAGACGTCCAGGGCCGGCTGTGAGAGGTGAGTGGGAGCCGTGCCTGGAGCTCCATCTCCGGGCAGAATCTTGAATGATCCCCTCTCACTGTGGGTTAGCCTGTTAGCTATCAGCCCGTCAGCTGTTAGCTTAGCACCCTGTGTCCATGTCTGTGACAGACTGAGATCCCAGAGGAGCTGGCAGACCACAGACTGAGCTCATGTTAGACTCTCATCACCTTTATTCTAACCTGAACCTCACAGACTGGCAGGATCCGCTCTAACGGTTCACCCAGTCCTCGGGGTCTGAGTGTGTTAAACCGGCTGGTAATGGTGTTGAGGTGTGGGTCCATGTGTCAGAGAGGGTCAGGTATCTGAAATAGTTCACAACAAAGAGTGATTCTGAAACCAGATTAGAGCATAATACAAGTTTTAGTCCTGATCCGGATCATACTGTGCTGATGAAAACTTTAATTTGGACTCAGAAACTTGATCCTGGATTATTCTGATCCCAGTATACAGATTCATGAAGTGAAATTTTGTGTAATACAAAACACAAAATACAGTGGAGTCATGGTGGACCTGCTTTCAGACTGTTACAGTCTGGTCTTTGAGTTTGTACTCAGTCTGATCAAACTGTGACCTCCTGACTCTGTGGCCATCTCACACACTGACATGATCACACTGAAGAAACTAGAAACTCTATTTCTGCAAAATAATAACCTGTAGGGGAGAGTGGAGTAAGTTGAGCCACCCCTTGTTGCTTGGAAACGGTAAAAGAAATTGATCATGTGACCAAATATTTAGGAGATGTGCATCAATTCATGGCGTCTGTGAAGGTTAGAAGCACATGGGTGAAGGGGTTAGACATTTATTTACAAAAAACAACATTGTTCACTCTTGAAAGTGAATTTAGTCTGTCATAAGTTTGATTAGAATTGTGTTCAGACCAAAAACCCCCATACATGGGGTAAGTTGACCATAGGAGACCTTTTTTTTTGCATGCTATATTATCAAGACAGTTATGTTTACACTCATTCTGTTGGTTTGCAGGGTTGCACAACATCTTGACATATATGCAGATACACCAAGATTGCCTTTATGTAGTGATCAGAAATATAAAAAATGGCTCATCTTACCCCATTCTCCCTTTTCCTCAAATTAGCGACTCCTCCAACAAGATAATGACTCTTCCAACGGGATAATGACTCAAGATATTTATGTTTTACCAAATGATTATGGCTTTTGTGCTTTCCATAACAACTAGTGCAACTACTTTGCATATGAAAAGCAGCCGTGCATGTAAGACATCATGTTCCCGCAAGACTGTAACTCAGTCTCACAGGATAATTTCTAGTGCGCCCAAGATAACGACCTGTGTGACAAAGATATTAACTTTATTCCATGAGATGACATAGAAACTCATAGGATAACTAGGCTATGAAATCATCACTGTTTTCTGCAGGATAATAATTTTTGTGTGCAAGATTCTCAGTTCTTTCCACTTGTGCAAAATAGTAACTCGGAAAATGTGAGATTTCCTACAAGATAACAAAGTGGCCATCATAAATCGTCTTTATAAAATGCTTTTAACCCTTTAGCTTCCTCCTGCTCTGCTGGTATTCACGTGCGCTAAAGTTATCTGGAAGAACATAAACTCTCATGTGACCTGTTAGAAGGACGCTACAGTTTATGTTGCTTGTGATGTTTGATCCTATGTGCTCCTCCATGTCTGACAGGAGGAGAAGGAGGAGGGAGAGTTTCAGCTTGGACTCCCCCTCTTCCCCCTCCTCCTCCTCCTCCTCCCCCGTGTCTCTGTCAGATCCTCCTCTTTGCTCAGCTCTTTAACTTTACTCAGACAGAACAGAGAGGACAGATCTCTGCAGCTCCCAGCTCAGGTAACGTGTCTCTACTCTCTTATCCAGAGCTTCCCTTCCTCCTCCTTCCTGACTTCTTATAAAAACACGATTTCTGATTTTATTGATCTGAATCACAAAGTTTTAGACTCTTTAAGATGATGCAGTTTATGCTGCTGATGATCTTTGTTGCATGATTATTGAATTGATTCAGAAGACCTTTTTTCCACTTCAAAACTATCCTAAAATCTACTTTTTTTATCTGGCTGTGAGTGTGCTTTTGTCTAATTGTACTAGTTTCCTTTAGTTTTTCATGGTTCAGTCTCACCTTTCTATAAAAGTTTTAATGCTGTAGTTAGTGTAGTTTATTTGGTTTCAGCATGCTTTAGCATTGAGCACTTTGTAGTTCTTTTTTTGGCAATAATTTAAGTTTGATCAAGATGTAATAAAGGGATGAGCACGATCAGAATGATGACCCAGCAGATTTACTCATGCTCAAATTCTTTTCAGCTTTTTAGTGAATAAATTATCGGAAATACCAGAAAAAAAGATAAAACTCAGTGACAGAGTTGAACTGAACTGGAACTGTTTTATATGAACATGTAAAAAAATTGACAGACAGACAAAATCATAGAAATTAAAAAAATTCTACACCAAATAAAACCTTAACAGACAGGGACACGTGTTAACAGAGGGAGGACGTTACTGTTGTAACAAGAAAACTGAAGGCAGCCTAAACTGCCGTCACACAGCAGACAGAAACCTGAAGTGATTCACAGTATTTGGAGAAAGCATTCAGAGGAACACGAGGAGTCACACATGACTTGACTGTTTATGAGGCAATAATTCTCAGAAAATTATTTTATATTATTACTTAATTGTATGATTTTTTTTAATTTTCATTTTCTGATATATATATACAGGCATATAAGATACAAGAAAAGGCTCTTTAAACTGTATTCATCGTTGTTCAGACTGTAACAGTGTGTACAATCTCCCTTAAACTGTAAATATGAGCAACTGTGTCATGTTGAATTGATGAATCATCAAAAATGAACCAAAACCACCTCCATAATTCACTCAGTTAAGGGGCTTAAAGTTGATTATCTCTTGTTCTCAGTGCTTTACCCGTTGCATGAGTTTAAAGTGAATATATTAGAGGTTTTGGATGTAACATGAAACTCTGAAAACCTGTGATTAAATTTTGCTTTTTTTCCTGACTTGAAAATGAAACAGATAAATCAGGAAACAGCAGAAATCTTTATCTCCCTGCAGAGAGTTTGGAGCTCAGCTGAGAATTCACTGTGCAGAGGACTTAACTTTGTGCTCAAGTCTGCAAACAGATTTGATATTCTCTGAGGAGTCAGTCATTCTCTGATCTTCATCTGCTGCTGAAACATCAGGACATTTCAGAGAAACTCTGTTTGACTAAAACCTGTCAAAGAGGATCACTGAGTTAGACTCTGACTCGACTTCCTGCACACACCTCTGACCCGACCTGACCCGAATACAGTCATGTGACTGTTTTTTATATTCAAACACCTGATGAGTGTGTGGGTGTTTGTGTGTGTTCGTCTCTCATTAGTCTCCTGCAGCTAATCACACAGTTTGTTCTTACCTCCATCTTTAAAGGATTACTGTGTGTCTATATTTATCAGCACTAATAGGTTTAGGCTTCACTAATACTGAAGAGGAGGAGGAGGGGCCTCCTTCATCCCACTTAACTGTAACATCAGAGAGGATCTAGACGTCCTGCAGCAGGTCTGCTGATCTGTCTGGTATCGCTGTTCAGTGATGTGATAATGATGACAGTGTGATGAATAAATGAACTCCTATTAGCTCTTACTCAGTTTCTTTATCTGCTGTTTGACCTGTTTGCATCAAGTCCCTCCTGAAACCAGAACCACAGAGCCTGATAAAGGTAAAGGATCTGCAATGACTCAAACAAATCTTATCAGGAGAAGCATACTGCAAATTCAGCAGCCATGCAAATGTAAGACGACATATGCAAAAGTGCAAAACAAATACAACAGGAACAGGGTGCAGATGTGGAGACCTACTGCAACAGCCAGAAACGACTGCAGCAAAGCAAAGCAAAGCAAAGCAAAGCATGAGGAATATAATGAGCATCACAAATAAAAAAAATTTAAAATCCAGACTTTGTAAAAGTTCTCCAGGCCTGCAGGGGGCACTTAGAGCAACAGTATTTATTAATGACAGAGAAAGAGGAGGGCACAAACTGATGCCTGACATCATCTTCAGTCCCTCCAGTCCACAGTGTGTCGTATTCAGTCCCAGTGTCAGAGTCCAGGACAGATACACTAAAGATCTCTCTGCTACCGTGACATCATAAGTTACAGGACTATACAGCATCACACCAGACAACACAACATATGATGCAACACGGTACGATACAATGCGATTCTATAGCGCTAACTGTCCCCTTGGGGAGGTCGGTCTGGTATTTAAGTGTTGCATGTATTTGACCAATAAGCTGACTGCCCCTCCACAGCCAAATGCGTCCTTTCAATCCTAAACTATTCCTGTGAGCGCCCTCTGTAGGCCTGGAGCACTCTCATCGTTAGGCTCGACAGAAACATTCTATCTGAATTTGTGTCTTTTTGATTTTTATGTAGTTGATTGTATTTGCAGCTTGTTTCCCGATGCAGTGTCCGTTTTCTGATGCATCAAACCTTTTTGGCCGTTGCTGATTGGTTGCTTTTATCAGCAGATGTCTGTAATAAATCAAAGTTTAACGTAAAAGTAACGTTGGGTATGTGTTGTCAAAAGTAGCAAATCCAGAGAATCGAAACAGGCTGCACAGGTTTTATTTGCAGTTTTTATATGAATTAAAACTGATTGAGGTTTGGTTGAGATGGTCTGAAATCAGTGAAATCTGCAGAAAAACTGAAGCTGCTTCAGATTTCTCGCTTTTCACGTCTTCACTTTGGCAGGAGGCATTGTGTTTTCAAATGGTCCATCTGTTTGTGCCTGCTGCTCTCCAGAGCCAGATATCTCAGGTACACCTGGGTCTAGACTGCATTGAAAATCTGTAGCTAAAACCCAGTCTCTGTCTTCTGCAGTGTGTACAGTGATGTCTTCAGCAGAGATGTTCAGTTTACAGAGAAGTAAAACAGCAGGAGGAGCTCAGAGTAAAGACCGCTCTGTGAAACAGTCCCCAAGACAGCTTTGGGAAAACTTCAGGAGCAGTACATGGACTTGTCCTTTAGCTGTCAGATGTGGTTTAAGTAGCCTGGAAGTTTTGCCGCTCTACAGTCTAGATACTGGCTCTGGTTCATGTGTATCATGGTCTGAATTTGTGACTAGGACGCCTCTGCATTTCAAAGCTCCTCTGGAGTCTCTACATCTTTTACAACCACATCTGTGTGCCCTAATTTGGTCATCTGGATTCCGTGTACTGCTGAGTAATCCCCATATTTACTTAGTTATTACCATTCTCTCAGAGTTTCCTCTGAACAACAATGGTACCAACAGTTAGTGATTAAGTCCTGGTTCTGTATCGGGTCACCTTTTCCATCCTCTGAGCTGCAGGGCAGGGAAAGAACCAGCATTAATCTGTTGTTGTTGGTTTGAGAGAAGAAACGTGAATCATACCCAGAGAGCGACTGCTGTACTGTTCTTTAGTAATAACAGGCTAATGTTCCTGACGTCTGAGTTCAGACCAGTCCACTGAACTTCACACAGAGATAAAGAGTCCCTCTGGACGTCTGGTCAGGGTACAGGCTCTCGGTCTCTCCACGTTTATCCCTTATACTCAGAAAGAAGTCAACCCTCCTGAGTCACTCTGATCGAGTTAGGGGTTTGTAGATTTTATGGATTTGGCCTCTAAGATGGAAAAATTCCCCGTTCGTTCAGCTTAAAGCTGTTGGCAGCGTAAACAGAGAGAGAGCTGCAGAGCCAGTCTGACGTTCAACATCCTCATAATGTCAACCAGTGTTTCATGTAGGCGATGATAGATTGTTCAAACATGCAGGGAGTAAGTCATGTGACAGCTTAGTGCTGCTGATATTTTAATGTTTGATTTCTTTTCTTTGACAAAGGCACTTTTTACACTTGAGTCAGGACCTCCTTCATAAAAAAAAAAAAAAAAGATTTTGTCCTGCAGTAAGTTTTAATTGCCGGTATGTCTCTGTTCTGAGAGCTCCCTGTCCTTTCTTATGCCTATGTGAAATACCAAAGCCAATGGCTGGTAGAGCACACCTCTCCTCTCCTCTGTTGATGTGCATCCATGTAAAGCAAAGACGGTGAGAGCAGCAGCAAAGATCCTCAGGGTTTCAGTGGTGAGGCTCTGTTCCAAAAGCTCCTGCCCTTCCTCGTGTGTACATGGGGGCGTTCATTTGCATACATGGAAACCGAGGCAGGGAGAGCAGCCGAAAAGACCCCAAGTGTTTTGGTTGTGTGGCTCTTTTTTAAGAGCTCACTACCTTTCCTCAAGCTGATGTTCAGAGACAGAGCCTGAGGCAGGAAGAGAAGCAGCAAAGAATGCCCAGGAATTTAGTAGTGAGGTTCTTTACTGAGAGCTTCCTGCCTTTCCAAGTATGTATGTCGTGTACCAAAGCAGGAAGAGGCAGGAAGAGAAGCAGCAAAGACAGTCTGTGTCCAAAAGCAGATATGAGACGCAAACTGTCAGTGCAAGAGTGAGTTGGAAAGTGTCTGAGGAGGTTTTCTGCTTGAAGACAAAGAAAGCAAACAAAGCAGCGGAGAGCGCAGAGCGACCCTGCAGACTGAGCTGACAGGCCTGAACTCTGAAATGAGACCTGAGGACACACTGACTGTCCTGACTTTAGTTCTCCTGTCTCTGCGTTTGGTACTGGTGTTTTGGCGGCTCCAGTCGAGCTCATTCTATATGTCAGAAAAGGTCTCAAAAGTGCATCGTAGTCACTGGATTTTGGGAAGCTGTGTTTAAATCATAGTCTTGCTCAACAACCACCAACAGCAAATTTTGCAGAGTGTGTGAATCTATATTTGGTCTCTTTTCTTGCATCCACATGTCAACACTGTGTTACCTGATTGGTCAGCAGTTTTTTTAGTGGATAACTTGAGTTTCTTCACCTTTAGCTCAGACTGTGTTTTACCTGCAGACTGTTGTTGTCATTTAGTTTTAAAAATGCACCACGAGTTTTTATCTCTGTCTACATGAACACTTGAGAGTCCTGTAGTGGGATTCTTGTGTGTCTGGCGACTCTTCAGTGTCCTCCATCAGAGCGTGATAACGTTGTTAAAAGTGTGACTGATCTAGCTCTCACTGCGGTGTTCAGCTGCAGTATTCCTGCAGTTTTCAGCTCCATCTTGCTGATAATCTGTGTTTTTCTTCAGTTCCCAGAGTAATGGCTGAAGGATAACGTCCACAGAGCGACATCTCAACCCAGAGTGACCCCGACTGTCCTCCTCTTCCTCTTCTATCTTCACCCTCCTCTTCCTGTTTGTCCTCTCAGCCTGAGCTGTTGTTTCATGGTCTGCATGCATTCCTGCTCAGGATCATGTAAAGTCATCTCAGAGGGGATAACCATCCTCCTGATACCCTCCTGACCGCAGACAGCATGACTCTGAGCTTTCAAACATCCACAATGTGACAGAGTCCCCGCCTCTCTGAGCATCTGTAGGATCCTCACTCTACCTCCTTCACTTCTTCCCTTCCTCGCAGCCTTTTCCTCCCCTCCCTCGCTTCCCTCTTTGGGCCATGGTTCGTAAGAAAGGCTCTCTGATACTATGTGGCGGTTTCCTGTTCGTAGCCTGGAACGCTCTCCTCCTGCTGTATCTTTGGGGCCGCCCCCTCAGCGGTCGCCTCGGGGAGGGCGGGGGAGCTGAGCCTGTGGGGAAGGAGGAGTGGGGGGTGGGCAGAGGGAAGGGAGGTCAGGTCAACCTGGCGGGAGAGGTCATCCGGCTGGCAGAGGAGGTGGAGGTTCAGCTGGAGACGCAGAAAAAGCTGCTGAAGCAGATCGAGGGTCACAGGGCGGTGTGGGCCCGGCAGAGGGACGTCGGGAAGAGGGACACTGAGGACAAAAAAGACATCAAACATGAAATGGTCCAACAGGAACAGAAACATCCTCCTCCTGTCAGAGACGGTGTGGAGGTCAGAGAGCAGGCGGAGGCCAAAGAGACTCAGAAACCTGCTCTGACGGCGGTGTCTGACTCTAAGGTAGAGCAGCAGCACGCCACGGACACAAAAGAGGAGGAGGAGGCAAAAACCGATAAATCATCAACCTCCAGCCCTGAGGTGGTCATCCCCATCCTGGTCATCGCCTGCGATAGAGTGACTGTCAAACGCAGCCTTGACAAACTCATCCAGTACCGCCCCTCACCAGAACTCCACCCAATCATCGTCAGCCAGGACTGCGGCCACGCAGACACGGCCCGTGTGATTCGCTCATATGGAGATCAGCTGACTCACATAAGCCAGCCGGACCTGTCGGACATCAGAGTCAGGCCCGAGCACAGGAAGTTCCAGGGGTACTACAAGATCGCCCGACATTACCGCTGGGCGCTAAACCAGGTGTTCAACACATTTTCCCACTCCAGTGTGGTCATCGTGGAGGACGACCTGGAGGTGAGTGTCATACAAACCTGACGCACCTCACACCTGTAATCTGAGGTGAATGATACCTCATCGGACAGGTGAGCATCAGCAGAGATAAAAAATTAATATGTTACACTCCACTTGGCGTCTCTACAGCTCCAGAGTCTACAGATTAATATCTACTGTGTTTATAAACAGTAATCTGACTTAAGATGAGTTCTTACAGAAAGAACCAAACAGGTAAAAAGTTTTGTAATGCTAAAAAAACATCTGGAGGAACATCTCCAACTAATGAGGAGAATTTCCAACAGGTAAGTGACATGACTGAGTATAAAAAGGACATTCAGAGAGGCTGAGTCTCTCAAGAGGTAAGAAAAGAAGAGGTTCACTTCTCTGTGAGAGACTGTGTGAGCTAATAGTTTAACAGTTTCAGGATAATGTTGGTGAGTGTCAAATATGAAAGAATGAGTGGATTTCATCATCTACAGTACATAATATCATTCATTGATTCAGAGAATCTGGAGAAATTTCTGTAGAAAAGGGACACGGACCAAAACCAAGACTGGGTGGTCTTGATCTTCAGGCCCTCAGGCAGCTCTGCATCAAAAACAAACAGGACTCTGGGGTGGAAATCACTGCATGGGCTCTAAATCACTTCAAAAACCATTGCCTGTGAACACAGTTAATCTCTGCATCCACAAGTGAGGGTCAAACTGAACACGCAAAAAGGAAACCAGATAAAACAGGATCCAGAAACACCAGAGACTGACCAATCAGAATCTGACACTCGTTTGGGAAATCGTGGACGCTTCATCCTCCTCTCTAAAGAGCAGAGGGACCACCCGGCTTGTTCACAGCTACCAGTTCAAATCCAGCATTTTATATAATTGGTGTTACATAAAAGTTTAAGCGAAGTTCATTAAAACTGTGATATTCAGTAATAAACTGTGAAAGTTAGAAATATTGCCTCCTTGTATTAAACGTTGTTGTAAAGACTGTTTAGGGTTTATAGAAATAGAGTCAGACTCTGTGAAGAGTGTGAGTAGACATGACTCTACCCGGGAAATAAACAGAAAACACTTCCTTGGCATAATACCACAGTCTCAACACCACTAAATATGCTTTAGATTTATGATCTTTAAATTTCGTTGTAAATTGCAGCTGTGTGATCCCACGCCTGTCTGCTCCATCATCACACCAAATGGAAATTGCTCCGTTTTCTCATGCCTTAATTTGCGCACATTTCCCCTCGGTCCAGACGTGTTCCGTAACCCTGGAACTGGAACAACAGAGTGGAGGTCTGAGGGTTTGAAGGCTCATAATGATCCTCCTGCTGGTGGGTCTGTCTGCTCTGAGAGCTCACACAGCCTCTCTGTGGCTGCAGTCTAATTACATGTGGCTCACATTCAGATGTGGGTTAATGATGAGTAGAACTGCTCCCTCTGGTTCCTCATTTGTCTTAAATAATCTTCACTAAAGTCGAGTTTCCCGTGAGCAGCAGAAAACAGTCTCTGCTCAGTTCGTCTTTGTTTGGTTTGTTTAAATTTCAGCAGAATCGTAGAATGAAAACTATTAGATAATCAGAGCATACTGGATCATCTCAGTCTGCATGTTGAGCTTTACCTGATAATTGGATTATATACGCTGCTGCTGAGCTTTGGGGATGGAAGAGAGCTGGTAAAACCAGAAGTGAACATACAGCCGTAAAAAGTGCCCCAGCAGCAGGAAACGGAGGACAGGAAACTCTGGGTAATTTTGACTAGAAGCAGCAGCTGGAGGGAGAAACCGTTCTCTGTAAATCAGCTATTATTTCAGCTCTGAGCAGGAAAATCTGGGTTTACTTATGTAACCGCTCAGCACTGGCTTCCTCTTTTCTTTACTGCTGACGACTCAGACCGATTCAAAGACCAACTTGGCCTGTTTGGAGCCGAACTATGAATCAGAGACCCCCTGACAGACTGGCAGATTGAAACGCTTCATGTTTTAATGCTCATCATATTCGTGCAATATTTTCATACATGTGTAAAAGGCAACAGTAAACAGATTATGGGGAGTGAGGGAGAGGGGCAGATGGAGCATGGCATGAACCAAATGTTCCCATCTGGACGAGAACCAGCGATGTTGCAACGACAGAAGTGAGGTTTTAAACCCCAAGTCCCCCAGGACCATCCATAAAAAACTGTTTCTGACAGCCTGAAAGGAGATTTTCCTCCATGAACTCAGAGTCCAAAGACGGACCCTGATCCACCTCAAACTAGAGCTGCAACTAAAATAATAATAAAAATACTATATAATTCCTTGTGTTTCAATAGGGCTCTCGTCGCTGGGTCTGGCTCTAATAAGAAAATCAGAATGGGCAGTTTGTAAATCATCTCAGATATCAAACACATCCACACCTGAAGCTGAAAAATGGGACTGTTCCATGATAAATCTGCTCATCACAAATCTGCTAAATCATGTTTCTCATTGTGTGTCCTCATCTCTTCTTTCCTAAACTCTCTGTGAACCCAGCAGACCGGGTCTGAAAGTGAAATGTCCCATTTTTGAGGATTTCTGCTGTCAACAATTCAGGGTCTCCTTTCTCCTGTTTTTGTGTCACGATGCTCCAAAATTATTTAGAGCCAAAGACTGCAGGCATCCATGATCTCCAAAAGAATTGTCTGATACCATCAGGGATGCTGGATTTGGACTGGGAGCTGAGAACAAACGGATGGTCCCTCTACTCTTTAGAGAGGAGGGTACAGCGTCCATGATTTCCACAAAGAATGTCAGATTCTGATTGGTCATTCCCCTCAATGGATGGACTCCTCTTTCTATCTGGTTATCTCTTTGCATGGTTCAGTTTGAACCTCATTTGCTCATTTTTCAGTGAGTTTTAGTCTTTAAATGACACAAACCAACAGATGAAACAGCATTGTGATGTTGTTTAAACTGGATTGAGATTTTTTATACATCAAACCTGAAAAATGTCTTATTTATTTGGGTCAAGTGAACAAAGGTCGAGATTTCCAGCCTGTAAGATTGAAACAGAGGAAAGGTAGCTGTGAATTTCAGAGCACAAAGGTTTAGTATTTTATGCTAATTCCTCAGTCATGATTTACAGCCTAATACACCTTCAGATATAAACCTAAACCCGACCCAACTATGATCCAGTAAGAACTGGTGTCAAAAACAGCAGCAGGATCAATAACAGGTTAAAACAAAGATCCCTTGTTTCAGAGAGGTGAGGTAAGGTTTCTAGAAAAAAAACACCTTTTTCCTGTTTCTACTTCCTTGATACCCACCCTGACACACCAGCTTTAAAAACCCATTTCCTCAAAGTACAGACTCAGGTCACTGACCCTCTGATCCTCCATATAAGTGAAAGTGAACCAGAATCGAGGTTGGACTCACCCCTGTAGTCTGTAAACTCAGAGTAAAGGTTAATCCAGGACAAAGACACTCAGATTAAATTACGGCTAAACTAAACCCAACCACAATCTTCCCATCAGGCTCGAATTACCCAGCATTCTCTGGGAGCCCGACCTGCAAGGTGACAGGTGAGGGTGTGGTGTTTAACCAGGTCACGCTGCCGGATGACGATGTTGTGGGAACTGAAGGATTTTATTCATGAATTTATAAAACCGTTAAATTAATGACAGAAGTCCCTTTTTTCTCAGTGGCTCTCTGCCTCATCTTCACTCTTTCTGCTGTTTTTGTCTTCAGTTCCCAGGTCTTAAATTTTAAACAGACACAAAAACTGTTTACCAAAATGACTAAACTATGACAACAAGCCTCATTTGTAAAAGGCATCTGTGGGAACAGACAGTTTATTGAAACCAAAAGTAATGGGTTCAAGATTTCCAGAGTGTCCTATTCATGAATGTTCAAATTATAAAGGGATATTTCAGTATTTTTGGAGTGGGTGGTATGGGGTTAATTCTACTATTTTACAATTTTTAATTAATTTATATTGTTTAAAAAAATCGTTTTTTATTTTCAAATTTAAGAATAAATCTTAAAAACTTACTAACATGTGATGTGTATTTTTTGGGGAAATATGGTTCCTGGAATAGTTAGAAGACAATCATAATCATTCAACTGTTTCGCTGGTGTTAAAAACGCAGACCAAAAATCAAGAAAATCGACAATATCGTAGAATTGCAATTTATATCAAATCGGTATCCAAAAATATCGTAGAAAAATTGAATCAGGAGAAAAGCATATCGACCCAGCCCGAGTACTTAGCACAGGCTAGCGGCAGAGTCCAGTTTGGAGAGGCAGAAAAATGTTTTTTTAACATACATATATTATAATACAGGAGATTTACAAGAGTATACTAATGCGGAAGACGGTTGGAAAGAGGGGTAAATTACAGTAGTTTTCCAACCAAAACAGAATACTTGACAGCCATGCGTCTGTGCAGCAAACTTTCTGATGGTAAAGAGCTAAAAAGTTTCTCTCTGGGGCGAACATTAGTCCCTAAATTAGATTAAGTATGTGGAAGAGTCACCCTGTCTGCAGGAAAATGTAGGCTAGCATGCGTGCAGGTCCCCTTGCAGTTTTTCATTAAAGAGGCGGAGCTTATAACGCTTATAGTGACATGTGACTCATACAGCCTCGCCTTAATTAACAATGAAATATCCCTTTAAATTTTTGTCTCATTCTGCTTTGATCCTGCAGGTGGCGCCTGACTTCTTTGAGTATTTCCGGGCGCTGTACCCAATCCTGCGCTCAGACCCCTCCCTGTGGTGCATTTCTGCCTGGAACGATAACGGCAGGGACGCGCTGGTGGATCCGGCCCGGGCGGAGCTCCTCTACAGGACGGACTTCTTTCCCGGGCTGGGCTGGATGCTGCTGAAGGACATGTGGGACGAGTTGGAGCCCAAATGGCCCTCGGCCTTCTGGGATGACTGGATGCGTCAGCCGGAGCAGCGTAAAGACCGCTCCTGCGTCCGTCCTGAGATCTCACGGACAATAACGTTCGGGCGTAAAGGTGTGAGTCTGGGTCAGTTCTTCGACCAGTACCTGCGCTACATTAAACTCAACACGGAGTTTGTGCCTTTCACCAAACTGGACCTATCCTACCTGCTCAAAGACCAGTATGGGGTCAAGTTCATCCTGCAGGTCTACAGCGCCCCCCTGGTGAAGATCGAGGACCTGCAACAAGGGGGCAGCTTAAAAGGTCCGGGACCATTCAGAGTCCAGTATTCCAGCCGGGACAGTTTCAAAGTCTTTGCTAGAAATTTAGGCGTCATGGACGACCTGAAGTCTGGAGTCCCTCGCACAGGTTACAGGGGCGTGGTCAGCTTCCTGTACCGGGGCCGCAGGGTGTTTTTGGCGCCCCCTGAGGGCTGGACTCATTATGATGTCAGCTGGAGCTGAGAGCCAGGTCCAGACCGGATCATCTGGTGTGTCGAGTCAGAGAGGGAGCAAGGCGTCCTCAGAGGACCGCCCCCTCAGACCAAAGAGTATCAGCTGACCCAGCGGCTCATCAGAGAGATGAGGGGACAGGAGGCTGGATCAGAATCAGCTGGGACTCCCCAGAGTCCAGACTTTCAGAGGACGTGGACTGTGAACGGCACCGTGCCTTGCTTTCTGGGCCTCTTTGTTTGTTTGGTGTTTTTTTATTCCTGTGAGTCAAACGACCGTCAGAGAGTTACAGCTGCAGGAGGAGGAGGAGGAGGAGGAGGAGAAGCAGCTTCAATCTTCACCCCAACAGCCCGGGAGATTAATAGACTTATTTTCAAAATAATGGTTCAAACGTGTCTCAGTGATTCTGAAAGAGTACATTGTTCCCGATCCAGCAGCTCAGACCTGCTTTAACTTAAATCAGTAATCAGAAGCAGAGAAACACAGCCGAGTTTAAACACGGAGCTGAACACCGTAAACCAAGACCTGATGGTCCTAGTTAAAGCTCCTCCTGCACACACACAGACAGGGAGACACTAACTTTACTGACTGAAGCAGCTCTGATCCAGGACCAGCTGAGGGTGAGGGTGAGGGTTTCTGTCACTGTGTTAATCACTCTTTACAAGACTTGTCAGGAGGAGATCAAGTTTAACCCTCAGGATGTTACAGCCAATCAGAGCTCAGAAACTTGTGATGCAGCTGGTTCCAACATTCAGCTAATGTGCCATCTGGTTAATGTTAGGTTGGGTATCGAAAACAGTCCCAGAATTCTAAGATCAGTAGATTTGATAAAGACACAAGTCCGGTTCCTCAGAAATCCCTCTAGATTAGACCTCAGTATGATTTTATAGCTCACATCAGTTTGACTTTTACCCCCCAGGACCTGCTGAGCTAACATGGCTCTGTGTCAGTCTGGGCAGCACGTAAACTCAGTAATGAGAACTGAGTCCTGGTGAAGTCTGACTGAGCTTCTCGGGTGGCAGTATAAATGTGTGCACATCATATATGAGGCATGTCCTTCCACACAGACACAAGGCTCTGCTGTGCGGTCACTATGCTGAGGCCTCCAGTTAACGCAGCCCCACACAGTCTTTAGAAACCAGACCCACTGAGCATTTTTTGGTCTAAAAGAGGTCTAATAGACGTCTAAATGTAGCCTAGACGACTGGTCTAAAATCAGACTACCACAGGTCTAAAAATGAAAGTTTTTTTTAAAGGCGTCTAAATTTATACCCAGTTTAGACCAGCCGGCAAACAGAGGTCTCACTGTACATTGCTCAACAGCTATCATAATTATTTTCATTAAGTACTTGGAGATCAATTATGCAACTCACAGTTGCTTTTTGAAATAAATAGTTATCAAATAATGTAATAAAGTGCAACGTCTAAAAATATACAGAATCTAGACGGTTGAAATTAGGTCTAAAAAAAAACTAGACGTCTAATAGCCGCCTATTGCTCAGTGGGGAGTCCACCAGCCTCTCACTGTGACCTGTTCAAAGATGGTTCTGAATCAGAGCCACACTAACACCTTCACTGACCATGAGTCTGAAGAAGAACTGGTGTTTTAAATGGGACCACCTTTCTGAAGCTTTGGGATCAGTACTCTGATTTAACCCCAAAGTGAAGTCTGAAGTTGTTGATCCTCTGTTACAGAAGCCTGTCTGTGTTCAGGATGAGTCGCTGATACCTGACAGCGTTTGAATGATCAGCGCGACTGTTTCTGGATCGGTAGTAAACTGAATGGAGCAGATGATTGGTGTTCAAGCCTCAGTGGGTGTCATATGAAAGAGTGTTTAGATCAGGTTTAAATGTGCGGAGATTACAGGAGGAGGAACCTTAAAGCTCCTGTCAGGAACTTTCAGTTTGTGGTGATTGTGGCGCCCCCTGTGGACAAAGCTGTCTTTGCATATCTTTTCCTCTACATGCCTAAACAGTGACTTTAGACTGGTTTCAGGTATAAAAAATCAAAATGTTATCATCCATCATACTGAAAAACTGTTCACAGGAGCTTTAAATGTTTAAACAGATGTTAAGATTCACTGAACGGTGACAGAAAATTAAATCAGAGGAGGATTTTTATATTTTCAGATGAACCTCAGTCAGATTTTTCATGATTTTTTTTCAACGTCATGCTCAGTATTAGGATTGTATTTCAGTCCATCATAAATACTTTTATTCTACATATTAACTTCATTCTCAGGTTTGTTTTTAATAAATAACATACATTTTTATAGATTTTCCAGGTTGATGTCAAATACTTTATGCAATCCTAAAAGTTTCAGTTTTTTCTTGAAATAAGATTTTTTAAATTGTACTGAAGCATCCAATTTAGTCATATTTTCCAATATTTCATTTCTTTTCTCTATATTTAAATTTTTGATCCTTATTTGATTTGATTCTCATTCTTTTGACAGCATTTTAACTCTGGGTTTTTTTTTCTCTGTTTTCCTCCTCAAACTCTCTGCAGCTGGACTCTCTGACTTTGAGAAGTGAAAAACGTTCATGTCTGTCACTCTTAATTTGGTTTCTCCTCCTCAGAGTTATTCTGGGTTTGAACTGGATTAAAAAGGTGACTGAAGCTCTCCAAATAAGAATATATGTAGATTTTGGAGGATATTCTGATTTTCGGGCTGTTGTGTAAGGATATTCAGATACATGAATCTGGCCTGTTTTCTCTGAAACATACCAAGTCTTTGAGGATCTGGATCTGAAGGCCTGAATTGATTTTAATGTTTAATTTGATCTCTGTTGATGTGAAGCTGAAGGAAACTCATTTTTCTCTCTGTAGGTTTTAAACCTTCAGAGAAGATTCATTAATGAAGGATTAAACTGTAACTCTTGATTTCCTGAACTGGAGGTTTTAACTTGTTTTTAGCTGCAGATGAGATTGAAACTGATGATTTTTTTCTGACATCCAAATGCGCTTTTGATGGGCTCTGGTTTGTTGAAGAACCGCTGAGAGTTTCAGGTGGCGACGGCGGTGGCGGACGGCAGAGAAATGTCCATCACTGTACTGTAATCAGCTGTGGGCAGAGACTGAGCCACTCTCACGGCTGTACGGTGACGACTTTAACCACTGCCCGATGTGTTTCTAACTTTAATACACTCTGAAATAAAATCCACTATTTTGATATCTGTCCACACGCTCACTGTCTCTTCTTCACTGACCTGAAGCCTGAAACTTCAGGTAATCTGAGTTTATCAGAGATTACTGAAACTTCATCTTAAAATCAGAAAGTTTTTTAACTGGATATAAGAAAAATGCAGGTTCAAAACTCTTCACAGTCTTTATATAAGAGAGTTTAAACCATTTCTTCAGTTTGTCCTGATGACTGAGAAAAGAATAAGATTATCATCATATTAAAAGTGGGTTTGAATCATGAAATAAGGTCAAAATTATAAAAAGTTTAACGGAGATGAAAAGTCATATTAATGAGAAAATGGGACACTTTAATGGAGAGGGTCTGAAATTTGAAGAGTTTAACAATAAGGGCGATACAGTGGTGAAGTGTTTAGCACTGTTGCCTCACAGCAAGAAGGTCTAAGGTTCAAATCTGGGTCAGGGCGTTTCTGTTTGGTGTTTGCATGTTCTCCCTGTGTCTGCGTGGGTTTACTCCGGTTTCCTCCCACATCCCAAAAACATGCAGAAGTGGGTTGGGTTAATTGGCCACTTTCAAATTGCCCATAGGTGTGAATGTGAGCATGGATGGTTGTTCGTCGCTATATGTCAGTCCTAAACTGGCAGGTTGTCCAGGGTGTCCCCTGCCTTCACCCCAAGATGCTGGGATAGGCTCCAGCCCCAACGGGAAAAAGTGGTAGAAAATGGCTGGATGGATTATTAACAATAAAACTCAAAATATGTCATAATGAGATCTAACATCAGTTAAATGTGTCAGGAACTGAAACAGCTATTTAGTTTACAGTTTTTAATAATGAAGTCACAGATATTTATTTCAGATTTTGATTATTTTACAGGCAGAAACATTTCCTGATGAAACTGAAGATGGTGAAAATAAAACTTAATAAAAAGACACGATTTCATCCGCAGTTTTATATCCAAATCAAAGAAAAGCTTCCTCCTGACCTCATCAACTTTTCTTTTCACACTGTGAACTGAAGTAACGCTGAATGAACCCAGAGAGTCAGAGTGTCACAGCAGCAGAGGGAGGAATCAGCTCTGACAGGGAGGAGGTCAGGAAGTAGGTGAGGGAGGCAAGAGATTAGCAGGAACTGTCTCAGAAAAATAAGCAGGAACTCTGACTTTCTTCAACAGAGAGCTGTGATCAGCACTTTTCCCTGTTTCCTGACTTCCTGTTGATTCATGATCCACTTCCTTTTTCACACACAAGCATGATTCTCTCACTGATGGACTGAAGATAATGATGGAGTCACATGCTCATCACTGCTGTGTTGAGAAGCTCAACACTCAGATCACAGTTACTTTAAACCTGTTTAACATTTTCAGATCAGAGTTCATGAAAAAAAACATCCTGGAGGATTTCTGCTGAACTGACTTAGTTATCACAATTTTACTCCTTTATTTTCTTCTTATCGATTCACTAAATAATGATTCTACACTGTGACAGGGGTGGTCCCACCACTCTTTAGAGGAGGATGCACCGTTCATGATTTCCAAAAAGAAAGTCAGATTGTGACTTTTCATGCACTGAGAAAAAAAGTATAGATGTGTTCAGACTGAAGCTTCACTGCAGTCTGTGTTGATGACTGATCTTTAGCTTAACAGGAATTAATCCATAATGAAGATTGTCCTTAGAAAGCTCAATTCTTCTGTTTGAGGAGCATCTGCATGAAAACGAGAGTCCAGGAAAAGAGTCTATCAGGCAGGTTTTAAAAAAGACAAAGTGACAGATTAGTAACAGGAAGAAATCTGCTTTAATCACAGCAGTGAACAATGTTTAGTCATGGCTGATAACTCTGCAAAACCATCAATGCTGTAATAAATAACTCAGTGAAAAGTGATTGATAAACTAAAACAGACGATAAGACCGTCAATTAAACAAACATCATCAGACAAGAGTCGTTCCTGATTCCTCCTTTAGGTGGAGCTGCAACACAAATGACAACCCTTCAAAGTAAAAGTCTGATGAAGTCTACGCTATGTGATTCCTCAACTGTACAGTTACACTTCAGGACCACTCTCTCAATGCAACACATTTCCATCACTATTTGACATTTGATACCTGTGGTGATTTCTCAGCGCCGTCTTCTCTTGAAAATTTGGTGTAGAACCAAAATGGACGTGGTAAAATAATGACAGTTTACAGTAAGGTACAGTTACAGTAAGTGCAAATTGTGGATCTGAAATGGGAAATAAATAGATCTCAGCTAAGCAACGTGGTGATTGACTGTAGTTTCACAATAAACAGACACAGGGATGGAGCAAGTTTAGTTTATTAACGTAACAGATCATATCTGATCACAACATTGACGCACAGAAATGACGTCAGAGGAGTGGACGGTAAAGAGCGGAAGGACCCCGCAGTGTGGCGTCCACGTTTCCTCTCCGAAAACACAACAAACAAAAACAGAGGCGTTAGACTTTTTACTTTCTTAAAATTATTTTACTTTGTTAAAGTTATTAACAGTTTAGTAAAGTTCCGAACATCTCACAAAGGTAAGTAAGTCTGTGACCAGTCTGTCAGAAGCGGTTCTCTGAGGTCTTCTAGATTTATTACTTGTTTCAGTCCTAACTCTGAAACTGCAGCTCTGATCTCCTCCTTGTGTGAATGAACCTGCTCCCTATTTCGTCCCCAGACAGAGATGTCCTGTTTTTCTGTGGACCCAAACTTCTGTCCAGAGTGTGGGAACGTCCTTCCTCTCCCCGGAGTTCAGGACATGGTTCGCTGCCCTCGCTGCTCCTTCTCCATCCCTGTATCAGGTACAAACACACAGTCTAAAGCTCTCACCTAGTTTTAGATCATTTCATACTGACAGATAGTGTAACATCCCTGTTTGACGCCAGTGTCCTTCATGTTCAATTCAAGAGCTAAAGTTCCTCAGGTGGTCCATCTTTAAATGTCAAATTTTTAGGGTGTTTAAAGTCTAAAGGTGGTGGTCTTTCTGTCAGAGTCTGATCCCTCTGAGGAAAAAAATCAGAGAGGTCTTTAAAATCTGGGTTTCAAGCTCACTCTATGGCTTTAAAAGACTGAGTTTTTTTTAATTTTTTAAATCTTATTTTAATTTCTTTATTTCTTTTCTTTTTTTAACGATCCTTTGACTCTTTATTTTTTGTTTTAATGCTTTCATTTTCTTTTTGCTTCTTTATCTGCTTTCATCTCTTGTAATAACTGTCTTTTATTACTGGTTATTAAAAATCTCTGTGTAGTCTGTTTTCATGCTTTCACAGATTTTATTTAGTGAGACTGTTTTTAACTGTTTTTTCTTTTTCTTTTTTCTTTTTTTTTTTCTCAAGAAACTTATTTAAAAAAGTTCAAAGATATTAAAATTATTTTAAAGAGGATGTCACCAGCTCACTTAAACACTCGGTATGTGTTTTTGGTTCAGAGTTCTCGGGTCAGGAGGTCAAATCCACGGTCGTCTTTAACCCTGTGGAGCAGTCAACTCTGTCTTTGGAGGATGAGGAGGACGCTGAGCTGAAAGGACCTGTGGTGAGTGTGTGTGTGTGTGTGTGTGTGTGTGTGTGTGTGTGTGTGTGTGTGTGTGTGTGTGTGTATTTACAACCTGTAATAATGCTGTCATCACTATTCATGTAGATCGACAGGCGCTGCTCCCGCTGTAACAAAGAGGGGATGATTTATCACACCAGACAGATGAGATCGGCAGATGAAGGACAGACGGTTTTCTTTACCTGTATACACTGCAGGTAACACACACTAACATACTAACACACAGGTACACTCTGAGTGTGTGTTTCAGCTGGTTTCAGATCATTTTCTGATCATTTCAATGTTTTTATTCCAGGTATCAGGAGAAGGAAGACTCTTGAGGAAACATCGGACTATTATCTCCCTTTTTTTACCTGATTCACATGTATCTACAAATCTGTTCAGTGAATAATGTAAAACATGTCTGAACTCTGACCCAGCTCTGATCTGAGATCAGTATTGTTGTTTTGGTCAGAGATGATCTGTCCCTGAGTTAGACTCAGCACACCGATGAGTCCAGCGTCAGTTCAGCTGATCTCCTCTCAGTCTTTGTCAGTTATTTTCACTTGCTTTATTTTATTTTAAACTCACATTTAAGTCTCTTATGTCTGCTCTTGTTTTCTTCAGTTGTTTATTTCTAACAGAACATTAAACAGGAGCATCAGTTTTATCTGTATCCAGCAGGGGGCGGTGCTGCTCTCTGGCTTTGTGAAGACCTAACTATATCAGATAGAGAATGGGACGCCCCAGGGGAGCATGTGCAGCCCTACATTGTTTAATATTATGATAAATTATATTTTTGGGCAAATTGAACTGGGTGTCATTATTTGCTGCTGATGGGGCCTTGTGGGTTAGGGGGCATTTTAACAAATATCTACAGCAAAAACTAAAGGGTGCGGTTGAGGTGGTGGAGCAGTAGGCAGAGAGGTGGGTGTTCAAGTTTTTAGTAGGTAACTCACAAGCAATATGTTTCTCCTGACAACTTAAGGATGTAACATTGAAATTACATGGCCAAGAAGTAGAGCAGGTTATTGTGGTGAGATTTTCTGGGCATGTAGCTGAATGACAAGCTGACGTGGAGACAACATAGGGACAAAGTCAATGATAAATGTAAAAAAGTGAAAACTTGTTGAGATGTCTTTCAGGAAAAGACCGAGGAGCATCAATAGCATCACTATTAAACATGCTGTATACCAGGCTTTTATGAGCGCAGCAAATGATTATAGGTGGATAACTTGCATGTCGGCAGCAAAATCCCACCTTAAAATTGGATGTTCAGCAAGCTCAAGGGTCGAGGCCATGTAGTGGGGCATATAGATTTCACCAGTGGAAGCTTTACAAGTTAAAATTGAAAAACGATCACTGAGGATCCGGCAACTGACAATTATGCTGACATACTGGGTAAATATTAGAGGACATTGAGCATTACACACAGCCAAAATATTCTGAGGGACTGCTGGGAGCATGAGAGCACCAATACAACTAGTTTTGGTTGGATAGGGAAGATCACTTATCAGTACACTCTGTGGAGTTAATAATCGTGGCACTGCCCGAGATAGAGGCACATGGGATACATGAAGCAGTGTTCAAATCAGATAACTGGGCAGCCCTCACACGCATTCAAATGATAAAATCTTGCAAGCAAGAGTAGATTTTTGAGGTACATAGTTTAATATATAAAATCCAGAAGGCTAGGAGTAAGTTTTTTGAGGGGGTTCCTGCTCATGTAAGAATGGAAGGAAACAGGGATGTGGATGTTTTAGCCAAACTGTCATTGAAATCTCTGATAGATATTAAAGTACAGTTGAAAATGGTGGCTAGAATACTGGGAGTTACAATATACAAGCAGACACTTATTTACAATACAAAGACAGGTTGGGGAGGGAAGGAGGCTAGGACAAAAAAACAAAAACAAAGGAGAGAGAGAGAGTATTGATATGGCTTAGGATTAGACATACTGGTTTAAACGGGACATACATAAAATAGGCATGCAGATGGGAAACATGAACAGTGCGGAGTAATTGAATCAGTGCAGCATGTGATAATGAAGTGTGAAAGGTATGGAGAGGAGAATACTGAAGACAGCAGTGGAGAGGGAAAAGGTCGTGTTTAATTTAGAAAATCTTATGAAAGATTATAGACTGCAACTGTCTTATCTCCTGACTGTAAATGACTTTAATAACTGTTTAACAGTTCATTTATAGTTATCCCTCTCATCAGACACAGACCCCTGCAAACTGTATTTAACATTTATTTTAATGTTGATACTGTAAAAACATAATATACATGTACATAACCCTCCGGTAATATAATGACATGCATACTTTTTCCCCAACCACTCTTCATAGTGCAATTCCTTATCACTGCACTATTGCATTACTGTCTTGTACTTAAAAGAAAAATGTCTTCTTCGGTTTGAAACAAACTTTGTAATTTTTGTAAAATTTCATGTTTAATGTTTGTACATAGGGGGCAAAGGCAAATTCCTTGTATGTGTACATAAAGCTGGTTCTGATTCTGATCCCGGCTCAGTAGGTGGCGGTAATGTCTTTTGTAATAAGTACTAAACTACGATAAATACATAAAAGAAGAAGACGAAGACCAATGAGTGCGTTCATTTCTGATCACGTGACTCAGAAACATGGCGTCTCGCTGATGAGGAGAGCTGGATGAAAATAAAGCAGAATTTTTCTTTGATTAATTGAATTTTAGGGTCCAGATTTCCTGTGAACTTTACACGCACATTCACGGTAATACTTTGTTTTGTATGGAGATGGTTAATGAGTCGCTTTATGTCTTTGCCGTCTAAATCTGCTCTGTGATGAACTCTGTTGTGAACTAATTTAACCAGAATAAACTCTTTCTCTTGTTGTTTAATGGTTTTGTCCCGTGGTGCGTTCATGGTCCCTCTCACCTGTGCAGGTGATGAAGCTGCGCGTGCAGCTGCAGTGTAAGAACCTGCATGAATACCTGAGAGAGCTGAGTCCTGAGATCCTGGACCGGCTGTACAACCACCCAGCGACATGTTTGGCTGTCTACAGGTGAGACTTTTACACCTGAACCTGTTTAACACAACACAACCACCTGTCCTCAGGTGAGATCAATACCTTTACAACCAACTCGCACACACACACACCCCTGTACAAAATAAACACATACAACCACCCGGGGACCCGTTTGGCTCACTACAGGTGTCAACTCATGTTTACCTTGTTGTATTGACTTTCATATGTTGTGTATTTATTAGGAATTTATTGTGTGGTTGTTGTTTCATAGGGAGCTTCCCTCTCTGGCGAAGAACTATGTGATGCGAATGCTGTTCCTGGATCAGCCTCTTCCTCAGGCTGCTGTAGCTCTGTGGGTGAAGAAGGACAGTCAGAGGTGAGTCCACGCATCAGAACTTCAATTGATTTATAATGTGTTTCAGTCTCTGAACAACCAAACATGTCTGTGACTGTATGTCTGAGACCCTGGATCACGATGTGTGTGTCTGTGTTTGTCTCTGCAGCGATCACGATGAGTGTGTGTCGGTGCTAACAGGACTCCGTCTGTGGCACAGTCAGCAGTTGCAGGGAGGTCTGCAGGGTTACATCTTAAATCCTGTGTTTAAAGAGAACCTGAGGATCGCTCTGCTTGGAGGGTAGGTCTATGTTTATTACACAGAGAATATGCACTCAGCTGATGTTCTGTAACAACATTATCCTTCCAATCCTTTAAAATATCATTAAAATCACATCTAATCATGTCCTAAACACGTCATTATCTGTTATGCTCATGTTTTTCTTCTTATGTACACTTATAATTTCTCTATCTCTGGTTGGGCTGGTTGATGATTAGTATATGTTCTATTTATGACAATTTGTATATGTTTTGACCTTTCTCTACTCATTGTATATTTAAAACATGTCCTAATGTCCTAATTACTATGTTGTTTTGCACCCTGTGCCTTTACTGACAAGAGTGGAACTCTGTATAAGCTTATCAGCTTCGTTGCCTCCTTGCACTGTTTTTAATCTGTGCTAAATGAAAAAAAAAAAAAAATAAATAACTTCGTATGATTTTGAAGATTCAGATCTACAGGTTCTGGAAAAGTTGTGACAATTTTTAGTTTCTGGAAGTAAAGTTTCTGCTGCTGTGTTGTCACAAAGGGGCAAAGCATGGGCAGATGAGGGCGCCACCCTGGGTCCAGACCGTCACGCTCGGGACATTGAGAGTCTGGACCGCTATGCCATGGAGCGCTGGGAGGTGATCCTGCATTTCATGGTGGGGTCTCCCTCTGCTGCTGTCAGCCAGGATCTGGCTCAGCTGCTGGTTCAGGCAGGACTCATGAAAAGGTGAATCCGAGCTATAGCACAGCAGGGTGAGGGTGGGCGTGTAACCTGACGTCATCAGAAGTCTTTAACATGTCACTCTTTTTTTCTTCTGTGGTTTTCAGTGAAGCAGGAGAGGCACCCTACATCACCTCTGCTGGTTTCCAGTTCCTTCTGCTGGACACGGCCTCTCAGCTCTGGTACTTCACCCTGCAGTACCTCAAAACTGCTCAGGTATCTTTAAACTGTTCCAGTTTGTCAGGACTTTTCTGCTGTCTTCAACTGCTTGGGTTTCATTAGAACTTTTCATGTACCTTAAAACCACTTGGCTGCTCCAGTGATACTCAAGTGCTAACACACTGCTGCAGTTTGCTCTTGTGTAGCATCTCTACTCTCTGCAGGACAGAACTGTGCTGTAAGCTCCCGTCTAGAAGATGAGCTTTATTGGGGGGGAGACACTTTTTATGGGCTTATTGAGACGTGGATTTCAACCAGTGAGACACAAATTTTTCAGTTTAAAACAAAACAACATTCATAAACAAATGCAGCGAGAACATCTGATCTAGATCATAAAAACCCACCAATTCCCAGCAGCCTATAAAGATATCACTGTTTGTGTCCGCGAGTGTTTGTGAAAGAGAGTTTTGTTCATCTGTAGAGAAAGAGTTCAGTATGTGCAAACAGCAGTGGAGAGAGGAGACTTACTTCCTTTACTGTAAAGATTTAGATGTATTTGACTCTTTGCATGTAGTTTATGATGGAGACTGTGTGATTTTGTCTTATTCGCACAGGTTTAGAGGTGCAAAATCTGCATATGCCTTTAGTCAATCGGAGCCTGAGAGTCTCTACTGATATATTTTCTGGTCCTCATCTTTTTCAGTCCAGAGGGATGGACCTGGTGGAGATTTTATCCTTCTTGTTCCAGCTCAGCTTCTCCACCCTTGGCAGAGTGAGTTATCATCTTCAAGTCTGTTCAACTCAGTTACAGTCTGTGTGATTCTCCACTCCAACACTGCTCCTATGAGTTAGAGTTTCTCTGGTATCCATGGATCAATTTCTGCCTTTGTGTTTCAGGATTACTCTGTGGAGGGGATGAGCGAGTCTTTACTCACCTTCCTGCAGCATCTTAGGGAATTTGGACTTGTCTTCCAGAGAAAGGTGAGACACAGAGACCTGGAGAGAGAAAATCACTTAATATACTGTCAGCAACACCTCCTCCAGTCCCCTCAGTGAAAAGGAGACTGTACTGACCCTCCTGTAATAACACTGGGAGCACAGAACAAAGGGGAGCTACTGTGAAAACAGACTCAGAGTCCAGGTGTAAAAAAAAGGATCCTATTGTTCATGAAATAATGTAATGCATGTAACTATAATGAGATTTCTGTTTCGTACAGAGGAAGTCGAGAAGGTACTACCCAACCAGACTGGCTATCACTCTGGCTGCAGGAGTTACCAGCACCTCCTCCTCCTCTTCTTCATCCTCCTCCTCCTCCTTCGCCTCTGCCCCTAGTACAGGAGACACAGGATTCATCGTTGTGGAGACGAACTATCGTATCTATGCTTACACTAGTAGGTTTGAACAGTTCCAGCACCAATGCACAGTGAGATATCAGTTTAAGAGATTATTTCTGAGAGATCTGTGTTTAATTGCAGCTCCTGAAAGGATGCAGAGACCCTAACCCTGTCCGTCTGTTTCTCTTTCTGTGTTTTTATCCCTCCCACTCTCTCTCTCTCTCTCTCTGTAAGATTCTGAGCTTCAGATTGCTCTGGTGGCTCTGTTCAGTGAGATGTTGTATCGTTTCCCTAATGTAGTCGTGGCTCAGGTCACCAGAGAGTCAGTACAACAAGCCATCGCTAACGGCATCACTGCACAACAGGTACTCACCTCACACACAGAAAAGCACGCAGGCACACTGCAGGGCAAGTTCAGAGTGAGACTGCAATCAGAAGTCTCTTCTTTCTTATCAAAATAACAAAAATCTGAGGGCTCTGAAAATTAACACTGCAGAAAAACCAACCGTCTCTTTGACTTTCAGATAATCCACTTTCTGAGGACCAGAGCTCACCCGGTCATGCTCAAGCAGGTGAGTCTATGTCTGTGTATTCTGACAGGGAAAAGAAAACTTGACAGTTTGGATTGTAGGATCTCTGCAAAGTTTCTTCATTCTCCTCTCTTACTCACTGTTTCAGACTCCTGTTCTTCCTCCGACCATCACAGATCAGATCAGACTGTGGGAGCTGGAGAGAGACAGACTGCAGTTCACTGAGGGTCAGATTCACTGAGATTTCTATACAGAGTTCCTGCAAAAAGTTCTAATAATGTTCACTTGACTTTCACAGGTCTGAAACTTTAGACATCTCTTTGACTGCGACATGGCTGCATGTTGGATCCAACTCAAAAGCATCAGCTCTCACACCTAAATCTTCTCATTAACCTTTATCAGTCCATCAGTATAAGTGATCAGTACAGTCTTGTAGAAATAGACCATCATGCTGTGCAGTCTATCAAAGAGAGTCCATCAGAAATCAGTCATTGATGTAAATCTGTGTTTACATTGACGGTCATTTACTGAGCAACTCTGAGGGTGTTTAGACATTTTCATTCATTTCTGAATGACAAAAGACAAAACAGAGTTGGGGATTTAGACTATGTTTATCCTGTTTTAATGTGTGTGTGTGTGTGTGTGTGTGTGTGTGTGTGCACTGCGTGCGTGTGTGCATCTGTGAGCTGAGCTGTATCTGCTGCTGTTTGAGCTACTGCTTTCTGTAAAAGAGAGGAGGAGGAGGCAGAATGACCTTCATCCCTCACCTGACTGTGTGTTTGTGTGTGTTCTGCAGGTGTGCTGTATAACCAGTTCCTGTCCCAGGCAGACTTCGAGGTGCTGCGAGACAGAGCTCAGGTCAGATTAATTTATTTTGATCCTTTTTTCTTAAAAACAGGTGGGGCATGGGTCAAACTTTAAAATCCAAATCCAGGTTAAATTCATGTTTCTACAGCATGGTTCTGTTATTACAGTTGGTACTTTTCATGCTGATATATGTCCAACGCAAACTGCCATGTTTAAATAAGTCAAAACTTCCGCTTTTGCCCTCACACAACAAAAGGTGTGCCGTCCATCTTTATATCCAATCAGTGCTCTCAGCCTTTTGCTGGAACTACAATTAACTCTTGACTTTTAACAACAGTCTATCAGAAGACACGGTGGATAAGGGCAGTTGATTTTTTTGTTCCTCCTGCTGCTGTCTGACATCTTTCCCAGCTGTTAACCTGTTGTTTACATTCTGTTTACCTGTTGTTTTTGTTGTAATTGTGGTCTTCAGGGTCTGGGCTGTCTGGTGTGGCAGGATGTGGCTCACAGGGTGATAGTGGTGACCCCCCAGGGTCACAGTGAGGTCAAAAGGTTCTGGAAACAACAGAAGACTCACACGTAGCAGAGGGAGGAGGGGCAGAGCTGTCACGCCTGGTAACAGGTGTTTTCAGTGTTTTGTATGTTTCATAAATGTTGATGCGGTTTTGTTTTGGATTAAATGATGAGAGAAAGAAAGGAAAATGGTCTGCTCTTTCTTTGTTCATCTTCAGGGTTAGCGTTTGGTTTTTATGAATGGATCGGACTTTCACGGCTTCAGTGCCCTTTCCCCAATTTCAAAATCAACCGGTGTATTCTGTGTTTAAAAGTAATGGACGTTTGAGAGTTTTACATGTGAACACTTCCAATCATCCTTATTACTTAACTGCTGTGCACTAACCTCTCTCTTTGTGTTCATGTTTGCTGAGATTAAAAAAGGTTTTCCCAGCACAGACACAAACTCACATGTTGTCGGCATTAAGGAAATAAAACAGGTTTCTCTCTATTGAAAATATTAATACAAAAGGATAAAAGAAATACTAGTAATGAATCATAAATCTGAATTCTGAGTTTTAATTTATGTATTTTTTTTGTTTCTTAGTTGTTGTTTTTTTACTCACTTTTAATTTCTTTACTTCTGATGCACTACCTGATGTACTTCTCTACTCTTATGAAGCTCTTATAAGAATGTCATCCATGTTTTAATGCCAGTATAGTGTTCCCCTCTTCCTCACCCATATTGTGGTTTATTACCGTTTAGTTTTCCTTCTTTTCTGGGATCTTGTTGATGATTTTGCAAAAGACTGAATCAGACAAAACACAAGGATTAATATTTTTACTGACAAAGAAATTATCCCAAAATCCAACTGTGTTTGGTATTAAGAGGCTAAACTCAGTTTCAAATCAAACTAAGTAATAAAAGGAAGAAAAGATTGAAGGGAGTTTAAAAAATCTACATGTTGTGAAGTGGATAAAAACAGAGTTAAGCAGCGCAGAGAGTCTCAAAGAGCTTCTGTCTCCATCATGAACAGCCAGGCTTCCTGCTGCCTCCACTTAGCGTTAGCATCATAATGTTGTTCCTATAGCAGCCACAGACGAAGATGCTAACTCTCTACTAGGTGTGTTCGAGTCTGTTATACCGCAGGGGGAACGAGGACACCGAGCTTTTCTAACCACGGGGATAAACGCGATTGAACCGGCAGCCTAACTGTAGGCCGCAGATGGAGCCGGGGACCTCGCGTGAAACTCCGACCGCCGCGGGGGTCCCTACTCCGTCCGGTTTGCGGGAGGAGACCCCGGGGGAAGAGGCGAGAGGTGGAGCGGGGAGCACCGGGATGCTGAAGCGGAGAGGAGTGATCGGAGACACCAAGAAGGAGGTGAAAACTCAGGGGGAGGAGGATGAAGATGCTGGGAGTCAAGTTAAAGCCGGAGAGGAGGAAGAGGATGGGGTTAAACATGAGGAGGAGCTGGACCCTAGAATACAGGCATGTTACAGCAAATATCATGAAAACTGAAAGAAATTAAGTCTGTGTGTTCACTGACATAAATAAAATACAGTTTAATGTGAGTACTTTAACTCCCAATGAAGCTGTAATGAATATAAACGCATGTATGATGGTACTGGTCTGCTCCTCGTACAGACTGGTACCCAGTGTCAGCTGCATCTCTGAGCTGCTGATGCTCTCTTAGTGATCTTGTTGTATTTGCATCATTTTCACCATATTCCCAGCCCTTTCCACTCATATGGGAGCTTTATTATTAACTGTGTCTCTTGCTTGTTCGCAGGAGGAGCTGGAGCACCTGAATCAGGCCAGTGATGAGATCAACAAGCTGGAGTTGCAGCTGGATGTGAGGCAGCTGTTTGTGTACTTACAGCCTCAGTGTGTCCATCAGATCAGGGCTCACTGAAGGTAATATGGGTCTGCTTTGTACATATGTGTTCTCCCTGCAGGATGCTCGGTCCAGCTACAGGAGGATTCTGACCGACTCTGCCAGGAAACTAAACGGTCAGGGCTCACAGCTCGGCGCCTGCATCGAGAAAGCGAGGCCGTACTACGAAGCTCGCAGACTTGCCAAAGAAGTGAGTGTTGAAATCAGAAGTCAAACTGAGCCCTGTCTGTATATCAGTGTTATTCTTCATTTAACCTACTCTTAAAACCATGATTCAGTAAAGATGATTGCCACAAACCTCTTTCACACCTGCTTCATTACACATGACCCTCTTAGGTCCCCCCGTCAGCTGAGGGGTGGAAGGTGGAACAGATGAGTCTCAGGACATCAGAGTGATTAGGGGGCAGCAGCAGGATATCACTGTTCACGTCAGAGCTAAAGTATCGCTTCAGAAACTTTGATCGCCTCCAGATTGTAAAGATTTACTGTCATAATCAATAAATGCTCTGTAGATGACACTTTGAACTGTCTTAACCCTGCTCATGAAATATTTGAAAGAATATCTCAAACACTTAATAATATTTGGGGTTCAAATAACTTCCAAAGAGTTTAAATTTATTATTTCATAGTTGTACATTGAGAATTATTGTGTATTTGAAGAAAAAAATGTTTGAAACTTTGAGTTTATTGTACTTAAAAATACAGTAATAGAGACTATTGACTCCCACAGTCCGATAGTGTAGGTTTTACAGACTTTAGGTTGATGACACAGTTTAGAAAAACATGACCCTAGGAGATAATAGCACCAGTGACGGCAGCAGAGGACAGGTTTTATTCCAGACCTTAATGTCGGCTGTGATGCTTGGACTGAAGGTCTTTATTGAAACTAACTGATAGATAAAATCTTTAACCCTTGAAGGTCTGGGTCATTAGAGTCAGTCATGTTTAATCAGCATACTGAGGACTCATTTCAAACTGTAATTAAACTGATGGAGACGGAGAGCAGAGGTCTGATTGGTTCAATAAAATGAATGATGGATTATTAATCGGAGCTGTGAATGATGTCCTCTGAGGCTATAAAAATGCTAATCAGTCAATCAGGGAGATGTGGTGTGTGTCTTTCTGCGGTGGATTTTAAGCCTTTGTGAGGATCCTGTACAGTCAGATATCTTCATCACAGAGTGGACTGCAGTCATTAATCTGTCAGAGTGACCCGGTCTCCTCGTCTTCATCCAGCAGAGCATCCTGCTGCTCCCTCATGCAGAGACAGAACACACACCTGATCAAAGTAACCTTGACTTTGACAGCTTCCTCTCAACCGCACACAGATGAGCCTCCTGAAAGCTGAAACATCAGCTCTAAATCTGTTCCTAAACCAGGATAAACCACAGACACACACCGAGGGGTGTTGCAGAGGGAGAGCTGGGAGATGTCCAAATATCTAAGTTAGCAACCTCAAAGTTGCAGCAGGACAAAGAAGTTAACATAACTTCACATAAACTGGAATCAAACCCCAAAGTTTGATTAAAATTAACACATTTCATTTTTCACTGTTAACATTTGATTTGTTGTCTAATGGAGACATTTAATTATTCTCAAACTAGTGGACCAGAAGACAGTTTTTCAAAAAGTTTTCCTAAATCCCTAAAAAAGAAAAAAAATCAGGATACTGCCAAAAGTACGAGTGATCGGGCCAAAGTTTGGATTCATTTTTCACAGTTTTCACTTCAACAGGATTGTCTGTTTGTTGTTTCTTCGCTTTGTTTGTTTAATTTGAACATATTTCAGATATTTGCAGATAACAAACACTGAGTTTCAGCCTGTCACCTTGTTTTATCTTTATTAACATGCATTAACTCTCTCTCAGTTTCTGTCCATATAGTGACGTGTCCTGATGTCTTTTTGTCTTGTCAGGCGCAGCAGGAGACCCAGAAAGCAGCTCTGCGGTATGAACGAGCTGTGTCCATGCACACTGCAGCCAGAGAGATGGTGTATGTGGCCGAGCAGGGTTTACTTGCAGACAGGAACACCATGGACCCAACATGGCAGGAGATGCTCAACCACGCCACTGCAAAGGTACAGACAGGGACAGATGTGCAGGTGCTCTGCGGATAGTTAAAGTAATGATGTTAAATTGATTTACGTACAGTATCTTCAGACAGCAGATAAACTGATGCAGTTTGTCTGTCACTGTGTTTCACTGAATGGTTGATATTTAACGAGTGGCTAACTCTGAACTCTGAAGTTTGAACTTTCCCTGTTGTAAATGTCACAGTACAGATCTGGCAGTGCTGCTTTCACTGCTGATAAACAGAGCGTGCTGTACTGTAAACATAACAAGGGCAATTTAAAAGAATTAATCATGTGTGTCACAGGACCTTTATTCGCCTTTTACAGAGACAGAAAAACATGTTAACCTTAAAAAGCTCGGCTGATAAATTGGTTCCATCTACTGATTGTAGATTGCTGTATTGTGTTGTCTCACTTCATTCTCTATATTCTTACACTGCAGAGAGGTGCAGTTCTGTTTGTCACAGATATGGATCCATGTCTTTTATTTGAATGGGAAATATTAATGTAACGAAACCTTGATGAATCTGCGAGTTGATCCTCAATTTGTTTTTGATCGTTCTGTTCTGTTGACCCTCCAAAAGAGACACATGAGGCGATAAATATGTCATGGTTGTTGTCGATACCTGTCCTGCTCAGGTGAACGAGGCGGAGGAGGAGCGTCTCCGCAGTGAACGGGAGCACCAGCGGGTGACTCAGCTCTGTCAGGACGCTGAGGCTCGAGTCCAGACTCTACAGAAAACCCTTAAGAAGGTCATCCTCAAATCCAAGCCATACTTTGAGCTGAAGGCTCAGTTCAACCACATCCTGGAGGTCAGTGCAGAGACGCACTGCTGTTTTCTGTTAAGATTGTTACGATACTGTGATACTGACATTTATTTGATAAGCACTTCTCAAATCAGATTTTACACAGTAACAAACATAAAAGCCCACGACATAGGAACACAAAACACAGGGACACAAAACAACAAGACAACTCAATTTTAAATTATAGAAGAGGAAACAATGAAAATATTGAGCAGCTGGATATAAAAAAACAATGAACCAGATATAATTTCTGCTGATCTCTGCTGATTTTGTCTGATCTCTGGTGTTTCTGTGGTTCTCTTCTCCAGGAGCACACAAGCTCAAAGTGTAAGGCTTCTGAAATGCACAGGTCTACCTTTTTAAAGTTATGTAAAAATATGAGTGATAACGACTAAAGTTGATCCTCATTTTGACAGATCTAACTGCCTGATTTCGGTTTCTGCTGATTTCTACAAATTTCTGCTGATCTCTGCTGATTTTATCTGATCTTTGGTGTTTCTGTTGTTCTCTTCTCGAGGAGCACAAAGCCAAAGTGGTTCAGCTGGAGGAGCAGGTAGCAAAGGTGAAGACTCGTTACTCCGTGGCTTTGAGGAACCTGGAGCAGATCAGTGAGCAGATACACGCTCAGAGAGGACGGGTCAGGGCCAGCAGGGGGCGCCCTGCCGTTTGTGGAGGGCGGAGCTCCCCTGTAGGAGCTGAGGCTGAGGTCAGAGCGGTGAGAGCTGTGCAGGTCAGCAGCTGTGTGGTCGGGGTTGGCGGGATAGAGAGCGATTGGGTGGACGGAGAGAAAACCCGCTTGTGGGTAGAGCGGCACAGGGAGAGTGGGTGGGGTCAGAGAGAGCGGCTGGAGGCGGAGCAGGCGGGGTCAGACTGCATGTCCGTCATCAGCCTGCAGACCATCGCCTCTGACTTGGAGAAGTGTGACTCTGTGGAGCACCTGGGGGAGCTGAGCGACGGTGGGAGCACGGTGGGGGAGGAGTGGGACAGGAGGCTCAGCGAGAGGCCGCTCAGCAGGGAGGTGGTGCGGGGGGAGGAGCCTCAGAAGGAGGGACCTAAGAAAGAGGACATGCCTCCAAAAAAAGAGGAGAAGGATGAAAAGGAAGGGGCAGGGGCAAGTGAGGAGAAGCAGGAGAGCTTTACCAAACAGCACCACAGAAGTGTGAGTCTATGAGAGGTGGAGGAGGAAGGGAAAGAAGGATGACGAGGAAGAAGACTAATGAGGAGGCTGATGGTGATGGATACAGCGCTTTGAGGAGGGTCTCCAGGTAGATCAGACACACACTGAAGAGATTGATGAGTGTATTCATGATGGAAACACCAACACATACACTCTCTCTCTCTCTCTCTCTGCAGAGTAGGTCTGCAGCTTTAAACTAACACAGAGCCTAAACAGACTGTACACAAACACACACACTGCTGTTTCATTCATGCACATCTCTGCAGAGCTTCTAAAGTCCATCTGTGGATCAGCTTCAGGACTGAGCTGCAGAAACTCCAGCAGAGAGACAGGAAAGAGGACTTCATCTGTGTCAGTCAGAGCTTAGGGGATGAGATCAAACCCGGTTTTATCCTCCTGATGGGTCATCGTCTATTTCACCTGCTTCATGGAAAAGAAGAAAGCGACTTTGAAAATGTAGGTATGATAAAACCTCAGAAGATCTGACTGCAGTCAAATCAGGAGCCCAGCAGCTTCGTATTAAAACATTTCCCTGAAAAAACTGCTAGAATCAAGCTCTTAAATGTGGATATTTCCTCTTTGGCTTTTTAAATGAGGTGGATAGTTTTTCTGTAATCCTGCAGACAAAAACTCCAACAGTGATTAAATTAAGCTCTTAATAGTTCTTTGGTGCTGTGTGCGGTAAAACTCAAAGAGGACTCATGTAGCACCAGCTTCATTTAGATCATAATGTGGCCAAATTAAAGATGCTCTTCTTTGTTGAAAGGGCAGCTGGACTTGCTTGAGTAGAAAACCATGACCTGGATGAATGAGAACCTACACAGACTCCTAATAGATAATGCTCATCTTTTATTGCCTTATCTTAAGGGACTGACGTCATGCCCTCTGCTCTGTATGATAAACTGTAAATATGTATAAATATGAATATTGAAGTGCAGTTTGATGGAGGTGTTATTGTGCTGCAGAGATTTAAACCATCAGTGATCATTGAGCTTTATTAACGGATATGGATTTGGCCTTAAAATCTAAACCAACCTTATTTAGTGATCTAGTTCAGTCCTCTGAGGATGAAACACCCCAAGTGTTCATATTAAAGTGAGACACACTCTGGACTCTAGTGTCATGGCATTCTGTCCTAAGTCCCTCCTAATGAGCTGCTCCAGCAGCCTCTCATTAATAAGATCCCAGATGTAATAATAGAGTCATTATGATGCGAAGTTTACACATTTTTATTGTGTTTTATTGATGAAGCCATAAACCGATTAATGCCTAAAATTCCTTAAAGATCTGATTTATTTAAAGTGCCTACGAGTCCTGATTGAGTTCATTCAGACTAAAATAATATGGTTAGTGGATGACAGTGTGACGTTTATTTACGGCAGCATGAAGCTTTTTAACAGGTGAAAGAGGATGTAGAGTTTATATATATATATGTAGAGAGAGAGAGCTAACTGTCTGTTTTAATGTATTTATGCTGCTTTATGATAATTTATGTTGAAGACACAGACCCTGATGATGGATGAGGTTTGTTAGAGTTTTATTGATTCTGTATGTGTGATATACTTTCTGTGTGAGTTCAGCTGTCCGACATTTTCACTGTCTAATTCCTGCTAAACCATCAGCTGTTTGAACTTGATTTCTGCAGATGAATTAAAAGAGAAAGAAATGTGTTACATTACACTTATTCTGTGTATTTTTGAACCTTTTACCTGAGTCAATTTCCAGCCTCACTTTGCTCTGTATGAAATCACCTGAAAGACTTGAGATCACAATCTACCTGAACATCCGGCTCTTAGAAATTAAAACCTAAATATAACCTGATGATATAGGACACAAAGTTATTTCTAGGTTATCGTTTTCAGGGCGCTAGGGTGTTAGAGTTGTCAGCTGTTTCCCTCGCTGTGAAAAAGTGAAACCCTGAACATCCAGTCTACATCTTTTTTTAGGGTTGGGATCTTATTTAAAGTTCATCCAGGATCTCACTGTTAGTGTTGATTATGGTGCCCCCAGTGGATAAAGTGGTACTTGTTACACTCTTACGGCATCAAGTAAGTTGACTATACGTCCTCTTTTACCCGGCCATGTCCTCTTTTTGGGGGGCTGTCTGGCCTTGTCCAGCTTTGTCCGGGGGAGTTTATAAAACCCTCAAATGTCCGGGGTTCTGTATAGAAGTTCTGAGTTTGGATCGCATGGACTACTGAGTCAGAAGCGCGTAAAAAACACTCGATCCAACCCGTCAACTCTCAAAATTTACTACGTGCAACTCCGTGACTCCGCCCCTGCTTAGTTGTGCCCTCCCTGGACAAAGAAATATTCCATCTTATCACTTCTGTCTCTGATTACTATTGAAGCTCATGAAGAGACATCACTGTAAATCTCAGTCTGTTATAAACTTGTCAAAACCTCTTCACAGAGGCTCCAACATGGACCAAAACCAAGACTGGATAGCTGTGCTCTTTCAGCACGAAGACAGACAATGTTGAGTTTGTTTCCATTGAAATGTAAACTTTACTTAAAGACCATCAGATTCTTGTCCATATGAAATTAGTCGTGCAGCTTCTCTTAAAAACATCTTTATTAAATTATAAAATCTCTGCTATCTGAGATTTTCCTGTTTGCAGCTTTTGATGAACTCAGACCTGAGTGATGTGTAGGAACTATTTTAGTGGATGTCATTGAAGTGCTGAATGTGCAGTCTGAAAAAGTTAGACTGAAGGCAGAAGGGGTTGAAGATAAAGACGAGATAAACTAGATAAGTTCAGACAGGCTGTAGAGGTGGATGTGAGTCTGATGAGCTGAGCTGAGCTGGGAGCAGAGAGTGATAATTGATGGTGATGGAGAGGAGCAGAGATACAGAGGGAGCATGCTGAAAGGAATAAATCCTACATGCTGGATAATTTCAGAACTGCTGCTGAGGGTGAAGGTGACACATGATGGAGGAGGAGGACGGCGTCACGCTGACAGTGATGAGAGGATGACAGCTGAGAGATGAAGAACAGTCAGGGCGCCCGCCGTCAGGATCCTCCCTCCACCACGAGCTGCTGCAGAGTCTGTGAAAAATGATGAAGTGATGTTACTTAATCCTATTAAAACTGCAGCATGAAAACTTAAAAACAGGCCAAACAGGGCAAAGGAGGGGGAAAAGGAGGAGGGGAGAGGAAGGGGAAGACAAATTCACAAGTTTGAAGTTACAAATGAATGACAGTAAAAGGAGAATCCAAGTTATTCATAAACAATCTGTTGACATTTTCAGATTTAAGTAATAAATCCACAAAAGTTAAGTCAAAGATTTTCAGGATCAAAGTTTTAAATCTATAAAATGTTCAGTGTTAATCAATCCTTTAATTTAGACGATTAAAATCATATTTTTTTTTAGTTTTAGTCCAAAATTATAGTTGATTCTTTGTGAGGCTGACATGATAACCATGTTTAAGAGAATGTTTTGGATGTTTTACTTTTACAGTCACATCTATGTTCCACCTGTTTACATGGAGGAGGCGGGCTTTATGACCTGTACCACAGCCAATCAGCAGGAGGAGCTGCACATATGTTGGTCTCACTTTATGGAGCTGTCATGTGGCGCATGTTTTTAAACAGTCTGTGAGCAGAATCAGACTGTGACTCAAGAAACCTTCAACTCTGAGACTCTGAGTCTGCAGCTGATCAGCTGATGGAGCCGAGCCTCCTGCACACCTGCCCATGAGTGATGAAGATCCTGCTGTTGATGGATGATGAAGACGAAGATGCTGCTGCCCATTGATGGTGAGAATGGAGAAGCTACCACTGATGAAAAGGATGATACATGTTGCTGATAAATGACGATGAAGATAAAGAGTGAAGATGATGATGAGACCTGTTGGTGTCTCTCTGTACTTCAACCTCTTTAGCTGTGCTTCTCTCTCTGCAGCTCATGGAGCTGACTGCTCAGCTGAGGGAGGTCCCTGATATTTATGCACATGAAGAGGGGGTGTGATCTCTTTCCCCGCTGACCAATCACAGCACAGATTCTCTTTATTGCACTGACTGCAGAGAGAGAGGGCCTGTTCTGCTGCATTTATGACCATAGGAAAATAGAGGATCTCCTGTGACCATGTGTTTGTTTCGTAATTGAAAAAAATCGAATTTTATTTTAGTAAATTCTTTAAATCTATTGTGAAGAAATTAAAATGAGAACCATATCAAACATCACTGTGAGCTAGTGTGGCTTCATGAACTGAGTTAACATTCTCTTATTAGACTCAGTATCCCCATCTTCACATTGAAATGAGTTATCTTTAAATAGCCAAGATAATTACCACAGAAACACATCACCTGAAGCTTCAAACCTGAAGTCCTCTGACCAAGTGCTGCCTCAGTTTTCACCTTTTAGTTAGTCAATGGGGAAGAGTCACACAAACCATCAGATTACAAGATTACACATGTGGTTTTACAAGATTAATTCAGATTAGTTAATGTGAAAAATAATGACCAGTATGACTGAACCTCAAAGATAGTCAAACTGCAGTAACAGACTACTGAGTTTGGTCTATTCCTGTGTGTTTTTGTTTTGTTTGTTTTTTGTTTTGTTTTTGGTCCGTGTGTCCATCAAGAGTTGTGGAGCCAACATAAAGCAGTCTAAATCACTGTAATCTGGATATTCACATGTGTAATCTTGAAGTCAGGGCTGGAAGTTCTGTTTTCTTATGCTCTGACAAAAAGCAGCCAGTTTGGTGAACTCAAAACTCTCAGTTCCACATTTACGATAAAAACTCAGATTTAATTAGTTTCAATCCTTCATTTACAGCTTGGTTCTCCAAATCTTAGCTGATCCTCATGCTCCATTGCAGAAAACACCCACTACTAAAGCAAAGTGGTTGGTTAAAATAACTGATTTTTTTTTTTCCAACAGAGACTGAATGCAGCATCTTTTAGTGTCGTCACCAGAGAGAGAGAGAGAGATAGAGAGAGAGAGAGAGAGTGAGAGTACTAAGGTGGTTCAGAGCAGCTCTGCTCCTCTATCACTGTGAGAGGATTTACTGATCCAGACTGAGCAGAGCCTCTGAGGACTGACCACGTCCAGGATCACAGAGTCCAGGATCAGGACTGTGAGTGTGTGCTGCTGCAGCCTGTGGAGCCCCTTCATCCTCTGGACCTTCATCATCCTCATCTTCATCTCCATCCTCAGGACCACTACCACCAGGAGCAGCAGAGTGAGGACCTGCAGACCAGCAGCAGAGAAAGGACCCGCAGACCAGCAGCGTCTGTATCAGTGAGTACGAGTGACTCAGTCTGAGCTTCACAATCTGAGGGGAGAGCCTCAGGTATCAGGAGCACACCTGACAGCATGGAGGACACACACACACACACACACACACACACACACACACACACACACACACACACACACACACACACACACACACACACACAGAATGAGAGAACAAGAGGGAGTGAGCAGGTCTCTGTCTTTCATGTTTAAATTCACTCTGACTCACATTTGAAGCTCTTCCACTAAATAAAAACACCAACATTTCTGCTACTGAATCTCATCTCACGTGCACTCTCTTTACACACATACACACTGTGATGGTCTCAGGTGACGAGTCCAGGGGGTGCAGAGATGGAGAGTTCGTTTATCTCCCTGTCATCAGGTCTGCAGGTGTGTGTGTGTGTGTGTGTGTGTGTGTGTACATTATTCTGTCAGTGAGGATTGTTACAGTGAGGCTGTGATGAACGTTAAAATGGTTTTAACATTATAGTGAATCATTTTGATTCTGCTCATCTTCAGATGACATTCCTCTGATTCATTCTATTTAATTAGTTAATTAATTTTATAATGATTAAATGTGTATTTGTATGGTTTAAACAGGGCAGCTTTACTCCTGTTGAGGATATGAAAAAAACTGATCACTTTGCATGAAAACCAGAACAGACATGAGTTTTTACCTCAATGAAACCACCAGACGCACAGTGATGATTCATTTAGTCATCCTGTATTCCATTACTCATCATTTTTATTCATTACATATCAGTTTGAGTAATATTTAGAGTCAAAGAAATACAATTCTGTGATTCAGGTATGGCAGCATGCCTTCAGTGACCATTAAGGTCAACTGCCCAAAGTTACAATAAATACATAAGCATTTCCCTAAATGTCAAAAAATATTTACAGAGCACGATAATGTTTTTAATGCAAAATCAATGAATAAAACACATATATACGTATATAAATAAAAAAGATAACAAAATATGAAATAATATCACTGCATGCAAAAGATCAAAAAGTAAAACATTTCATCAAACACAAAATAAAAATAAGAATTTCACAAAATATTCAGCAATTTTATTGATGCTATTTTTTTCCCTAAAATGCTTCTTTTATTTCCTCATTAATACCAGAGATCAACCAGTTTTCCTGTTAACTCGGGGTTTCAGTTCTGGTCTCTATCCATGGTGCTGAAGTTCTTCTCTGTGTCTCTGTCCATGTTACTGAAGTTCTTATTGTGTCTCTGTCCATGGTGCTGAAGTTCTTCTCTGTGTCTCTGTCCATGGTGCTGAAGTTCTTCTCTGTGTCTTTGTCTATGGTACTGAAGTTCTTTTGTGTCTCTGTCCATGGTGCTGAAGCATGTGTTTGTGGTACCTGAGGTGTTTGGACTCATCTTTATGCCTCTGTCTATCATGCTGAAACTTACCTTGGTTTCTCTGTCTGTGATACCAAACATGACTCTGTGTCCCTGTCTTAGTGCTCAAGCTTATGTCTGTGTTCCTCTGCATATTGCTGATGCCTTCTGTCTATGGGTGTTTGGAAGCTGCCATTGTAAGGTGTGTTGTTTACTCCCCTGTTTTGACTCATCTGCAGAGCAGTTTTGGGGGGAAAAAAGTCATTCAGACTCTGACCCTCCCTCAGAAGAAGAAATGGAGGGAAAGAAGAAGATGGTCATGTGCAGCATTAAAACTGGCAGTGCAGAAGAGCACTGTATGTGTCTTTGTTCTTGCAGTCTGGTAATGAGGAAATGGGGTGTGTTACGATACTCTGGACACTCATATAAGCCCTTTTTCAGGGTTCAGTGCAGACATACAAAGCCATAATGATTGTAAAGCTCTGTTCCAGCACTGTAGCAGAATTCATGTCAGCAGTCCTGAAGTTTGCTCTGTTTGTTGGACCTTAGTTTATCTCAGTGTCTCTATCCATGGTGCTGAGGGTTCTGTAAGTCTCTGTCCATGGTGCAATCTCGTCTCAGAATGGTCCTGTACTGCTCGTTGCCTGCAAAAGAAGGTTTGTGTGTGTGTGTGTATATGTGTGTGCATGCACTGTATATAGAAGTGTTAGAGCGATTTTAGTTTGCATATATTTGCGTCTCATTTCCATTTTCTCTCTAAGACTGTGTTGTCTTTTGGCCAGCTTATCCTCCTTCAAACAGAGTTATGAGGCAGCAAGTTGGGGGACAAGAGAGAGGGAGAGAGTGTGTGTGTGTGTGTGTGTGTGTGTGTGTGTGTGTGTGTGTGTGTGTGTGTGTGTGTGTGTGTGTGTGGTATTGTTCAGTATTTTGCTCAAGGACAGGTGTTCTGGCTGGATCAAACCTGACACTGAGGTGTGATAGGAAGCCTCTGGAAAGGTCTCAGCAGCAGAAATCAAACACCTTCACTGCTCCTACAGCACATCGAGCAGCTGCTTCCCTCAGAGCAGATAATCTGAGCGCTGAGGACAGAGGCAGTGTGTGTGGGCATTTATGGATCGTACTGGAGGTCCGGACTTTCTTTTCTTCTATCCTGCACACTAAGACACTCTCCTAAGTACTCTAACTTCTCTAGTGTCTTAGTCTCAGTCTTGACACAGCCTGAGTCTAACTTGCTTATTGGTGAAGATACTCAACCCCACTTCCAGAAGCGCTGGAAACACATTGCTCAGTGTGAGTCTCAGTGACATCACCCATGAAGCCCATCAGTGGTGGCTGACATGTTGCAAATGCTGACTCAGCTTAACTTTTGGTTGACTAAAAAAGAGAACCTCGAGAAAGGGGATTTTTGAGTTCTTTTGTTTGTTTGTTTGCTTTAACCAGGCTGATAGCAGTAGTACAAATTTGCTATTTTCAATGGGTGTGTATTTGGCTTCTGGTGCTTTTTCAGCCACCAGTGGACACTTGGGGAACTGCAGTTTTTAGCACACCTCTGAATTGGCTTTGTTTCATGTCTCTACTTAAAGTGATGATCTGCTTTGTTTTTGTAGCTCATTCAGAGACATTAGGATTCATTTGAGCCTGTTTATGATCAGATAAAAACTCTTTATTGGAGCTTTAAAACCAGCAGTACCAAGGATAAATAAAGTATTCAGATTCTGATTCTAAGAATGTGTAAAAGACAACTTAAGAGCGCATTAATGAACCTTAATTAACTGTGAACCTTCAGATTACTTCTGGAAATTTCATCTTCAACAATAAATTTGCCCACATTCAGCTGCCTTCAGAATATAGAAATCATCATGAATATCCATATTTATCAACACGAAATAACCAGTTATAATCTGCTGCCATGAACCAAACACTGGTTGTTTGCTGGGTCACACAGACAGAGAAGACATGGACCTCTTCATTTTTACTCTGTTGATATTTAAACAGACTCACACATCTTCAGCTTTACACTCCTGCCTGTTGAGCTTTGTTTTATCTGCTGTTATTAGAGGTGATCAGGGTATCAGAGGGCATGCTGGGACACGCTCCAGCTCTCCATTATGTGTGACAGTGCTGGCTCATCATGTAGTATTGTTCCTCACATGATGTGTCTCATTTCAGGCTCTTGTCTGGGCTGCTGATTACAGCTCATCTGTACGAGCAACTGATTATTTCAGACTGAAAACAGAGACTGTGAGGGGCCTACACGAGTCCTAAATCACTGTGACAATGTCTCCTTTTATCTGATACCTGTCACTGTCAATGTGTAACCGTAAACAGGTTCAGATCTGTAGTTTTACATCTCTGTAAATGTTAAACGTTAAAATATCTCTGACACGTCTATCTGGAGTCTCTCCTGTTTGTTCCATCTGTGTTTGTACAGCTTCATACTGCATAAAGAGGAACAGTTTTGTGTTTGTAAAATGACGCTGCTCCAGGAATGAACATTTAATTTATTTCATAGAAACAGTCTGAGCTCCACAAATATGAGCTCTCTAAACAGAAACAGTGACAAGGTTTGAATTTTGAAGAAAAGTCAGACTGCTGCTGTTCAGACAGTCTGTTTCTCTCACGCTGACGCTTCTTTATTTAAACCAAACTCATAAATTCATGTGAAAGGTTGAATTATTTTTATCTGCATAAAGGCAACAAAAACAGAGGAGTTGAAATTATTCATTTAATTTAGTCACGTTCAGTTTACTTACCTAGTGTTTGAATTACCAAAAATTTATTAAACTGTGGATGAGTCATTAGTTTATTTTGTCTCCAAAAAACAAATTTGATTAATTCATGAAATGTGTTTGATGTTAAGACAAGTTGACTGAAATGATTTCAGATTCTTGTTAAATGTAACTCATAAATTCTGCCTGAAAATAACTATAATGAATAAAATAATTATGCATCACCCAAATAAATTAAAATGAATTAACATAGTGAATTGACATTATAAAGCTTAAAGTATGATGAAAGAATATTAATGAAAAAAAAAGGGGAAAAAAAGAGATAAGACAGACTGATCAACAGCTGTCTTTGGATTTGGAAATGATGATAAAAAGGCGTAGAAGTGGAAAAAACTTTTAAAATGTCAGAATATGAATCACATCTGTGGCACCTCTTATTTCAGGGTGAGCCAGTGAAAAAGTGAGTCTCTGGTTGTAGAGGTTTTAAAAGGGCGTGATATGGGCTCTGGTCTTTATCGGCTTTCATGCGCCTGAGTGTTTTGAATTTAGAGGAAGAAAGTGGAACATGACAGGAGTTCATTTTGCAGGTGAGAAAAGCATGAATTACAGTCTCTGCAGCGGCTCGAGAGGGAAACAGTCACACTCTGAAATTGTTTTTCATGTAATGAAAAGCTTTCTTTGAAATGTGGCTGATATGAGTCTCAAAAACAAGCAACAAACAGAGAAAATGACATCAGGTGTCTGCGGAGGATGAGGAGGACATTGTAGAGATGTTTTTATTTGAGATAAAATGAAGAAATGTTACTGTAGGAGGTTCAGGCAGCAGTGCACCATGGGACATATAGTTACAGCTATGTGCAGTACGCAGAAAAATTCACTTTCATTGCACAATCAAGTCAAAAGGGCTTGTTGGGTTACTATTTGCAGTGGGAAGACTGTAGGAACAACCTGAACACACCTCAGAAGAATTCAATGAGAGCCACTGTGGTCCAAAATGAATATTATTCTTAGGCAACAAGTTAAATTTGGTGGTATGGCTCTGCTCTTAGAGCTCCCCGACCTTTCAACTGTGCATTTGGTTTGCCAAAGTCAGAGACAAGGAGAACACACCTCTCTTCTGTTTGAGGTGCACATATGCAACAGAAAGGCAGGGAGAGCAGCAGCAAAGACCTCATACAGAACAGAGCAGCATCAGTGACAACCCATCTGACCCTGGTTAAATCAGACACGCATGAAAAGACGGAGCTTGGGAGAAAGAGGGTTGTCAAGTGGTCTGCAAGAGAAGAGTGGGCGGTCTACAGCAGTTTCAATAGAACAAATATATACACATTTGGCATGTATGTACTGTGGGTGGAGCTTGACTTCTTGGCCTGTCTGGACCTTCACTAGCACTACTCAATTTATAATAATATTCAGACTATAAGTGACCTAGTTTTGAGGGGAATGATTTTAAGATAGTGGGTGACTGTGTTTAATGTCTGTGGAAGTGTTTAATGTTAGCATCTATTCAGGGTTTTTCCCACTCCAGGTTTTCCTGTAGATCCAGTTCTTGTTGGTGGTTTAACAGCCTGAGACGCTGAAAGAACAGCAGGACTCAGAGTCAGAGCACACTGTAGAAAATTGTCCAACTGTGCATAAATGTGTCATTTAAAGAGCTTTAAGATTTAATTAAAGCCTGAACATCTCTAGTTTTTAGAGGAGAGGAATCATGCAGGAGAGGAAATTTAATTTCAGTGAAGTGTTTACAACTGTAATCATCATGATACTTCCATCAATCAGCCAGAGGAGAATTTTAAACAGGGTCAAAGACATCGGCAGGTTATTCCTGGTGAGTGCAGGTGACTCTGTGTCAGACTCTCCATCTCAAAGTTCAGACAAATCAGTAAATGGTGCTCGAGTCTGTCTGAGGAGAACAGGATGGAATCTGACTGCAGGGAGATTCAATTTAGATTTAAAGTAGACTGACTGATGTGTTGGACTCTGATAATGGTATCTCTTCTGTGAGGAAGGACACATAGTGACACCAGGAGACAGCAGGGATCAGGCGTCAAGTAGATTTCTAAAGTAAGTCTTAATTTGACCAGTCTGTTTTTACAGATCCTACATGAAAATACAGACTCTGTACTCAGTGTCTGGACTTGGTCTGAGGAGTGCACTTGTGCCCATTTGTAGTCCTTATAGCATCACCCACTCAGGTGTCAGCAGGAAAGACAGTCTGTATGGAGAGCAAAAGGAGGATGAACACAGTCCTCCATCATGACCTCCAGCTCCCATGGTTGGTGATCTGAGGAGGATTTCAGTCTCTGTAGCAACAGATATCTGAATAAAGCTCAGCAAACACACAGATCAAACATTTACACTGCGACACAGATCTGACTGATGCTGAGTCACTAAAGACAATCAGAGTTTAGATTTACAGACTGGATGCCTCAAAATGAGGAGAACATCACAAGAACATCAGTTTCTGTTTCAGGTTCATACTGCTGAAGGAAAGAGTGAAGTCTCTGAAAGACTATTTACAGAGAAAATGACTCTCCACACATAAACAGTATCTCATCTGGAGCTTGTTTGATTTATCTGGAGGGTTATTTTCTCTTTTTGGCTGTTCTTTTAGTTTCTGATCCGACTGTAAATTATTGAGGACATAAACTCAGCTATTACTGACTGCTGCTGTGTGTGCTGGCACAGTGAGAAGTTGACTATGGTTCCAGAGAATATATTATTATCTGATGGTTTTAAGATGACAATATAACTTGTGCATGCATTCAGCTAATTTGATCATTATCTAATAGTTGGATACACATGGCTTATGTTTATTTTTCTGTTGATGTGAGAGCATGGGAGTTTTCTTTCCCCCTTTGTTTAAGCCAGCTTTAATCAGAAGTGAGAGTAAAGCTCCTGATCACACTGAACTAACTCTTTCTGTTCACTCTGCCTCTCAAACTGTGCGTCACGGCTTTACCTGTCCATCAGAGTAATGCACCTGAGACAGCTCAAGGCTTCCTTCACCTTTACTGCTGTTTGTTCAACAGTTGCATCAGCTTTTAAAGGTTACAACCTCTTTTCTGGAAGTGCTGCAGTTATTCAGTGTTCCTGCAGTCTGAATACAGGATGGAGGATGACTCAGTGTTCAAAATCCTACCTATAGGGCTGTAATTATAATGTATAGGACGGAGTTCTTGCAGCAGAGATCAGTTGCATATTTAAGCAGTAACCTTTGGAGCTATCTTGTTCGTCAAAGGCTGCAGGCTGCTGTTTCTGTGAAGTTGGATGCATGAAAAGATAAGGTGCAGCAGCAGCAGCAGAGGGTTTGGTGACTCTGATATGAATCTCTGCTGACCTCTTAATGAAGCAGATGTAAAAGACTGAGGCTGATAAATGTGTCATGATCGGACCACTGCTGCAGTCAAGCAGACGAGGAATCAACTCACATTCATAAATAATGGACAGACTTAAATCCTGCTTTCACTGTCAGTTCTGAATCTCTGAGTACAGACTGATTTGTGTGATACAGTCTGAGCGCAGGGTCAGGCCTCAAAATGTATTTATCTCTGAGTGTCAGACAGTAAACTGACTGAAAGAATCTGCAATATGTGAAAAAAAAACAATAAATCAGCTGATTCAACGAGGAGAGAGTGACCATAAACACATCACTAGAGCCGTGCATCTCTCTCTTCAATCTGACAGACAGACAGAGGGGATTAGGACTGATAGAGGTCAAAGAGGAGGTCAAGGTTTATCTGCAGACAGGCAGAGAATAACACCTGGGAGATGAGGACATCTGGATTCAGTCTAATTTGCAGATCCTAGAACACACAATTAAATCTTCTACACAATCAGAGCTCTCAGAGGACACACTTCTGTTTGTTTTTATCTGCAAAGATGCTCCAGCTGCAGCATCAAGTATTTCCATTAAACATCCTCTCAGTTGGAGCCTGGGGTCGGAGCCTGGGTCAGGGCCTTTGTCAGACACTTGGTCAGGGCCTGGGTCAGGGCCTAGGTGAGGGCCTGGGTCAGGGTCTAGGTCAGAGTCTAGGTGAGGGCCTTGGTCAGAGTCTAGGTGAGGGCCTTGGTCAGAGTCTAGGTGAGGGCCTTGGTCAGAGCCTGGGTCAGGGCCTAGGTGAGGGCCTTGGTCAGAGTCTTGGTCAGAGTCTTGGTCAGAGTCTGGGTCAGAGCCTGGGTCAGACTCTCAGTCAGACGGAGTCTGAGTTTCTCTCTGAGCAGTAAAAATAGATCTGCCAGCTAACAAACATGTTTTTCCCTGATGACAATTCAGACTGTGGGTGGGGGGTGGGGGTCCAACACATCAGTCATGGACTGTTGTTACAGAGGGATGACTTCTCTCATTTGACAAACTAAATTTTGCAGTAAAGACTGACTTTCTGGAAAAGTGACGATTAGAGCGACAGACCGCCTCTAGAGGACACTCAGAGAACTGCAGATTTTAACATTTCTGCATGGGCTTCAGCGGCTTTGAAAGGGGTAAACGCTTTAGTAGCTACAAAATCATATTAGGGATTAAAAACTCCTGCAGAGTTGACAAGTAGCGAAGTTTCTTGTCCAGATTCATGGATCCTGCTGAAAAACAGATCTCCAGACCGAGGAGATCTAAACCCAGCAACAGGTTTCAGGAAGAGAGCCTGCCTTCACTTCTCTTTATGGACCAAAATGGACTCCTGTGGACACTTAAGATCTAGTCCTTCATGGGATCCTGGGTTTAATCATGGACTCATGTGAGTCAGGATGGTAACGAGGAGAAACTGATTCCCCTAAGGTCAGTAAAAACTGTTCTGAAACAGATTTACGAGCGTACACGTGTTTGGTTCGTGTGTGTGGAGCGTGCGTGAAGCGCGAGTTTGCGGAGTGCAACATGTGTTAATTGTAGCATCAGAGTCGATATCAGCCTTATGTGTGAGTGTGCATGTGCAAAGTGTGTGTGTGTATGTGAAGTACATGCAGTAGTTGTCCAAGTGTGAACTGAGTCTGTGTCAGACTTCAGTATAAGTTGATCATAGGAGACCATTTTTTTTGGCATCTATATTTTTAAGACAGTTATATTTTCACTCATTCTGTTGGTTTGAAGGGATGCACAACATCTTGAAATATATGCAGATACACTGGTTAGAGACAAAACTATGACTGCCTTGATGTAGTGATCAGAAATATGAAAAATGGCTCATCTTACCCCACTCTCCCCTGTATTTTAGGATCTCTTCATATGCTGTTAAACACAAACTTCCTCTATGAACTCATGAATTTGCTGCTTTCACTGAGTTAATAAAACACCAGACCAGGAGCAGAAACATTATCTAAGAGGTCTGTGCAGGCTACTGAAGCAAAAGTGAAGCATCAGTTACAGTTTCAGGTGACTGAGTGACTTTTCTGATGCAGTTACTCAGTCAGTCAGTCAGTCACTTTAGAAAGGAGGCTGGAGTCACAGAGAGTGAAGTCTCTGAAAATAATACTGTCTGAGAGAAGGTCTGTGCAGGCTGAGGGTTAAGTGTTTGGACCTGGCCGACTGAACATTAAAACCAAATAGAGGGAAAAATGAGACTTTTTAAAAGCTTTAGAAACTTTCAAGAAAAAGTAAAAAATAAGGGTTCATGTAGAAAATGTTCCTTTAACTTAGCAAAAGTATGTAAGTGCTTTTAGTTCACATTATTTAGTGCACAGCTGTAATACCTGTTGTTGAGTTATAGCCCCATGGAGAAATAAATATCTTATTCTGACCAAAAGAAAATAGATAAATAAATCATACTGTCTCTTCATTGCCCGAAGCTGCTCTTTCACACTTGTCCCTGATCCAACTTCAGTCTCTGAGGGGCTCATGTGAAGAAGCACCTGCATCAATATCCTGAAAACCTCTGAAGCGCACAGGTGAAACAGGGTTCATGTTGTCTGAAAGACTCTTATCCTTATGGTTTTCCTGGATAAACCTCCTGCTGGGATCTGGTTAACTCCTCTCCTGACAGACTGACAGACTGAGCTCTTCTCCAACATGTTTTGAACCTGTTCAATGTGTCATCTCATCAGTGATCAGCAGCCTGTCTATGGCCAGCAGCTGTCTATTGTTACTACGCTCCAGTCTCCAAACTGTGTCACTGCTGCAGAGTCTGAATATAATGTGTCATTTCTGCAGCAGATCAGATCTGCAGATCAGTTAATATTCAGAACTAAATCCATTCTGTGCCAAACACCTGATCTGTGCCTCGCTCAGCATCCTGTGCTGCAAGAGGTGACAGATGGCTGAGTGGATGCAGCGACGCTTTCTGACATAATTATGGAGGAAAAAGAGACGTAGCTGTAGTATTTTGGTGTAAAAAAGGGCTCATGTTGAACCAGGATGCTTTAAACAGAATCAGCTTTTATCTCCAGCTCTCTGTACAGCTGTGGGAACCTGTTCTCTAACAGGACAGATTTTTATGGGGATATTTGTAGGCCCTCAGTCCAGACTCTTGTGAGAGTGGAGAGCTTGTTCAGCTCAGATGAGAGACAGCAAGCTGACACAGCCAGGATCAGAGCTCTGAATCGATCCAAACACTAGGTCACAGTCCTGAATCACCAGCTCAGCCTCATGTCTGCTCAGGATTGAAAGAAAAGGGTTCAGATCCACTCAAAGTGGGTTTAAAAGACTCCCACAGAAACAGTCACCGGAGAGTTTGACTCTTTTAGAAACAGTCACCAGAGAGTTTAACTTTTTTGAATGTCCTTGAGGGAACCTTTCTCAAAAGATCGATGAAGTTCTTCCTAATCTAATCTCACTGAATCATCAGAGGTTTGTAGATTTATTACCAGCATCATTCATTTTCTCAATTTCTGAATCTCTTCATTAATTGGCCTGAAAATGTGTTTTTATGTTAATGGATCTTCATCACCCTCTGACAGTCACTTATTATTGCAGCTGTTCACACGCAGACTTGGTTCTTTACTCTTTATTTCCTCTGATTTTCTCTGCTCATACTGACGCTTGTTTCTCTGAAGAAACATACAGATGATATTAGGTTGTCATATTTATTATTTGGTTCATAGTGCAGATTAGTGAAAACTCCAGCTTTGTCAGGTCTGTCCTCGAGAGTTGAAGTAAACTACTTCGCAATGTTTATTTGTTGAATGGAGGTCAGATCCATTATTTCTGATGCATTCAGGGACGTCTGTAAATCTTAACTCTGATTTTCTTTAATGACTTAGCATCTGTCAGATTTGTGTCTCAGTGTAAATGAGACCAACCAAATCCGATCACCAACCATGGGAGCTGGAGGTCATGATGGAGGACTGTGTTGTTCCTCCTGCTTTTGCTCTCCATACAGACTGTTTGTCCCTGATTAGTCTACAGTAAAACCACATGCCTGACTTCATAATTTTTACTTTGTATAATCTGATACATTAGCTGTCCCTCTCAGACCCCCTTTCGCCCTCTCTTCCCTCAGGTGTGTGTGTGTATGTGTGTTGTAGATCCCTCCTCTCCTCACTCAGCAGAGGTTTCTGGGTTTTGTTCCTGCTGTCACACAGGGCTTTAGTCAGGATAAAGATTGAGTCCTGTGACACACAGAGTGGATTTTTTCTCTGAGGAGTCCACCTCTCCTCCTTTCTTTGTGTTTGGCTCAGAACCCTGTGTTAGAGCGACCTGGCCGCCTCTTCCTCAGAGAGCTGGGACTCACTCAGGGGTCTTAAGAGTCTTCAGGCACACACTTCAGGGTTCAGGAGAGCATTGTGTGTAGGATCAGGTCCCTCTGAGAGAGAGTACCACACACAGCATGTTAGCTCATAGAGAGGACGCAGACGGACACGCTGAGGAGGTGACCGCTGTCAGAAATAAGAACCATCAAACAAAAACGGCAGAGATTCAAGCTGACCTGAGAAAAAACCATAAAAAACACCTGACTGTCCTGGTTATTCAGCTGCAAAACTGGAAAATGTTTCATGCAGTTCAGAAAAAGGTTTTGCAAAATATTTTACGAGATTAAAAATATTTTAAATCAAAATTTCACTGCTACTCATGAAATATTGGTTTGCTCTGTTTTTAGCAGAATATCAAAATCGTTAGAGTCTACCAAATATTTCAACTTTACGTCATATATTTAAGTTTTATAAAAGATTTTTGTGTTTGGTTAGATATTTTAGTGCTGAATGAAGTGAAGGTGTAGATGTCTTTCAGGGCTACTGTAGGTATCAGCTGTGTGTAGATGTGAATGAGAAGCTTGTTAAAAATGTGAAACTCTCCATGAGGATGATCCCTGTACACACACAACACGAACAGACAGGTCAACCAATCACTGAGCAGAGGGGGCGGGTCAATTGGAAATGATGTTAGAAGTGAAATTATCACTTCACCTCCTCATATCTACAACAAACACTCCTTCTCCTTTTCCTCCTTCTCCTGCAGTATCTCATTTATTCTCTGTGCAGCTCAGAGTTATTATTCCTTCACATTACAACCCCCCCCCCCCCATCCTTTGCGTATGGCGATTTCAGAGCCTTTCTTTCGTCTCCTCCTGATCAGATTGAAGCAGAGGAAATTACATTCGCTCTCCTGTGGAGTTACAAAGCGCTCCGTCTGAAGGTTCAGAGGATCTGCTCAGTCAGAGGATTTCAGCTGTTCAAAGGAGGAGAGCCACAGAGGTCAAAGGTCGAGATAACTTATTCTGTCAGATAATTAGCTGTGGGGTTTGCGGTTTCTGCTGCAGAGGACAGAATAGGAGGGGGCGTGTTATAGTCGGGTAAATGTGCTGACTGATTCACGCTCAGGCCGGTTCCTGGTGTCTAGTCACGTCCTGAAGCCTGAACTCAGACGTCCTCTCTGTTCCTGTCAGACTGAAAGAGACACTTGGAGTGTTTTTATTCAGAGTTAAATCCCGGATAAACCTGGGCTGATAATCAGGAGGACAGAGAGCTGGGGCTGAATGTTTAAAGGCTCTGAATCAGAGCAAGGAGACCAACAGAGAGGAATCTGTCAGTGAGGAGACCATCAGAGAGGAGTCCGTCAGAGAGGAGACCATCAGAGAGGAGTCCGTCAGAGAGGAGTCTGTCAGTGAGGAGACCATCAGAGAGGAGTCCGTCAGAGAGGGGTCCATCAGACTGCAGACCGTCAGAAAGGAGTCTGTCAGGGAGGAGTCCGTCAAAGAGGAGACCGTCAGAGCGGGGTCTAAAGGAGGAGTCTGATGAAGGAGTCTGAAGGAGAGGACAGACTCCTTTGTCTCTCTGACCGTCTAATCTGTGAAGCTCCACAATAATCTGCAGACTCTTTTCAAACTAATCTGGAATCACTTTCTCTCGCTCTCTCTAAATCTGGTCCTGCTGAAATGTTAAATCTGCTCCCTCTGACACTCTGAGGGGAGGAAACTTGGAGGTCATTATTAGTTCACATGGTACATTGAGCAGAAACGCCCTCACTCCCTCTTTTTCAGTGAAATATAGTCACTGATGAAACTTTATGATGCAGATTTTTAACTTCTCAGTCCGTCTCTTGAAGAACCTCTGAGGACAGTTTGTAGTTTAAGTGTGTGAGGGGTTTCCTCAGCAGGGAAAAAGGAACTGAAGAGGTGTGTGTGTGTGTGTGTGTGTGTGTGTGTGTGTGTGTGTGTGTGTGTGTGTGTGTGTGTTTAAAGAGACAGAGTTAATACAACGAGTTTCACTCAGAGGCTGGAGTAATAATGTTTGTTTGATTTGAAAACCATGTAAAGATATTAAAGAGGAATCAGAGAGGAACAATAGAGTCTGAAATGTTGCATTATACCTCTTCTCCTTTAAACATCTAGAAAATAAATCTCTTCAAATATACCAAATATAAACTATGAAGAAAAAACATGATCAGATATTCTGAGTGAGAGGAAACAGTTTTCCAGGCTGCAGCACCTCCCATCTTTCAGAAGATCCAAGAACAGCTCCTGCATTTCTTCTTTATAGCCTGACAGGGTAGTGCTGGACGATAATTCGATAACAATATATATCGATCGATAGACGTGTGGTGCGATAGAAAAAAAACGGGTCGATAAAAAGTTCGATAGAAAAACACAGTTTCCCTTTCTTTTTCATCATAGCCTATCATGTAGCTTTTACTACAGTCATTACTTCCTCCTAACCAATCACAAACGCAGACCCAGGTACGCTACGGCACCAAGCCCAGCCCCTATCAAACCACAACAGACAGCACGTGTATTAGAAAAAATGATACAGCACGGAGAAGCGGAGTACATTGTCCCGAAAAAAGGTTTCAGTAGTTCACCAGCATGGCAATGTTTTGGTTTTTAGAAGTCTGACAAAAAGCGAACAGCGGTCGTTTGCAAAATTTGCGGAGAATTAGTAAAAACCAAGTCTGGTAACACAACCAACCTGTTTTACCATCTAAACCGATCGCACCCGCAGGAGTACGAGCTGTGTCGGCCGCGCCGCGGCTCCACGTCGTCGTCGGAGGAGGAATCCTCTGGAACCGCTGCCAGCACCAGCACAAAGCATGTGAAGCAGACCAAACTGGACTTTGTTTCTTGCCAAAATACGACAAAGCGTCCGAGCGGCATAAGGACATCACCCATGCAGTAACATGCTCCATAGCGAGGGACATACTGCCAATAACTACCGTTGAAAAGCCTGGCTTCGACCAGCTTCTAGCCACTCTCGACCCGCGATATGAAGTGCCCGGCCGCAAGTATTTCTCAAACACAGCGCTTCAGGCATGAAAATGGGTCAGGGGTTGAAAAGGTGAGAAGGGTGCGGAGGAAATACGTTCAAATGAGCTCATATTTTACAAAGACGCGAGTATTTGGATCATGGCTACTAGCAGGGGGTGCATTCGGCAGGGGTGCATTCTACGACACAACACCGGCGTGGATAAGTCCTGCTTCTCGTGCTTAGTTTGTGTATTAAGTCAATCACATGATAATTAAAAAAAATAAATCTCCCGACCCCGGGAGAAATATTTAAGTGTTCAGACACCAGGCTGTGGGCAGTTTCCCACACAGTTAAAACTGGTAGTATGCTATTCCCACCTAAAGCTATTCTGTTTATTTATATATTTGTTTGTTTTGTTTATTTTCATCAAAAGACTATTTAAATATTTATCAGATTTTCTGGTCACTTTAGTCTTTATGTTTGTCAGTATTTACTGACGTCACTCAGGCCACTTAAGTTGATTTCTTTTTTTTTTAGTTCTTTTTTAAAAAAACTTTCAGTTGTGGTAAAATGAAAAGGTGGTTGAATAAAGGTTTGAATTTGAATTCAGTGCTTGTGTGTTCTTTATTAAAAGTAGGTCATTAAGCAATAGCATAAAACATCCAGGGCTGCAATTAAAATATATGTTAAATAATTATAATAATTATATCGATAATTATCGATATCGATCAATATGATTTATTTTTTATCGATATGCTTTTTTTCTATATCGTCCAGCCTGACAGGGTCTATAAAACTTCATATTCTCAGAGTTTAACAGCTATGTGTCCAAATGATTTGTGAAAACAGTCAGATACCTTCTGCTCTGCTTGTTCTGATCTACGGTGGTTGGTAGGGTCAATCAGCCTGAATAAACAGTAGAGAGGAAAGTTTAAAAAAAAAATCGGTCTGACTGTATAAGAAAGTCAACTCTGTCTGACTGTATAAGAAAGTCAAACATAAGTACCTACAGGAGGACTGCAGAGAGTTTGTGGTCCAAACATGTCAGGGTGAGAGAAAATACTACATTATTACAAGAAAGTTTGAACTGGATGATGCTGTCAGGGTTCGAGAGAGGCCATGCAGAGCCGCCCCATTCATTTATTGATGTTTATCCCCTTTATTGGATATGCAGCACTTTTCTTGCTGTCGTCTTCATGTGTTTCAGTTTTCTGAAGAATCTTTGTTATTAGTCGAGAGTAGAGAGAGAAACAGAGAGAGAGAGAGAGGGCTGTATTCTCATATAACACTGACCCTGTGTGTGTGTGTGTGTGTGTGTGTGTGTGTGTGTGTGTGTGTGTGTGTGTGTGTGTGTGTGTGTGTGTGTGTGTGTGTGTGTGTGTGTGGTGGACCATAACCCTGTGATCCTCAGCAAGTGTGTGTTCAAGAAAGATGAAGAGGAGGTGGTTCTGTCCATTCTGTCCATGCCCTCACGCACACTCGCACACACACACACACACACACACACACACACACACACACACACACACACACACACACACACACACACACACAGTACTGTGATGGTAACCAGAGGAGACAAACCATCATCAGTGATTCAACATGTACGAGCGTCTACACACAGCACAGAGCGTGTGAATGGTTGCTAAGCAACAGGATTAGCCAGCAGCCAGCATCCTTTCCCGGGTGAAAGAAGAAAGACATAGTGAGAGAGAGAGAGAGAGAGAGAGGCTGTGTGTGTGTTTACTCTCACATCATGCTGCTGGTAGAGTTATTTTGTTACTTTATTACTTTGTTACTTTATTATATTCTTAATTAGTTTGTCAATTTCTTAAAATTGTAAATGAAGGACCTGTTTTTTAAATGTAAATGAATGGAGATGGTCTGCAGGCCCCACCCCTCAGAGTTACTGGACCTTTGGAAATACTACTTCCCAGAGGAAGGACTTTGTAGGGGGTAGATCAACTATTTGGAGACGACATTTGAAGCCTCTGGACCCTGCGGCATTCCTTCAAAGGTTCCTTGTTTGTAAAAGTTCCTGTCAAAAAGCACCTTTAATCCTGGCCAAACCTTTCTGTTGTTTCTGATCCTATCTACAGCCTCTAGGTGTTTTGGATATGGAGATTTTTGTTTGAAACAGGACTTCATTTTCTCACATTCACTGCACATGGTGGCGTGGTGAGACCTTTTTTCACCGTTTTTGAAATGATTAATTGATTGATTAAAAACATCTTTGACAGACAGAATGATGTTTGTTTTCTATGAGCGCAGGAGCTCTGTAGTCCAACCTCTCTGTCTGCTGTTCCTCTCTGCAGCTCACAATCAGCTCCCCACTCTCGAACAGACGTTTCCCTCTTTCCCTCAGGACACACAGCTACAAAGGCAGCTGTTTGACTCTGGTCACAGTCATTTAGTCATGTAGTCAGAGCTCTGTGTTGTGTTATTTTGCAGCTGCATGCTCCAGACTGCAGCACCAGCTTCTATTGTTTCCCATGAGAATAAAGAGGAGTACAAACCTCAGTGTTTCTGGTCTGACAGAGGCAGACATGAAAAGTAAAACAGGTGAATAAGTGAATGTAAAACAGGTGAGTGAATGGAGCCTGTGTCTCATCTTTTCTGCAGTCTGCACAGCAGCAGCTGCAGTATTGCAGGCTGTTTGGATCATTAACATGCAGGCCTCTGCAGCCTGATATCACGGCCATCCGTCTGTCTCAGCTGCTGCTATCTGCTCGGTGCATGTCCAACATTTCTCTGTTCAAATAAAGAGCAGGGGAAAGCCTCAGCTCTGTGTTATTATCAGGCCTCACACTAAGTCAGTTTAAATGGTCGCCCCTGTTCAATTGTGCAGTGATTACGCCTCCTCAAACAGCAGGATGGAGTGGAACCTTTGAGTCCCTGTGTGAGCGATGCAGGCTAACGCTGCTCTTCAAACACTGATGGCTTCCCAATAAACTGATGGGCTGATTCCCTCAGAGCCCCACAGACCCCATCCGATCCTCCAGAGCCACGCTGCAGTTTGGGCATATAAAGACTCAGAAAGAAACCTCTGGGCTCTGTAATCTAAACTCTATTTGTAGAACTTTAGGTTCTTGATGTAATATTGGATTTATTTACTGGTTAAAGGCCATCTTTTATAGATGCGTCCCATTAGGGGAGGTCTTGACCGTGTCGAGCTAACTGGTCTAAACTGCTTTGCTTGTCTTTAAAGTCTCTCTTAGTCGTCTTTTAGTCTCAGCTGTTTCCTCTCTACAAAGCTGAAGGCTTGGGAAAACAGCGGGAAGTTTGGATGTTTTTAGGACGTCATCGTAGCTGTTAGTGATCCCCACTTCACTGAGGACTCCTTTGGAAAAAAAAAACAAAAAACCTGAAACCTGGAGTTGGTCATCTAAAAAGACCGTCCTGAAGCTCAGAGACACAAACTATAAACAACATTTCAACAGCAGAGGGTGGAACTGCAGCTAACAGATAATTTGGAGCTAACATGGGAGCTAACAGCTAGCCTCAAACGTTTTTTTTTTAATAAAGGCTAAACTTTAGACTTGTTTCCTGACTACATAACTGTGTAAAAAAGTGTCTGACTTTTTATCAGAGTTAAATCAGCCAAATGGAGACTTTCAAGGAGGTGCTGAATAGAGCTAAAATGAGGGTATACACAGACTACAGTAGAGCGATAAAGCAGGAGTTTTTAAAGCTGCTAATCATGCTAAGCTAATCTACAGGTGACCCAGACTGACAGAGGAGGGATGAAACTTTGTTTAATAAGTTTTAAATCGTTTTCCTCTGCAGGCCTCTAAACACCCAGAGTGAGGGTTCAGAACAAAGTGAAGGATTTTTGTTATTATTCCTCATCATTTAAATGAAGCTCTACCACAGAAAAACCTGTTGTCTCGTCTGTTTGGATTCAGCTTTTTATTTTTGTATGCAGTGTGCAGTGAACCCCCCAATAATATAACAGTGTGTTAAATATTAGTTTGAAAGGTTTGAAAGTCATTTAAAGTCAGAACTTCATTAGAAATGGTGCAAAGACGAATGTTAAAAAATCAGCTTTTTTAAATCTATTACTGCAACATGTTTAAAAAGATTTTAGAGGGAGTGGATTTCATCATCTACAGAGAGTGTGTGAGCTGATAATTCAACAGTTTCAGGATAATGTTTCTGAGTGTCAAATGGGAAAGAATGAGTGGATTATATCATCTATAAAATATAATAGCATTAAAAACAGACAGGACTCTAAAGTGGAAATCACTGCATGAACACAATCCATCACTGCAAAGGAGACTCCTGACTCTGTTTGCTTCCTCTCTTTGCTCCTCCTCTACTCTGCGCTGCTGGAGCCTCATTGGTTAACAGAGCTGTCAATCATGGTGTCAAACGTGTGTCCACTCTCCCTGACTCTCTCTGATGTTTCTCCTCTCTGTCTGTTTTCCAGGTTGACTGATGGAGCTGTCTGTCCTCCTCTTCCTCACTGTGTTGCCCTTCCTCAGCGTGTCAGCCTCTAATACATCAGCTGGTAATGACTCAGTGTGTCTCTGTGTGTGTTCCTTTGTTTGTGTGTTGTTATGATGTGTACACATGTTGATGTCAGGACTTAAATATGTACGTCTCAGTCTGAACGTGTCCTCGGTTGAATTTGTGTAAATTCATGTTCACTCTTCTTCACTCCTTCTTCAGCAAGGATGTTCAGGACGCTTGGCTCTCTGGTGTTAATTATTTTGAGGCCCTGTGTAATGTCTTTAATGGACATCAGTTTTATGACCAGGTCAATTTTTCTCCACCTTCTGTCCAAGTTTTCATTAATGACTAACTCTGAAGTTGAACAGTGTTTTCTCTTAGAGCTGGAGTCAGTGTAAATGCTGATTACAGACCCTACAGCCTTTATGTTCACAGCCAGGTCTCCCTCTGGTGTCCTCAGACTGTCCAGCTGATGGAAACAGACCTGGATATGTGTGTCTGACTCAGGTTTAGACTGTCAGGGTCTCTGTGAGTCCCCTCAGTGTTATCAGTCAGCTCTAGCATCAAACCACTGCCTCAGTCCCAGCAGCTCCATTTCCTCCTCTAAGAGCATCTCTGACAGGCAGACTGATCCTCCGTCTCAAAGCCACGGGCGCTGAGCACTCTGATGAATATTTGCTGTAAACGCAGCGTGATTATTACCCGGCTTTTATCCTGAGCTCTCAATCTGACACTAATGCAGGCGAGCAGACGTCTCCTCTCTGAGACTCAGGCCTGTCCACACAGCTGCCAGCTGCCTCCCCTCTGTCCTCTGCTGAGGGGCGGTCTATGGGGGAGTCTTTGGGGGGGATGCAGGTCTGTGATTGTGTTTGGTAGTGGAGTCACGTCTGCTGGTCTTTCCTGGACTCTGCTCAGAGATGTGCTGCCTGTTTAGTAATTAGGCTTTAACACCCGGAGTGAACCTCAGAGAGAGGACTGCACACACACAGGCATACACACAGGTAGAGTGTGTGTGTGTGGGGGTGGGGGGGTTTAGTGAGACTCAGCAGTCATTCAGAGTAAAACACACCTGTGATGTTCCTTCAACAAATGAAGCTTTCACTGTAAAATACCTGCAGAGAGATGACGCGCTGCTTCCCCAGGACTCCACAGCTGTGTGTGCGCGCGTGTGTGTGCGTGTGTGTGATGGTGATACACACAACTGTAATATTCTGCAGGTATTCATTAACCCTCTGCAGTCTCACCTCTACTACCAGCTCTGCATGAGAATACAGGCTCTGCAGGAGGAATAGTGGATCGAGGGATGTTCCTCTCTTGGCTCTGACTCTGGTTTGTGGACTTTGTCAGATACCCATCAAGTCGAAACTCATCAGGGGGCCCGAGCTGTGGACTTAGACTCAAACCTACATGGAATCAGAGTCAACATATTGGTAAAACAGATTAAAAGCTGACGCTCTGTGAAAATCAGACGTCTGTTATTCTGCAGCTTCATTTTGTCCTGTTGTAATGTTGCTCCCAGCTTTGGGGATCAAGAAGATTCTTGCTTTGCATTGTATTGTACTGACAACATTCAACCTTCTCACTGTTTTCTGTTGTCTTTGTCTTTGAGAAGAGAAAACAGCTGAGACTGTCCTGGTGGGCGTGTCCTTTGACAGTGTCCTGATAGATTGACAGAGTGTGATGTCAGGTTCAGGACAGGTCTCTCATGGAGACGTCAGGGACTTACACTAGCATGTGTTGTAACTCCTTTAAAGCAGCAGGCTGTTGTCCACATGTGAATGATTTCAGGGTTAAATAAAGAGTCACTGAATTCTCAGGCAGATCTTTAATCCAACATGCTCAGAAATCATCCTCTAACATTTCTTGTGAAGGTGGACTGCAATAAAAGGTTATGTGAGGATTTCGCTGTATTAACATTCAGGTTTAAACAGAGACTCTGTTCCTTCACTGGGATTATTAATAAAACAGGACTCATTGGGTCTTATAATGTCTGTCCCTCTTCTGGATCCAGATATCAGAACATGTAAATGTGAGTCCTGGCTGTCAGGCTCAGCTGGCTCCATTAACGCTGCTCTCCAACCATGAAACTGAAACTGTTCGTGGGAAACAGTCACTCAAACGACACATTAGCAGCAGCAGCAGCACAAACCTCAGAAAGACACCGTCCTCCAGAGGAAAACCACTGAAGCTGCTGGTCCTGCACACTGAGCTGATAAAAGAACTGAGAGTGCCCTCTAGTGGTGGAGTGCTCAAATCAGCAGCGATGTCTCTTGGTGCCTTTAAAAGCCTTTCCTTGTGTTTGGCTTTAGGATTTGATTGATACCCTGAGTCATGTTTTCATGTCAGGAGCAGAATGTTCTGATTTCTCTGAGTTTTATTGCTGATCACACATTAATGTGAAATCCAGAGTGACACTTAAAAAAAAACCCTAAAAAAGAGCCCTGTATTATGAGACATGTCAGCCTGATTGGATGTTTATGGTACAGAAAGCCAATCTGTCATTTGAAAGAATTTTAGCAGCAGGTTAGTCCACATTTAAAGCTGCAGGGTGTTTGTAGCAGCAGGACGGAGAGTGTAAATAACAGCAGTGTCTCTGTGTTCATAATGATAGAGAGTAAGAGTGTAGTTCACTGACACACAGTCACAGTAGATGTGCACGGATCTGCAGAATGCTGTTTGGTTGTTTTTTTCTGTTTGACTTCCTCTAAGTTAAATTTCCTGGTTGTATTTGTGATTATTAAAATACGTCATAGGGAGGTCTAACCTCAGGGGTCACACACTGAAGCTGCTGACCCCTCACACACATCATGAACTTGTTTATAATGAAGTGACCCAGACAGAATCCACTGACACTGTGTCAGCTCCACTCAGACGAAAATAAAATCAGATTTTCTTACTTCAAAATAACTGAAATCTCTGCGTCTGAGGATTTTTTACTCTCCTCTAGTGGACGCTGCAGGAACTGCAGTTTTTCACACTGATTGTTTTCAGTCTTAGAGGTTACAGTTTGCATTCATTAAAATGAAAATGTTGATTTTCTTTCTTATCTGATTTATTTGTGTGTGTGTGTGTGTGTTTCAGGTTGTGCAATCATCCGTCCTCCCAGAGATGGAGGGATCAGGTACAGAGGACTGACTCAGGAACAGGTGAGAGGAACACCTGTTTACACAGAATAATCAGAATACAGACTCAGTCTTTTTCATCAGACTACATTTATCAGGACAGCAGAGCAATGGGAAACAGCTTCAGCCAATCAGAGCGCAGCAAAAATCACAAACAGGATCCAGTGTACTGAAGAAGTGAATATAATTTATATTTATGTGTGTGTGTGTGTGTGTGTGTGTGTGTGTGTGTGTGTGTTTGTGTGTAGATCCGCAGTGTTCAGGTGCTCCCTGTGGATTATGAGATCGAGTATATCTGCAGAGGAAACAGGATGATCGTCGGGCCGAAAGTCCGGAAGTGTTTGCCCAATGGCACGTGGACCGACCTGAGCCAAAAGAGCCGATGCTGTGAGGGACACACACACACACACACACACACACACACACACACACACACACACACACACACACACACACACACACACACACACACACACACACACACACACACACACACACAGAAAGAAACATCCATGCCCTCATCTTTTCAGTCTGTCATTAGATTTAAACATTTATCTTGTTTTGAGTTTTTTTTCCTTTAAACCTCTATAATTAGTTATCATGACTTATCAATGGGATCTGACTTTGCTCAGAGTTTACATGTAAACTCACTTCATATTCTCCTCCCTGAGTTTGCTCTGGTTCCTCCTTCTTTAGTTTGGACAGTTTTTTTTCTTGCTAAATTCTCTGTCAAAAGTTCCCTTTGCTCTTATATTAGCTTTACCGCTAATATCTCTGTTTTTTTAGATTTTAAAAGAGCAGACTTTTATTTTGAAATCCCTGACCTCATTTAAATGTTAAATTACATCAAACCTCTTTGATTTTTGACTAAAGAACCATCTCTGTCTCTGTCCGTCTGTCTGTTTCTGTCTGTCTCACTGTGTCTTAGTGCTGGTGTGTCCTCGTATGTGGACGTCTCTGGAGAATGGTTGGGTGTCCTCGTGGCCCCCGGGGCCCCCTGTAGAGGGGACGGTGCTTTACTACAGCTGTCTACCCGGCTTTATCCTAATGGGACGAAACTCGTCTCAGTGCAACAAGATGGGGAAGTGGGACACACCGAAACCCGTGTGCCACTGTGAGTCACATGACTGTTCTGTCACATGACTGCTCTGTCATAGCACAGGAGGTCAGGGCTAAACTCAGGGAAATAAAAATTACAGTAATTTATCGATAGTTTAATAGTTATGTAGTTTTATAACTCCTGAAAAACACTCGCTGCATCACGTCATCTAAAAACACCGTAAGGGTGAAAAAAAAATTATTCAACTTGTAGCAAAAGACTTTAATTCACAAAAATAAAACAGGTAAAAATTATTAAAACAAGCTTTTAACTGATTATTTTATATCAGGGACTCCGGCATTATTATTTTTTTTAAACTAGCTTAAAGATCCTGACAAAAGCTGGAGTCACAGGAGTGACCGAATTTATTCAGTTTGAACTAAAAACATTGGAAAAACCCTCAGATTTCCAAGTGTTTTTGTTTTTTATAGCAAAAAAAACGTTTTATTTGTTTCGACATTAACCTGACAAGTCCTGAAAAAAGTGTTTTTGTAAGATAACAGGATAACTTTACTTTTCAAGTCCCTTCACTGAGGAACATTTGCAAGAACTTTTTCTTATTGTCTTACTTTTTCACTCAGTTAAAGTTGGTCACATGTCATGAGTTTCTAGGTGTGTTCAATCCTGAAATAGATAATTAAGGGATAATGCTGATTTTAATAATGCTCGTTATCAAAAGCCGAGGCTTTGAAGGTTTTATCCACCATCTCACAGCTTTAAATTCCTCTCAGTCTTCAGCCGTAGTCTGAACTCAGATCTTTACTCAAAGCTCATATGAAGTGATGATGAGGAAACTTGCATGAATATATTTCTGTGAGCACATTTCTGACTGTGTTTCCTCTTTCTGTACACAGATGATCGACTCTACAGAGGTAAGAACTTTTCTGTTTTTCCTTCTGAAAACAGTAAATGGATTTTAGGGCAGACAAATGTGTCTGTACATGTATCAGCCAGTAGATTTAACGTGAGGTTTCTGAACATGACAGAGGAGGAAGCGGATTACAGTCTCTGCTGTGAGGCTGCAGAAAAAAAAAACAAATAAAACCTTAAAAAAGCCAGAATAAACGCTGAATAAACGCTGAATAAAACCTCCCCCTGATGGATGCTGATGATCAGAGATTGGTTTGAATGCTTTAGATAAGTTCATCTGTCAGCTGGTTTGCAGAGACATGGACCTGTTGGACTGAGGAATTGATGTTAAAGGTTAAAAACTCTGGACTGACTGTCACCTCAGAGACCACTGTCTCTGTTCAGACACTAGATGGCAGTATGGCTCTGTATGACTGCCTTCGCTCTGATATTAGAAAAAAAGCAACAGCAGCTTTGCTCAGGTGTGGCTTAATGAGTCCTCAGGTCCTCGAGTCATTGTGTTGATCAGCTGATGTCTGAGGACCTGAATGTGTCCTCTCTGACGTCAGTCCTCGCTCTGAGCTGTGATAGATGAGCTGTCAGAGGACAGAACCGCAGGTACACAGGTGGGGCCTGATTAAAGGGGTGGGATAAGGGGGGGTGTATGTCTCCTCTTTCCAGACATCAGTGTTTAGAGTCAGTCTGAGTCTGAATGAGGATAGACTTTCATCCTCCAGCTGAGTCCCTCTGCTCTCTGACTCTAAAGGGCACTGCTCTGTCTCCATCCTCTTTCCATCTGTCCTCTGTTTGGACAGAGTGAAAACTTGATAACCTAACATGTTGAACAGACCTCTCTCATGCCCTCATGTCCACAGTAAGAGACAGATTTCACCTCCCCCTGTGTAATGTCCACAGGTGGACCTCAGGGCAGGTGGGCAGAGCCTTTAACTTTTTTCAAATCTCAGAAATATTTTGCTTTCTGTTAAACTTTTGGGGGTTTTGGAGTGTAGGGACTCTGGCGGTGCGGTGTAGGTACTGTGAAGGTACTGTGTAGGTTCTTAGTGTAGATACAGTGGAAGTACAGTGTAGATTCAATGTACGGTGTAGGTACTGTGAAGGTATGATGTAGGTACTGTGTCAGTATTATGAAGGTTTGTTGTTGGTTAAAAAACTAGAGGGCATTTTGTTGTTATTCAACCTCCGATAGAGCAGCTACTGAACCAATTTTCATACAAAGGACAGAGCCGAACATTTATTATGTTTTATTTCCATCAGATCAGAGGAGTGACTCCCTCCATGCTCCAGTTCACCCCTGGCTGAGTCAGATAATGTGACTCAGAGGGAAATATTCACCTGTAGGGAGTGAAAGCAGCACTGATTTAATACAGAAACTTTATTGGTGACTCTGATTCAGGTGAAATCAGCTCCTGATGACCAGACCGTCTGATGATCAGAGTCAGAGAAGCAGCGGATAGTCTTCTTTTTCTTCTTCCTCTCTGATCCTCGTTATTAAACTCAGTGAATTATTCATAAAGCTAATGAAGCAGAGGTCAAAGGTCACCTCAGCCCTCATTGGTGCACTGAAACACTCTGAGTGTGAGCTCACTCTGCTGCTCTGTAAAAAAAAAACCTCACCTGACGGAGACGCTCTGTGTCCTCTAAATGTCTGCCGCCATCCACTCAGAGGGCTTGTCCCTTGCTGATGACATCAGCTGCCATCTGCTGCATGTAGCCGTCATGCTAATAAGACACAGCGTTTTCCAATGCTTTGACCTTGGCCTAAGGCTTCAGGTGTACATTTTACCTGGATTGTTATATGAATTGTAACACACATCTATTATGTTCACAAACCCACTCTGCAGCATAAAAGTGAAGGATAGGAGAGCGTGGGGCTCCTCTGAAGACTCTGGTCTAGACTCTGCGTGTCAGCTGCAGTGATTTCTGTATCTGTGCAATAAAGATGCTCAGGCTGCTCTTCAGACCTCATTCTGTCTCCTGTGCATACTGCTATTTATAGTGTAATGAAGTCTTCACAGAAATTTAGAACAAACTATTTACAGAAAAACTGAGGGATGTGTAACTGATGACTGCAGACCCCATCAAACCATGGAGAGCAGAGAGAAAAATGCAGCTCAGCTCAAAATAAATTAAACTGTTTACAAAACTCTCAGACAGAAACCCCTTTGTGGTTTGCGTAGACCTCTTGAGCCTTATTGATTTGAGTTGTTCTCGGTCTCTCGGTTTCACTCGAAGAGTCTCTGTTTACCCAATCATAGTCTGTCCTCAGTCTGTCCCGGTGCAGCTCAGGGTCTCAGCGCTGTCCTTTCTCTGCTCTTAATAAATCTGTGATTTATCAGCCTGTCAGTCCCCCCTCCTCGTTTACCTGAGAGGTGCAGGTGGATTAAGAGGCTGAGGGTACAGGGCTGAGGTGTGATCTGGGTCCAGAGGTCCAGGACCCTGACTGGCTATAACCAGGGATGAACAGGCTGTAGGTTAACTCTGCCTGAGGAGGAGCATGATGAGCTGCTCTTTAAAGGGTTAAATCAGGCATCAATGTGGAAGGTGGTGTGAAGGAGAACCCTTGAAGGTGTCCAGTGATGGAGAACCTCACTGCTGTTTTTACTGCAGAGCTTCTAGAGCTTTTCTGTAGTCTTAACATGAAAAAACATTCACTCTTTGATAAATATCTGCAGTGTTTGTTGGTCCACATAGCTGTAATACCTTTAATTTATTCAAAGTATAATTATGACTGCAGAAAGAAAGTATCTTTTCTGGAAACGTCATCTGTATGAAACAGTATAAATGTCGTGAGAGGATGTTTGATTTGGTCTGCAGTTTGTTTGGACCGAATGAATCAGATGAGTGCTGCCTGCAGCGTCATCAGTCAGACCAGCTGATCCAAACAGCACTGGAAGCAGTAAACCATCTGGGTCAGTCCACTTCTGCTCTGATTCTGTCCCGTGTAAAAGGCTGATCAGTTAGAAAACCTCCAGCACAGACTCCGGAGTACTTTGACTAAGGATGTGTTTTTTGTTCCTAATTTGACCCGACTCCCCACTCTGTCTGTTGGATTCACGGAGCGCCCTGCACTGACAGTTTTTAATGAACTTACAGGCTCATAAAAGTTTAGCAGCTCAGTGCAGCTTGTTCTTGTGTTGTGTCAGATTGTGGAGATAAGCTGTCAGCACCTTTGCTGGGTGGAGCTGTGCTGTGCATTCTGATCCTGACTGGCAGACAGCATTATGGCAGCAGTGGAGGGAGTCTAAACTACAGCGTAGACACAAGTAGGGCTGGGCGATACGGGAAAAAGTTTATCAGGATATATTTTTTCATATCAGTCAATATCGATATATATCATGATATAAAAAATGAAATTTAGCAGTGCTTATTGGTCCCATATCTTTTGCAATAAAATAAGCTACTGCATCTGTGAGGTCTTTGTGTCTCTTCAACATTTTGTTGTAAGGCGTTGTGTTAGAGAAGCGGACTGAATGGTCAGCTGTTTTGGCTGCACAGGGCTCCTTGCTCCCCATGAGGTTTGTAACCTTTTGCATTGCGCATGCTCTGCCGCATGGCACTACTTAAGTGGTGAAAAAGATTTGAGGTATTTCCCGACTTTGTGAGAACATGTACTCGACATTATTTGCAGTGCACATTACTCTGCTTCACGTCCGACCTCAAAAAACCAAAATACCTCCACACCACAGACGTTTTCATGCCAGCGTTGTTGACGACGTAATCATCTGTTGAGCCGTCATCTGTATTTCTGCGGGGGGTAGCACTCATTTTCTTTTTATCTCACCAACAGTGCTGTCGGCTTCACATGTTAAAGTGCTATGGTTACGTGTAGCTGCAGTCTGCTACTACGCAGTTGTTTGCTACTTGGTTCTAATTCAGCACATGATTGGTTCAGCACGAAACAGACCCAGAGAAACTCCCCTTTTCATTGTCTGTTCATGTAGTCTACCAAAACATGGCAGAATTCCGACTATCGAAAAGCATATTGACCATGTTTTATATCTTGATATTAAGGGAAATTAATCTTTGATTTGTATCGTTATCATTTTATCGCCCAGCCCTACACACAAGGTATGACAACCTTTCAGACCTGCAATAATGAAAATGTTTCTGATTAGTTTAGCTGACTAGTGACTCAACAGCGAGGGAAGATTATGTCACAAAATTGTTGAGTGAACTACACACACAGATGTCTAGTTTTTGCAGTGAACTTCATATGCACAGAAAGGATTCTTCTCAATATTATCTACATACTCCTTCTAAAAAAACTAAGGCATGATTTTCTGCCCAGTTTGTGGTGCCCAATAAACCAGACGGTGTTGTATTTGCACAGTCATGGATCAAGTCCTTGGTGTTTTACAAGCAAACCCCAAAATTACCCAGAACCTTATTTGCACCAAAGTGTCCAGACAGCTACCTGCTTCTCCTGCAAACTCACTCCAAGATGATTAAAAGAGTAAAACCCATCAAAAGAAACTGTCAAAGTGAGGTAAGATGGAGCTGCAGCAGCTCTGCAGAGCTGTTTGGACAAGATGACAGTCAGGAAAATCACATTAATCCAGAGCCAAACACATCAGCGGAGACAGCAAACATCAGCAACGACAATGTGCAAATCACAAAGGGCATGTCTAAAGAGGAAAGACTGTGTGACAAGAGGGACAGAGACCCCATTCAGACCCTGGAAAACATGTTAGTGAAGCGACAAAGAGTCTGACACCATGAGTGAGAGTGATGGATGGTTTTAAAGAAGGAAAGCAGACACATCTGTGGAGACCTGAACACAAACTAAAGCACAGATAAGAGTCAGGATATCCACACATTAAACGTGATCAAGGTGTCTACCCTGGTATCAGACAGGTACAGATCCAATCCATAACAGGATCATGTAAATCAAAATAAGACCAGGAGCTGAAATGTAAATATGTTCTGTTTAACACGGCTCTCCTCGATATCTGAATAAAATCAGTGAAGCTGCGGCAGAGTGGAGCAGAGATCACAGTCACAGTGAGGCGAACTAAGGGAAACAGAGGAGCCAGAAATAGCCCAACAGGTTGAGCAGCATACCCGCAGACAGCCAGAGAGATTAGAGAGTGTTTTATGGAAGAGCTGCACATCACATTAATGTTATTACACCAGAGAGGGAGGAGGACCGGAGAGGAGAGACTGGCTGGGAGGGGAAGGAGAGGGTGAGAGAGGCGAGGGGTTGATTGATACAGAATCAGAGGCAGAGCAAGCAACAAAGAGGTGTGAAGGAAAAAGCAGACACTCGGGGAGAATGAGATGAGGTGTTGATGAGGAGAAAGGAGGATGATAGGGAGCAGAAAAATGAGTCTCTCCAAGTCTGCACTGATGCTCATTAACCAGGAATCACCTGTAGAAAAAGAAGAGACCAGGAGGAGAGACAAACCTGACAAACCTGCAGAGAGAATAGTACTCAGAGACAGTCTGCAGGGTCTGTCATATAGAGGAGTCAGATGGAGTCCTGCTCCTGCTGCCCTGACTCCTCCTCCTCCTCCTCCTCCTCCTCCTCCTCCTCCAGCACACTGTACATCGCATGGATGAACTCCTGACTTTTATTACTCTGAACTATCAGAGTGTCAGGGAAGCAGAGGCTGGAAACAAGTTCAAGGTTCAGCTCTGGGGATTCTGTGGACATTTTGAAATGAAGGATAAGAGGAGGGTGACATGAAGTGAGGACAGGCTGTTATCACGACTGAGAGAGGCCACACTGAAAGAAGGAGACGTTGTCAGACCTCTGAGTCCACAGAGACCACGCAGTAATTCATCCTAAGCATGAGTGAAGAGCAAACATTTAGGTCCTTTAATCCTGCAAAGAGACGCAGCTCTTTATGAGCTTATCTGTGGTCCATGAGGATATATGAAGAGATGAAAACAAACTGAGCTCAGAGTTAGTTCAGGCAGGCCACAAAGTCAAGCTCTAGTCCTTATAAATCAGCTGGTTTTTGACACCAAAATCAGCTGATGACCTTTTGTCCTCAGAAGGACTTTTTCCCCATTAAGAAACTGCTTAATACACATAATTCTGCTTATAACACTGCAGTCTTTCTCATTGATCAGTAATTTTTTACAAAGTTTTGACTTTTGGTTCATGATTCTCTATTTGAAAATGATGATATTACACTGTTTGTTGTGTCTAATAAGTATGCAGATGAAACAAAACAATGAAACAATGAGCGTGGTCTACACCTGCTCTTTTTTGGAAAGCGCCTTGGGATAATGACTGTTGTGAGTTGACGCTATATAGATTAAATTTGATTGATTGATTGATTGATTGAGAGGAGTGCCTTTTGCTCATAAGCAGGGAGCTTTGAGGACAGAGCCATACTACTAAAAAACCCCAAAGGTCTTTGCTGCTGCTCTCCTTGCCTTGGCTTTTTTTTGCAGCCAGCCATTATGCACGCACATGAAAAGGAGGGGAAGTGTGCTCTTCCAGCCTCGAGCTTTGACGTTCCACATTCATGTGGAGGTGCAGGGAGCTCTCAGAGCAGAGACATACTGTCAAGTATGAGTGATTGTGTGAGAACTGTGACTGACTGAATAATGAGGGTTTCACCCAGAGGGAGGCTAAAAAAGAGTGAAAGATAAAGTTTCACTCAAACTCACTGATGCTGTCAGAGGTGAGCTTGTACATGTGAACACTCACAGCTAAACTTTGATCATCTCTGTATCTTTTGGTTTTTCTCTGAATCTGTGTGTCTGATTTTGACACTTTGTTCATTTTGAGCAGCACCTGCCGCAATATCGAAACATCTTTAACTCTTTATGAAATGAAAAGAAAAGAACATTTAATTAATTCCCGGTCTGGTTTTAGCTCTTTAAAGTCTGGATTCAGTTAATCTGACTCCTGGGAGTGCTGCACTTAATTATGAATGTCTGAGCTGATTATGGCAGGAGGGGGAAAGAGGAGATAAGAGTGTAAGGAAAGGAGACGCAGAGGAGCTGATGAGGATTTTTGGATCTAGAGGTTTTTAGCAGCCAGGTTGATGAGGGGTGCTAACAGCAGTGACTCTGACTGATCTTTCAGACCTCAGTGATGATCTGCTGACCGATGATATCACACGCCGTCTCGGGTCTTTGTATTCCTCCATCACTGCCGCTCTGTCCTCTGAGAGCTGCTGCTGATGTCCTCTGAGTCCCGAGACGTTGAATGAATGTAATTTAGAGTCAGACTGTGAAAACCTGAAGAGACAGCACGCCATGGTGAGCTGATAAATCGATCTGAGCTCTGATGAAACGAGAGAGATGAATATGAAACGATGAAGCTCATTTAGAGCAGAGAAACTGAGGGGGAGAAGGAGGAGATGGAAGAGGAGGAAAGGAAGATAGGGAGGAGGAGGAGGAGAAGGGGGAGTTATCACGTATTATTCTGTCTTTGTGGCTGTAGCTCTTTGTATGAATATAAACAAGAGTTTTAATTGTTTATCCCACTGAGGTTCATCACCATTTGGCTCTGAGGTAAATGAAGCTAAGAAGTTCAACATCTGCAGACACAGAAAAACACTATCAGATACAATCCTCTCACCATTAGACACACTACATTCCTCTTTGCACTGTCCTTCCTACATTTATAACCTGATAATGTTTGTTCTGGTCAGTTTGTATCCTCAGCTAAAATAATATGAACGAAGAAATATTTAAAACATTAATGTTCTGGTAATAAAGCCATGAAACACAGCTGCACAGCGACAACAACATACTGCAGAAATACAGCCTGTGCAGTCAGTAAGTGTGTGCACACATGGAGATAATAGTTTTTTTTCTTCTTTTTGCTGTTCCTGAAAAATGAACCACAAACTGTTGTAATCTGTTATAACAAACACACTCAAGTGGATAATACGTGTAATTTTTTTTATTATATTATGAAAATTCACTTTTTTTAAATGTAGCTTTTATTTCTATTCGCAGTTCAATTTAGTTTATTATTCTGTTGTCCAGGTTTATAATTGCATAATTCTCACATATATACTCTGTTACTTCTGCAGCTTTGCTCCTGAATAACTGTGACTGGTTCAACATGTTAAGCACAGTTTGTAATACTAGAATTAATTATCATGTCATTTGTAACCCTTTTTTTTTGTTTTGATCGCTTGTTCACCATCTTTCACTTTTTCTGTTCTTGAGCTGCTTTAATAAGTCAGACTCCATGTGGAGGATCAAGAACTCATATTTGATCTTCTTAGTAAAGCTGCACCTTCAGTATATTTACTAAATCAAACAGTTTCAATTGATTAAGAGGATTGATCAGTTCGAATGAAGTCTGATCGAGACATCAGTACCAGAGATTAGACTGTAACTACAAACCTGTAAACTGTGCGATCACTGCGGTGTGTTAAAGGTTCTCAGGTTTTACTCACATCCGTCACAGTATTTCAGGGCTGTGCAAGAGCTCTACACCTTCACTCAGTCACAACGATAGTTTTCATTGTTTTAATCTGCCCCTCTCCTCTGCTCTCCAAAAGCTGCTTTTGTGGTTGTTGTTTTGTCATGTTCTCTTTGTTTTTTTCATATTGTAGTTGTTGTTGTTGTTGCTGCTGCTGTAGGGTTGCATTCATCTCTACCTCTGTTGGGCTCAGAGCTCATTTTTCCCTCCGCCTGCAGAGACCTTGGCAGCTTGTTGAGCCAAACATGTCGCCCCGCAGTGCCGGAACGACCAGCTCTGCCAAACCGCTCTGTGCGACCAATCACAGCGCAGGAAAAATGAACTCAGGCCTGGGGTTGAGATCTGCTCTCCAAGATGTCCTTCAGTTCAGAGGGAAATGAGGGGAAAAGGTTTGAGCAGATCTGGTTGGTTTTACCCTCATCTGCAGATGCAGGTGGTGTGAGATGTTAAAGATGTGAGCAGAGCTGCCCGAGGAGAGACGCTCAGAGCACCAAAGCAGGAAAAACCAGCTCAGACCAAAGCTGGGAGACATCCTGTCCTCAGAGTCTCATTCATCCAGATCAGCTCTTTAGATCAGTATGTTTCTGTGGGCTCAGGGGTTGAATCACAAACTCTCTGAGCTCTGCAGGTGGTCCTCTCCTGCTAACAGCCCCACACTCAGATTAGCTCCAAACTCTGATCTGCTATCAGAGGAAGAGCAGATCTGCACGCTCCAGGTCTGTGCGTTTGTTCTCTCCATTCCTCTTAGTTGCTGCTTCATTTCAGAGCCGACCTGCAGCTCCCACAGAGAAAAACACTGAAACGCTGAGAGGAACTCTGTAGACAAGAAGAACAGAGACGGCACACAGTCCACAGAGACACCAAAAGGACTGGAGCCAGAACCAGACTCAACACAGAAACAGAACTCTGACTTATCCAGGACAAATAAACAAGACACAACTAGCACAAGCCGGCAGGCATGAGTTGGGTTTTATCCCAGGGGACTTACAGTCTTTGAGGGACCAAGATTTTGGAGGACTTGGCCTTTGTAGGAAATGCCCTGGATGAAAAGCTGCTGGTCTCACAAAGAGAGTGGATTTGACTGTGTGCTGGTTCCACTGGAAAGTTTAAAGACAGTGTTTTGGACACTCCACCATGAGAACTTCCTCGCTGTCATGTGTGCTGACCCCTTCTTTGATGCTTCAGGTTATTGTTCTGCAGCCAAGGTCCTGAGACGTAAATGTAGAACCCTGAAGCAAAAAAGCAGAGGATGCTGATATCTTGGAATAGTCAGAACTGGTTCTCAGTAAGGACCTGCTCATGAGTCCAGTCCTTATTTTTCAGACCCTTCATGTTCAGTGACCTAAACCTGTCCCACTGCGCAAAGACATGTTAAAACAACGTCTTTTCCATGTCATTTTTGCACATCTAATTTTGGTCTCCTGAAGGTGGAGACTGTTACTCCAGATAACGTCGTTTAGTGAACGTCCATTAATGACGCCCACAGTATAGGAGCTAATTGCAGTCCAAAAGTGGTCTTTGTGGACATCTTTTGGCTGGTTGTGTTCTCATGTTTAGTGGGATGTTTACCTATTACCTGAGGACATGGGGACAAAACATAGAGAAAAACTGAGAATGTTCACAAACATGTGGCCTCAGACTGTGATGTGTTAAAGCAGGGATGAACCCAGAGCCACAGCTGACTGAGGATAGGAGACTGAATCACAGCTTCCACCCAAAAACCGTCTTAAAGCAGCCTCACCAGATAGCAACTGCAGACTTGATTGAAACAACTTGGCTCTCAGTATTTCACTCCAAGTGCAGAATAACAAACATCTTCCTCTCATTTTATTTTTCTGTCCCTTGCTCTAAAACTCCTGTGGATGGGAGCCAGTAAATTATCTGGAAATAAAAATTTCAAAGGTCTCTGCTGATGTTTCCCAGACTGAGTTCCTGAGCTCCATGTTTTTATTCCATCGTTTCTCTTTTTGTTCTGCTGTCAGTGTGTCTGTCTCTGCTCTCTGAGCTCTGCATGACCACGAACGAATGACAATGTGCCGTCAGTCAGCCAACCATGACGGAGAGAGGGTGGTGTGGAGTGGGGTGGTGAAGAGAGGGAGAGAGAGAGGAGGGGAATGGGGAATGGGGAGAGGTTTCCACTGTGAGAGGAATACAAACACCCAGAGAGGTCCACAGTCCAGTTTTTACACTTTCAGCCGACTCAATGGAGACAAACTGTTCTGACCCAAGTTAGCTCTGGTCCCAGTGATGGCCAGGTTTTTGTTAGACATGGTCTTGGTCCTTATCCTGATTCAAATTACTACTGCTGTTTATCAGCTAAACTTATGAAGTGTTTCCATGCCTGCTCACGGTGCAGGTTAGTGAGCATGTTAGTGAAACAGTAGTAAACATGTAAATGAACACATTAGTGAGCATGTTAGTGAAAGTGCAAGTGAATGTATTCATTTGTAAAACAGTAGAGAACATGTTCGTGAACATGCTCATAAAAACTTAAGTGAACATGTTAGCAAAAGTCTAAGTGAATTTGTAAGTTAGTAAAACAGGAGTGGATATGTTAACGAACATGTAAATAAATACATGAGTGAATGTGTTAGTAAAACAGAAGTGAACGTGTTAGTGAGTATGTTTGTGAAACAGCTGTAAACATATTAATGAACATGTTATTGAGGATGTTAGCGAAACTGTTAATGAATGTGTTGGTAAAATAGTCGGGAAAATGTTATTAAGCATGTCAGTGAAACAGTAGTAAACATGTTAATAAACATGTGAGTGAGCATGTTAGTAAGAGTATAACTGAATGTGTAAGTGAATGTGTTAGTAAAACAGTATTGAACATGTTAATGAACACATTAGTGAGAACGTTAGTGAAAGTGTTAGTTAATGTGTTACTAAAACAGTATTGAACATGTTAATGAACACATTAGTGAGAACGTTAGTGAAAGTGAATGTGTTAGTGAAACAATAGTGGATATGTTGGTTCACTGTTCTGACCGTGTTAGAGGAGAGCAGCTGTGGAAGTGAATGTGGATTAGCAGCATTACCGTAAATAATGCTAACATGTCTGTCATGTGTGGTTCTTCTCTGAAGCTCTCCTCAGGGATGTGCAGCTCAGAAAAATATAGAAACCTTAAACTTAGAAAGACAGAAAGAGACTGAGGAAGAATCTGAGGGAGAGACAGAGAGAGAAGAAAGAAAGAGAGAGAGAGGAGGTTTAAGAACCTGCAGCTCTGTTGAATCTATTTAATCAAACTGGGATTGTTAGAGCGTATTTATAACTTAACATTATTCATAGTGTCATCAGACAGAATATGCAGAGCTGGAGGATTCACTTTTAGTTTTACTCCAACAAGGAGGGAAAAACTGTCAGAAATATAGACCAGATCTGACATCACTGAGGTCTGGACCTCACAGGCGATGGATGACCTTTACTTTGACAAGAATCAAAGAAATCCTGAATAAGGCCCGATTTAGATCACCAGGGTTTTTCCGTGCTTCACAAAGACTCTGCCAAAAAACTGACTGTCAAAGAAGTTAAAGTTTTCTAAATCTGTGTTTGTTTTTTTACTACGAATGAACAAGAACTTCCCACTACATGTCATAAAATTACATTTAGTGTCCACATCGACACTAAAGTTTACAATGAGGTCTGTGGGACTGTCTCACGCTCTCTCTCTTCTATACCTCTGAAATACTCTCTGTTTAATTATCAGTTCATTTAATACTAAGCACCCTCACATCTTGGTTGCAGCATGTTATCGAAAAGCTCTGAGATAAACTAGAGTTGTCAGAGTAAAATCTTGATAAAAACTCATAATTGTTACAAATATTCACCCGGGAAGCGAGACAGTGATGATGTGTCTGTATTATCATATCTCATTCACATGTTGTATGTCTGCAGATCAGGATCACGAGTGGACAGTCTATGTTCTCGTACTCAGCTGGATTTTTCAGTCTGAGCGCAGTATTCATATAGTCAGGATCAGTCATCAGCTCTTCTCAGAGTGTTTTTATTTTAACATTGGCAGAGAGGAAACACTCCCAAAGGATGAAGAGGAATCACAAAAATCAGACCTGGTGTAAGAAGCCGAGGGTGACGGCACAGCGAGGGGATAAAAACAGATCTGCAGAGAAACACGCCTCTGTTCGCTCTGCAGATAATCCCACAGAGACGGAGAAGCAGATACAGATCAGCCCACTGAAGAGCGAGAGAGAGAAGAAGAGAGAGGGGAGGAGGGGGGAGACGAAGGAAACAAGGGAGCAGGGAGAAGGAGAGAGGAAGAAAGAGAAGGAGAGAGAGATGTACGAGATAAAGAAAAATCAGTGCAGTGAAAATAATGAGCAAAGCGAGAGAGAGATCGGTGTCAGCTCATCACCATGCAGATACATTATTAAAGATATACTCACAGATACAGAGAGAGAGAGAGAGAGCGCACACACACTTACACACACACACACACACACTCACTCACTCAAAGTCAGATAAAATGGAGGCTCGAAGGAACGTGTGAGTGTGGGAGGCTGAGGGGGAGAGACAGAGTGATTCATTACAGCTTAATGACATCTCTGAATGTGGTTTGCTAAATGAATCGACTGTAGCTGCTCATTATGGAGATGACCATGGAGAGGATTCAAACTCAGGCTAAAATATCACCTGGAGAGAAAAATCACCTAAACCATACCTGCTCACTCTTTACCTCAGTGGACCTGTTAGGATGCTGAGCAGAACCTGCAGATTGGGTCAAGCTAAGGTCCTGAAAACACTTTTTCTTCATACTATTGAATGTTTCAAACCATGATCCTTTGTTTACTGGTGATCAATAATATTTGATATGCTGTACATCCTGCTAAAAATCCACACATATTAACATCCACATTAACACCTGTTCAAAGTAAACACAGGCCCTGCCCCCAACTGCATCAGAGAGGGGTTCCAGTGATATCATAGGGCCTTCACACAGGTCACATGTAGTGAATAATGTGTGACAGTGTGAATGTGTGAATAGTGGAATTTAGTCACGTAAATACTGTCATGCATTTATACTATCAGAAATAAATACAGTCAAAAATACAGTCTCTCACACACACACACATATATATATATATATATATATATATATATATATATATATATATATATATATACAGTCACACATGTTTAAATACACAGTCACACATATATACTGTCATGTATTCACATATATATATTTACATGTATATATGTGTATTTATATGCTACTGTATAGATAGATAGATAGATAGATATTCAGTCACACATGTATACTGTCATATATATATATATATATATGACAGAATACATGTGTGACTGAATATCTATCTATCTATCTATCTATCTATCTATCTATCTATCCATCTATCCATCTATCTATCTATCTATCTATCTATCTATCTATCTATCTATCTATCTATCTATTTATATGACAGTATACATGTGTGACTGAATATCTATCTATCTATCTATACAGTAGCATATAAATACACATATATACAGTCACATAAATATATATTTGGTCAGGAGCAGGTTTGATCCTTCTTATTCCTCTCCAGGTAAACTCACCTGACTGTATACTCTATAAACCCAGAAAGCCTTCAGTGTTGCACTGACTCCAACAGAGGCCATCAGTCCCTGACTGAGTCCAGCATGAGTATGTGGTGTAGAACCTGCTGCTCTAACAGTTTAAAGATGATTGAAACAGTGGGGTTGCAGGTAAAACATGCTCAGACTTTGAGGTTTTTTGTGACAAACTAAAGTTAAAAAGTATTCTTAAATGTCATTGCTCACAGCACTGAGAGCTCCAAGCACTGGTCGGCCTTTTTCAGAAGATTTAGGGCAGAAACTATAAGAACACCAACTTTTTCTCCCCAGAGGAGCTGCTTACTGAGCTCTGGATATCCACTCATCCGATCAGCTGCAGACAGGAACACTGAGCTCCCTTAGGTCCTCATTCAGACACCCAGAGACTCTGAAACCACCGCATGGATGGTTCTTCAGAATTCTGACAGACAGACGAACAGACGTTTTTTGTATTCATAGTCAGACTTACAGATTCCTCTATATCTTTTCAAGAATAAACGTTTGTTTGGACAACCACAGACTCACTTTTAGCATTTCTTTTGTTCCTTACACCAAGCATGTTTCTCAGAACTGAATATAATTGCGGTTTGAAAAAAAGCCATCCTTTCTTGGTTTCGGTAAAATTTGAGTGTGTTACAGCTGTGTGAGATTTTAATTTTGTTTCTGTTCTGTTAGAGCTGCTGTAGTTTTCAGCTCTGTTATTTCTCTACCTTCCTTCTTTACTGATTCCTACCTGTCCTCTGAAGCCTGAGAAAAGCAGCAGGACTCTTTTACTACAGAGCCATGCTGTTGTAATCCCTGTTCAATGTTATAAATCTGCTCCTAAACCTGTTTTTATCATCATCTCATCTCATCTCATCTCAGGTGAGTTAAATCCTAAATATAATATAGACAGGCGAGTTCTCTCTAAATTCAGTTATCATGAAAAAATAAATAATTGTTTTTGTACCAGGCTGTAAACATGTCTTTTTCTGCTCCAAAGTTTAACATGGGGCTCTATGGGGATTTACTCACTCCATGACACAGCCTCTAGTGGACGCTGGAGGAACTGCAGGTTTTTGTTTTTCAGCTGCAGAGGTTGCTATCTTGTTATTCCCGAGTTAATCTGCTCTCTGTGTGATTGGACAAGAACGACTGAGTGTCAGTGGACAGTTTGTTTAATGAGGAGTCATCCGTCTGCGGGAAATCAATCCTTCAGATAGTCGGCATTAAAAAAGTGAAGGTGAAAAGAGGAGAGAGGAGACCAGAGCAAGGTGAAGTTACTCTGACGGTTAATTAACATTTGTCTGTGTTTGCAGGGGTAGGACGGAGAGATGAGGGGGAATGAAGGAGGGACGGGGAGGAGAAGGGGGAGGAGGACATGTCAATGGAGCAGGCGGAGGAAAGATAAATGAGAGGGCTGTGCTAAGAGATTGGAAATTCAGAGTGGTTAGACTGTACCTCCCTCCCTCCGTCCCTCTCTCTCTTCTCTCGCTCTCTCTCTCTCTCTTTTTCTCTCCCTCCCCTCTCTATTTCTGCTGCAGTCTGCCTCTCTCTCCTCACCCTCTGTGGCTGCAGGATTATTGGAGGCAGACTGTGCGCTCTGCTGCGGCGTTTGTGGACGGCGAGTTGTGTTTTTTGTTGTTTGTGGGCGGGTGGAGGAGAAAGGAGAGAGCGAGAGGATCCAGTCTGAATAAATCGCTCTCTCTCTCTGTCTCTTCATGAGCTCACAGTGGGTTTTCTTCTTGTTCTCTCCAGTGGAGGAGAGATGAGAGGAGCTGTAGTTATCTGATGGATGTCCGTAGTTTCAGATCTTGAAACCTGAATAAATTCCGCCTCAGTCTTCAGTCCTCAGTCTGAGCTGGAACTGCTGCTGCTCCTGTGAAGGATCAGTTTTTATCCTCTTGCTGCTGATTGGATTCTTCAGAGGACTTTCTGCTGGTAGAACTGCGCGTTGAAGGTTTATGAAGTTCTCTGTTTAGTCTGAACTGCTTTCATTCACCTTCTGGATCTTCTTACGCTGCAGAAACACTCAAACTGGTTCCTGTAGATGTAAACCAGTTTGGTAAAGATCAGCCTGTATCTGATGGGCATCCAGAGCCCCTGACCCTTCACTCAGACATCCACAGACTCAGACCTGATCCTTCCTGGTTCTGAGGATTTAGTGGACTGCATCGGACCCTTCTGCAGAGATGTCTGGACTCCTGCCCCGCTCCTCTCTGACTCTCTCTGTGCTCCTCTTCCTCCTCCTCTGCTCCTGCCCTGCTCTAGGAAAAAAGAAGCTCTACATCGGAGCTCTGTTCCCTATGAGCGGCGGCTGGCCAGGGGGACAGGCCTGCCTCCCCTCCGCTCAGATGGCTCTGGACCTGGTGAACAAGAGGAGGGACATCCTGCCGGACTATGAGCTGGAGCTGATCCACTACGACAGTATGGTGAGTAACTTTAACATCCACTAATCATCTTTATTAATCAGAGGGTCAATTTAATATTCACGAGACTCCACCAGCAGAATCGTCCTGACCAGTCTGAGACTGTAACATGCAATTAAAAACACCTGAAACAGCTGATTATTATCATCAGTCACGTTATAGATGAACACTCAATGCTTTGAATGAAGAGTGAGTGAGAAAATGTCGCTTTGATCAAGTAAAAACGCCTTTAAAAGAGCCGAGCTGCAGAAATAACGCTGCATAAATCAGGTGTCAGAGTTTAATTTTGAAAGTGTCATAACACGCTGAACAAAAGCACGCACATGTGGAAACGAAAATATACCACAACACATGCCGGCTGTTTACGTCCTTTTTTTCACGCTCATGTTAAATCTACTGACACATGATTCATGATAATTTAGTTCAGCAGTGCTGTGACATTAAGAGGCAGTCATACCGGGTTTAATGAGCAGCTGTTTTCATATAAAGTTCCAATCCAACAATAAAACCCACTCAGCTGAAGGACAGAGGAACATGACGTTAAGAGAAAAACTACAAATACCTTAGACACAGCAGGTTTGTCCTGAGCAGAACTTCAGATATAAAATCAGACTCTTTCTGTCTGTCAGTGATCAGCGATAGGTGCTGAGATGTGACTGAACAAATTACCTTAACTGTGTACGACACAGAGCTGGAAACCTTCGTGAAGAAAATCCTGAAGTGTAAAAGGAGAGAAGAAGAAAAAACGATAGAAACAAGATAAAGATAAACAAGAGAGGTATGCAGCTTTTCTTACTTAGTGAAAACAGAGAGTGGAAACTGTCAAGTAGGACGAGACTGTCAATATTCTTACACTATGAAAATATGTGGAACAATCGGGAACGTGTTGATTTTCTATGTGCAGCATCAGGAGACCAACTTCTTCGAAGACCATGAGGCCAAAACAGAAATGACACATCAGTGATATTATGGAAAACCCTTCATATGAGAAAATGAATGGAGGTCAATGAAAAACACTCAGCTGTGGTGACAAAGAGCTGAGCGCAAAAAAGTTCCGTTATTTTGATGCAGGTTGAAACCCTTTGAAAATCTTTGGACTAAGTCATGATTATATATGTATACATTTAGATTAAGTGTACTTGTACTGCACTAAAGAACCCTTCATAAGTACAGCTTATAAATTTGATCTGTGTGTTTCAGTCAGACTGTTTTCAACACCTGTTAAACGTTAGATTAACCTTTCTGTCAGTGTAGGTTTATAAATCAGAAAAAACGGTGACTCTCCTGTTTCTGACTCTCAAATCATGTGTAATAAAAGATTAATAGATTCTTATTTCAGAGATTATTTTATAGATTTAAGACATTTGAAAAATTGCGCATGTGAAAGATGTGTTTCAAGGTCATGTGTTCACATGTGACGCTTCCTGTTCACAGATTTAACTGTTAGTGTGAGTGTAATAACAATGTTTAGGGAGCAGGTAACAGCAAGGAACCGATCAGACCGATTCTCTGATGATATAATATGTCCTCTTTTACTGTATCTGTGTTACTCACATTTACACACACACGCACGCACGCACGCACACACACACAGGGTGTAAACCATCATCAGGCTAACTGTCCATCCTCTGTGTGTTGTTGCTCTAAAGGCAGCAGCGGGTCATAAAATGGGTCGCTGCCTCAGAGAAATGTCCTACCTGCTGTACATCTGTGTGTATATATGCGTGTGTGTGCGCGTGTGTGTGTTTGCATAACAACAGCAGCTGATAACAACTCTCTGCTGGCCTGCTAACCTTAGGAACTTTACTGCTTTTTCTGTCCCTGTGTTAATGTTATGAAAGCAGCTCATCATCTGAAAGAGCAAAAAATCCGAGAACAAGCAATCAGGATCAGAAACAGAGATTTTACTGCAGGAAAGAAAAGACAGGTGAACAAGAAATAAGATGTTAGGAGGTCCATTTTTAAGTCCACCAGAAAAAACGGCAAAATCTTCATGGCTAACTGATCTGCAAAGACATGAATGATCTTCATCAGCAGAATAACTGAAGTTCACCAAATTAGCAAAACACACAAAGGCCAAAAACAAATGAACCACTAATGAAAATTTGTGTGCTGTCAATGCATCTGAGAAGGTACTGATTAAGATGGTTACAAATTTATAAGACACTGTTGCTTTGTGGACTCTGAACAGATCTCTGTCTTAAAAAGTCTGAGTCCATAGCAGACTGAGTCTACCACAGTTTGGGTCTGTAAAAGTCTTAGTCTATACAGTCTGAGTCGAATATAGTCTGACTCTATAACAGTCTGAGTCTACAACAGTCTGACGGTATAACAATCTATAATAGTCGGACTCTATAACAGTTGCAGTCACAACAGTCTGAGTCTGTAACAGTGGGTCTATGACAGTCTATTACAGTCTGAGTCTATAACAGACTGAGTCTACAACAGTTGGAGTCTATGACAGTCTGAGTCACAACAGTCTGACTGTAAAACAGTCTATAATAATTGGACTCTATAACAGTCACAGTCATAACAGTCTAAGTCTAAAACAGTCTGAGTCTACAACAGTCTAAGTCTATAACAGTTTGAGTCTACAAAAGTCTGAGTCTATAACAGTCTGAGTCTGCAACAGTCTAAGTCCATATCAGTCTGAGTTTACAAAAGTCTGAGTCTACAACAGTCTGAATCTTTGACAGTCTATTAGATTCCAATTCTATAACAGTCTATAACAGTCTATAACAATTTGAGTCTTTAACAACATGAGCCACAACAGTCTGCGTCTGCATTAATTTATTACATTCTGAGTCTTTAACAGTCTGAGTCTGACTCAGATTCAAGAATTTTTTTTGGATTACTAGTATAATCTTGAATTAGGATGAAAGACTGGGGGCCTATTAGCGACTAGAAAGCCCACTTTATATGAGCCAGAAGGTCTGAAATATCAAATTTAGTCCACCAAGGTTCCTTTAATCATGGGTAGAGTTTTACCTGATTTAGAGCTGCGATATTAATACACACCTTTGGGATCACAGAATGTTTGAGGCTCTGTTTTTGTCTCTTCACCTGCAGACTGTCAAACTGTAAAAACTTTATTTATAACTCCAAACAGACCGCAATGAGATATCTTTAATCACACACACACAGTGACAGGCTGTTGTTTTTTTTAGGAGAATCACTCTGATTGGTTCAAGCTGCTCTGCATTGGATCCTCTCTCCTCAAAACCAGTCTGGTGTGTGTGTGTGTGTGTGTGTGTGTGTGTGTGTGTGTGTGTGTGTGTGTGTGTGTGTGTGTGTGTGTGTGTGTGTGTGTGTGTGTGTAGGGAGGGGAGGGTGGGGGGCATATTGAGGTTGGTATGACAACGGTTACCAAGACAACAACAGTTCAAACACAAACTGAGAGTTGGCTCTGTGAGGGAGGGATGGTTTGGCTTGTGTGATTCACGCACACGCACACACACACACACACACACACACACACACTCGTTCTCTCTCTCAGGGCAGATGGATGATCACAAAGATTCAGTGTGAGCTCGGAGAGACAAATGCCGAAGAATCATTGATCACAGACCTGAACAGCTCTGATCTCGGACCAGCTGCTCTTTACACTGAGCACGCTTATATCGTCTCCAGCTGATCTCAGGCCAATAAAATCACACTCTGTGGTACCAAAGCTTAGATAAAGGCTAATCATCAGGCAGGAAATCAAACAACAGCCTCTGATGTTAAAAGAAATAAAGGGAATAGTAAAGCCTGCAGTTCCCTCTGTGTCCCCTAGAGGCTGTGTCCTACAATGACTCAGTCCCCATAGAGCCCATGTTGAAATGTCCAACTTAACAACACAGATAAACATGTTAACAGCCTGATACAATACAGCTCTGTAGCAACTCTTAAAGGCATGGTTGACGATCTAAGAGGCAGTAGAAAAAAAAAAAGTTATTTATGTCACATGCGCCATGATTAAAGGCAAAAATTACCTGATCAACAAAAACTATACTGTCTCGGCGTCTGTTTTCAGGCCCAAATCCTGGTGGAGCTTTGTCCACAGCTCGAAGGATGACCTGATGTTTATTCGAGTTAGATTCCTTGCTTGGTCACATTTCCCGTTCAACTCTGCTCTTCCTTCTGTTGGCTTGTGTTTTTTAGCACTTTTGTCGGTGGGGCAAGCAGAAGTGGGGATTTTTTTGCGTCCTTCTCCATCACAGCTCCTGTAGTTAAGCTGCTACGCTACTTTTAGCCGCTAAGAGCTCAGAGGAGTGGGAGGGGACGAGTCCGAACTATGGGAGAGGGGTGTGTCGAATACAGTGAGGTGATTGGATGGAGAGGCGGATCAGGAGATTTACAAATAGGAGCTGTCCGGGTCGGATGGCTCCCATTGGTCAGTGTTTTTGCAGCCCTGTACCTGCTAGGGTAAACAAATTTTTTCCTTTCTTTTTTCTCTTCACTTTGTGGAGTTAGGACCATGATCACCATATTAACGAGGTTCATAATAATTATCAATCTCTCCAACTGTCAACCATGACTTTAAGCAGCTCTGTTGTAACTCTTAAGCAGCTCCAAAGCAGCGCTGACGCTGCGCTGAAGCAGCTCTGTAGCAGCCGTGTTGCTCTTACATACAGATGTGCATAACATTGGACAAAAACATTTGCTTAATAAAATGATAACTCTGTCATTGTAACATCTGAGTTAGTCCTGTCCCTGATCTTTGACCATGTGTGGGGTGATTTCAATCCTAGACTGAATAAACTGTCACTGTGTTCAGATCCAGATGGGTTTCCGCTCAGTGTTTTCTGCTGTTTCTGTGCTGATCTTTAGACACCAGAGCAGGCACACTCTGATGAACATACTTTGTTTGTTCCATTGTCTCGGATCAGCTGAAACAGGATCCTGTTTGTCCTGCTGTGATGAAGATGATAAAGATGAAGGCTGCTCTCTCAGACAGTCTGAGAGGAGCAAGAGGAGGAGGAGGAGGGTCTGATGAAGCAGCTATGGGATCCTATTTGAATGTTAGTGTGATTTGCCTCGAGTGCAGAGGTTAATCAATACATCAAACCAAAGCAATCCCCCCCTGACCAGACGCTGAAAGTGATTCAGCAGGAGAAGGAGCAGGTTTCTTCCTCACATGCAGGATGCCGAGGGAGGCTGAGGAGCTGGTTGCTAGGAAACATCTTGGGTCTTAGTTTACATCCTTTTAGAGGAGATAACAGAGATGTTCTCCAGCAGGAGAGAAACTGAGTCAGTGTGAAAGTCTGAATGTGGAGCCTCCATCAGAGCCTCTGAGAGAGAAAACATCCACACATGCTACCCCTTCCCCCTCAGAATTTAACATTGAAATTCAGTCTATTAAACTGTCGAATATCTCCTTATGATTCAGAGTAAGCTTACAGACAAACCTTTAAAGAAAAGTGTGGCGATGGTTCATGTTTTTCATCGAGCAATCTGTTCATATTTAGTTAGTGGTCTTGACACTATTTTAGGTTAGAGGGTTGAAATTGATCCACTTTTGGTTTCATCAACATGTCAAACCCTTTAATGCTGAAGATGATCAAGACTAAAATAGATAAAAACTCTATAATTTTTCACTGTCTGTGCTAACTGACAGAAAATGTTGAGGTTTTTATGAGATTATATTTTGTAGAGGTGAACCTGGATGTGTGTTTTAGTCTCTGAATTCGCTCTCATTTTCTCCCTATGCAGTGTGTTTGGCCCTGTCAGTCATCAGGAAAACAGGCCACAACGACAAATCAATAACGAATCAAATAAATACAGAGAACATCAACTCAAGTCTGCATCAGTCATAGAACACACGGCTCAGAAAAGGATGAAGTTCAATGAGTGTGAAGAAACGTCTTTACCTTTCATTGATGCAACGTGAATTAGAGGGCCGAGTTATTAATATTACACACCTGCATTAGCATCGCACATGTTACATACCAGCAGACTGAGCTGTGGCAGAGCCCGCAGACTGGGTGGGGTGGGGTGAGGGGGGGGGGGGGGGGGTGCAGGTGAGTCACGTCCCAAGGTCACCTGTGTGTCTGGTGTTGGAGGCAGAGACACATTTATCAGAGAGAGGAGGAGAAAACATTTACCCAGCAGTCACACTCATTTATCCTGATCCGCAGACCACACACACACACACACACACACACACACACACACACTAGTTTTTGCTTTATTACAGTTGATGGTAAATGAGAAATCAATAAGCTCTTTAAATGATAATGGCGGGGGGGGGGGCATTGATTGTGGACTGAGTGTGATTGTGTGTTTGCTGTCATCATGTTGCTGACATTAGTCTCACTGTCATGTTACTGCAGATAGAGAAAAACTGAGAGTGACTCTGCAGACAGTCAGAGCAGCTCAAACAGGCTCTGGACCCTACTGAACCCAGCAGACCAGGTTCTGGATTCTGACTGTGAAATGTTGTCCCATTCTTGCCTGATAGAGGATTTCAGCTGCTCAACAGTCCAGAGTCTCCTTTGTCCTATTTTTGGTGTCATGATGCTCCAAATGTTTTCAATGGGGTAAAAGTCAGGACTGCAGGCATGCCAGTTTATCAGCAGGACTTTTCGACTACAGAGCCATGCTGTTGTAATCTCTGCAGAATGTACTTTGTCATTGTCTTGCTGAAATAAGAAGGTCTTCCCTGAAAAAGTCATTGTCTGGATGGCAGCAGATGTTGCTCCTAAACTTGTAGATATTGTTCAGCATTAATGAAGCCTTCACAAGTGTGGAAGCTACCCATGACATGAACTCTGACGATCTCCATACCATCAGGGATGCTGGTTTTGGAGCTGTGGTCGCTCTACACTCTAGAGAGGAGGAGTAATTCCTAAGGATTGCCAAATAGGCTGTAGAGTGAAAATACTTGTGTGTGTTGTTCACAGATGTCTCATCCTCTGTGTGTCCTCAGTGTCACTGCTAGTTTGTATTCCTGGTCTGTGTCCTCAGGTTCTTTCGATCTTGTTTTTCTGTCTCCCTGTTCAACGTGTCTTTGGTTGTGTTACATATTGTGTGTCTCTGTCCTCAGTGTATTCATGATTGTGTATTTTCTGCCTCTGTCCTCAGTGTGATCCAGGAGAGGCCACCAAGTTGCTGTATGACCTTCTGTACACAGAGCCCATCAAGATTGTGTTGATGCCAGGGTGCAGCTCCGTGTCCACGCTGGTTGCTGAAGCTGCTCGCATGTGGAACCTTATTGTGGTGAGAAAAGATGACTTCCTGTTTTGGATAGCTAGGTGTGTTGAAGCTGTGAGGCAGGTGGTTCAGCAGGACTTCAGCTACACCTCAAAGACTGTTAAGAGAAGCTGAAGTTAGTTAGAGGCAACAGACTACTGAGAGGTTTATACAGACTACAGACACGTTTATACAGACTACAGACAGGTTTATACAGACTATTGATAGGTTTATAAAGACTACGGACAGGTTTATATAGACTACAGACAGGTTTATGTAGACTACAGACAGGTTTATACAGACTACAGACAGGTTTATACAGACTACAGACAAGTTGATATAGACTACAGACCGGTTTATACAGACTGCAAACATGTTAATGTAGACTACAGACAGGTTTATGTAGACTACAGACAGGTTTAAACAGACTACAGATAAGTTAATATAGACCCGAGACAGGTTTATACAGACTACAGACAGGTTTTTGTAGACTACAGACAGGTTTATACAGGCCACAGACATGTTTATACAGACTGCAGACAAGTTGATATAGACTACAGACAGGTTTATACAGACTGCAAACATGTTAATGTAGACTACAGACAGGTTTATGTAGACTACAGACAGGTTTATACAGACTACAGACAGATTTATACAGACTACTTTTGGGTTTACACAGACTAGAGACAGGTTTATACAGACTACAGACAGGTTTCTGTAGACTACAGACAGGTTTATACAGACTGCTGGTGGGTTTATACAGACCACAGACAGGTTTCTGTAGACTGCAGACAGGTTTATACAGACTACAGACAGGTTTATACAGACCACAGACAGGTTTCTGTAGACTGCAGACAGGTTTATACAGACTACAGGCAGGTTTATACAGACCACAGACAGGTTTCTGTAGACTACAGACAGGTTTATACAGTCTACTGATTGGTTTATACAGACTACAGACAGGTTTCTGTAGACTACAGGCAGGTTGATACAGACTAGAGCTGGCATAATAGCATGCTGAGGTTTGTTTCCGTCTGTATCTTTACAAACCTCTTACTTGTCTGCTTGTGTCTGTTCCTTCAGCTGTCATACGGCTCCAGCTCCCCCGCTCTGTCAAACCGTCAGCGTTTCCCCACCTTCTTCAGGACTCACCCGTCTGCCACGCTGCACAACCCCACTCGAGTCCAACTCTTCCAGAAGTGGAAGTGGACCAAGATTGCCACCATCCAGCAGACCACTGAAGTCTTTACATCGGTATGTGTGGTTCCTGTAGTAATGTGTGAGTCTGAAAACTCCTCATCCTGACTCTAAAGAAAAAGCAGACCTGTGCAGTGGACTAGGACTCTGCAGGTGTAGCAGCAGCATAAAGGGTTTCTAGAGAAAGATCATGAGTTAGTCCAACTTAGTGTGTTTATTTTGCATGTTCAGATAGCAGTCAAACTCTGATCTACACAAAGATTATTTTGGCTGTTTTTGACAACCGATGACTGTAAAAATCAGAGGATCAGAGATTCATTCAGTCTCATGTGTTTCCTCACTCTTCTTCTCTTCTTCACCTTCCTCTGATTTATTCTTTTCCTCAGCACTTCTCTCACACTTCAGCTGCGTCTTCAGTCCCTTTAAATGTCCTCCATGACCCCTGTTTCATTATCTCTGCTGCTCCTGTCCCTGTCCTTATTGCTCAGCGTTTCCTCTCTGTGTGTTTGACAGACTCTAGATGATCTAGAGGAGAGGGTGAAGGAGGCGGGGATCGAGATCAGCGTTCGCCAGAGTTTCCTCACTGATCCTGCTGTGGCTGTGAAAAACTTAAAGGTACCTAAAAAGACCAGAACCATCAGCAACCACCTCAGATCTCATTTACAGCACATTTACCACCAGAACCAGAGACCAATACCAGACTCACCAAGACTAAAACCAGATACACTGACACCAGAACCAGGCTCACTGAGAACAGAATCAGATTCACTGAGATTAGAACCAAACTCACTGTCACCAGAAACAGACCTTGGTAAATCAAAGATAAGCCAGGGTTACCCGTTCAGATCCAGATCTGTGAGCCTCTGTGGATCTCTGTGTTTTTGTTGATCCTGGGATCAGAGGCTGGTCTGGTTTCTGGGTCTTTACGGTGTCAGTCTGCAGGTTTGAATGAGAGCACTGAGATAGTGAACACTCTCTTCCCCCTCCTGGATCAGCCTGACCTTCTTCCCTCCTGCTGTATAATGACCCCATCTTCCATCATGGCCTACTTCTGTGCTCCAGGATTAATTGGCGATGGCAGAGGAAACCATGGTAACGGTGTGAATGTACCCCCGAGCAGAGGAGGTCTGCGGTTGACTCTCCTCACCAGGAAGTCTTCAGCTCGCTCTTTTCATCCCCACTTGGTGGCTGACTCTCTTTCTTTTTCTGTCACCCCTCAGCGTCAAGACGCCAGAATCATCGTGGGTCTGTTCTACGAGACCGAGGCCCGCAAAGTCTTCTGTGAGGTAACCTGACCCACTTCACAGATGAGACAAATCAGTTAAACCATTTAACATACGATGTCTTCGCTATAGATGTAGTGCTATCCTTCTCAGCTTTCACCCCAACTGACTTTAATCCAAACACTGAGCTGATTTTCTGACAGTCCTCTTGTCAGTGTCAGTTTTAAACATTATTCAGGGAACTTTCTTTCAGCAGTGAAAAATGAAAAGGTTGATTTGGCAGCAAAGGTATCCCTGGTATCAAGATCTTCCTCTGTCAGAATGGTCTTTATGTTTCAGGGTCTAGACAAACATAGAGGGGATCAGAACCTGGTTTAAGATAAGATAAGATAAACCTTTATTCATCCCACACTGGGGAAATTTGCAGTGTTATAGCAGCAAAGGATCAGCACAGCAAACAGAAGAATAAGTACAACCATTATGAACACAGTGCACAGATAATTATAAAAAAGTTAACTTGGACCCGTACAAAAAATGTTATATAGAAAAAAGAGAAAAATATAAGCAACAACAACGAAACTAAAAATGAATTTACACAGTGAACAAAATAGAATTGGACATGTTGTTATTGCACATTATAGGAGTTATTATACCTGGGAAAAATGAATGTATTTGCCATTGTAATATCTAGCCTGTCAATACTGCACATTGAGGTAGCATTGAGTTGTTTATTTTTTTTAGTTAAGCTAAAAAAAACTTTATGTCGTCAATGTGAAAAAGCATAATATCACCGTTAAGTCGAGGCCGAGTCACTAAAGACAGTCAGCGTTCAGATTTCCTGACTTTCCTAAAGACACCAGAAAAGATGGTAGTCACATCCATCACAGAAACTCTCCACAGACAGATGAACAGTAAACCAGAGTGAAGCCTCTGAGAGACTATTTACAGAGAAACTGAGACTTTTTCTACCCATCATACCTGGAGGGATGAATTTTTCTGTTCTTCTTCAAATTGATGATTAATAATCAACAGTAATAATATTTTTTAATGATTCAGGTCTAATACCACCTTTATACTCGCAGTTCAGCATTCTACTGACATGGGATATTTGATGAGAGCCACAGCCTTGACACGTCTGTAGTGCTCTCTAGTGCCACATGGTGGACACAGGAATTAAGTTTTTGCACATTCCTGTAGTTTCACACTTGTTATAAATCAAAGCTTTGTTTGACTAAAGCTTCCTTTATTGCAGCATTGACGATTTGTATGTAAAAACCTTTAAGACTATATCATTTCAAAATAAAAGCCCTCCTCTCCTCCTTTCTCTCTGCAGGTGTATAAGGAGAAGCTGTTTGGGAAGAAGCATGTGTGGTTTCTGATTGGCTGGTATGCAGATAACTGGTTTAAGATCAAAGACCCATCCATTAACTGCACTGTGGAGCAGATGACAGAGGCTGTGGAGGGTCATGTGACCACCGAAATCGTCATGCTGAACCCTGAGACGGTGCGAGGTGCCTCCAACCTGGTGAGTCCTCCGCTGTGACGTGTCTTATTATAATGGTGTTATTATTCTGGGGTTATTATAACCTGACTTATCAGAACTGCAGAGAATTATCTGCAGCTGCAAAGACTGCTGGGAGATTATGATGAATGGCTGAATGCAGGTTTTATATTTAGCTGCAGCTGCAGAATCTCTGCAGTATTTACTCTGATTATACAGCCTTCTGATGAGTCAGTATCTTCTCGTGCCTTATGCATGCTTTTAAAACCTGCAGAGAGATTTACTCTCAGGGATTTTCAGCTTTTTTCAGGACAGGAGCTTTTCTAAAAAAACGCTTCAAGAAACTTATTTACGACACAGATAAACTGTGAAAACTGTCTGTTTGTGTTCAGCAGAATTTCAGGAAGTTTTCCAGAGATCAGCAGCACACGTATGAAAACAGCACATAACCAGTTTTTGAGCTGTAAACACTAAAAAGTTATTTCCTCAACGTGCTGCAGAGTGACTGTCTTGGAGTGAGTGAATGGACCTCTGAGGGATTGGCTCCGAAAATTGAGATGCTGCAGAGGGTTTTATTGATCAGAGAGATGAAGACTCTAACTCTGAGTTCATTTATCCTCTTACAGAGAGTGTCTAAACGCTGATCTGATCCCTGAAGAAAAACACACATTAGATCTGTGTTTCAGTGATCAATAGTATCTCTCATTGAATAAACAGGTTTTCTGATGTCCTGAGCTCATATTAACTCACTGCTCATCATCTGTAGACTTCTCAGGAGTTTTTGACCCAGCTGATGTCCAAACTCGGGGGTAAGAATTCAGAGGAGACTGGGGGTTTCCAGGAGGCCCCTCTGGCCTATGACGCTGTGTGGGCTCTGGCTCTGGCCCTCAACAAGACGGTGGGGCCCCTGAGGGCCAAGGGCCTCCGACTGGAGGACTTCAACTACAACAACCGAGGAATCACAGCAGAGATCTACAGAGCGCTCAACACCAGCTCCTTCGAGGGTGTGTCGGTGAGTTCAAGGGAGGAGGAGGAGCAGGAGGAGGAAGACTTGACTTTGGTTGAGTTAAGAAATATCAGAGAGATCTATCTGAGAGTATTAAATCTTCTCCTTTGTGTTTCAGGGCCATGTTGTGTTTGATGCTCAGGGTTCGAGGATGGCCTGGACTCTGATCGAACAGCTTCAAGGTACTCAGCTGTCTGTTACCATGTTTACTTAGGCAGAACTCATGCTTGATCAGACCAAACCCTTTAAAAAATAACCACCTAATAGTTTGATCATTCAACGTTTGTAGCATTAGCATCCTTCAAGGGAAATGGATTTGAGTAAGGTAGACAATTGACTGACTACAGTGCAGCCTGAATAATATTGTGAAACTGAGACTCAGTGGAGGCAAAAACTATGAAACAAAGACTCAGTAGAGACAAAAACTGTGAAATAGATTCTGAAACAGTAAGCTGGTAGTTGGGGTCTTTTTGAGAAATCCTGATGGGGACTCTAGCTAACACAACAGGTCATTAAACCGGGACCTAGTCTATCTGCAGTAGCTGGAGGCAGCAGGAAAGGTCATCAAAACACCAATTTTTAGAGGGACACTCACCAACTGAGAGTGAGAGAGAGTCTGGATGATGATAGAAACACAGCTTTAGACTGCATAGCTCTAGAATGCTGGGCTCTGGGATATTTAGCTCTAGAATGTTTAACTCTTGGATGTGCAACTCTATAATGTTTAGCTCTAGAATGCTGGGCTCTGAGACGTTTAGCTTGCGAATGTATAGATCTAGAATATATCTTTATGATGTTTAGCTTTAAAATAGTTAGCTCTAGAATGTGTACCTTTTGGATGTTTAGCTCTAGAAAGCTGGGCTCTGGGATGTGTGGCTCTAGAATATGTGGCTCTATAATGCTGGGTTCTGGGATATTTAGCTTTATAATGCTGGGCTCTTAGGATGTGTAGCTCTAGAATGTCTAGCTCTGGGATGTTAAGCTTGAGAGTGTTTAGCTTTTGGATGTTAAGCTCTAGAATGCTGGGCTCTTGGATGTTTAGCTCTATAATGTTCAGCTCTATAATGCTGGGCTTCTTGGATGAGTAGCTCTATAATGTTTAGCTCTAGAATGCTAAGCTCTTGGATTTTTAGCTTCAGAATGTGTAGCTCTAGAATGCTTAGCTCTAGGATGTTTAGCTCGAGAATGTTTAGCTCTAGAATTTAGCTTTGGGATGTTTAGCTTTAAAATGTTTAGCTCTAGAATGTGTATCTCTAGAATGTTTAGTTCAAAAAGCCGGGTTCTGGGATGTGTAGCTCTAGAATGTGTGGCTCTATAATGCTGGGCTCTTGGAAGCTTTTAAGTCTCTTAAGAGGACAGCAAGTAAGCTAGGTATAGTAGCTTTGTGATAGCTTTGGCCCTGGTCCTGGTCCTGGTTCTGGTCCTCAGAGCAGTATTAGCAGTACTGCTCTCAGTTGGTGCAGGGTGGCCTCAGACTTTGGTTGTTGGAGTCTTGCTGGCTCAGTGTCAGTGTTTCTGCTGCTGGCTGGTACTTAAGTGTGATCAGAGAAACCTCAGGATATGCGGCATCTCACACAGTCTCTCACATGATTTGTTTTTTTATTAAGTCCAGCCTGCAGGGACGCCTCAGGCTGGACTTCGTTACTGAAATGTCTCGTCAATTCAATCCGTGCTCAAAGTGAAAGAACAAGCTCACAGACCATCAGACTGTCAGGGTGTCCCAGCGGACAGAAAAAGACCTGAATGTCAGAAAGTGACATTTCTATTTAAGGTTGACCAACAGAAGGAGGACAGGAGGAGGAAGGAGGCAGAAGGAGACAAGGGACGACAGGAGGAGGCTGGAGGAGACAGGAGCACTGTCTCTGAGACTGAAGAGTAGATTTTAAAACACATACAGGACAGAAATATTCAACTCAGTTCAGTTCATAAAAATTTTGTAAGGTTCAGCTCCATTAGGGATTTCAACACAAACATGTTTAACCTGCAGAATAACATCACTTGTTATCCCCGTCTCTCTGTATCACAGGGGGGAGTTATAAGAAGATCGGGTACTACGACAGCACCAAAGGAAACCTCTCCTGGTACGGGAACGACAAATGGATCGGTGAGTCCTCCTCTTCACTCTTAATCCTCTCCGCCTGCTCCTCTCCCTCCTCTTCCTCCTCTCTCTCTCTTTCGCCTCCCTCTCTTTCTCTCACTCTGTTCATCACTCAGAATGTCAGGTGTGATCAGAATGAAGTTACCTGCTCTCAGTCAGTTTCCCTCTGAGTATCAGTCTGATTAAAAACATCAGAGCAGGTAGAAAACCGCTCAGATAGACCAGAGACTGTGTGTGTGTGTGTGTGTGTGTGTGTGTGTGTGTGTGTGTGTGTGTGTGTGTGTGTGTGTGTGTGTGTGTGTGTGTGTGTGTGTGTGAGTGTGTGTGTCTGTTGGAGGGTAAATACGTGTCGACCTTGCCTCTGTATGTGTGTGTCTGTCTCTCCGTCTGTCTTTCTGAGACGCTGTTGATTGGATTTCCTGTTTGCCCAAACTGACATTGATTGATTTAAGGTGGGGAAGGAAGGGGGTGGGGGGTGGATGGGGGGGTTCAAGGTTACTCAGCAGACAAGGGGAAATCCAAACAGGAGGAAGAGCGTCAGTCTGTCCTTCTCAGCTGCTGCAAATGTGAAGTCATGACACTCTGTTATCTCCGAACAGAGTCAATAGGTTTTGGAAGCTAAAACAGAAACGCCTGCAGTTCTTCAGTGTCCACCAGAGGCTGTTTCCTACAGTGAGTCAGTCCCCACAGAGCCTAATGTTAAAACTCCAAACTTTACAGCAGAGATAAACATTTTTATACCCTAGAAAAGAAAAAGTTTGGGTCTTTTATGAATTAAGGAGCTCACTGTTAACATTAAATTAAGAACGAAACTCACCTGTTTATATAAGACTAAAGATGAAATACACCTGTTTACATCAGATTAAAGATTCCATGACGAGTTCATCAGCAAGATTCAGCCTCTATCTGGATTAATATCTATTACTTTAGTGTGTAAATGATCTGTGTATTGTATCTCTTATTGATGTTGCTGCAGTGAGCTAGTGTGTATGAGCCCAGTTTCCATTTAAATGTCATCACTGGTGTATAGACGAATGAGGAGCAGTTGAATGAGACTGTTGCCATAGCTACTCTATAAACTACCAGTGTTAGCTGGTGGACCAAAGATCACTGGCGACTGATAGTGTTTCACCAGGTTAACAGAACCACTTTATAATATTTGAGTCCGACTCCAGTTCTGTGTATTTGCTAAAAGTCCCCCCCACCCGCCATCATCTCTGAACCTCTCAGCTGTGCTCAGTCTCTCTGTCTTTTTTCTCCTGGTCGGGTTTGACGTCAGTCTGAACTGAAATGCTGTGAGCTGAAAATCTGCCAGCTGTGACACAGAATAGATTTTATAACAGACTGAACATGCAGCAAGGTCGTCCAAATGTCCCCCCCATCCCCCCCGCTCTGCCAGAACAGGACCACTATGGGGGTTGGAGGGGAGAGGAAGTGCTGACCTCCATTTTTGATGTGCAACCCTGCGGACAGCCCAACTCCAGACCAGCTGGACTCAGTTTAAAACTTAGACACTGTTCACCAGCAGAGACGACAGTAGAGTAGAAATACTTCATCAAACCAAACGCACAGAGCTTCAGTTTTAAGATCATTTAAACACAGATATCCATTACTACAGTGATACGTTATTCCAGAGTTTCGTTTTCCAGGGTTCCATTATTCCAGCGTTATGTTATTCCAGCGTTCAATTATTCCAGTGTTTCAGTTATTCCAGCATTCCATTATTCAAGCGCTCCTTTATTCTAGCGTTCCAATATTCAGTGTTCATTTTACGGGCACTCCTTTATTCCACAGCTTCTTTATTCTAACACTGTTTTATTCCTGTATCAGTGTATAATAGAAAACACAGATTTTTTTATTTTAGTTTTAATGGATTTATTTTTCTACTTCAAGGTCAGTCAGTGTGTTTGAACAGGAAGTGAAATGGAGCTCTGTCTTTGGTTTTAAGAGTGTCAGAGCCAAATCTACATCTACGAATAAAAGTTAATGTCAGATGGTCAAAAACTGACCCTGCAGGAGAAACCAGTCTCCCCCACTCTGTCACAGCTGAGCACCCCACCACCACCACCACCACTGTGGGGTCAGGACTGAATCGTCTTTCCCAGCAGTAAAAAACTTTGGTCTGCAGCTGGCATATTTCAAATTGATGGCATGTGTCAGATTGATGGCGTGTTTCAAAGTGATGGTGTTTATCAGAGTTGAGGCATGTTACGGATTGATGGCGTGTTTCAAAGTGATGGTGTGTTTCAGAGTGTTTGTATGTTTCAGCGTGATTGTATCTTTGAGAGTGACGCTGTGTTTCAGAGTGATTGTATGTTTCAGAGCGATGGCATGTTACAGAGTGATGGCATGTTACAGAGTGATGGTGTGTTTCAGATTGATTGTGTGTTTCAGAGTGATGGCATGCTTCAGAGCGTGTTTTAGAGCAATGTCGGTTTCAGATTGATGGCATGTTTAAGGATTTATCTCCACATGATGGGGGTTTTTGGTCACACTAAGACCGGAAGGAGGGTCACAGGGGCAGGAAGGTGTGTTACAAGGTCGGCTTAATTTTGAAGCTGTGGCTCCCTCTTTTTTTAATAATTTCAGTAGAATTAACTGTTTTTATAAACATCGTCATAGTTTGAATGGCAGATGAATTCGTCTGTGTGAACATCAGAAAATTTAAATGATAAGAAAAAGTCAGAAATAGATGATAATACATACCAGAATAACAGTTACATTATTAAAAATTAAAATAGAAATAAAAAATCAAAATCAACCTTATAAAAATTATTAATATAAGAGAACACAGTTCAACCTCTCTTTTTAAAACAGTTACATCCTTAAGCTTTTTTTTCACTGTTTGTTTTTATCTGTCTTGTAGAGTGTCCTTGGTTGTTTCAAAAGGCTCCTATAAATATAATGTATTTTTTTTATTATTATTATTATTATAGCAACCCTGCAGAGCAGATCTGAGATCCTTTCAGTTAACCAGGGTATTTTAAACCAAACACCACACTCTCCATGTTTGTCTCTGTCCACGTTTTTTTAAGTGACTTGTAAGGAGCAGAATTCTTCCTCTTAGCCTGACTGAGTTTATTTTGGCTGATGTTTAAAAATATCCTTGAAACTGGCTGCAGGTTTTTCCTCCACTGACAGCTGAGCTCAGTGTGCAGCATGTACTGTCTGGGCAGCTTCTTGGCGGCTTGTTGCTTATAAACAGGATGCATGTTAGTGCGCCCCCTGCTGTTCCTTAACACACACACACACACACACACACACACACACACACACACACACACACACACACACAGCTCCTCTAAATCACATTTTCTCCTCTCACCTTGTTATTTCTTACCTTCACCTCCTTTCTCCTCTCTCTCTTCATCTCCATGACAACCAGTGCTGCCTCTCTCTCCCTCTCTCTCTTTCTCTCTCTCTGTGTCTCTCTCACATTGCTGCGGAAACCATATTGGAGCCAGTCACCATGGTAACATGCTGTCCCGATTCCACCATCAAGGGCAGGGAGAGGTATTAATGTTAGAGAACATGTATCCCAGAGGACACACATACACACACTCACACACTCACAGGTGCACTCACACCTCCTCTCTTACTCATCTTGATTTTGTGGTGTTTGTGTGTATGTCTGTGTTTGCACATGTGGGTGTGTGTGTATTTGTATAAACTCTGCTGTATGAAAAATCTGCTGCTGCTGAGAACAGGTGAGAACCTGTCAGGTAACATCTGTGAGGTACCTGTGTGTCCAACAGCGACTGGGTCTTTCAACAGCCTGTATGACAGACTGCTGCATTGTTACCAGTTAGCAGTGAGGAAGTCTGAGGATTTCTGCCTCACCGTGCCTGAGTTCTTCATCCTCTTCTTCCTCTACGGAGTTTATTAAAGCCTCTCATCCTCCTGTGTGTGTGTGTGTGTATCAGGCCCTGGCCCTCCTGCAGATCAGACTGTGGTCATCGAGGAGTTCCGGTATCTGTCTCAGAGGCTCTTTGTGACTGTGTCGGTGTTTGCTGGGTTTGGGATCCTGCTGGGGATCATCTGCCTCACCTTCAACATCTACAACAGCAACGTCAGGTACCAAGTCTTGGCATGTCTTATTTTAGCTCAACACCTCCATAGATCTAAGTGTGCTGGGGCAGCCAAAACATAGCGGGTAGAGCCAAGGGACTGATGCTAACCAAAACATCCATTAAATTTACTGACTGATTATTTCTCTGTCCAGGTGTTCCTGCTTCTCTCTGTGAAGGTTTGAAAGTGTGTGTGTTGTTTTTACTGCAGGTACATCCAGAACTCTCAGCCCTACCTGAACAACATGACAGCAGTCGGCTGTATGATGGCTTTAGCTGCTATTTTTCCTCTGGGCATCGATGGCCTGCACGTCCACAAGACACAGTTTCCAGTTGTCTGCCAGGTATGAAGAACAAAACTCTTTTATAAAGGGGGTCTGAAGGTAAAAACCTGCTGACACATCCCTCATTGTAACTTTAATGTTTGATTTCGCTTTCACTGTCCTATTTCTTTAATGCCCTTGATGTTAGCATGTCAAAGCCTGCAGTGGGTAGAGCATGCCTCCCCTCTGTTTCATGTGCATATATGCAAAGCCAGGGCAGAGGAAGCAACAAAGTCCCCTAGGGTATAGAATGGAACAGCATAAGTGACAATCCATATGACCATAGCAAAATCGGATACAGCATATAGAAGAAGGAGCTGGGGAGGAGGAGGAGGGGAGAACAGCAGCAAAGACACTGGTACAGATGAAATAGGAGGAGTGGACAGGCTGAAGACGTCTAAATAGAAGAAACTTTTTCAACATTCTCAACCTTTATAGCCTGCCTGGACTAGCACTTTGCTCAGTTTGTCAAGCAGACATCTCTGCTGTATCCCAGGGGACACAGATTCAGCAGGTTTTATTTCTGAGAACAGAGTTAAATGAAACTCTCTGTCTGTGTCTCTTCTTATTGAATTTCCCTTTGGGGATAAATAAAGTTCTTATCTTAACTTATCTTATCTTATCTTATCTTATCTTATCTTATCTTATCTTATCTTATCTTATCTTATCTTATCTTATCTTATCTTATCTTATCTTATCTTATCTTAACTTAACTTAACTTAACTTAACTTAACTTAACTTATCTTATCTTTCTGTGTGTGTCTCCTTGTCTGTGTCCGTGAGCCAGTTTCGTCTGTGGTTGCTCGGGCTGGGCTTCAGTCTGGCATACGGCAGCATGTTCACTAAGATCTGGTGGGTTCATACTGTCTTCACCAAGAAGGAGGACAAGAAGGACAGGAGGAAGGTAAGGAGACAGGGAGTAAAGGAACAGAGTCTTTCTCAATTAGATCTGAGGACCCTCACTCTGTGAAATCCTCCACGACAACGCGTCAGGTCCTCACTGAAGATCATCGACCAGAGACGGTCATCAGCTCTCTGCTCATTATCACTCAGTAAAGACTTAAGTTCTGTCCTTTCAGATATCAGTGATCAGCTTTTCTTATCATAATCAATATTCTTATTGACTCAGTACAGACTTCTCTGTTCACTCTGTGTCAATAATTCTAATAACAAACTCACTTGCTCTATTATATCATCACTGAACAACACCAGCTTTGATTTGCTATTGATTAATGACTGACTGACTGACTGATTGATTGATTGACTAATTGAATGATTGATTGATTGTCTCCCAGCAGCACTTGGAGCCCTGGAAACTGTATGCGACAGTCGGAGTCCTGTTGGGGATCGATGTCCTGTCTCTAATGATCTGGCAGATTGTGGATCCTCTGCATATCACTGTGGAGGTCTGTTCCCAACGATGCAGATTAATCTTCTTATCAAAGAGTTTATTGAAAAGTGTTTGATCAAATATTTGTCCTTAGTTTAAATCCATCAGTGTTAAAATTCAGATGTGATTTCTGACAGATAAACGGACGCCGTGTTTCTTTAGCGTCCTCCTTTTTAGATCAGGACGCAGTCTTGTTTAGCCATCACATGGAAAAAATAAAAACATTTTGAATTATTTTTGCCTTTATTAGAAATATGGAAATTATCATTAGAAAATAAGAAAGTTATGAACCAGATCATATCAAGACTCAAAAAAAATCCCAAAATCAGTTCAGAGGATTGTATATGGGGTACCTGCTCCACCAACTAAATATGACCAGCAACTGACTGTGTGCAACAGCTCAAGTAAAATCAGTAATAATCTGGTCACATCATGTTTTCTGAGGAGGTCAGCTGATAAACCTCTAACCTCACCTGTGTCCTGATTTCTTCATTTTTCTGTGTTTATGTGGAGCAGAAGTTCACCAGGGAGGCTCCTAAAGCAGACCTGGACGTCCTGATCCAGCCTCTGCTCGAACACTGCAGCTCCCAGAAGATGAACACCTGGCTAGGTGAGTCACACACCTATTCTGTCTGTACAACCCACCTGCCGGCTCTCTGTGAGTTCATCAGTGTAGAGCTGGGTAAGGAGGGCAAACAGTAACCAGCTCCAGTTGAATAGACATCCTGAATCAGAATGTTGGTCTGTCTCACTGTCTCATCACTCACCTGTTGTATCATGTGATGCTCTGGAGCATGTGTCCTTCTCTCCTTTCCTTGTTTCTTTGCATCTCTTCTTATCTGAAGGTGCTGAGACATATTGATGAGAGTGGGGGGTGCTTTTGGGGTCATGAGATGTACCTGTCAAATACCTGCATGGTTCCTCATGGCAGCCATCTTGTCTCCTCAGGTGTGGTTTATGGTTATAAAGGTTTGCTGCTGCTGCTCGGGATCTTCCTCGCCTACGAGACCAAGTCTATCTCCACCGAGAAGATCAACGACCACCGAGCTGTGGGCATGGCCATCTATAACGTGGCTGTAAGTCCAGATCTGTGTGTGTGTGTGTGTGTGTGTGTGTGTGTGTGTGTGTGTGTGTGTGTGTGTGTGTGTTTGTGTGTGAATGGGGGGGAGTGCATGTGTGTGTGTGTGTTACAGATGTTGATCTTTTTGACATGATTCAAGTTATTCAGGCAAAACCAAATCTCAGTCTATAAATCCCCAAAATTCCTCTACTGCTCACGCATGCATACACACACACACACACACACACACACACACACACACACACACACACAGTGTGTTTTAATCAGCAGAAAGTCCTTTCAGCTGATTTTTGTGATTCTATTCTCATTTTAATTTGTTTTAGAGGATAATCCTCCATCTGCTGATCAATCTGACTGTGTGTGTGTGTGTGTGTGTGTGTGTGTGTGTGTGTGTGTGTGTGTGTGTGTGTGTGTGTGTGTGTGTGTGTGTGTGTGTGTGTGTGTGTGAATGTCTCTGTGAGTGTTTTGCTCCTCCATCAATGCTGTGATGAGATTTTCAGTCTGAGTCCAGAGATGAGTGACAGCTGATCAATACCGCTCTACCTGCTGACTCACCTGTCATCTTTCTCTCCCCGTCTCTCTCCTTCTCTCTCTCAAGCTCACTCTCCTCCCTCTCTGTCTCTTCCCCTCCCTCTCTTTCTGTTTTGTAACAAAGGATAAACCTGTTCTTTCAGAAGGACTCATTGATTTGTTGAATTGGATCAGACTTGTTTTTGTGTTTAATCAGAGACCTGCAGGGACACCTCAGGGAGTAAAAACAGCAGTGAAACAAAACAGCAGAAAAACCTTCAGCTGTGAGTTTGTCAGGTCAAAGAAATCTAATTGTATCTCTTTCATCTTCTAATTATAAACAACCACAGCAAATACAGGTAAATACAGGTAAATTGAGGTGAATACAGGTAAACAGGGGTTAATACAGGTAAATACACACAAATACAGGTGAATACAGATAGATAGATAGATAGAGGTTAATACACGTAAATACAGGTGATTTCATGTAAATACAAGTAAATACAGGTAAATAAACACATAAATACAGGTGAATACAGGTAGATACAGAGGTTAATACAGGTGAATATATGTAAATACAGGTGAATACAGGTAGATACAGGTAAATAGAGGTAAAGTTTAAGAAAGTACAATTAAAATAATTTCACTGCACTTACGAGACTGGACACCAGAGGGCGATGTCACTTTTCAGCTGAAGCTGTATTTAATTTGTAAATTTGTTCAAACACAAAGAGTTTAGACAAAGACAACAGCTCAGTGAACCTTCAGATAAAAGTATTGCCGCCATATATAAGTTAAAAACAAACAATATCTATGAATCTCTGAAAAGTAAAAAACAAAAATAGTCAATCAAATAGAGATGAATAAAGAGAAAGTATATGAACAGAATTTAGCTTTTACATTTTTGTATTTTTTTTCTTTTCTTGTGTGTGTGTGTGTGTGTGTGTGTGTGTGTGTGTGTGTGTGTGTCTCAGGTGCTGTGTATGATCACAGCTCCGGTCACCATGATCCTCTCCTCGCAGCAGGACGCCTCCTTCGCCTTCGCCTCTCTCGCTATCGTCTTCTCCGTCTACATCACGCTAGTGGTCCTCTTCGTCCCTAAGGTAAAAAAAAACACTGCACCTTTATCACCACCTTCATGACCTTCATCATTTTTATCCCTTTCATCTCCAATTTCACCTTCATCTTCATCTAGTTTTATGAGGAGAGAGAGAGATGGATCCTGTAAAGATGAACTGCTCTACCCTTCATAGTCGACATTATAGACACCAGGTGTGAAATTGTATAGGTTGTACTTATTTGGGATACATGGTGGTGTTTGTGTGGTGTGCAGATGCGGCGTCTAATCACGCGGGGGGAGTGGCAGTCTGACACTCAGGAGACGATGAAGACGGGCTCGTCCACCAACAACAATGATGAAGAAAAGTCCAGACAGCTGGAGAGAGAGAACAAGGAGCTGCAGAAGATCATCCAGGAGGTACACCTAAAAACACACCTGAGTTATTTTACCTCAGACAAACCCACAGGTGTTTAGTCATGGTCAGCTCAGAGCACAACTGAGGTTCCTCCATCACACTTGAGCTCACAGGTCCTCTGAGGCAGACTGAGATAAGGAGGAAGGATGGACAGTCACATTTGAAAGAAAAAGGGGAGAAAAGAAACAAGAAATATATATATATATATTTTTTGTTGTTGTTTTTTTTTTGTCTAATTAAACTGATTAGAACCATATTTACATAAGGGAGGGGTTCAGGTGTACCTCCTGTTTCTCTCATAACAGGTCTAAGGTAAGACAAAACATTTAGGGGGCAATAAAAACTCAGTATTCAAATAAAATAGTAGGAATTTTCTCTGCAGATGTCTAAATTTGTGCTGATGTTGCAGCTGAACTAATCAAACCAAACTCCGTTCAAAAAACAGCATTTTGAAGGAGTTTTCCTCTCAGCTGCAGTATGACTTGGCAAATCCTGAAGTTACACTTTTCCTGCTCAGAGAGGATGGACTTCGGTTTTTAAGGTGGATCACAGAAATTACGTTAGAAACCAAACTCCATCCTGTCCTGGTCATGTGATCTTGTAGTTTAACATGAATTAACATTATAAGGTCAATAATGTCAAGCCCCACCATGCGGAGGTCAGGGATAAGGTGTGGAGGTCGGGGCGTTGACCCATGTCTTTGTCCGACCCTCAGAAAGAGGAGCGAGTGTCTGAGCTGAGGAACCAACTGTCAGAGAGACAGGCCCTGCGGTCCAGGAGACGGGCGTCCACCATCTCCAACCAGAACCACAGCACACCGCCCCTCAATGTCCACCACAGCGACCCCCGCTCCCTGGCCCCGCCCCCAGGATACCCTGCCCCAACCCTCGAACCACACCCAGTCTCTGCGTCCTTCGCCAACTCATCCAGTCTGTACCAGCACGACAGCAAGATCAGCAGGAACAACTGCCACACCAGCCGGCTGCAGCTCCTGTACAAGTAAAGAGGGGGAGGAAAGAGGGAGAGAGAGAGGGGTGGGGGGCAAGAGACGCTGCAGACAGGTGTATTCAGACAGTCATTTCATGTGGGGCACAACAGATCTGGAACCAGGAACCAAGTACTCAGGACAGCAGAGACCTGAGGACAGCAGGGACCTGGGGAAGACACACATGAACATACCTGAGTGTTAATAAGTGTGTGTGGGGGTTCATGAGAGTGTGTGTGTTAATGAGCGTGTGTGTCTTAATGAGTGTGTGTGTCTGTTCTTGAGAGTATTTGTGTTTATAAGTGTGCGTGTGATAGTGGCTCTGGCTCTGCTGTGTCAGCTGTATCAGTGACGGTGTTTCCTGTAGACTTCGAGGATAATCAGCTGATCTGACCGTCTCTGGATCACAAAGACTCTGAGTGTTTGTCTCTCGGACCTCAAACCTCCTCATGTCTGTTTGTGATGTTCAGCCAAGTGAGAGACACAGAGTCCTATCAAGATTAAACCAAACCAGACCACTAAAGAGTCTGTACTGTAAAGACGACAGTAAAACACACCTGGACGCACATGGACACACCTGGTCAGTGTTATTACAGGTTAATAATATGTATGAGTGTGTGGATGTGTCATTACAGAGTAGCTAATGCTTTTAAGATGAGTTACAATCTTGTTGGATTTGTAATTGTTTGTATGGGGCTCTATGGAGACTGACTCTGAGAACACCGCCTCTAGTGGACTTTGAAGGACCTGCAGTTTCTGGGATGTCTGCGTTGGCTTCAGTTCCCCTTCAGTAACATGTGCTAAGACAGTATATTCATAATAGCATTTCATTCATGTTCAACATCAGCAAAGAGATGAAAAAGTGCTTCAATCCTCTTCAGTATCAGAGCATTTCTGACCCTGAAACATACACACATACTGTGACATAATATATAATTATTATTATCAGACTAGCTCAATAGAGGAAAAAAGTCCCGCACTTTTTTTGGTCATCTAAAGAGAGAAGTGCCCTCCACACCACTGCACCAATATAAAACTGTATTCTGACATGTTTTAGTATTTATTTCAGGATGGGGCCCAAAAATGGAAAACATGCTGGATGGAAGGGTGCCACTTTAAAGGCTTTTCATTGTCATCAGGTCAGAATCACACATTTTAAAAAGACATGAACTTAGTGGGAAGCTGGTTTGATTGAAGGACTCATCAGTTTGAAACAAAAAGTAACCAGCAGGGGGAGGAGAGGGGGGTTAGTGAAAGAGCTTCACAACTCTTGGTCTGACAACACGAGAAACATATTTTTCCAGATTATCATGAGAGAGGGGGATACAAAATGTATTAATCGAGTCTTGTCTTAAAGGGTCATATTTGTAATTTTTAAAGGGGCCCATGCATTGACCCCTGTGGTACTCCCCATGGAGTACTGCAGTGATATTTTCAGTTTTTAAATTGGAATGGAAAGTGTGAGCAGTGTTTTTGTTTTGGGTTTTCTTTAGAGTTTCTTCTCTTTCTAAAAAAATTTTGACTAAATCCACCAATGTTAGCCCACAGCACTTTTTTTGCCCATGTTTCTATAAATACCCTCCGAGTTTCCGTTTTTCTGTGTTTTCTCCAGTATCATACCCACAGACAGCAGAGTTCCCCTCCTCACTGGCTCTCTTTGAGTCTCGTGTTCCCCCTTCTGCTTTCTGTTCTGCCAAGTTTCCTGATTCAGTTTCACTCAAAAGTTTTCAATGCAAAAGGTGAAAAAGCAGCATGAGTCTCACTTCTCTTTTTCTGATAGCAATTTAGACAGTTTCAAACTGCTGCAGCCATCTCCCCAAACTCACTTTAACTGAATACAAAAACTGTGATTTTAATGTCACAAGAGTTTGTAGTAAATTCATCCAATCAAACCATCAGTGCTGTCTGTACCTGAGGGTTAAACCTGGTCTCAGATTGTGATACATACACTAAGACTGTGTTGAGTGAACAGATCAATCAGGAAGCGTAAGGATAAATGTGCAAACATAGAGTATAACTACCTGTCTGTCTGTCTGTCCCTCTGTCTGTGCGTGTGTCTATATGTGTGTTTGTGAGACTGCCTGTCTGTCTGTCCATGTCAGGTTTGGCTCAGTGTGTTCAGGTGTGTTAAGGTGTGTATTAGTGTGTTCGGGGATGCGCAGGTGTGTCAAGGTGCGTTTAAGCGTGTTCAGGTGCGTTAACGTGTGTTTAAGTGTGTTCAGGTGTGCTCAGGTGTGTTGAGGTGCATCTAAGTGTGTTCAGTTGTGTTCCGGTGCAGTGTTGCTGTTATGAATCTGACTGTAAATAATGATTGTGTAAATATAGAGGTGGGCTGTATTTCACGTGTTACAGTATTAATATATATTTCTATATGCTGTAATATCAGAGTGACAATAAACTTAATGTGTTTTTCATTTGTTCATCTTCAATATCTGTTAAAGTGAAGGTTAAGTTCTTTAAATCTTAAAGTGCTTACACTCCAGAGGTGGCTCCACCACTGTCATTCATTATTGTATTAAGACGAGGATGTAGTTCATAAAATGAGACAATATGAGTAAAGGTGTGCAACATTAATATGAGAAAAAAACAAGATGAGATAAGAACTTGAAAATATCTGACACTGGTAGATAAACAATAGAGAAGAGATGATAGATAATAGGAGGATTAAGGATCCAATTATTCCAGCTGAGATATGATTAGGAAATCAAAAAAAAAGAATAAATTCATGATAGATTTATTGTGATACTAAATGAGATGTAGTATTATATAATGATATAACAAGAAAGTACAAAAAAACTCAAAGGAACATATAATGTTAGCTGAGATGAGACAGGATAACAAGATGAAATAGAAAGAGATGAGATTAGATATCAAATGTGATGAGTTGACAGAGATGAGATGAGAAAAGGGGTCCATAAGGTGAGACCAAATCAGTTCCAATGACATGAGTAGAGATTTGAGGAAATAAATCAGGATCAGATGAAATAGCACAGATGAGAGGAGATGAAAAAAATGGAATTGATCAGAAAATTAGAAATAAGATTGGATATGAGATGACATGAGATGAGAGATAGGATTCAATAACTTTAGATAAAAGCAAAAAGGTAAGGAAAGACAAAGGAAAAGAGGTGAGATACGTTTAGATTTAAAACAGCTGAGAATAGTTTTGAAGAGCTTAAGACAACATATGAGGGATAAAATCATAGACCGTATAATGAGGAAATATATGAGGGAAATGAGATGATACAATGGGAGAAGCAGTCAGTTCAGATAAATGAAAACAAGATGAAACGGTGTGAAATAAACAAGATTTATTTGAAGGAGAAAAGATAAGATAAAGACAGATCAGAAGAGAGGAGTGGACATGAAATCAAATTAAATGAGATAAAATAATATTAGGGGAGATTGAATGAAGTGTTAAGCAGTCAGAATTGTAAAATGCTATAACGTCTGACCTTCATGCTGACCAGTCTAAGAACCACATATTTAATGGAGGTACATCTGAAAGTATAGTTCGAGTTTTAAATAAATCCCTACAGTGTTACAGGTCTTACCTTAAATAGACCAGTGAAAAACACACATTCTTCTTTTACACACTGACATACAGAACCATTCTTTCTCTTTTCATTTCGGGGATATTTTGATTCTTTTGAAGTTGATGAAAATGAAAATCTTTCACCCTGAGGAGAGAAACTCAGAAACCAAAAAGGATCAGGGGAGCAGAAACTGAAAGTCTGGTTTCTTCCATGGTTTTCTTCTGCGGGTGTGTGGAGCTCTGTAAGAGGCTGGAGGAGAAACCAGGGGGAGCCCCAGAGGATGGGGGAGTCCCCCTCCTCCCTCCCTCACCCCCAGCTTTACCCTCTCACTTGGTGTCTGTAGAGGAAGTGCTGCTCCAGTGGAAACCTTCTTTCCCCTGCTGTCAAACACAGAATAAGGATGAAGCCAAAAACACAGCTCATGGTTTATGATGCAACTTAAAGACTCAAATAACCCACAATCACTGATGACAAGCCACCCATAACACACCCATACACACCCAATGATAACCAGATAAACATCTAATATTCATCAGATAAACACCCAATAACAACCAGATAAATATCCATCAATTTATGATCAGCAGTTGTAAGGAGCTGTGGAGTGGTCAGAAAACCTCTCTGATACTGAATGGAGGAAAACTGTCCTGAGTAAAGCTGTCTGTTTTAGTCAGAGTTTGATTTTACTCATCAACAAACCAGTCTGTGTTTATTTTCATTCATAACTCGCCCACCAGATCAACATAAAATTCCAGCCGATGAATCAGACTTTGTACAGCTCATATTCACTTTGTCTTTGTCACTTATCACGGCGCTGCAGGAAGCCCATATTTGGTCAAAGAGCCTCTGCGAGCAGGGGATTGGAGAGTCTGGGGGAAAAGTCAGTCAGCCGTAAGTGTGAGAGCTTCCTTCCTTTTTCACTTGTTCATACTATTTGGTTATAAATAAGGTTTAGAATATATATATATTCATACACCCACAGAAAAAAGGTGCTTTACTGTTCATCTGTGTGACTCTTGTTTTTCCATTCCCGCATGTCCCACAGGCATTCCCACCACACCTAAACCTTACTTGTATGTACAAGTCACACCACCTCTCCAGTCCTCTCCCTTTCCTCACACCTCTCTACTTTTAGATCATCCGTAGTGCATTTCTGATGGTAGAATCATCTGTCATACTCCAAAACCACACAGCCTGCGGTAACAATACTCAGAGTGCAGATATTATAACTTTTGAACTGTTTGGTTGTTCCGCCCTAACAACTTTGCACCTGTTAAAAATGAGTAGGTTATTTCATCAAACAATAACATTTACATTTTCAACATCTGAATTTTTGTCTTTGAACCATATGTAATTAAATTAAGACTTTAAATGATTAAAAAACCATCAGATTCTTGTATAATAGACATACAGTATGTGGAGATATAGATGCATTAATGCCGATAATATCAGTCAGTTTCTTACATTATGTCAGTATTTACTCCTGACCGTTATTTGCTGTGTTTACTTTAAATCTGATTTTTTTTTATCTTGAGGTTCATATTTCTCAGTTTCACCCACAAAGAAATATTTTGATTTCAAAGATTCTTTATTTCAGTATTTTCCACCATAGCACAAACATCATGTATCATTTCCACACATCAATAAATAAATAAATAAAAACAGCTGATTGAGAGGTTCAATAAATAATTCATAAATAAGATATTCAGCAGGATAAACACACCTTTATAAATAAGTCAATAAATAAATAATAACATAATGAATAAATAAACATGGTCACTGTGATAAAAAGCAAAAAACTGAACCTGCCAGCTGTAGTGACACAATGAACTCAGTGCAGTACTACCATACAGTACTACAGGGTTACACACAGTACACAGTACTCTGTACACAGTTCACAGAACTGTAAGTAACAGACCCATAGAGGTCTCCATAGAAACATTGAGCTCTGAGCTGCAGTTTGACTGTTGCAGACCTTCACCAGGCTACAGACCCCTCCATGAGTCCTGACCCTGTCTATTTAGGTCTTTCAAGTCTTTTAGGTTCTTCAGGTCCTGAACCCTTTACAGAGCGAACATCCCAAAGAAGGTCTTTTCCGGGTCAACTTCCAGCTGTTGCAGCATTTTCTCCTCCATCTGCGTCTTCAGCCGGTCCCCACGGTTCAGGTTAAAGACTGCCCCCATGTAGACTGCTGTGAACCAGCTGCCCCCCTGGTCTGCATCGCTGCCGGACTTCTGGCAGGCGGTGCGTATGGAGTGCAGGATGGTCTCATAGGTGTCCTCGCTGCGCTCATAGCCGGAGGCGCTAGTCCAGCGCTTCACAGTGTTGCTTAGGTGGACCAGCGGTCTGGAGGACTGGTCCTCATCTTCCGAGCTGCTGCAGCTGACCCTGAAGGACGACTGGCTGTACACGAAGTACAATCCAGCATGAGGGATCACAACCTCGTTGTCCTCCAGTATGAGACCACCTTGAGCATGAGTCTGGTCCACCTGAGTCATCCATTCCAGTGAGGTCTTCATCTTGGGATTATACTGTCCTGAGGACAAGGATAAAGAGAGGAGATGAAGATTAAATCTCTGAGAGTGTGAGAGAAATACAGACTTCTAAGTGTTTTTAGGATCAGGATAAAGACAGACTGGGAATATATCTAAGACTGGGTCTGAGAGTGTCTACAGGACACCTGAGGTAAACACGTTAGCGCAGCATCTGACAGGTCTGCACGTCTACAGGTTTACAGGTCTGCTGGCTCACAGGTTTACAGGTCTGCTGGTCTATGGGTCTTAAGGTCTACAGGTCCTCAGGTTGACTGGTGCTCTGAATGTTTCTTACCTTTCAGATGGATGGCTGCTCTGACGTTTGAAATCTGCCTCAAGTTGTGATGAAGATCTGCAGAGACAATAACAGGATGGACACGGTTAGACGACAGAGACTCATTTATCATAGTCTCTTAGCACTTCTGTAATAACACTGCTGTCTAAGTCTCAACACGAAACACTGATCTGACATCAGTAAGAGTTTACACAGTCTACCATTTGAGTGTTAGGGTGAGCTATTAGACCTCAGAGCAGAATTAGCTAAAAAACTCACCAAAGCTCTCCTCAGGCTGTCCTGGAGTCTGTTTGAGAAAAAAAAAGAGGTCAGAGGTCAGAGTTACAGCAACACAAACGGAGCTGATATAGGTGTGTGTGTGTACAGACAGGTATGTGTTTTAGACTGAACAGTCTGAAGTGGATGCTGTATCAGAAGTGTGTGTGTATTCTCACCTGTTGGTGTTTGTTGAGGAGCAGCACAGCAGCTGCAGCAGCAGCAAGGCAGAGCGTGAAGATGAGCAGACCAGCCGTGACGGAGCGGCTGGATCTGTGAGTCCTACTGTCTGAGTCCACCTGAACCTTACACTCTGTCTGCACCATTTTACCCTCACTGTCCATGACTGTAAACACAGGTAAGCTTAACACGGGTAACAGATAACTTTTTTTCTGGTCAGATAAAGAGCCTCTCTGGCAGTGTTCGAGTCTTAGTGAGTGTGTTAGTGTGTGAGTTCTCCTTCAGTCTGTCAGACTCTCAGCCTGCGACTCTTTTAAAACTGCTTCCTGTGGAGGGAAACTCCACTGATGTCACTTAGTGAGTGATGGAGGGCCTGACCACACACTCCTACACACACACACACACACACACACCCTGCAGAAACTGTAGAAAATCCATTAAACATTCAGAGTAAACTTTAGAAAGTTTTGATCCACGTGAAAATTGATCATGAGTGCATATTATCATTTTTAACAAGGTTTGAAATTTTATTCTTTTTGGCAAAAATCAATCAATCAATCAATTAATCAATCAATCAATCAATCAGTCAAACAATCTATCTATCTATCTATCTATCTATATATATATATATATATATATATATGTATACAAAATAATATGTATATATACATTTCTGCGTGCGTGTGTGTGTGTGTGTGTGTGTGTGTGTGTGTGTGTGTATTTTGTCTCCATGCTGAAGGGTTTTTTGAGATCTGGGCTAAAACAAAGAAGTTTATTTCCCCATAACTGAAACTCTGACTGCACTTTCACACTCATCCTTAAAATGTCATAAAATTTTAACAACATTTAACTGCAAACTGGGAAATCATCATCTTTCGTGTTTTATAGTTTATTTATTTATTTATTTTTTTCCAGCATTTAAACCATGAATCGAGAGTGGAAACAGAGAGGAGCAAGGAGGAATGATAATTTTTATCACATTTATATAATTATTATGTTGATCACAATTCATATCATCAGAGTGATGGTAAAGTCTGAAAAACATTTGTGTCTGAGTCTCGGGCTGCTCTCTATCATCTCTCTTCTGCCTTTCGACTCTGTGGTAAAAACATAAGTGTGTCTCGGGCTGCTCTCTACCGTCTACCTTCTGCCTTTTGACTCTGTGGTAAAAACATGAGTGTGTCTCTGGCTGCTTTTTTACTATCTCCTCTCTGCATGTTGACTCTGTGGTAGACAGGTTATGCTAACCAGTTATGTAAAACAGAAGGCTGCCTGGCTGAGGGCAGAGCCATCACTGCTCTCTCCCCTTTTCCTCACTCAGGTATTTCATTACTTTAATGTCTTTGTCAGATTACTTGATGGCCTGTCTTCTCGTAAACATTCATGATTTTATCGCCAACGCCAATATTACACGTAAATACTGTAGAATCAGACACAGTCTATGTGGTTCAGACCCTTTACTTTAGTCTTCACACTTAAGTCCTGTGACATCACAGGCTGCGTGTTAACGTGTGTGTTTGTGTGTTGTGGTGTGTGGCTGTTTCTATGTGGGTCAGTCAGATGGAAACAGGTGTGTGGGTAACACACACAAATCACTCACTTATTCATCCACACACTCACTATTAAATGTTACTATCAGATCCAGAACTGAGGGGGTTCTCCCGAGTCACTGTGTATGTTCACAGGCTGTCACTTCTCTTTATTAAAAATAGATGTTACAGTGGGTACTAAAGTTCTCCTTTTGAATCAGTATGAGTGATATTTCACAGTGAGGGTTCGTGCCAGTGAGAAAACAGAGAAAAACAGACGGATGTGATGAATCAGACAGTTCAGCTGAAGTATAAAGCTGTATTAGAAAATCAGACTCATATCTGACTAACAGATTAAATATTATTCGCTGAGCACTTAGTCTTTCCCCGTGGTCTCTATGGACTTAGAGCTGAATTTAAAAACCACATAGAGATGAACACAAAGTCAGCCAATGTCACCTGGAGAATGTCTGAAGGACTGAAGGACTTTATCTTCAGCCTGATTACACTATCTTTACAGGTCTCCCTGAAAACTCAGTCAGACAAGTGTTTTCAATGAGGGGTCAGCAGATGTTGCTCGTAGCTCTGTAGATATTTTTCAGCAGTAAGGGAGCCTTCACAGATGAGGAAGCTACTCATGACATGAACTCTGATGACCCCCATACCATCAGGGATTATGGCTTTGGACTCTACTCTACCTCTACTCTTCAGAGAGGAGGATGTGGAGTCCATGATTTCCAAAAGGAATGTCAGGATCCATCAGCCCACAGGGCAGTTTCTTCTCCCCCTCAGTCCACCTTAAATGGGATCAAGTCGAGTGAAGTCTCTGATGTTTCTGGGCATCATCTGTAGATGCTTCACTCTATGCGTCACTGTTGACATTCAAATAAAGTTTCATATATTTCCAAAGGATTTCTGTTTTTCAGCTGAACCTGGGTGTTAGTCAAACTCCTGGTGACCATAACAACCTCACACTCACACAACAGTAATGACTATCAGTAATATCTGCTGAGTAACGGTGAGGATCAGCGGAGTGTGTGTTAGTCACAGACTGACTCAGATCAGAGAGGATCGATACTGGGTCCACAAACCTGAGCTGTAAGTCTTTGGTTTAGGCAGCCGAGGTTTCAAAATAAAGTTGCAGGTGTTCATCATGTGATAATTTTGGATGTAAGAATTCATACAGCCATCTGGGTGTGAAGAGGACAAAAAATACGAACGTGAACAGCTTTCTTATCTCACGAGGTTTTCTGTCTGACAGTGAAGCTGAAAGATGGTGTCTGATCAAACTAACCCGTCAGTCTGACAGAGAAACGCTCACACAGTTTCAATCTAACAGGGCAAAAAACATGAACCAGGGGTGCATAATGTTATATTTTCATTGAGATCCAATATTTTCAAACTCATTTTGGCCAGTAATCATTACTGATATTAATAAAGCTCTCTTAATGGTGAAAATACAAAGTCTGCCCTACATGGGACAAACAGTTTGATTCAGAAGGAGAAAACAGGACAAACTGAATTTGTTATAAATGTCTTTAAACACAGATAGTCAGTCATGTGTCTGCTGTCTGTTCATGACACCTCAAAATCCTCCCAAACACTCGTGGAAATAATTAACTGTCCGCTCATACGTGTCAGCACATGTAAACTGCATGCTCTGTTTCAGTCCGTCTTTCTGCTGATACTGATACCAGTCTGTTAATATTGAGCTCTTCCAAGTCAAACAAAAAAACATCCCTCAGAGCACTCAAGTCTCGAAGACTCAGCCCGGATTAGATTCTGGTCTGATACGGATCAGAAAAAACACCACACAGAGTTTCATCAGGACCACAGTCTCAGTCTGTGTTTAATAGAAAAGCTCTGGAACAGACGCTAAATCAAGAAACTGTGACCAGCTCAGACAGAGAATCAGGATATTTGGAGCAGGTGCTTAGGTGTAGCTCATCACAGCACCTGCAGCTGCACAGTCTGGACTCTACAGGTGAGCTTTATTTGACCTGTTTGTTTTTTCTAACAGTTGACACGTGAGTCCAGACAGATTGAGACCAGCTCACTCAGTCTGAAACTCTGAAAATTTTCCATCAGATGATGATCAGATAACCAGCACATAATCACGTTATCATGAGGTCACAGACTGAGAGTCAGGCAGCAGGTGATCCAATCTATCAAACAGTGGGGGGGTGAATTTTCTCTGATATCACAGCTTCATTCACAAAACATATTACTGAGGAAATCCATAAATGAAACAAATCATCATATATTGAACAACATTTAGGTTTTTAACTCCTCTTTACATTAGATCAAACTTCCTGGGAGGTTGAGAAACACTGATAGAGGGTCACCAAATGCCCCACAAAGAATCATTTAAACAAATAATCTTATTCATATGGCGCCAGGTCAGACCAAGTGTTAATCTAAGATGCTTAAAAAAAAGCAGGTCCAGAGAGAAAAAAAGGTTTTATTATTCTTGTGAAAACAGTCGCTACATGTTTCGGAAACCATACTGACATTAAAAAATACTAAAATGTCTTCAGTTTTCTGTTTTTGAGTCACATTTATCAGGACAACAGGCCCACAGTCTCTGAGACCGAAACTTTAGGGCCTGAAAAGTTCAGGAAGTTCAAATGCAGAATTAAAGATCAGCTGAAAACAGAGCTTATCTTTTAAGTGAGGTTAAAATCCAAAAATTCCGAACAGCTGGGAGACCAGTTCAAACCATGAAAACAGGTGAGTATTATTTACAGTATTCTGGCCGACACTGTTGAACAAAGATAATGAGTGACATAGAGAGACAGTGTGTGTGTGAGCTGTTAGAAAGACACTTCTGCAGAAACACAGCATCTCAACCACAAACCACAAACAGGCTGATGCTGAGTCGCCTGTCAATCAAAGTGCTCTCATTATCGCCGCCGCACTGCAGTTAATCAACAAAGATCAGTTTACACTGTTTTGATGCAGGACAAGTCTGATGTCCTCTCTGCAGGTCTGCTTAAAATAAAAAAATCCTCATTATTTTAACTAACCTTTTTTTTTTTTTTTAATAATTCTGAATAGATTTTTTTAAAATTCTGAATTACATTTCATTTATAAAATTTCTGAATGGTTTTAATTTTTTTGTAATTCTGAATAATTTCAATTTTTTAAAATTCTGAATTATTTTCAGTTTTTATAATTCTGATTTTTTAAATTTATAATTCTACGTCAATGATTTTTAAATTGAAAATGATTTTTCTATTTTCACAATTCTGAATATGGTATGATTATTTAAAATTCAGACATATTTTGTGTTTTTAAATTCCGCATAATAATTTTTTCATAATTTAGAGTTATTTTTGAATTTATTTTTCATTGTAATTTTTACAACTGTCAGTCAGTTTTGTTTTTATATTTTTAAATTTTTTATCATTTATGAATAACCTAGAAAAGTGTTATGAAACTTTTTGGTATTCCTTGGTTTTGGACTTTTTTTTGTCTTGACTTGGAGAATGGAAAGTGGAAAGAGTGAGAAGCGAGTTACCCACAGCAACCAGCTGAGGGTTTGAACCCCAGCTTCTAGCTTTCAGGAGAACAGCCTCTCTACACAATATAACCACCTAGCCGTACAGCATCTGAGGAATTCGACACTTTGATAACACAAATAAAATGTTTATTTAAATTGATTTCATTATACAATTATGTGTATTTTGACCTAACCATAACCCCAGGTTTGTTATCTTTAATAATACAATGTCTACAGTGTCCACAATTAATAAATAAAGTGTCTTTTTTATTCTCATCAGTGCACTCAAACCTTTTTCA